AAGCTTACAATAGATGTTTATGAATGTCAACAAATATTTTTTCCTTCCGTGATTAAGTGTGGAAAAATTAAATTGGGGAATCCCCTAAACATTGAGAGCAAAACGATGTCAGATTGTCTATGTAGGCTACTATTGGCTAAAAACTCACCAATACTGGCTGTGAAATTGTGAAATAGATGGAAATGAGATTCATCTGTTTCGTCAAGAGCATTCTTGACCCATTTATTTCTTATAATGTTTCCATAGACGCCCCTCCCACCAATTTTATATGATTATAATAAATAGGAACCATCAACATTTGCCACCCCCCCCCCCCCTCGCATTGCCGGCTAATAATAAAACAAACACCCTATCCCTTTCGTGTTACAAATAATGTGCAGTATCGATTGTTAAAAACAATTGATCGTTAAAGAAAACTAAAAGTGTATTTTATTATATGCTACTCATTTTTATTTATCTTTTTATTTATCCGCACATTTACACCATCAAACATTTGTAAATTAACCTTTTTTTAAAAAATAAACTATTATGAATACTTGAATATCATGCGTTAAAATGATAGTTTTTTACTATGTCATTGGAGTTGCACTTCTATACAAAGTATGAACTGTTATGCTCTCTCTGAAATCGGCCGGAATAGAGTTAAAAGATTTGACCAGAACTTTATTCAAGGCTTGCAACTGTCTCCACCAGCTGAAAGTAAAACACAGTCACGCGTGACTTGCTGTCTGAGATTTCCGACTCCCCTGGACCGATTCAGTGGTCAAACTGTGCGGTGGATCATTGGTGCGTGACGGCCTCCACCCTCCAGCGGAAACACGCTCTATCATCCCCCCTCTCATCCCCCCATTCGGCAAACTGTTTTGTAATCTGTAATGAAACCAACTCACGAGCCTGCGTCCCATCGGAAATGTGGAGAGGTACGGAAATCCCTCGCCGACCTCAATGGACCGTCTCTTCTTGCGATTGGCGTGACGCTCCTTGCTCTTGCTGAACGGCATCCTTGGGTGATGTAAGAGAAGTATTGGGGTCTCGCCGCTCCTCCTCTTCTCCTGATTTCAAATCGAGATATATATATATATATATATATATATATATATATATATATATATATATATATATATATATATATATATATATATATATATATATATATATATATATATATATATATATATATATATATATATATATAACAATCAGTCAATAATTTATAATTGTTGAAAGTTTTTTAAAATTAGGTTGTATAGTAGTATTGGAATAGGGATTTAAATGTTTTTTAATTAACTTTCCACTAATCATTACTCTAAAAAAATGTTCTATAAGCCTACGTAGAATGTTTCCACTAAAGATTTGTAAAACTTGGGTGACTATTTTATTTTTTAGAAATTAAAAATCCGCGAAATTTATTTTTTAACTCGTTACCAATCTTAATCTAGGATTTTATAAAGTTAAACTATCTTTATCTGTGAAACCAGCAAAACAAAAATCCATTTTAAATCATTGCGAAGTAATTAAATCTACACGTTTTGATTTGAACGTTAAACTTGAAAAGGCATTTTAAAAGAAAGAAAAATTTTAACAAGGCGTTGGATATAAGGAAACTGTTATTTTACACACACACTAATACAAACACACAAATACACTCACGAACACACACACTCACTCGCCCACACACACACACATTCAGTCACACATACATACATACATTAAGGGCTAGATGTAGGTGAGTGGTATGAGAATACAGAACCCATTCAACATCAGCAGTTGTATCACACTCACGGCTTACATACCTTCTCTGAGAATATCATTTGACGACTTTAGTGACAACACAACACAAACTGTATCCGTGATAGTGCATGGCCCAGCTAATGTGAGGATCTATGATCAACCAGCCAGCACTCATTCTTTACTCGACGATAAATTGATTGTCATCAGCACTTGGTAGAAGAACACTTCATAGCGCGAGATTTTGTGCGAAATTTTATTTAGAGAACTCACAAACGTAGAGGCTTGTAGTTCAGCACAGATTGAATTCGTGTTATTAGAACGAATGATCACTGTTATACATCAATACTTGATCTGGTTATTGGGAAAATTCATTGGTATATTAAAGCTAAAAACTTAGAATTGGTCTATTTAAATTGCATGTAAACAAGGCGTCAATAAGAACTATACGTGAACACGACATCAATTAGAACTATACGTGAACACGGCATCAATTAGAACTATACGTGAACACGGCATCAATTAGAACTATACGTGAACACGGCATCAATTAGAACTTTACGTGAGCACGCATCTATTAGAACTATACGTGAACACGGCATCAATTAGAACTATACGTGAACACGGCATCAATTAGAACTATACGTGAACACGGCATCAATTAGAACTATACGTGAACACGGCATCAATTAGAACTATACGTGAACACGGCATCAATTAGAACTATACGTGAACACGGCATCAATTAGAACTTTACGTGAACACGGCATCAATTAGAACTATACGTGAACACGGCATCAATTAGAACTATACGTGAACACGGCATCAATTAGAACTATACGTGAACACGGCATCAATTAGAACTATACGTGAACAGTGGCATCAATTAGAACTATACGTGAACAGTGGCATCAATTAGAACTATACGTGAACACGGCATCAATTAGAACTATACGTGAACAGTGGCATCAATTAGAACTATACGTGAACAGTGGCATCAATTAGAACTATACGTGAACACGGCATCAATTAGAACTATACGTGAACAGTGGCATCAATTAGAACTATACGTGAACAGTGGCATCAATTAGAACTATACGTGAACACGGCATCAATTAGAACTATACGTGAACAGTGGCATCAATTAGAACTATACGTGAACAGTGGCATCAATTAGAACTATACGTGAACATCAGCCTATTAGAACGATAGCCTCAGGAAGGCGATGTCCACAAATCATAAATCTGTCTGCTTTATGGAACACGGCACGGTAGGCGTGTTGGCGTCCAACACAGCTGGGGGGGGGGGGGGGGGGAACGACACCGTGCTCCCGTCAGCTGACTCGATCAAATTTGGTGTCATCCTCTCACATGCACACACACATGCACACACACACACACGTTTCCTCTGTTGCCATGCAAATAAATTTACTTTACTGTCAGTCATTGAAAAAACGTGTCCACTTAGGTCAACTTTACACAGATACAGATACTGTCACACACACACACACACACACACACACAAACACACACACGTTTCCATACAAATATTTTCCCTGTTGCCATCCATCCTGTTGCTGTTATCCATGTGTCCACACATTTCCACTTCTGTCTTTCATACACACAGATTTCCTCTGTTGCGCATTCTGAAATAAACAATTTCCAAAACCGTTTCCCCAACGCACTGTGAATGTAGTCTTTTTATAATTATATTTAACATCGTCGCCACTTTTTTTCTTGAAGAGCTCGTCTTTCGTTACCCCCCCCCCCCCCCCCCCCCACTCAGCCACCACCAACCTTTTTTTTTTTCAATTCCCCGGTTCAAAGCCTTTTAATCCTGATCTTCCGTGAGCCTCAGATTTGATTGTCACCGTGTCAACTCATCGGCTTCATCCACACGTTTAATGTGACAAATTAAATCAAATGCGATCACGTAAAGCCAAAAGGTCTACAGGAAATGTCATCTCTGACAGCGAGTGCGGACACTTACCTGGCACACAAAAACCGTGCTGTCCTCTAGCCTAAATTTGCCGTGTTCTCACAATTTTTACCTGTTTTTGACACAGTGTTGTGATGCAAAGAGGGGAACACAAAGGGGGATAACTCGAGAGATAAAAGATGTGAATGTACTAAAAAAAAAAAGGCGGAAGTCACTGCTCTCCCTTTGTCCACGGCAGTCGGCCTCAACATGGTAATGAAACGAGTTAAGGGGAGAGAATACAACGAGCACGCTGGAGACATGCTAGAGGATTTATTTTATTCTAAGCTTAAAAAATTAAACGGAAGACGCTGTCATGGGCGCATGCTTCGCTTAGCTGTATAACACTTTAAGTTTTTTAGTGGATATTTTTTGCTACAGTTTGCCAACATTCTACGTTTCCAAAAAACAAGGTTGCTATATTGTTAAATAATTATAAGACCTATATTAGCTTAGGGTGGTGCTAGTATAGGATCTAGAGTTGACAGCTATAGCATTATAAAACAAGCGATACTAGTTCAAAGGGAGTAGTTGTCGTTTTTCTCACAAGTGTCAAACAAACAAATATTCGTGTTTTAGTTTGCTATTGCAGCAGGCTACTGTATAGCCCATCAGTTTAGTTAGGGCCAGTGACGTAGGCAGGAGAGGTTACCAAAAATGAAAGTTGTCTCCCGTTAGCACCGGATTATAGCCGGAGTTTCTTTATTGATACTTTTATACTTTTAACAGTGTCCGCCCCCCCCCCCCCCCCCCCGGAGAAAAAATGTCTGGAAGAAAAACTGATTATAGCTAAAGCCTGCTGCACCAAAGCAGCCAAAACAACGCGAGAATAATTGTGTTCAAGTTCTCATTCATCGTTTGTGTGACAATCAGAAAGACACAATTATTAACAATAAATCAAGGACACTCATTATGCTTGGGTTTGTTAGATTACTTATTTAAGAAATCCATAATGTGATGAGTTAAATAAGCTCTGAGAACTTTGTAAGAATATGTATTTCTCCCGCGCACTCTCAGAAAATAAAATATAGACTCGTCGACATGACGTCTTAAACGTTGATCGATTCTATTTGCTCAGAAAAGCAACGTAACACGCACTTGGAAAGGAGATGAATTACTTCCCTTGATGAACAAGAGAACGTACTTTCCAGAAGGTTGGGATTTCGCTTAAAACTAAAGGAATTATTTTTGAAAGCTCAGTAAGCCACAGTTAAAGGGATATAACCAGTACTATAATAGTAAGGGACATAACCAATACTAAAACAACACCCGCGAAAGTAATAAATCATGTTTTATTTTGAAATGATAAAAAGTGCTTGGCATTGATCTAACAATTTTAAAAATTCAGTTTAAGATGCACTGACTTTTTCAAAACACATTTAAATCTATTTTCTGTTTTTAGAACAAGTATATAAGGTGAAAAAGATACTGACTTCTATTTTTTTTGTACAATACTACTTACAAAAATTTCATGTTGAAATTGTGTAAGAGAAGGTGTTAGATGACAAAAAGTAGAAGCACCCACAATTTACAAAGAAAATATAGCGATAGATGAAAAGATTTTTTTTTTAAATTAATATTTCTAGCTATCACACTAGCAAACTAAAAATATAAATACATTTTTATATAAGTAGTAATAGTATGGCCACAGACTGTAGTGAAAGTATTGAAAGAAATACATTTCATAAACATCCTGCTTAGAAAAAGTGAAAATTATGTGAAATTGAAGCCTGGTTAAACAATCCAGGAGAAATATATTTAAAAACAAATATTTGGCTGAATTAGGATTTCTGTTGATTAATGAAAAAATATGTTCATGATATATATATAGCTGCTTATAAAAATCAAGTAAAAAAATTATCTGGTAAATCAAACTTATAATTTTTTTTAAAGATTGAGGAAATAGTATGCAATGTGTACATAACAAACTAATAAATTAAATACGAAATAACTAAGTTTTTCTGATCTACTTCAACGTGAAAAATGTGCAGCAAGGTGGAGATATGGAGGGAGAGCAGGAATGGTTGAGACATCATGGAATGAATCACCATCACAAAATCTCAAACTATTTCCACAATCTAATCACACACACACAGAGAAGTTCAGTGAAAGAGACTTGATATATATTGTGTGTAAGAGAAATGAGAGAGTGAATGTCTTGATGAATGGGAACAATGTTGCATAAACCTCTGACTAGGTTCACTCTGATTTTGTTCAAATGGTAGAGAGGTTAGATCAGCTTGTTAGGTCACTGAACTTTAGGTCAGATAATTTTAGCTCATACACTCAACTTTAGGTCCAATCACTCAACTTTAGGTCAAACCAATTAACTTTAGGTCCAATCACTCAACTTTAGGTTAGACCACTGAACTGTCAGATCATGTAACATAGGTTACTGGACATTAGCTCAGACAACTGGACTTTTGGCCAGACCAATGAACAGAAATCAGTTGGTGACATGTGCCAAAAAAATAGCACACTTAAAATAAAATGTAGCAAATCAAAAACTTAAAATTTAAAAAAAAAAAATGATAGTGATAATTAATGAAATGTTGGGTTAAACATTTATAACATCCACACACAAAAATCAAAATACCCCCACCCCCTTTCCTTCCTCAACATGTGGACCTTATAAATGGATTACATTATCATTACAAAACTGGAGATTATGAAAAATATGATTATTCTATTATTAATCATCACATTCTGAGTATTAAAGCAAAACAATAGTTTTATTGTTCACATACACACTAAATGCTTTAAAAAATATCTAATGCATGAAAATGTTGAGCTTTATTTTTCAAAGATAAATATAAAGGGAGGTTACTGGTTTTAACTATTCAAATTAAAAGATTATTGATATGTAGTTTGTATACAACATTCTTAAATGAACATCTATTAAATTTAAAATCTTTCAAAATTGTAATTTTTAATTTACTTTAATGTGCTGAAAATATGGTCTGGAATTCATATATTTTATAACAGTAGTGAAAACATCAATTTTAAGAATTCTATCTACACATCTTAATACTTTAAATACAAGTAAAAACATACTCAACAAGACAATTTGATTATTCCATTATCTACGACATTTCATTTGTGGTTACAGTAAATACTCAATGCATTAAGTATTTATAATTAAAAAGAAAGTCATGTTTTTAAAAGAATCAATGTTTAAATACAATTTTATAAAGTATGAGCAGTCTATTAGTATAAGCATTATTTAGCTGAACAACTGTCTAACAAATGTGAGTTGTTAACAAAATAATATAAAGTATTCAAAATTGTTTTAAAATGTGAACTTTTCAAAATAATATGTACAATTAAAATTGTTTTTAAAAAAAGTGTTCACTGATTAATATCATTAGCTGATGTTTTGATGATCATGTGATTTTAAAACTGCTGGCCATCAACAAGTTTACATAGAAAACTGCTAGCCAGCAACATCACAAATTTAACATACATAGAAAACTGCTAGTCAGCAACAGCACAAATTTAACATACATAGAAAACTGCTAGCCAGCAACATCACAAATTTAACATACATAGAAAACTGCTAGCCAGCAACATCACAAATTTAACATACATAGAAAACTGCTAGCCAGCAACATCACAAATTCAACATACATAGAAAACTGCTAGCCAGCAACAGCACAAATTTAACATACATAGAAAACTGCTAGTCAGCAACATCACAAATTTAACATACATAGAAAACTGCTAGCCAGCAACAGCACAAATTTAGCATATGAACAAAACTCAAGTATTCTAAGACCTGAGATGAAACACTGGAATAAAAAAAAACACCAGTGATCACACAAAGCAACAAAAGGATTTCAACATTTATTGCACTAATTAACCTCCCCATCAAAATGATGCCGTGATCTAAGGTGACATGAAACTCCAATTTAAAAAACTTGAGATCTTTTAGACTGAGCAAAACCATTCATAATTAGATGGTTAAAACTGGCAAATCAGACTTATTTATAGATGGTTCTGTGTTGTTTGATTTGAGTGATAAAGTTCCTACAAAATAGAAGCAGATTTATTTGAAATAAGTCTATATATTTATATATATAAAATATTTTCAGTACTTCTATACAATAGTTCTGCACAAATTATAAAGGCACTTAGAGGACAAAGTTATTTTTATATATAACTACTAGAAAACCTTTCAAAAATATGCACCAGATAAAAATTTAAACAAATTTTGATTTTCCTCTTTGAAGTTCATTAAAGATAGCTATATTTAGAACTTATATGTCACTTCTATAAATAGTGAGATATCTTTGTATAATAGAAAAGTAGATGTATATGAGAACACTCAATGGAAATGAAAGCAATAGATTCCCCAAGCATTAATAACCATACACAATAAATACGAAATACAAAACAATTTTTAAATACTTTAAATTAATATCTATAGAAAAGATGGATTATCTAGGAAATATACAATGCTATGCAGTTATTTGAGTCTAACTGTGTCACAGCCTAATGAAATGCATTAGGAAGAAAATACCCATGTAGCGCTGATACAGTTTATGAAGGGACTAGTTAACATTAGATTAGTTTTTTATCAACAAAACTAACATAAGTCCTTAATTATTTTTTTTGCAACACCCAGTTCATTCAACTAAAAAAAAAATTTTTTAATGCACATTCTACACTGTGTTATTTAACACTCCACCACAGCTTAAGTTGTTAAGCATCTCTGGTTGTTACATGGAAGGTTTGAAGTGTAGTAATACAGGAATCTATGTTTTTTTAAAAATGTCTATTCATTTAGGAACACAGTTGTGGATTTTATAGACTAAGTGATTTCACATGTATTTCGAAAATCCAAGAAAACATTTTTTTTGTATAATAATATTTTAGACATTCATGTAATAATATTTTAGACATCTACAATAAAACAAGCTAAATGACTCTTTGTCCAGTTCTTTGATATTTTTCAATACTGTAATCAACTGTGATAAAAAATGCTTTGGGTTTGGGACAAGATAAGCAAATCTATAGGCAAAACAACTCAAACTGTAGTGGTTCACATTTGATCATTGGCAATAGTTTACATACCACTGGCAATAGTAGATTCTGGTCATACATACTTGTAAATATTTTTACTTTTTCAATTTCAAAATGTAATTATTTTACTCAGATGTATGACACCAGTAAACCCAAAATACAGTTTGTGGTTATTGTATGTTAAAGAAAAAAAAATGTGTACTTTAACATAGTGATACATGTTTTTTTTAATTGTAAATCATCATTCGCTACAGCTCAGAAGTAAGGAAGTCAGCTGTAAATTCACAATAGAAAAACCAACTATATACAGCTCTTATTTTGTAATGAAATATCAGGGTTGAAATTAAGTTCCATTAAAAAATAGCAGTGTAGAGTTTAGCTTTAAAAAAATATCACTGTTGAGTAATAAAGGAGCTATAACAAAACCATCAGGAACTAGCATGGTCTTTCATCAACACTGGATTTCTGCATCTGGAATAAAAGAAAGGAAAAATGTAGACTGGTCTAAGACAACTAAAAAACTGATAGAAAAATAAAAAGAACTTATATTTGTCAATTATAAAACACCTTTAACTGTTATGTGGTTTATCTTTTCATGTAGATATAAACACTGAACTTTAATCCAGCAAAGTCTTATCAGACTAAATAACGAAGCTCTAGTGAGTTGGCTGTTTTCGCTGATCATGTACAAAGCAGACAAAATGTAGGCCTTTAACTTTAAGGATAACACAAGAGCAAGTTGGAGGCTGAGTAGAGAAAGATTTATCAGCACTTATGGTATACACTACATACAACAGTTCATTCTTTTTAGTCAGGTTTTCAAATGATTTCAATGATTGGTTAACTTTTATCATCTCTCTCTTGTAAAGGACCCACCTTTATCTTGTACAGGATCTTGTGGAGTTGTATTAGCCATTACTTTCAGTTGTATGCTGTCTCTACTGGCAGGATCCCTCCCACCAGCAGCATCCACCTCCTCAATCTGGAAGGACTGTCTGCTAGAGCTGTCATCATCTGACTGTTTGACTAGATCAGCTGCCTCATCCTCTGTCACCACTGAAGCTTCCTCTGAGCCATACTCCTCCTCAGAGGCCTGTTTCTGGCTTTTTAAAGCCATTTCTGCCACAACAACTTTAGCTATGTCGCTCATACTACCTCTCTCATCCTGCACAGTTAAAATAAAACAGAAATGTAGACTGCATATACAATAAAATATCTAAAACTAAATGTTGTAAATAAAGAAAACAACAGTGATCAGAATTTATCAATGAATTGGGAATACTGAATTTAACCCTACTTTGCCTATTGTAATGTTATAGTTACATCATGTGTTAAACATAATAATTCCTGTGGATCCAACATTGGTGGTGATGTAATCGTCACACAATTTCAGTTTCAATACAGTGTATACTTTTAAGTCAGTTATTTTAAAATTTGAACATACTTTGTCACGTGGTCAACACCATTTAGATGTTAAAGATAAAAAATTAAAATTACTTGTTTATATCTAATTACATTAATAGCTTAAAAAAGGTCACAAAGATTATTAGGGCATTAGAGGGTCAAAAGTAACTGGAAAAAATAACTTGTTCAAATAATAAAAAATTTGAAAATTGAAGAATGACCTGTGAAATCTGCCTGAGTCTATGGCGTATGATGGAACCCATCCTGTGGTGCTCCATCTCTTCTGCTTGCTTTAACTGCAGCTGTTTGCTGTCTGCTGCTGATCTCTCCTCTTGGTAAACCTCCCCAGGTGACAGCATGCTGGATGAGGTGACACCAGGTGAACAGGGTGGCGAGCAGTCAATCAGGCAGGAGGTGTCAATGTTGTCTGTGATGCTGGTGTACTCACCTATCAGAGGTGTAAATATAAAGGTGAGATCTCTAACAGCTGACCCGGTCATCACATCGGGGTACGAGGTGGTGAAGCAAGCTGATGACTGGGGCATAGAGCTTGGCACAATGGCTGCCGTTGTGTTCAGGGTCAAAGGTTGAGTATTGCCACTGTTTTTCCTTCTTCTGGATCTGAGGTTAGAGCCAGCAACACTGTTGGGTGACACAGTAGAGGATACTGAGAAGGTTGGCTCTGGTGGAAGAATTAACTCAATCTGCTCTCCGTTCACTGGTTGTATTACTTCAACCGTTTCAGGTTTTTCATCAGAGGAATCCCCTATGTGTGCCGTGTCACTAGTAGGTTCAGTATTTGATGGATTACTGTCACCTCCTTGTTTACCTTCATCCAAAACTAGTTCCGCAGGCGCTGTTGAAACTTTAACTGGATTATTTTTCTCTTCGCTGCTGCTAATTGCTTTATGCAGAGAATTTTCTCGCAACTTTTCGCCTCCAATGTAAAACTGAGCTGAACCTGTGTTTTCTGAGCTAGACTCTCTATCAATGGAGACATCATTCTCCCCCACAAACTGGTCGATGTCGTCCTCATTAAACTCTGTTTCACTCATCAGCCTGCTGTTGACATGGCTTGTCAATCTGAAATAAAAATTGTTTTAGACACTCAAATTTCTGTACAAAGTTTCACATTTAACGGAAAAGCAAATTGCATTATTTTAAATGTTCATTTTTTTTAAATATAACTGCATTTTTATATTATTTTGTTCATAATTCAGAAGTAGACAGCTGTTCATCTAAATAATGCTTATACTGATGAAAAAAAAAATCTGTAGTTATAATTGATAAAAGTAAAAAAAAAACAGCCCATGAATGCTTGATATCAGACTTACAGCACTATATTACAGAAACCACTAATTTTAATATCAATTTTTTTTTTAAAACACAAAAAAATAATAAAAGCCAGAATAGTTGTAACTAATGAACTAATTAAATTAATATAATCTTATTGACCTTTGAAGTTTATCCAGTGGAGTTTTTCTCTTGAAAGATCCTGAGGTCTTTTCACCAGTCTGAATGTTGACATTTATAAGATCAGATTCAGTTTCCTAAAGGAGAAAATATTGTGGAGTAGTCCTAAATTAATGAGGTCTTTAAACAAATACTATAGAAATTAGCCATTGGAGAAAATAAAATAACCTTAGCACAAACTAAGCTTTAATTTTAATTTCATTATTTTTAAGTTAAAATAAATAATACTTTTAATGTGTACTTAAATTTGTATTGATAAAACAGTACTTACTTCAAAAATTTCATCGTTCAGCAGCCTATGTTGTCTCCCTAAGTTTCTGACCATTTTCACAGAATCAGATAAAACTCCTTCAAGACCATCCAGCCGCCCCATGTGATGGTCCAGGGCAGCCAGGGTTATCTGTATATGATTCTCCTTCATGTTGATATCATCCAAGCGCAGAGAGATGTTCTCAATCCTAAACACAGGGACAGTTGATTTAGAAGATTTAAAAAATATTATTTTAGTGCTGATAAACATAAAAGGTTTAAACCAATGTGTGTTGAGTTTCAAAGTCAACCAACTTCTACATTTAAGGCAATGGTTTTCTTAAATATTAGATGAAAAATAATAAAGATAAAAAACTGGATAGATATAAATTATGTAAAACTATGTTTTTGTCCATCCAAAAAAAAAATAGATACAATTAGACATGTAAATTTTAGTTAGAGTAAAGCATTAGGTAACCTTTCAGTTATAAATTTCAATCTCTCTTCAGAAGAGTTCTGGTGTTTCAGGTCCTTCTCTCTGTACAAATCCTCCATACATTCTTCTTCAAAATCATGAAGTTTTTCTGTATCCTCATGTGACAAGAAAAGCTCTGAAAATATAGGTTAAGTATAATTAAGTCAAAATAATGATATAAAGAATATAATTTTATTAAAAAAGCATGTTTAACAAAAAGTAACCAATGTAAAATAATATTTTAAAATTCTTAAAATCTGAATAAACTAATAATTCTTTTAATGACTTACTTAAACCATTATCATAGAAGTCCCTCTTCCCTTTGCATCTGCGTTTGATGTACTTGTAGGCCAGGAAAATGTGGGTGATGAGGATGAAGGGAGGTGGTAAAATAGGCCTCATCTCATACTTGAGTATAAGAGCATAGCGCTGGAACATCCAGATCTCTTTGGAGTTGGCATTGTTAATGATAAAGGTGGCACTGCAGATAGAGTCAGGGAATAAAGTGAATGCTATACCATAAAAAAATGATAAAGTTAAGTTACATCTCCCATGTTACAACAACAAAATATTTTACAAAAAATAAACTAGATGTACTAATTGTTTGAGGTGTAGAAAGTGACTTACTTGAATCTAGCAATTAGTAAATTAACCATCAGTATGTTAGCCACCAGCATGAAGATAGTCATACATGCAGGTGCAAGCCATGATGCATGTACATTGCAGGATCCATCTGGGTTGCGATTAGCCTCAAGGTCACATGCTAACAGGTGAAAATAAATTTTTTTTTTAAAATAATGTTTTCATATTTTATTTTAGTGTATTTGTTTTATTATATTTTTTTAAATGTAAATGAATTTGAATTAAAATGGTATAAAAGGAATGAATGACTTGAAATGTCGTTAAACTCACGATCAATTTCCTCCGCAAAGAGTTCTCCATAAATATTCCAATATGGATAATACCAAATATTCCGCAGACGTAAAGCCCATGACACTTCTTTATTTTGATAGAGAACAGTTTGCCTAACAATTCCATAACTTGTCACAGGAATAAACAAGATTGTAAGAAAGTAACACATATCCCGCAACTGTGGAAATAAAATTCATTATATTCAGAAAACATTCATTCTATTAATAATATCAACACAAGAATTCTGAGACCAGTAATTAGTAATATATAATAAGTAAAGTAATATATACTAAATTAGTTTTAGTGTTTCACTAGTGAAGTAAAAAAAGAAGATACAAATAGACTATTCAGCAACTGCAAATAATCACAAAATTGTTTAAAAACTAATAGAATATTATTTACCAATTTTCCCATAATTTTAACAAATGGTCCCAAATATTTATGGACAGAATAAATCTCCAGGATTCTAATATTCCAGAAGATGATGTCCACACAGTAAATCAGCTGAGCATCATTCAGTGTGGCAGGAATAAAACGCATGACAACGCCAACCGCAAAGAGACCTATGCCAACAGTGTCCAGAACATTCCACACATTAGAGATATAGACACTCAGCTTCATGATAATGTTGACAGGTTCTGAGGCAATTATCTGAAAATTATAGCAACAAATTGCTTGTGCTAATACTGAATATAATATTAGAAGAATAGTAATTAACGAGCAAATATAAAAGAAATTTTATAAAAAGAAAATCATCACAAAAATTCATTCTAATATGCTGATATATTTTTTTTTAAATAAATATAAAAACCTTTATTATGAGGAGTTTTAAAATGCACTAAAAAACTAAACCGGAACAATGTTTTTTTCTTTAGTGATAATGTTGGTTGCTCATCAAATCTCTGACACAATTAGCAACCAAAACTTTTACTATTTTTATTTCCTTTAAAAACTTGATTTTATAACGGTTTTTATATTTATTTTATTTTATACAAATAAGTAATTAGAATTTTTTTTAAATGGAAATACTAGGTTGATATTTACATTTTTTTTAAATGTATTTTTTCCATCTGTTTATTCTTAATTAAGTTGATACCACCAACAACAAAAAATAAAAAAGCTTTAAACTCAAAAAGTAAAACTGTAACTAAAAAAAAAAGTAACTGTAAATAAAAATTTAAATTAGAGTCCATAGTCAAGTTTGACGTTTGAAAACATCAGCGAATACAGATCACCTGTAAAAGTAAAGTTCCCTTTTCAAACCTGACAGTCTATGGGGGCAAGTGAGGTAGAGTTCACTTGTTTCTGTGACCTCTGCATATGAAGAGATAGTGTGGTCAGCACTATGCCCAACCGCCTTTACTTTCCCTAACGTGAGTTAGGTACCCATCAGAGATGCATGGACTCAGGGACGGTCTACTGACTTGAACCTGGATTCAAACTCAAGACTTACGGGTTAGTATTCCACTCTGTCCCATACAGATCATTTGACTGATTGAGTAATTGCAAACAATTACTCTTGTTATCTTCCCTTATTATAAAAAACCAATTCAGATCTGACTTCATAATAAATTAAATTGAAATTGTGATAATCTTGCTTGCCATCAAAAACAAATTTATATGGGAAGTTTGTAAGAAATCACTACAGAAAGAAATCAAAATTGAGAAACAATATTAAACATCCACAATTTGACATGAACTTAGAACAAAGTGTAAATATTAGTACTAACTTCTCTGACTTTCTCAGCTGCTAATGTGAACATAAATGCAATAACATAGACTTCTGCCCAGGTAGGTACAGTCTTGAGACGGTCAATAATGACATAGATGTAGAGGCTTAAGAATAACAGGTAACCAAGCTGAAAAAAAATATTTAAAATTTAAACGTATATGTATATATATTGATCTTGTGGTCAGTGCAATGTCCAGCTAAGTATCACTTCTCCAGCATACATAAAACTTAATAACTTAAAATTGCAAAAGTTTATTCTGAATTATATGTAAGTATAGACTTGTATCATCTTGACTAACCTAATTCTAAATGAATGAAATAGATGTAATGTGTACATACTAGTCTAGCCCACCCACCCTTACTTACAGCATTTGACCAGAATTTTGTAATGGGAGCATTGTAGAACTCATAGACCTTCTTCCCCATCCTGAGTGGACTTTTCTTCTTGTGGAAGGGGTTGTGTGAAAACATGCTGGAGTCCAATGTCATATTGTTGTCTTCAGTGTATACAGGTGTTCCATTTTCTTTGGCAGGAATTTGTGTGTTGTTGGAAGAAATGGGTTCTGTGGGATCCTCATTACAGTTCCCATCCTCAGCCTAAAAAAAAAATCAATATTCATTTTATTTTTAAGTTTTTTTATTTATCTTTAGTTACAGTTCTCACTTTCAGCTTAATGGATCAATATTTATTTTATTTCTACATTTTTTTTTTATTAAATTAATTTTTTTATTACAATTCTTTTTCTAGGTCTAATAAAATTATTTTTTTTAACTTGCACAAGATTTAAGCTTTAAAGAGAATATTTTAAAAAAAACAAATAGTTTTTAGCTTGTTTTCATTTTCCTCATTGCAAATTTACTTCCAAATAAAGTATGTATAAACTGCATGGAAATTACAAAGACCACTGCATAAAGCTTTGTGAAATGTATTAATAAAATCTGTTTTATGGGCAAGTTAATCACCTGGTCCTCTTCACTGAAAGAAACATCAGCCACACTGGCAGCATCCTCCAGCTCGTCCAGATGTTCTTCCATTGTCTGTGGCATCAGCTGGAGCTCTTCCTTTGATTTAAAGTCCAACACAAAAAGATAGGGCGGGAAGATTATACCCAGAATCACCTGTAAATAAATACACAAGAATATTTTACATGAACTAAACAATGAAGTATAGAGTTTTAAAATACTTCTTTCATGATACCCGTTCATAAGTTATGTAGCAATACTCGATGTTAATTGACTGTTACGATTTTTATTTTATTTTTGTTCTGTATAAAAATTGTAGCAATCCTACCTTGAGTGTTGAGTTTTTTCTCATGCGGAGACCTCCTATCCACAGATCGTTGAGCAGCATCTGACAACAGGTATGTGCAATGAACTTTCTATGATTTGCCATCACAGCAAGGCTCAGACATGTCTGTTCACTGAAGTTCTTCAGCTCATAGGTCAGCAGCTGCTGTGTGTAGTCATCATCAATCTTGTAGCAATGGCCCAGCAACTCCAAGGCCAGGCCTAGAAATTCACTGTGGATAACAATATTTGTAACTCTAAACATACATGTGTTTAAATTTACTTTGTTGGCAGTTGTATATCAGAAACTAAAATCCAACTAAAATATTAAAAAAAGAAACTTACTCTGCATAGTGTTGGAACTCTTCAGTCAATTCTATTTCTAAATCATCTTGTTCAGCTTCATGAGCCATTGCTGCATACAGTTTACCAGCTATCAAAGCCTGCAGGGATGGGATATTAGAAATATTTTCTTTCATTGTACTAACTTACTTAGTAAACAAACAAGATTTGAATACAAAATATTCTTGAGATGGAAAAGTTACATACCTTAGCTAGAGCCTCCTCCCCATGCTGCCACATGAAGAGAGCCATTTTTTGTCTCTTCATGAGGACAGCCCAGATCATGAGATCATGGAATGGATATGGGAACAGTTCTTCTGCTTGCTTGGTGTTGAGGATGTGAGGTACTTTTGTCACTATGTTACTGACTGAAGTCCCCTAGGAGAACAGTACCATACATAAATAACAGAATATAACTGTAGATTGTATATTTATATAATAAAAACTCATTGATAAATATGACATTGATTAAGAAATTTGGAACTGATTTTTTAAGTATTGGTTTGGTTATTTTACTACTTATTATAAAAAAAATTAATTATCAATTTGAGAAGCTTTAAAATTGTTAAGTTTCAAAGTAAGAGAAATTTTTGTAATTTTACGTTAAAAAAGAAATTTAAATAACAGACAGACAAATATACTTGTGAAAATATATATTAAACATTCAAATAAAATGAAACAAACACTTAAGTGCAGAGAAAAAACTTTTAAATATGTTATTTCAAGCCAACTTAAATAATCAATTAAAGTGTTGCCACCCAATCCCCCCCCTCTTTCAAATTGCTCTCCCTTGTCCTTAAGATATTTTTACTTGACTTCCTAACTGTAACATTTTTGTGTAAATCAGACAAAAACAAACAGTGAAAGTCATTTAAACACTAAAGCATTTAAATTCCATCTGGTATATAACTCTGGTGCACACAAAAAAAAGCTGATGTGCTATTTAAAATAATTTTGAAAATCTTTTTTGAAAAAACAAAATTAGTCGTAGAATTTTAAAAAGTTATAATTTATGTTCCTGATGATTCCCAAAATTCATTTCTTTATAAACTCCAACAATTATTACTAGATCTTAAGTGGGCAATATCTCAACCTATATTTATTAAAAGTTGAAATTACTAGTTCAAGTTACTCATTATAAATTACACTAATAGTTTTGACTTGTAACAACATTTACTTTGAGAAATTTGTAACAGGGTGAAAACAGTATATAAACTATTATTTATTATTAGCTATATATTTTCTGTATATTTCAAAATTGAAAAATTTTGGCAAGTATGTATAAAGCCTTAATAAATGCAACACAATGCTTTGACTGTAGTTTGAAAGTTTAATGCTAATGTAATAAATAAATAAGAATAAAGGCAAATGAGTATATGGAAATAGCCATTAAATAGTGTCTTCCTTTTTATCAAAGCTGTATTTTTGCATATTTTGTTTCTAATTACAATATGAGCTTTCTATATATCTTTCCCTAAGGCTACACAAGTGCAGTATAACACCATAAACTGTACAAATTCATAAATACATTGGAATTTTAAACAACAAAATAGAAACAAGATATAACATTTTTTAAAGAAACACATTTTTATGAATTTTTGTTATCATGGATTTTTATTAATAGCTTTTATTTTTAAGATTCAAAAGTATTCTTTAAAAATAGTTTTAAATGAAAAACAGGCAGGAAATTAGTTACAACTTTTAGCTTTCAATGTTGTACAGAGATATAAATATTTGGCCAATTTTTAAATGTATATTCATACCATGATTCTAAATAAAAGATTATTTTATTCTTCAGCCAATCCACTAATCATCTGTATTTAGAAAAAAATACAAAAAATAACAGATGTAACAAGAAAACTGAAATACCTAGAAGCATTTTTTTTTGTTATGGGCAATCAATAAAATATATCCCCTACAACTTAAGTTAGCTTCTGTTATTTTTGCGAAAATGTAATCACTATAGATAAGCTAAGAATTTTTAAAAATCTCATCAGATTTTAAAGAGTTGGCTAATGAAGGAATAAAAAAATAATCCAAAATCAAAGCAATCTTGTCTTTCTGAGAAAAGTCAGGAAAAAGTTATTTTTAATGGCTATTTTTGCTTTCAGGTACGGCGCATCAATGAAGCTTACATTCCTTTTAAATCCTAATGCAATAATAACTGAAAAATTAATATGAATCTGTTAGGTTTTTTTGGGTTAAAAATTGTTTATATAAAGTAAATACAACAAGTTTTCAACACGCAAGACTGACTTCATCATTCGGAGTGAAAAATACCACACAAGAAGAAGTAATCAATCTAAAAGAGAAACCTACATGCAATAACTACGTGTTGCGAGAAAAAGAGAAATAAAGAAAAGCTGAAATATCTAAAACTTATTTTAATCAATCAATTTGAAATGGCTAACATATATTAAAAAGCAAATAAGAATGTGGTAAAAACATCAGCTAAACAAAAATCTCAATTTAATTATTTTTAAAATTAGCTAAGAAAAGTTTACTAGATGTTTCAGTTATTCAACAAAGATTCTGTAGATCTAATTTTTTTTCTCTCCTTCAACCATGACTGAATGTTACATATATCTTAAGTTTTCTTAACAACAGATTTTTGTGTCTGATATACATCATATGAAATTGTTTGTAATTTTAAAGAATAGAAAATAGGACACTAAAATGTGCAGCACTGAGTTTAAGAAATTCAAAAAAACATTTAAATCAGTGTTATAAATGAAAAACGTTTTTAAAAATCACACGATATAAAATTAAGTTTAGACCTGAAGTCTCAATTAGAAAGTAAAAAAAAAGTATAGGACTGTGTGGCCAAGTGGTAGAGCATATGTCTGCCAATGTGAAATGATCTCAGATTGGAGGATATTCTAAGGTCCACACAAATGATGGAGGAAAAGGTAAATAACCATTGTGCTACTATCATCTCTACATGTCACCAAATGAACTCTACTTCATCTGCCTTCTGTAGTACTTTACTTATAATAAAATAAAAACAACAAAATAGAATTCTCATCCGAATTCAAAAAGTTTTTAATTTGTCTTATTATTGTATTTGTATTGTAAAATGTGATGAAGAATTAAGATGTAAACATCGTCTCCAGGTTCTAAATCTGTATATATCGTGTCTCTAACATTTATAGACTGCAATTATTTTTAAATTATCAAGATCTAAAACTAAATTTTGCTAATCTAAATAATAAACACAAGTTAACTTACTATATGTTTCAAGGCTTGATATTTTTGTCTGAATTGTTTACGACAATATGATGACCTAAAGCCTCCACTCATAAGCAGCTGTAACACCAAGCCTATATCAGGCAGTGTATAGCGGTAGTTGAATGGAATATGCTGGGAAAAAATACATACAGGCATAACATACATATTTCTTCAAAAAACAAATTTGATTTTAAAATTCTCAATATATTGAAAATTTGCAACATAAATACTTAATATTTTATTTTAAGGCTGTTGTTAGATTTTGGGGTATGGATTTTGTTTTAAAATGCTAGAGATAGTTGGGTTGAGAGTTGAGTGAACCCTCATATTTTTGTCATCAAGTGTGGTATAAACATGGGTACAGTTATCAGCAAATTATAGTTTTTGACCAACCTTTTTAACGTCAGCAATCAAATAGCGAAGAGAATTGGACGGACATTGGCGCTGTAAAGTATCAAAAAAGAATACATCAGAAAGACTATATAAAAAAATCAAACACATTTTTTTAATTGTTAATATTGAACCGTCAATTGTGAAGGGTTCTGGTTCTTATAAGTCAAAAACCAAAATGAGTTTTAAAAATATGTAGAATCTAGAGTGAATTGCTGATATTCTTTACTAAGCTAAACAAAATTTTTATTAACATTCCAAATAACACTATGATTTGATCAATTGTTCCATACATCAAATGAGCATATATACATCATGATAGACTTAGTTAACTGTGTTCTACATTGTAGTTTTTTATATGCCATTCTAAAATTCATTTCTATGTATAGAAATCAGCATTATCTCATTATTCTGAGTTCAACATTTGTTTACAGTGTAAAAATGTTAGTATGAATTAAATAAAACATAAGTTTAATCAAAATGTTACTGACAGCGTTATAAAGGTCTTCAAGCCTGGGTATAGTGAGGAAAGTGTGCATGCTGACTCCATTCTCTAACAAAAGCTTCACAAAATCCACCCGGTCATTGATCAGTGCATCCATCATGGCTACCTCCAGTGCTCCTTCCTACAAAAACAAAAAATAATTCTGCCATTTTAAGAACTGAAATTGTCTCAAGTAAAATCAAAATAAACATTTGGCCATATAAATGTCAATTGAAATAATCAGAGGACTAAATGAATACTTACTGGCCACTCTTGCCCATAGACAAATATATGACTTCTTGCTATATCCACTCTATCCCAGGTCAAAGCTAGATTCAACTGGTCCACAGCACTGGCAGTTGTGCCTGAAAAGGGGAGGAAGTTTTTTAAGTTATCAAAAAAATATATAACTATTCTTTACTAAACAATAACATTTTATAAACTATTTAAAAATAGTGTACTTTATTACACCACATTTACACAAGATGTCTAGAAAAAAGTTAATGTTATATAAAAACAGTTTTTACATGGAACATGTATACTTACAACATGTATACATGTCGCAAATGTAATCGAGTGTTATAACTAACCTTTGAGAAGGGCAGTGAGAATAGCTAAATCGATATCTTTGCTATCTTCCCTGTCACCCATTCTGAACACAGTTATCTAAACAAGTGAAGAAAAGAACAATAATTGGAATTCAAAATGACTGAAAAACTGTAAGTAGGATAAGTAATATTAAAGTGGATCATTTTAGATTAGGGATGAACCATACATGTCACGCTTATATCACTATAGTTGATCATAAAATATTACATTTCAGCTCTCAAAGTTGTAGTAATTTTTTTAAACGGGAAATTAGATTTGTTAATTCATTTTTAATTGTGACACCCCCCCACCCCCCACACACACCACCACCAAACCTCAGAGTATTACAACATTTATGGACAATCCCTAATGTTGTCTACTACAATGACAATTTTTGAGAAACATCTAATTTCTTCTGAGCTGCCGATATTCAAAGATAAGGCCAATATTTTAAAAATATTCCATTAAACTTGTATAACTGTTTCATACCAATTCTTTTTTCTTGACACACAGCATCAGCTCAATAAAAAGTTTCTCTGCCTGTTCTTGTGAGTACATGAAAGTTCTTTGAATTGTCAGGGTTAGTTGGTCTCTAAGTGATTCAGGCATGGTGCTAAGAAGAAGGGTAAACACATTTTTGTTTTAAAAACAGATTATTGGCATAGCACAAGCAGAACATATTCTTATACTGAGAATAAAAATTGTCAGCTGAAGTATAAAAAAAATATATATGAAGGCTGCAATCAGTTGTATAGCTCTAGTATATGACAAACAGAACATTTCATATGGCAGTTAACTGCACCATCAATGATGACTGTATATCCACATATTAATTTGGCCTGGTAAAACCCTGCTACTATAATGTAAATCACCATGAAAAAGAACCTACCCATCATCCATGGTGTATTTGTGAGTGAAAGCTAATAGATCAGCAGCCCTGCCACTCCCATCACATACAACCACAGGTACAGGGGGAGTGTCTGTGACATACTCCAGCACAGAGCGGATTGTGTTGGCGCCACCTTCTAGAACTACACAGATCACTGGCACACCATGACCACGGAAGTCATTGCCTAGATTTTTTTTAAAAAGAAAAACGTAAATAAAAATTATTTTTTTTTAAATTTTCTTTGTAAGTATAAATTAAAAAACTGGTTTCTCTTAAATAATGATTAAATACAGCTAAGCCTTTTAACTTTAAATGGAATACCTAAGTTTTAACAAGTAACCCAGAAATCGAATTAAAAATACATTTTAATTTACAACTTACCTATACGAATTTTCTGTTGAGCAATATACTTTTCAAACTTTTTCCGGAAAAGAATTTCCCCACCATATTTTCCAACAGTGCCATTGTCTACTAATACAAAGTAGGAATGATTGCTGTTGAGAACTGAGGAATTTGTTTTGGCGGATGAAACACAGTGGTAAGGGACGACTTTCTGAAAATACAAATATATTACTAAATCAACATATTGTCAATTAAGATTTCCTATAACTTTCAATTAAAAATAAGTTTTCATATACATAAATCAACATTAAAAGTGCAGAGTGTTAAATACAGACAAAAAGTTAGTACAAATTAAGAACAAACTACTAACATCTTTCCCAACCAGTGCTTCTTTGTTTTCAACTATTCCCCATGGTGTGATACCAATAGCCACTACTTTGTTGCGAGCCTTAGTTGTGCGATCACTAATTGCATCGCCAACATGCTTTGTAACACCTGTCAAAAATTAACAATTTATGAAGTTATATTCCAAATCATACTCTGATAAATATAAACCTATATCAAAAGGATTTTGAAATTAAACATTTGTATAATATTAGTTAAAATAAATAAAACAATCTGTTTAGCATTAGTTAATCATAATTGCTTCATTCCATGAAGTAATTGTAGCAGACTTTAAAGATTACATTTAACTAACTACACCGTATCAAATGTAAAGACCTGTATTTGTGCCATTGGTGACAATCCATGCTCCAGTTGTTCTAGCTGCTTTAAGTAAACCTTTTCTAAAAACCCTCTTCAGCTTGGGTTGGAGGTCAAAGTTCAAAATTCCCCCATGTACTGTTATAAGAAGCTTGGGAAGATCTAGACCCCAGTGCTGTTGAGATTTGGGATTAATTTTTAAAAAAAATTTTTTTTAATGCGTTCAATTAATATTTCTTTTAAAAAACATTTGTCTTTGAACTTTTTATTTAAGTTCAGCTTTTAAGTTTACAATATTAAAAATCAAACAGGTTACTATGAACTATACTGATATTGGGTTTTATCTTTAGGAAAAAGCTCTGAACTTTACCTTCAACAGTAAAGCCAGGACATTCTCTTGTCTTGTATCCAGGCTACTTAGCCGAATGTATTGAGCCTTGCTTGGGTGGGGTCCACCTTGAAATTCAATAGTTCCAAAAGCATCAGTTGTGTGTTGTTCTGTGTGTCTGAAAGGATGCCACTTCTCTTCATTGCCATGATGTGGATCAGCCCTACGGGCTCCATTTTGTAAATGCCAGTTTTCATTTCGGCCGCAAGCACATCTGTGAGCAAAGTTCATCAGATAAAGAGTTGATGGGTGAAATAATTGCCGTTTATGAAGTAAACAGTTTTCCTAGGCAATGGGAAAAAGTGGGCTTAAACTAAACAAACGTTACATTAAAAACATCAAGACTACTAACATCATTTTTTTTAAATACTGAGTAATTGTATCTCTATTCAAGTTTTATTAATGTAAACAAAAGCAAAATCTAAACAATGGAGTGGGTTAGCAGGCAATTAAAATATGTAGATGGGTCCCTGTACCTATAGGGATCACGAAGACTTGGAATAAATTTGATACATTCACGCCTTTGGAAAGTTTTCTCTATCCACGATCTCTGACTCTGAAATGAGAAAACGTTACACAGCTTTAAGAAAATGTTACACACAGCTTTAAGAAAATGTTACACACAGCTTTAAGAAAATGTTACACAGCTTTAAGAAAATATTACACAGCTTTAAGAAAATGTTACACAGCTTTAAGAAAATGTTACACAGCTTTAAGAAAATATTACACAGCTTTAAGAAAATGTTACACAGCTTTAAGAAAATGTTACACAGCTTTAAGAAAATATTACACAGCTTTAAGAAAATGTTACACAGCTTTAAGAAAATGTTACACACAGCTTTAAGAAAATGTTACACAGCTTTAAGAAAATGTTACACAGCTTTAAGAAAATGTTACACAGCTTTAAGAAAATGTTACACAGCTTTAAGAAAATGTTACACAGCTTTAAGAAAATATTACACAGCTTTAAGAAAATGTTACACAGCTTTAAGAAAATGTTACACACAGCTTTAAGAGAATGTTACACAGCTTTAAGAAAATGTTACACAGCTTTAAGAAAATATTACACACAGCTTTAAGAAAATATTACACAGCTTTAAGAAAACGTTACACAGCTTTAAGAAAATGTTACACACAGCTTTAAGAAAATGTTACACAGCTTTAAGAAAACGTTACACAGCTTTAAGAAAATGTTACACACAGCTTTAACTTGTGAGTAGTAAGTGTAACAAGACAGGTAGTGTTAGACACCAACAATAACTGTCCAAATAAATAATGTAAACTTCTTTACATGTAGAAACTTATTTTTTTATAAATAAAATACCAAAACGTTAAAATAAAGTTTCTTTAGATTTTCAGTGTTGATTGTTGTCTGTTTCTAATAGCATTGTTTTGTCTTACCAAAATATTTTGTACCTTTGTGTGTTGATTTTTACCTGCAAGATCTAAAGTTCCATTTCTGGTCATGTTTATAAATATAAATATTATAGAAAGGAGATAGGTTTCTTTGGATTCAGACAATATGTGTTTATGCACATCAGTCTAAAATATACTTCTGATTATTTTTTAATTAAAATACAATAGAGAAAAAAAAATTAAAAGATTTTAACTCAAAGTTTTTTCTGATGCAACATAGAAAAAATATATACATTTATATGCAACGTAATGAATTAATGTGAAAAAAAGAATGCATATAGGTATAATCGAATAATGCATGAGAAATACATAGAAGTTTGAGTATTCGATAGTACAGAAATTCACTATCACCAGAGTAATGTTTCATGCAGGTAAATGTTTGTAAAACCTGATAGAATACATTAGTTGAAGAGAAATATAATTCAGCCACCACCAACCAATAGCTACATATACAGATGTGTTTACCCACTGTAAACTCGGACTCCCAGTCATAGCAGTTTATCAGCATAGTCCTAGACAGTCCCTACAGGACTAACCTAAAACACTAGAGTGATCAGGGTACACAGACATTTACACACAAGTCAGCCACACAAGTGGCCTCCATACAATAGGTCTACTCATGCTCAGTGGGACAGATTTTAGTGATAGGAATCATTTGTTTTAGCTTCTCCCCTCTCTCCTGTATTGAGGACAGCACAGGGTCACAGACTGCTGGGATATGTGGGCTTAACTAATGACACTACAGGTTAGTTTATTAGGGTGAAACTAATTTATATATATATAAATACCATCACTATTTATAGATTACTGACTAACCTGTAGACACAAGACACTGATCAAATAAAATGTACAGCATTCAAAACAGGAAAGTTATAGAATCTAACCTTGGTTAAAATAAAAGTACAAGAAATTTATTGCTAGAGATTAGATACAATGGGTTATATGTTGTTAAACACTTAGGTCTGAAGTGAAGGTCATTCAAGTGTAAGTGATAAAAAAGAAAAAAAACATCCAGTGGCTACAAGTACAGGTTAATATTTAGGGAGTGTCCAATATTAATATCAAACAATGGCCTAAATTCTAAATACTTAGGGAGTGTCCAATATTAATATCAAACAATGGCCTAAATTCTAAGTCATAAGATGTTATCATACAGGTTAAAATTAGTATATGGATATAGCACTGTACTATTTCTCAACAGCCCCCACGTGGTTATTACATGTCATGCGGTATTTATAGACAGTTCAAGGTGGGTTAACTCAGGGAGACATTCGTTCACGTGGTGCTAGTCTGCCGTTGGTACAGATTAAGGTGTTAATTCCTGGCAGGTTAGAAGAGAACGGTCACGATACGGGAGAGCCGGAGAAATTACCACGTCTATGGTGAAGACTTTGGATGCCATGCTACTGCGTACGGCGGCTGGTGAACTGTGGGGCGAGCCCGGTGGTCTGTGGCCATGGGTCACTCCGTTCCTTTCCCGTCTGCGCCAGTCAAAGCGGGATACCGGGCAGTCGGGGCTGCTGCCGGCCGAGCAGGTGACGGGTGTCTTGGTGTGGTCACCATTGAGTAACTTGGGGCTGCTGGCGCTTGGTGAATTGGGCTGAGATGTGGAGAAATGTGTCGTAATTAAGGCGGTAGTGAGCAGGATGTCATTCACCACTGGCTGTAACTTCACACACTATAAGTTTATGCAGCAAGCCAAAAATAAAATGGCCCACACTAATAGCCAGTGTATCAAGCCAAAACATGAATAGTTAAAAATCAAAAGTTAAATGTTTATGATTTTATTTTTATAAAATGCAACTAATATCCATGCTCCATAATACATTTGCGATAGAATAAAACACGTTAAATAAATATGTTAAATTAGTGCACATAAAAAATCTACTGCAAATATTTTTTAAAAATGTTAAAATGATTTTAGTAAAGAAATATATATTGTTAAAAAAATCAAAATTGAACCGTCTGAAGCGTACTTTAACATAGGCTACATTTAATTTAAATCGTAACGAAGTTTCGACTTTCATTCATTCGAGTCAAACAGCCGGATATGTGCGGCACCAATAGAACTGCACGTGGTTTACTCGGTCAATGAACCAAAATTTCACTCCACCCTCCGGTGACCTACAAATGAACAGGAAGACGACAGGTCGGCTGGCGATTGTGAGGAGCCTTAGACACAACAATCAATGCCCCCAAAACACAAACACTCAACAGAAGAGTGCTGCTCAGATCTCGATCAAACTGGTTTCAGCTCAATGTTAGTATTTGACCGCTATTTTTGGATTATACTCGGGACGAAAGATTTTTTTTCACGTAAAAGTGCATAGCGGGTTTTTATTTTAATTTTAGTTCTATTCTTACAAGGTGTGAATATATTTTAAGACTCCAAGAAAAAAAAAACCTAATAGGCCTACACTGTACAGTGAAAAAAAAATACTAAACAGCGAATATACCTAAAAGCACGTACTTAGGGGCCGTTCATAAATGACGTCACACTCGTAGGGGGGAGGGGGTCCGTAATTTTGTGACGGTGTAATGAGGGGAGGGGAGGAGGGGGGAGGGTTCAGATGGTGTGACCAGAGTTTCTTCCAGGCATCTCTTCGGGGGGGCAAAGCCCCCCCGAAAAAATTTTACCGCCCCCCCGAACGAAATGAAATTTATATAATTTATATAGAAAATATATACTTTTAACAGTGTCCGCCCCCCGAAGAAAGTTTACCGCCCCCCCGAAGATTTCAAGTGCCCCCCCGGAGAAAAAAGTCTGGAAGAAACACTGGGTGTGACGTCATACTTTTACATTATAAAAAAGCAATGTTAGAAATAGAATTTTAGCCGTTATTTCAAGTTTTAGAAAACGGTTTTAATAAATTGCAATAGGAATTTATCAAAATACTCTATGTTGACAGAGTTCTGACAAGATTTGGGAAAAATATCAATACTTTAAGAAAAATTCAACAGCTATTTTGAGGGGGGGGTGGGGTGTTGGCTGAGGTGTGACGTCATTTTGGGGGGGGGGGGTCTGGCTTTTTGTGACGACGTATGAAGGAGGGGAGGGGGGAGGTAAAAATCGTCCAAAACAAAGTGTGACGTCATTTATGGATGATCACTAAGCAGTGTTTCTTCCAGACTTTTTTCTCCGGGGGGGGGGGGGGGGCGGGCACTTGAAATTTTCGGGGAGGGGCGGTAGACTTTCTTCGGGGGGGGGGGGGGGGACGACACACACTGTTAAACGTATATATTTTCTATATAAATTATACAAATTTCATTTCGTTCGGGGGGGGGGGGGGGGGGGGGGCGGTAAAAAAATTTACCCCCCCCCCCCCCCCCCCCCCCCCGAAGAGATGCCTGGAAGAAACTCTGTCACTAAGTAAAATGGAAAAAACACTACTGGCTATTAGTTATTATTAACAACGCCACTTTGAGGAATTCCTTATTATATTGTTATAATAGGTACCTTTACTATAACCTGGGCGGGACAAGAAGGAGGTCTCATTCCACTTAAGCCAAGGTATCGAGAAAAGATTAAATCAAAATAATCGTCGGCGAACTTCATAATTAATGAGGACCTATGAATTATGCGGTCAATTAATTGAGTCATCAGATGGCGAGTACAGATTATCCAAAGAAAACTTCGGGTTGGGAAAAACGTAATGACCTCCCCTGCTAATTAAATCTAGACGCCTTCCATCACTGAAGTGCAGCAACATCCAGATGGTTACATACATGACAAACACCAACCCGTTGTATCACAATTTGGGGTCTTAGAACAAAACCCGACTTGACCAAATACGAAGGAATACAACTATCGTCTTGTTGCATATGCAGTAAGCAAGCCTTAGCACGCGTGCATTGAAATGCATTTAAAATGCTATAATATACAGTGACTATGAAGAGACGGATTGTCCCTTAGAGGTACCTGTTTGATTCATGCCGCTAAGTAAACATCGCGTGGTTGCTGAACACTGGTTTATGGTGCATCGTATCGATTGAGATCCAAGCTTGAGATTCAACGCTTTTATCGATACACTTTCAAGATGTAATAAAAAAATCAGCATGACCAGTATTTAACTAGCTCACACAAACACACAGCGAATTAAAGAAGTATGTGTACACTCGCGTACACAAACACACACACACAAAGAATTAAACAAAGAAGTATATGTACACTCGCGTACACAAACACACACACACAAAGAATTAAAGAAGTATGTGTACACTCGCGTACACACACACAACGAATTAAAGAAGTATGTGTACAGTGTACACTCGCGCACAGAAACACACACAAAGAAATAAACACTGTAGTACATGTGCACTCGCGTACGCACACAAATAAACAAAGATGGTGTGTACACTTGTATACACAAACACACACAAAGAAATAAACAAGGGAAAGCGTGTTCACGAAAAAGAGCTCTGTTGTGTTGCAACAGAGACATTATATAAGACAGGATAAAGTGGGTGAAAGTGAATGAGTCGGTGTGCTGATAGTGTAAGGCTTGGTAAATAATGGTCTGAGCGGTGGGCCTAAAACATAAGTATTAAACCACTTAACTCTGTATTTACACACAACCATGTGTGTATATGTGTATGTATACGTATATTACTATGTTATTTCAGTAAACATCAAGCATCGTAAGATTTACCCGAGTTTGGATAATATCCCCTCCACCATTAACCTAACCCCCCACCCCCTCCACAAAAAAATCGATCACTCGGAAAAGTTTAGAATAAGCATATTCCTCCCAATAATATCATAACCCAAACCCTGACCATAGCGTTAACATTACCTTACGGTTAGGTTTAGTGTTAGTAGGCCTATATAAGGTTTAGGGTATGAGACGGTGTGGTTGGGCAGGAGAACGTATGATTGCTGAAAGTCCCGAGTTCAAACCCCGGCCAGACTACGCTCGTTAGCTGGGGACAAATCCCCATCTAGGAGAGTAAACTCCAAAGGGAGAATGGATCGGAGAAGTGGGGGGGGGGGGGGGGGAGAAGTGGGGGGGGGGGAGGAATTGACAGGGGGCCAATGTCCTACTCCCGAAGTCCCTAGCTGTAACGCCAAACCATTACCAAAAAGTTGAGTCACAGTATGAACAGCCACTCACGTTGAAAACAACTAAGAATACCAGACATTAACCGGAGTTTATTACCAAGCCTTTGTGGACACGATATGCTGCAGTTATGCTTGTAGCGCTACCCGGCTTTGTTGTTCTAAGCAGACAGTGTTAACTTCATTTACTCAGTCAAGTGTGGCCTAGGCCTAGCTTAGCGTATAGCCCATATACTTCTGTAGTTTTTGCTCATGTAATTATGACACTAACGTTGATTGGGTTAAGAATGTGTTCAGGCAAAATCAGGCTTATTTACCGTACGTTCATTTTTTACTCACTCGAAAACGGAGTATGGAGGCAGTATTGTAATCGTGCAAAATATCAAAATCGAGATTTTCAAAAATCTCGACGTTTTACAACCCCCCCCCCCCCTCCGAGTCGGAAAAACTTTGCAATTTTGTCTGTACGTCTGTGTCTGTGTGAGTGTGTGTGTCTGTCTGTGAACACATTAACTTAAGACAGGTTTATATTTATCAGTCTTAAGAAAAAAGGAAATCCAGTAGCCCGGTCTTTGCGTCTTCCAACAGCCTTGTGTGTAAGGGGCGGGGTGGGCTATATATAACATGCAAGGTCAGCGTAAAATAATTTCTTTGAAAAGTGTGACGTGCGTCATTTTATTGAAGATATATTTTGATAACATCACCCCACCCATACAGTGTACACCTGCTGTGAACATTGGGTCGAAATTTCGTGAAACCAGCGGTCCTCAAGTCGTGTATTTAGCCGTCCTTAAGCCGTCTGTTTAGTCAAACACGGAACGTGTCTAGTCCACTGTAGCTCGTGTTGATGGTGCTTCACAATTTTTTTTACTTCAAATCCATGCTTTGATCATTTAAACAATTATAGACATTGTATTACTGAATAAAAAAGTATATGTAAAAAATATTATACTTTTTTAGATTACAGCCTGCTAGAATTTTTGTCAACGAGCGTGATCTAGAAACGAGAAATGTCTGAATCACATCATGACTATGGGTGGGGGTGGGGAAGGCGGGTGTTATGTCCCTCTCTAGAAAATGCGAAAGCTTTTTTTTTTATTCCCACGTTTTCTTTAACTTGCTTTCGTCTCTGTTTTTCCAATCAAATCTTGCGATCGAAATTTCTGGCACTTCCCAGTTAGCTAGCGCGCTGAAATTTTCAGGGAAGCTTTGTTTTGGATGACAATAGAATATTCAATTGTTATTATTACTAAATTGATCCATGGAAACATTTTATTGAGCATTTTAGAGCGCTATATAATTGTAGTAAAAACATGGGGGAAAAGGGACATAACCCAGTAACAGCCACGCGATGTTTACTTAGCGGCTTTGATGAAAACAAGGTTCGGTACTCTCCCTCTTTGCTTACTGAGTAGTGTTCACGCGGTGTTTGTGTACAAACAACCGTAACAACTGGTGGCCAGTATGGGGGAGACGATATGGTCGAGTGGTTGGGCACACGATTGCTATCCCACTCGACACGGGTTCAAATCTATGTGTTCTAGTCAGTAACGTATTCACGCGACGTGTTTTTTACGAGTTTCTTTTTACGAGTTGTCTTCGTTTACCCAAAAAAAAGTGAAAAGATAAAATCGATAGCAAGATTTTAATGCAAACAAACAGACAAAGACTAAAAAGTGATTTTCTTACAGTTTCTAATACTGTTGACTCTCTACAAGCTCCCTAATAAAAGTCAATAGTATTATCTAATCAATAGTAATATAACTTTTACTTCGGCGCCCCACGTTTTTCATCGCTTATAGTAGAGTGATCGCTTGCATTAATGTGATGTATAGCATTTATTTTCTACTTTTTAGTTCAATCAGAAAACGTGGGTTTTTTTTAAACTTTTTTAATGATTATTATTTTTTTTAAACCTACGAAACATATGCCAATACCTTATACTACAAAATAGATCCGAAAACGTGAGAACCGCCAAGACAAGTCTTCAGGCGGAACGTTTTCCCCCATAAACAAATGTCCCCACATCCGTAATGGCTTTACCGAGGTCGGTAAATGGGCCAGACGAACACGCGAGGAGACCATTCAAATCAATGGAGACAAACCAACCTCAAGCCGTAACTGGTGCGTGAAGTGTTGGGGGGGACCAACAACATGGCTGAAGGCTGTCAACAACTACACACGCACGGTGCCGCACTACACCCATTCGGTGCGCTAAAGCGAGGTTCAACAACAGGTGTCTTTGTAGAAACGTTGGACTTGAAAACATAACACCAAGTGCTGGATCAAAAATTGTAATATTAACTGCGTCTTGACAGGTACAAGGTCAAATTTAATTTCAAATTTTTTTTTCCGACTACATTGGTTCAGCAAGTTTACGATATTAGTTCTTTCCTAGATCATAGGATATTAGTTCTTTCCTAGATCATAGGATATTAGTTCTTTCCTAGATCATAGGATATTAGTTCTTTCCTAGATCATAGGATATTAGTTCTTTCCTAGATCATAGGATATTAGTTCTTTCCTAGATCATAGGATATTAGTTCTTTCCAAGATCAAGCGTCTATGTGAATATGTGTATTATGAACGTGTGTGTGTGGGGGGGGGGAGAGAGTGACGACAGGAGGTCTGACAATGTAATACATCTCATTAATCCATAATTAAACGATATTTTAAATTATAATCAGGTCATATATCTGCCACTAGCATCTGTCTCTGCTCTCTGAATCTACTAATATCGTCAACTTTCATTCATTGCCGCAAGTTTAAGCCATTTTCACTGTCAACCACAAAAGTCATTTTCACTCTTTTAACAAAAATATAGCTATTTTTAACACTCTGTCAAGCACAAAACTAAGCCATTTCAGCTGCTGTCTACCATATTTTGCAGGAAACACGTAAAATAGAAGGAAAAAACAACAGTTTCGGCTATATTTCTAGGAAAAAACAACAGTTTCGGCTATATTTCTTGTCTACGTATTCTCTTGTTCAGATTACAAAAACTACAAAAGACCTGAATTTTTAGTGTGTACACTCTAGACTAGAGAGAGTCACCTGATTAGTGGCCAGCCCTACGACAATCAATTACACGGTGGCTTGACAAATTGTATGACACAATGTGGGTTAATAACTGGGCCTCTGCGTGTCTAATATCTGGGTGGTAAACCACAATCTAAGTGCTAGATATCTTAAAATGTTATGTTGGCCATCCTACATCAGAGTCGCTTTCATGCATCTTTTCTCTACCATATGGAAAATAAGCCTGATCCCTCCTCCACCCCCCCTCAAATTTTGTCCGCCCCTTTTGAAAACTTTTAAGTGCCTCTTTCCCCCCACCCCTCCGGGAAAATAAAATTCTGAAACAAACACTGTACATCGCTAGCCTTGGGAAGTAGTACCCATTTATAGAAGGGTGAGGGTGAAAATGTATCAGAATATGTACTCACCACCTGCCGTGAGAGAGAATGCGATGATGTGCCTTTATTTTGGCTCAATATCAGTGAGGCCGCCATCCCACCGGCTACAGTACACCATCGCTACAAAATGTAAACATACAATCAATACAGGTCAACTATGACATTTTTTTTTGTTGTGGTGTGGGGGTGGACATCGGGAAGGATGAGGGGGGAGCAAAATCCTATTTAATGCAGTTGCACTTAATACTAGTAGGCCTACAAGGACGTTTCAGAATTCTATATTTAAGTGTGCAGAAAACAGTTTGTATAATGAATATCTATATCTAGTAACGTATTGATTAAGGTGACAAACTAGTCAGCGCGTCAGATTGCGGGTCAATACACAACTGAACTGTAAATAAGCCTGTATACTTACATTGGGCCTTCAGGTAAAACTCCAAGGTAAACGGGACAACTGCCAATATTACAGGTATGACCATCCCTAAAGTTCCAGGATCTTATTCAACGGTCAAGAGACGAGAGAGGGGAAAAAATCCGCGATTCACAAGATGCATACGCCCCTGTGTCACCCGCTAGACGAGATAATAGAACTTAAGTCTACGCCCCTGGGCAATGTTCCACATTCAGCTCTGTAGAGAAGAGAAATAAAAAATGCATGAAAATATACAAGGTTTTTAAATTACACGGGTAAAATAATTGAAAATTTGAAGTACATGATTTTATTTATTATCTAAGCATATTGTCACTAGGATTTTAAAACACGCTACAGTATTAGGAGCTACAAACAATGAAATGTGTATCTCAAGTGCTGAGTGAAGTAACCAGAGCATCTCTTTAGAGCATGTATCGTATAAAAACTCCACGCTGTGTGACGTAGCTATCACGTGCTTCAGTTCCTGTTTATCACCCAGTAGTAATACTGACAAAAGCGCAATGACGTAAATACACCACGTGATTTGAATTTTATTTTATTACCATGGCGTATATTAGTTTAAAATCTGCAATGGCATCATATTTTAGTTTTTGTAAATAAAACTAAATTACCGTAACTTGAATGTGCCTGATGGTCTTATCTGTAAACAATGGGTTTGTTAGGGATGTCCCTATATTACTTTATTTATTAGGTTGGCGGTGATAAAGGAAAATATTTTATAGCTTTACCTATAGCTTTTATTGGTGGTTTACAAGCAAAATTTACTTACACTCATATGTAGTAAAAAGAAAGGGGCGTGGGAAAATAGGCAGTCAATAAGGGGTAGGTGAAAATGTGGGAAAATAGGCAGTCAAGAAGGGGTAGGTGAAAATGTGGGAAAATACCCCACTATAGATCCCAACACAACGACACAGTAAACAAATTATGACGCGTCAAGAGAAAAAAGGGGCGGGAGTGAAAAATACCCCACAATAGATTCCAGCACAAAACGACAAAATCAACAAATTCTGATGGCGGTGTCGCAGTTGGCAGCTACAGCGTCCACAAGCTGCTGGGCAGCCTGACAACACAATACAGTGGCTCTCTTACACAACCACTGTAACTAGTCAATAAATAGTCGCGATATAAATAGGGGACAGCTGAGCTAGGTGTAAGGAATTGGGTCCATTGTTTGATCTGGTGTAAGCCTATTTCACGCGTGAATGGGCATAGTATCAACTCGTCAAGGCATTCGCCATTCAGACTTCAACCAGGCAGTAGTTTTGTCACCCAAACCATTGAACACTGAATTATAGCATTGATGTCCATGCCGTACACACTTCTTACACATTATACAACATGTTCCCAAACCTTTTTGGTGGTGACCCCTTTTATAAAACGCCAAGTAACCCGTGACACCAGGGGGTTGCGACACACAGAAAGTGAACCTGTGCATTAAAAATACGGTACATTTCGCCATTCATACTTTTATTTTCGTTATCCAAACCACTACACACAGAATGGTAGCACTGGTGTCCATAACCAGTACAGTTTACACATTATACTGTATTGGTTATTGTTAATACAATGCATTTCTCACGAGTATGTGTAGAGAGCCGATGTCACGTTACTAAAGAGAAAAATACTTTTTGATAACAAAACTATCAGAATTACAAATATGGGTTGTGTATTAATAATAGTAAGTAAACAATACTAATAAAGACTATATATAGAAAACCAACAAAGAGTAGAAAGGGAAGACAACGATCTAAATAGCAGGTGATTTTTTTTCTACTGATCAATAATTTAAAATTCTCAGATCCTGACAGTGCTCTATAAGAAATATTAAATTTCAACTGTGTAAGTTAAAGGAGTATCCATGGGTCTACAGACAATGTGGATTTCAGTCTCATTGTGGATGGTTAAAACCAGTACACCAAACAAGTACAACCATTACACGTTTGGCACATGTACAAGACTCCATCAAACAAGTACAACCATAACACGTTTGGCACATGTACAAGACTCCATCAAACAAGTACAACCATTACACACGCGATCTTTAGTTTTCTGATAACATTTTTGTAATGAGAATAACCTCCTTGTCTCCGTGTCACGTTCGACAAACGATCTATCCCATTCCAGCCCCTGCATATAATACGATTTTTCTGCTATGATTGTGGTCTCTAAGAACATGATGCCATCGATTTTAACTCCACGAGTGAGCAGAAACTCGAAAAGATAAAACAAGAGCAAGTAACATGGTGCAGCAGTCATAATGTTCACATACACAACACTTCGATTAAAATACGTTATAATCAACAGTATAGCATTTAATACAATCGTCAAGCAACATAAACAGTACAGCTATCTGTCATAATTCATTCTACAGTTTAAACTAACCGAGAAAATAAATACAGCAGGGCAAAACAAAATTGTAAAAAAAAAATCAGAAGGAAAGATGCTCAAATCTTGCTTTAGTCACTGTACCAAAACCCTAGATGGGTGTTTTAATTTGCGCCTAGTGGACCAGCCAGCTTTACTGGTCTTACTCCGGGCTGGGTGGACACAGGGACGTCATAGAGAAACAGTACCGTGTGTGTAATCGTGTGCGTGGTAATATTATGTTAACTTTCTCAAGCTGTTTCTCTGTACGTGTACATGTGTAACAACAGCCGGTCATTGTTGGGCATTCTGTTTACAAATTTCATCGATTGATCCATAAATGATGCCACAAAATTCGGACTTATTTTAACACACCTCACCTTGACAAAACCACGTGATACACAAGTGTCACGCCCATCAGATCACCATATATTTCAGACTAAAAGAAGCAACTCTTTTGTTACTGTAATTGTCGTTGCTGTATACATTAAATATGGCGCAGCACTTTTATTTCAAGGTGGGAAACATTTTAGAAGGCATATATATCTCAATAAACGTTGGACCTATAATTATAAACGTTATAAATGGGTCATAAATGATTGTTTAAAATTTTCTTAACCGCACTCCGGATAATATATTTTTACATGGGCACTGCAAAGGCTGTCTGATCAACAAGCTAATAAATAAATGAGATTTTTAAAAGGCATTGGTTGTATATGGAGAAGACGTAATAATTTTACAGGGGGTGGGGGGGGGTGGGGGGGGGCTCCTAATTGGTATTCACATGTTTATAAGACGCATCAATGACATTTTATAAATATTTGAAACTACCTTTTAAAACAATAGGGCTCTGATAAGTTGTGGGGACCGAATTATGCTTGGCCCATAGTCTTATTATTATGTCAATCCTTTAATAACCCCCTTTCAACTCCGTCAAAAATGCGACTGTATCAAACATAAATCGCATTAATTTATTTTTCTCTTATTACCTAGCCGTTATGAAGACAAATAACCACGTAAAATTTATTTAAGAAAGCGAATAACAGCGTCAGTTAGGCACAAGTCAGGCAGGCACACCGTAAAGCTCACCAATAATGGTTCGGGTATTGGATGTGTACCGAAAGTGTCCGTGAAGTGAAATTAAAGCATTTAACGAGATCTCCGCATGTCCCGGAACATTTCTTACATTCAATAGTCCGTCGAATACATTCGCCTCTTTATTTTTTTGTCTAAACAAAACAGAAATGCTTTACAACTGTTTAAGAAAAATATCGATTTTTTTCAACAGACAATTTTTTTCCAAACGCAAAAAGCGGATTTCGGTTTTAAAATAGAAAGGAGAAACGTTAATTTAACGATAAAGTTCTGTGTAAACAATCATATGGGGTAGTAATGTCCACACGTTTTTCCACAATTGAAAAATTAATTCCTTATGAAAAAAATAACTCTGAAAAAAGTATCGTCCCATTAAGAAATAGTATATTAACTATCATTTGCTCTAATGAATCCGACCTATACTGATATACAAATATAAATGTTGCATATTCACCTGATACCCTGGTAAAAGAATCGACGGAACAGTTAGATTGTGTGATTTGATTATCCAGTCAATAACCAACACAACAAAAATCAAAACAAAACGTAACAACCAGTCAGCTAGGACTTGTGTAATACACAGTCTCACGATAATAAAATGAAATAATTCCTGTTAAATATGAAAATGGGACACGGCCAGTGACGTCAGTTGAGAATATAGCTCTACGTGTAAACAAATTATTTGTGTGCCTTAACATTGAGTGAAGGTTGAATAGGCACAAGGACTTGTGTTAGCTGTGACGGTATAATACTCCCTAGAGACTTAGCTAACGTTGGTTGTTTGTAAACATTTTAAATGTACTCATCCATTGTACAATCATGTAGATCTACATATCTCTCGGATACTAGAAACATTTTTAAGTCAGTACATAAAGCAGACGTACTGCAGATTTCAAACTATGTTAAGGTAGTAAATAGCTATGGTATACAGACAAGTGGAGTGCCATTTGGTAAACAGCTCTATTTTCTACCACACTGTAACTGATAGTATCCGTGATACTTAGAGCGTTGGTATTTGACGCATTACAGTATTAGCTGGCGACTTAATGAAGTTATATTTATTTGCCGTGACCAAAACGAAGGGAAATAACTTACTTCATAAAGTACGTTCTCACAATGGTTGAACTGTACACAGCAAAGGAAACCACATATAATTTTAACAATGCAGATTATAACGTTTAAAATACCAGCACATATTTAAGATTCAAGACTATCTCAGAGGTCATCATTGATCAACTTCACTTACTAGAGGGTGGGGGGGGGGGGGGGGGGGGGTAAAGGGAGATTCACATTAAACGGTTTTTATCCAAGCACAATCGCAGTCTATTAAGTAGGCCAATGGTTACTTTACTCAAGCGAAAAGGAATAAATTATAAACTTATTGAAACAATTTTATTTGATTTAATGACTATACACTCAGCAGAGCTTAAGGGAAGAGAGTAAAATACATTGTGACATTACTGCGAGGGGGAGGGGGGGGGGCTGACTTTTGTGACAACACTGTATGAATGATGGGTGGAGGGAGGCCTTTTTACGGCCTAAAATTCAAGAGCGGTGGAAGGGAATACTCCCAAGCAAACAAATACTTCGCGTCAATTTTGGTGGACACGTATACATAATTTAATTAGTTATCAATAAAGTATTAGGTTACTATGCAGGTTGACGGGAGAGACTATTTAGAGTTTTTTTTTTTAATTCTTTTTCTTCGGTAGGGGGTGTGGGTGGGGGAAGCAGCAACCAAATGTGGGAAAGTTGCGATTAGGAGATGGCTGTGACATCATTTTCAGGACGGCCATAAACGACGTCGTTCACTTTGTGGAATTTAGTGACGATGTGTGACGAGGGGGGGGGGGGGGACATGTGTGACGAGGGGTAACATGTGTGAAGAGGGGGACTATGTGACGAGGTGGGGCGATGGGTGACGAGGGGGATTATGTGTGACGAGGGGAGGCGATGTGTGACGAGGGGGACTATGTGTGACGAGGGGGGCGATGTGTGACGAGGAGGGGGGCGATGTGTGACGAGGGGGGCGATGTGTGACGAGGGGGGCGATGTGTGACGAGGGGGACTATGTGTGACGAGGGGAGGCGATGTGTGACGAGGGGGACTATGTGTGACGAGGGAGATTATGTGTGACGAGGGGGGCGATGTGTGACGAGGGGGATTATGTGTGACGAGGGGGGCGATGTGTGACGAGGGGGACTATGTGTGACGAGGGGGATTATGTGTGACGAGGGGAGGCGATGTGTGACGAGGGGGATTATGTGTGACGAGGGGAGGCGATGTGTGACGAGGGGGATTATGTGTGACGAGGGGGGCGATGTGTGACGAGGGGGACTATGTGTGACGAGGGGGGCGATGTGTGACGAGGGGGACTATGTGTGACGAGGGGGGCGATGTGTGACGAGGGGAGGCGATGTGTGACGAGGGGGATTATGTGTGACGAGGGGAGGCGATGTGTGACGAGGGGGACTATGTAGACGAGGGGAGGCGATGTGTGACGAGGGGAGGCGATGTGTGACGAGGGGGACTATGTGTGACGAGGGGAGGCGATGTGTGACGAGGGGGACTATGTGTGACGAGGGGAGGCGATGTGTGACGAGGAGGACTATGTGTGACGAGGGGAGGCGATGTGTGACGAGGGGGACTATGTGTGACGAGGGGAGGCGATGTGTGACGAGGGGGACTATGTGTGACGAGGGGAGGCGATGTGTGACGAGGGGGATTATGTGTGACGAGGGGAGGCGATGTGTGACGAGGGGGACTATGTGTGACGAGGGGAGGCGATGTGTGACGAGGGGGACTATGTGTGACGAGGGGAGGCGATGTGTGACGAGGGGGACTATGTGTGATGAGGGGAGGCGATGTGTGACGAGGGGGACTATGTGTGACGAGGGGGACTATGTGTGACGAGGAGGGGGGCGATGTGTGATGAGGGAGGGGGACTATGTGTGACGAGGGGAGGCGATGTGTGATGAGGAGGGGGGGGGGGGGCGATGTGTGACTGTACAACAATGAAGTTTCAACTTTAAAAAAAGAAGAAGAAAGTAACCTGAAAATGTCCATGCTTTTTTTTTTATACATTTTAAACATTGTAATAATAAATGTCAAAGAAGAATGCAAGTTTTCAGCTGTGTTGTCAAAATAAATACTAATGCATATCATGTTATTCAGAGCACTTAATAAACAGAAGGTGGGATGCTTTCAAAAGGTTAACAACTTAGAGCAATGAGATTTCTAAAAGATTACTAGCCAATCACCTGATTTAAGCCGCATTTTTACTCAAAATATTTTAAAATAATAGTGAGTTACAAAGCCTGTTGTGTGACATGCATTAAAAAACACTCTTTGGTTGTTCCCCTTTACTGACTTAGTTATAGCCTATATTATTACATATCTAGTCAAGTATAACAAATCACTAATCTATAGCTTACTTTACTACAGGGCTTGTAGTCTACACTAAAAAGTATTTAGGATTTAATTCTAGACCTTGTCAATTAGAAAAAATTAAAACAGTAATTGACCAATTTGATTTTTTTTAAATAGCAAATAAAATTATCAAAATAAGTGAGGAAAAAAACCTCATAAAGTAGATGAATTTTGTTGGTGGAAGGAAGCTTAATGGTAGTAAGTACATGGCACAAGGTAAAGCTGCTAATCACTTGTCACTCTCCGCTAAAGATCTAGAATCTACTTCACTGTCTGCACACATTTCAGAAAATAATATTAAAAGGGTCTAAATGTATTCTAATTTTGATGGTCACTGCTAATGCTAAAGCACTCATTAGGCCTAATCACTCACGCTACTTAAATTTTTCAATTTAGTAAGACATAGATTCTGACTAAACAATTTATTTAAAAAATAATCATTCATAGTAAGTAGGTGTATTTGTTATACCAGTGTCTGATATTGGCACAATAATATAACAGTCTTCTTTAAAAAAGGTAATTAAATAAACAATACACATATTATGTCAATGCTAACAGTATCAACCAACAGTGGCCGACAGTAGTAATGGGTCATCCATAAATGACGTCACTCTTTTTTTGACGATTTTTACCCCCCCCCCTCCCCTCTGTCACACATTATCACAAAAAGCCAGACCCCCCCCCCCCCCTAAAATGATGTCACACCTCAGCCTACAACCCCCCTCAAAATTGCAGTTGAATTTTTTTTTAACATCTATATTTTTCCCAAATCTTGTCTGAACTCTGTCAACATAGAGTATTTTAATCAATGCCTATTATAATTCATTAAAACAGTTTTCTAAAACTCGAAATAATGTCTAAAATTCGTTTTCTATCATTGCTTTTTTATAATGCAAAAGTGTGACGTCTCACCATCTGACCCCACCCCTCCCCCTCATCACACACCGTCACAAAATTACGGACCCCCCTCCCCCCTACGAGTGTGACGTCATTTATGGACGACCCCTAACACTAACAGTAACACTAACCCTATTACTAGTTTTACAATAATCCTAACCCTAATTTCTAACCATAAAACTAAACTTGAGATAATACTAATAGTAGGCCTATAGGTTATAGATCTAGATCTAGAATGTAGATCTAGTAGCTAATAACAATCAAACACATTTTTGGAAGAGTCTATTATGATTATGAGTTATGAGACATCCGTACTACTATACATACACCCTTTTATGATGAATTACTAGTCAGAATTAGGCCCCTATCTGCTTTTTTTATCTCTTGGTCAAACAACTAGATCTAGAATCTAGATCTAGACTCCAGTTGAGTATATAGGATTTCTAGATCAGTTTCTTTCAGGCCAGGCATATCTTCCCCTTCCCCCTCCTCTCCCAGAGGAAAAATGTCTGAAAGAAACCCTGATCTAAAATTCTAAATGGACATTCTAGACCAGAAGAGACTGTGAACAGTGAACACAACAGTGATAGAAATTAGAAATAGAGTCAGATAGAGTAGACTGTACATGAGTAATGAGTAGTGAGTAATAGAGATCTAGAATATTAGAATGATTTAGAATAATCATAGATTTCTAGAATCTAGATCTAGATAGACTTTCTAGATCTCTCTAAAAAGCTCTCTGAGCCTACCTTATTTGAACACTTGAAATTTCAATTTGCTACTTTGTTACACTTTGTAGTTTCAGTAGTCCCGTCGACTGCTGTCGTTACTCGTTTGTGAAGAAGGCCTGATTTAAAATTATTTTTAAATTGCTTCAAATTCATAATTCAGTCAAATATGAATATACAAAGTGAATGTTAATATACTATTGCATAAATATTCCTTGATCTAGCCGTAATCAATCCTTATTTAATATTATTAAGAGGCATTAAAGCTCACAATCATACAGTTCTTTAGTCTAGCTAGAGTCTAGATCTAGCATACTAGACTAACTAAACTATCATCTGATCATGTTCTGATTTTTCATGCGAGGCCAATGTATTTGTTTTACTTTGTCTTCAAAGTAAGAAAGTTCTCAATGTTAAAAACGTTGTTATTGCCCCTTTTCGCTTTGACTGATTTTATTTTATAAATTATTAAAATTACTGTAGGTTATATTTATCTAGTCAGCCTAAATCAAGTGCAGATGTTTTAAATTAGACCCTAAGTTGGATTATATCCCAGCTATAATCCAATATATGACACTGGAATGACAAAATAACGCAATTTTTAAAAATATAATCTTAGAGTTAGGAAACATAAGGGTGAATAGTAAATTACGTCATATTATACTCTGCCTATTTGGGGTGAGGTATGTGTATTAACTTAGTATTAAGATAAGTTAAGACAGTTCGGATAATACGTGACGAGGTTGGGGCACAAGGGCAGACTGAGCTTTGGGGTCATGCATAAATGACGTCACGCTTTTTTGGACGATTTTTACCTCCCCCCTCCCCTCCGTCACACGTCGTCACAAAAAGCCAGACCCCCCCCCTAAAATGACGTCACACCTCAGCCTACAACCCCCCTTAAAATTGCTGTTGAATTTTTCCTAAAACATCGATACTTTTTTCAAAATCTTGTCTGAACTCTGTCAACATAGAGTGTTTTGATCAATTCCTATAACGTTTATTAAAACCGTTTTCTGAAATAACGCCTAAAACTCGTTTTCTAACATTGCTTTTTTATAATGCAAAAGTGTGACGTCACACCATCTAACCCCCCCTCCCCTTCATCACACCAGAGGCTTAGCGGGGGGGGGGCGGGGGACGTATGTCCCCGGGCGCCGACTTTAGGGGGCGCCAAAAGGGTTGGAAAAATAAATTGAAAGCTTAGGGGGGTGCAAATCGAAAGTTTAAGGGGGGTGCAAATCGAAATCTTGAGGGGGGGGTGCAAATCGTAAGTTTGTCCCCGGGCGCTGGGAAGGGTCGCTACGCCTCTGCATCACACACCGTCACAAAATTACGGACCCCCTACGAGTGTGACGTCATTTATGGACGACCCCTTTGTTGTCATTTTAGGTATGATACGGGCGGGGGGGGGGGGTGAGCTGGCCGACCCTAGGGGTCTTGTCCACATAAGCCCCGCGAAAAAGTTAACCACTAACCCGCAAAAAAGATTATAAAAAAGAGGATATGAGACTTAATTGTACCTTTAGATTTTATTGAAGAAGGGGAATTTGGGGCATCTCATTGATAAATAGCATGTAAAGATCTGTATTTTGGTTTCTTTAACCTTAACCCCCAACCGCATCCCTTACCCTCGAGGCGGATATTGAGTATTTATGTCGTGCGTTTAAATATTCAAATGTCTGGACATTAGAAATAGGTTAGAAGTGGCGGGGCTTAACTTCCCCCCCCCCCCGAACTTTTTGCATTAGCGACGGGGCTTATGTGGACGAGACCTAAAATGTGTAAAAGTATTATGTCATCATTTATAGACAACCCCATATTGACATACACACACACACACACACACATATATATATATATATATATATATATATATATATATATATATATATATATATATATATATATATATATACATATATATATATATATATATATATATATATATATATATATATATATATATATATATATATATATATATATATATACCAGACACAGAGGCCAATATTTTTAGATTATTTTCAGCACAGAGGCACATGCAATTTCCGGAAATTCTTGGAGACGCTAGAAAACAAGCTGTAAACGCGCTCCCTACCACCCCCACCCCTACATGGTCTGGTGAGCTGCGGTTCCCTCTAAATGTTTACAAACAGTACAGAGCCGGGTTTAGTGACGGCTATTAGGGGCAGATAATTTAGTTTGAAACGATTTTAACGTAGGGGGGTGGGTAACTAAGTGTAGTTTACTTTAACGGAGGGGGGGAGGGGGGGGGGGTTATCGTCCTTAACGAGCTACTTATAGTGTTTTAAAGAAATATTTTCAGTGCAGCGTTGGTAGTGTCGAATTCACAAATTATGAATAACTGAAGAGTAGAAAAAACAACAACTAAATAGCGGCGTATGATATGCCGCGGGTCGGCTCGTTTATTATAATTCCCTATTAAAACAAACCGGTTAAGAAAAAAACGCATATCATAAATTACCCATGCATATTAATAGCAGCTCACGTTAATTATACTTAATCTTTTGTGATTTTTTTTTCAGAAACACCTCGCATGCGTTTTGTTTTTGTTTTCTCTACGCCTAGTGAAGTGCCGGACAAAACGGCGCATCTGTCATAAAGTCACGCTACATCGTTACATCTGCTGATAATTTCTAAAATCCTTGAGGTTCTAATTCAGTGCCTCTCCGGTGACGCAGGTTACCGTCTGGTTACACTCTAGTATGCCATATCAAGCACTAATAGGCCCTACTCTTTCGTGTTTATTTTTAATGAGAACCCGAGAGGATCCTTGTTGGCTGGCTAGTAGATCAGGAACAAGTTTTCGCTGTTTTTCTTCCAGACTTTTTTCTCTGGGGGGGGGGGGGGGGTGCGGACACTGTTAAAAGTATATATTTTTCTTATAATTTCCATTTCGTTCGGGGATGGAGGAGGGGCGGTAGCAGAGTTTCTTCCAGGCATCTCTTCGGGGGGGACCAAGCCCCCCCGAAAAATTTTTACCGCCCCCCCGAACGAAATGAAATTTATATAATTTATATAGAAAATATATACTTTTAACAGTGTCCGCCCCCCCCCCCCCCCGAAGAAAGTTTACCGCCCCCCCGAAGATTTCAAGTGCCCCCCCGGAGAAAAAAGTCTGGAAGAAACACTGGGCGGTAGACTCTCTTCTGCCCCCACCCCCGAAGATGCCTGGAAGAAACACTGGTTATTCGAGTATTCTGTGTAGTTCTCTACGCCAGTGATTTCCATACTGGGCGAAATAGCCCCCTATGCGATGAGTGCTGGGATGTTCGTGGAGGGTGGGTGGGGGGGGGGGGGGCGTTCTGGAAGAGGTAGATTTAAACATCTCTGTGAAGGAACTGCCCGTCGTCCTCTCTAGAACAAATGGTTTGGTCACACACACAAGCCCGTGTTGTAAATACGTAATCTGTAACATATTTAACAGCTTTGAAATGCAAAAGAAACTTTATTTTATGGTTGTTTCATTCCTTCTGTCTAGCACTCTGAGGGGACAGTTTTCTCACTACAGATATTAAAACAAAGAACTAAACCTATAACTATACATCAATGTTACAAGGAACAAATAAGCTCTCGGTAATTAAATTTAAAAAAGCACACCCGTACTTTCCATAAGTGCATCTTGTTTACGTTCTATTTTGGGGGAAACCAATGAGAATAGTCTCGAAATTAGTCGAGAGGCCCATTAAATATTTTTTTAAAAAATCGGTTATGCCAACGATGTTATTTTCATGAAACTGCAGTAATTATACGTTACCTCCCTTGTCGACTTTTTTCCATATATTAAAATGTTATTAATTAATATTAAGCCGCCTAACACTGATGAAATCTCCCACCTTTGCCGAATTTATAACAATTGTGGACACTATGCTTTTCCTAAGGGGTCATCCATAAATTACGTTACGCTTTTTTTTGACGATTTTTATCTCCCCTCCGTCACAAAAAAGCCAGACACCCCCCCCCCCCCGATAAAATGTCACACCTCAGCCTACAACCCCCCCCCCCCCCCCCCCTGAAAATTGCAGTAGAATTTTTCTTAAAACATCGATATTTTTCCATAATCTTGTCTGAACTCTCTCAACATAGCGTATTTTAATCAATTCCTATTACAAGTTATTAAAACAGTTTTCTAAAACTCGAAATAACGGCTAAATTTCGTTTTCTAACATTGCTTTTTTTTTAATAATGCAAAAGTGTGACGTCCCACCATCTGAACCCCCCCCCCCCTCCCACCCCCATCATCACACACCGTCACAAAATTACGGATCCCCCCTCCCCCTACAAGTGTGACGTCATTTATGGACGACCCCCTAAAACTTATCTAAGCAAATATTTTAACAGCACTTTAAATTCAAGTCTGAGTTTAAAATGGTTGACTGGGTATATTCGGTCATGAACCAAATATGGGCAACCTTGTGAGGAACAAAGTACAGTACCTCGACATACGAGATTTTTTTTGGATATGAGCTGTCAGTCAAACGATTTTTTGCTTTGAGTTATGTGTAAAATTAGAGATACGAGGATATCGGAACGCTGGGTTTTACAGTTTATCGAAAAGTTGCACCGAATAGAGTCAATAGAGAATCACAGCTGTTTAACTATACATTTCTCCTATTCCCGCATCATTCAGAGGGAGGAAGAAATAACCCTAACAGTTTGTTTTAAATGCACCTAAAAATGAGTAAAGGGTGGCAAAAAAGGCAAAGGCGAATGAAGAGAAAAGCAGTCTCAAAATTTAAGCTAAGGTAACAAAAATTGTACATTTAGTTTACTATGTTCTGTGAATTAAAGTGATTTCCATTAAGTTAAGGGATAAAGTAAGTGAATTAAAGTGATTGAAAGAGTTTAGCATTAACAGAGTAGAGATTAATTGAACCAAATAAAGCAACTCCACCATTGTCTTCAATAAGCTCAGGGCAGCTGATTTCCAAAGAATATACACATTCATAAATCAGTTTATTTCTTTTACGAACTTACTCCTTTATTTATTTTAAATAGATTTTATTAAATGTTTGTTATTTTTTGTTTCATAGATACATTTTTCTTATTGAAAATATGTAACAAAAACAACTGTGGTGGCATTTTGCAGGCTGGAATGAATTAAGCATTTCATATAATTTTAATAGAAAAAAAATGGCTTTAGGATACTAACAATTTGACAAACGATTAATGTAACTGTAACATAACAAATTAAATTTATCTCAAGGTACCACTGTAGTTAAAATAAACACAAATGATTGTCAATTTGTTAGGCGTCCACATGAAGATAACAAGAAAAGTTTATTAAAAAAAAACGAGCAGTAATACATTTTAAAAGTGCTTGCAAAGTTCACCTTTGAAGTCACTATTTGATTCATTAATTTAAGACACCATAGAATAATAAGTTATTAAAACAACACGACTTAGGGTTACAGACATTACAAAAGAAATGTAAAAAAAATCAAAGAGAAAAAGGACACATTCTTTTTAATCAAAAAGGGACATCAGTGTCATATTTTTCATTCAAATTATTGCACCAGTGAATTATTTTAAAAGTTACTTTTCATGTACGGCAATTTAACAAACAATGATTATATACTCATGAAGTGAACATAGGGTTACAATTACAATGTGTCTGCAATAATTTTACATTGGTGATGAGCTCTATTGAAACATATGCTATATAATTTTTAACTGCTAATAATTAAAGATGGAATGTCTAACACATAAAAAGTATAATTTAAAAGAAATATACAGCCAAATGTTTCTCAAAACCGTAGTAACAAAATAATTTATAGTTATAGATTTCCATTTTTTGTATGCATTATTTAAAAAAAAAAAGTTATTATCACTTTAAAAAATGAACAAGAATCTATAAATGAAATAATCTGTTTATACAACTGTACATAAAGTGAAAATACTCTACTTACTTGCCTGGTACTATTGTATTTCAATATTCATGTTTTTTAATTACCCACATTAATTCTTGTAGGTCAGTATAGAATTAAATTAGGAGCTTTTTTAAAAAAAAAATTATGATAAAATGGGGAAATAATAATATGTGAATGCAGAGTAATTTTTTTTGAAAACACATTAAAAATAGAAATACTCAAGTTATTTTATGTGCGCTTAACTCTCACCAGGTGGAAGACCACATCTCACACCTATAACATAAAAACTATAAAATATTATTTGATTACATAGGCACTACAAATACTGCTAATGTTAACATTATTATTTACATCATATCAAAGTGAAGGAGTAGGCTACTACTTTACAATAAGGCTAAGAATAATGATATTATTTAAAATGTTTTAAAATATACTATTAGTAGCTTTCTAGTTCATAATAATACGGTTCATAAAAAATTAATAACATTAAATGGACACCAGCGAGAAAAGTCTCAAAGGTATTTGAGAGGTGTATAAATTCATTTTAAAATCTTGCACGGCGTAGTTACAATTAATATGGTTATAAAATCCTGTCTGTCTGGTTTTTTTCGGACTTTACTAAAGATTGGATGTATTTGATGTTTTTAATATTTTCGGTAACTAAATAAAAATTTAAAAAAAAGAAAAAACAATTTGGTTTTCACGTGTAATGGCGACATAAACAATGGCCGACATAAATTTTATTGTACACATTGTAAGCTAAAAATAGAAACAATAGGTCATGGTGTTTAAATTTGCATAGTTATTTAAAAATTTGATCTGCAAAGTTTTGTAAACAAAATAACTATAAAGTGGGGCTGTCAGAAATCGATCACGGAGTTCCTTTACAGCCAATCAATGTTTGTCTTACGAAAGTGAAACATCGGGTTATAACTTAGGCTTGATGAAAATAAATAGAAATGTAGCCTTAAACTCAACAAATTATTTTCAAGTTCTCTGGATCTGCAACTTGTATAGCATTGATTCTAAAAATATTACATTTCTGAATTAATTTTAGGCTTAAGTTTTTAATAAAATTTTATCTTTTATTAGTTTTATGGTCCTAAATCTAAAAAAGCACATTTTTATTCCATGTCAACAACATTACGGAAGGAATCTCGTCAACTCGCTGGTGTCCATTAATAACCATAAAATTGTTTCTGTTATATTAATTAAACAATTAGTAAAATTATTATCTTTATATAATCACATTTGGAAATTTTTTATAAAGACTATAATAATTGCCAAAATACAAATATAGAGCTAACAACGAGATATTTTAGGGTATAACAACAATACACTTTGTTGAATCCAAGTCTTTTTGCAGTAGTGTTTCAGTGGCTTTAATTAATGGAACTGTTGTCAAATGACTGCATCTGGTAGTACAAATACAAAGCAATATTTTTATTTTGGGTAACAGATAAAAGTTTTAAAAATTAGAACAGATATTAAGGATTCATAAAGCACTTATGAATTTTTTCATACAGTTACAGCATTAATAAGAATAAAGCATTTTCTCTTAATCTATATAAGAACTTGAATAGCTTTGAGAACAATAAATTTAAATCAACAAAGGTAGACAACTACAGCTGATAATTATGCCTCTTAATTAAACCAATTTTCTCATATAAAAACATAAATAAGTGCATACTTCAACTGTCCAGCGGCAAGTCGCTCCATAATGTCTTTTAATATGTCTGGGACAGTTAAGGATAAACTTAACATACTGCAAGATGATCTATACAAAATATAACAAGACGCAGATGCAAAGAACTAGATAAATTGACACAAGTTGTGAAGACTCAGACGGAAAAATCACTATTAAATGCCAAGACTTAAAAACATTAAGGCATTTAAATATTTTAAAACTTATTTGTTAAATGACACATTTTGTAAATAAGATATCTTTGGACTTTAAAAATAGGGGGACAATACATTGCTTGCATTTTAACAGTATATAAAATTAAAGGATACGATGGTATCTGCCATGTTGTGCCCTTGTCAAAGTCCAGGCAGGTGGAAACAGAAATGAAACTGATGCTCCACGCAGAAACAGTTGCTCACTATCTGGTGGATCCAGCTAAAAATACCATCCATTTATTTAACATTTAAGCAAAATACAATTATAAAAGCTAATACTTTTAAGCTATTCTCTTCTTTACTTATGACATACACTTCAATATAAAAAGTTAAGATAATAAAAAACAGTGAATTAGTATAACTATATTTTTTAATACAAATCTTCTTCTTCGTTCTTAATTTTTAGTGTTGGAAGGGATCGGGCCTTATCTGCCAGAGGGTTTGAACTCGTGACTTTTTTTTATCAACCATGAGCTTTTTTGCCGACTCGACCACGCCTCCATCACAATTACGGATAAGTGTCAACTGGTTTTTGCGCCAGTGAGGCCATTGACTCCGATTTCAGCCTGCTTTCCTTTTTGGATTTGCTTCCATAGCCTTTGTCCAACCAAGAACAAACTACAAGGCAGCAGTTGTTTGATTTTGGAGTTGTCTCTCCTAGAAGATTGGCAGTATAACATTTTATACATGAAGTCTTTCAATGTGCTTTGAAATTACCTGTAAATGAGGATGTGAAGTAATCCATTTTCCTGAAAATCCTAGGCAAGCTATGATGTCAACTTTATGAGGTACAGACCGAAGATGCCTTTCCTCCATTAAATCAATATCTTCTTCGCTTGTAAATAGGCGCACTAAAGAAAACAAATATTTTATGCAAAATATATATTTCACATTCTTGAAAACAAACAGTAGCATTTTTCCTTAAAAGTTGGAAGATATTATTAGCTTAATACACATGAAGGATACTGCACTAAAATAACAAATACATTTATTTTTTTACCTCCATTGTCAACAACGCAGTCTACACCCATGCCACCTGTCTCTTCTGTTACAGAACTGGACATTGTATTTGATCGCTGGGTTAGTTCTATTAACTGGGCTGAAAACAATATTTTTCTTAATGAAAAGTCTTTAATTAAAAATTAAGTGAACAAATAAAATAATTTAACATTACACATTTAAAAATACCAGCTGCCATATATTTTAAAACATGAAATTTCATATTAAATACTCACCAACTGGAGGTTTCAATAATTCAAGAAACTGCCTTTCAGCAAGGGTCTTGTATGTTGAAAGAACCTATTAGTAATAATTTTATGTTAATAAGTCGAGTTATTAAAATAATTATACTTATTCAGATAAATTTAATTATATTGTGGAAAACTATTATTCAAGTTTTTAAACAAGAAGGAAAAAGATTAAGATTAAGAGATGAAATTATAATTCTTACAGTTTGCTAAAATTATACCCTCAAACCTCAGGCCTACATGTGTTAAAAATTTTTATTTTATTTTTATATGATGACCTTTGCTCCCCACAGTTGAGCAGCCTGAATAGTAAAATATCCCTGGGGAGTTGCTCCATCCAAGACAAGCACTGTATCACCAGCTGTAACATGACCAAGATAGTGAATTGCTGTGTACGCTGAGAGCCCTGCACCTATAGCTGCAGCAGCAACCTCATGGCTAACTGTTGAAGGCTTTTCAGCTAAAAGAATTGAATGGTAGTTTTAACATTACAAATGTGATGTAAGCTTGTGTCACATTTAAAAAAAAAACAACTAAATTTGCTTTGTTTAAAAAAATTAAAATTACTTACTAATATCAAACTGATTCATCACACACATTTCACTGCATCCAGATAAGTTACAATCTAATGGTACAATTCCTATTTTTAAAAAAGCAAAACAAACATAATTCTTTTAAATTATGCAAATATATTGCTTTGGGGTTTTGACAATCAAGATGAGAAAGATATTTTTTTTACCATTAGCAACAGGAGGAATTAATTTTCAACTTTATATTAATTTTATAACAAATGCATTATAATGTAGGTTGCATAAAATTATCCAAATAAATCACAGATGATCATCACAACATCATAAATTGCTCAAATTATTGTGCTTGAAACAAGTCCAAACAATATCCAAACTAAAGTGGATGTATATTTGCAAATTAACTGAACTATACAAGTACTATCTTTGAATTGTGTTGTATGAATATGAAAATGCAACTGTAAACCTCAAGAATAGAATCAACAGAAATAGTTTATTTTTACTTGTTAAAAATTTAGACAGTGAATTTGTGTTTGGTGGTGTAAGTAAAACAAGCTATGTTTTAAAAAGTTAACTTGCCAACAACAGACATTCCTTCCTTGTAGCAATCATCAACAAGGGGTCCAACCTTAATTATCTCTCCTGAAAGCTCTCGACCAATGGGACAGTCTTTAATTGATGAAGAAAGAAGCTGATGATATACCTATGAATAAACCAATTTCACATGATCAACAAAGCTTACACAAATGTGTAAAAAAAAACTGGCCATTTCTAGTTAAAATAATAAATGATGTAGAAATTATTTTTTAAATGTAGATCTATATTTTAATATTTATTTTAGTAAAACATTATCCTTAGTTTCAAATACAAAATGTTAGTAATATTTAATTATTTATGTTACCTTTTCTTTATTCAAGTCAACAGCACATGCCTTGACTTTTATCAACACATCATGGGGGCCTAATTCTGGAATAGTTTGCTAGTAAATAAAAAAAAGCAGTATTAAAAACAAAATTGTTCGAATTTGCAGGTTAGAAGGTTAAAGTCAAATTAGAAACTAGCTTATTTGTTGTTGAGGCACGGCACACAACACTATTAAAAGTATGTGTGCGTGGTATGTTGCCTGACCTATTTAAATGAGATTGTTTAAACGAAGTGACTACTCGGAAGAAGATTTTTCTCCCCAACGTCTCCACTTAGTCTGCAAAAGATAGCTCTGCGCATGCGCAGTGACCTATGGCTAGGGTTAGAATGAGGGTTAGGGGTAGGATTAGGGTTAGGGGTAGGATTAGGGTTAGGGCTAGGGTTAGGGATAGGATTAGGGCTAGGGTTAGGGTTGGTGTTAGGGTTCTGCGGTTGTAAACACATGCATGCGCAGTACCATCGAAAACATCGCCGCGAAGGCAAGTCGTAGTTTCTCTCCATTGCGCATGCGTATCTTATTCCGGCTAGCATCAGCCTTGTTAAAATACTGTTTTAAGTATAGATCTGGATCTATATTTATTTAACTCAATGCAACAAGCCTGCTGGTTGGTTGAGGCCAGACTGGGACGGAGATGTTCAAACCGGGATTCAAAGGCAAGGGAGGACACACAATAATAAATATTAAAATATCTTTTAAATTTTATTAGCCTAAAATAAAAGTTTTAAAATAGGCCTCTAAATTTGGTAAAACTCCATTTTAGCGTATTTTATTCTCCGCTTGTCGTTTACCTCCAGTTGAGCGTATTTTATTATAATAACCGAAACACACCAAAACATTAGGAAAACACGATTTATTTGTTTGTATTGTTTTTTTGTTTTCACAAATGAATAAAATGAATTTTAAAAAAAAACACGACTTATTTATTTGTATTGTATTTTTGTTTTAACAAATGAATAAAAAACAACAAAGAGACTGACTGAAGTGCTTTGTTGGTTACAAAAATAGAGATGCACACTTAATGTACAATTAAGTGTTCCAATTTCAACTAAACTGAATAAAAGTATTAAAAGGCACAATAATGCTGCTGAAAGTGGGACGGGGGTGGGGGGGTGGAATTTGGTGAGGGATGGCTTGGAGTGTTAGAGAAAGTGTGACAACTCACGTTGTCGTTTAAAAAAAATAATGTTAGAGGTCGTCCATAAATGACGTCACACTCGTAGGGGGAGGGAGGGGATCCGTAATTTTGTGATGGTGTGTGAAGAGGGGAGGGGGGTTCAGATGGTGGTACGTCATTTTGGGGGGGGGGGGGGGTCTTGCTTTTTGTGACGACACGCTTTTTTACGATTTTTACCTCCCCCTCCCCTCCGTTTAAGTTACAGTCGTCACAAAAAGTCAGACCCCCCCCCTAAAATGACGTCACACCTCAGCCTTTAAACCCCCCCCCCCCTCCCCTCAAAATTTCTGTTGAATTTTTCTTAAAACATCGATAATTTTTCCAAAATCTTATCAGAACTCTGTCAACATAGAGTATTTTGATCCATTCCTATTAACTATTACAATTTATTAAAACAGTTTTCTAAAACGCGAAATAACGGCTAAAACTCGTTTTTCTAACATTTTTATAATGCAAAAAAGTGACATCACACCATCTGAAACCCCACCCCCTCCTTCTCATCACACACCGTCACAAAATTGCGGACCCCCCTCTCTCTTACGAGTGTGACGTCATTTATGGACGACCCCGCATCAATGTTTTTTTAAAAGTCAGAAATTTACTCATACAAAAAATCATACTTGATACATATAACAAAATATTGGGAAGGATGGTAGATTTACTCTGAATTTAAATAACATACAACTCTATAGTAAAAATATTTTTTTCAGTTTTGGCAAAATTGTCAATTTAAAAAACACAGAGTTAGTACATTTATTGCATAAATACAAAAATATAATACAGAATAATTAACACAGTGTATCAATTTCACCATGAGACAAATGCCTTTTTAAAAAAAAATACAATACAAATAAACAAGTCGTGTTTTTTAAATATTCATTTTTATTCATTTGCTAAAACAAAAATACAATACAAAAAATAAATCGTGTTTTCCTAATGTTATGGTGTGTTTCGGTTGTTATATTAAAATACGCTCAACTGGAGGTAAACAAGCAACGGAGAATAAAATACGCTAAAATGGAGTTTTACCTTTAAATTTTATAGGCCTAGCTAGTTCTATACTAGTGGTACTAGTTATCATTACTAGTTAAACTAGTTAAGTTTAGTAGTTACTAGATCTAGTACTAGTATTAGTATTACTTTAGTGATTTAGTATGTATAGCATTATAAATAATTATAATCGAGCTAGAATCTAGTCTAGTAGTCACTAGTAGTTGGCTAGTAGATCTAGACTAAGTAGTAGTAATTTAAATAAAAAAATTAAAAATAAAATTAAAAAGCCACACCTCGTCAGAAACACTAACAGAAAGGCTGTCACCAGAAAAGTTTCCTCGAATAGATTTCATGTTTGAATTTATCAACTGCCGGTTGAGTAATGTAAACAATAGTTTACAATCAAAATAGATCTAAAAAGATCTTTTGTATTCTAGATTCTAGATCTAGCGATCTACTGGGCAGTAGAAGAAAAAAAGGGTATTTACAATGCGAAATAAAATATAGTCTGCAGTCAATTGCAGCAGTACAAAAATATTGATCATGTTTTTTTTAGCACAATCATATTCCAAACATTTAGGCCTAAACGAAATAAGATATAAGATCATTAATTATTTCTATCCAATAATCAAAACAAAAAGAACTAAAATTATATTTTTTTAAATATTTCAAGGAAATAGTATGAGGAGACGGACATTAGACATATGTATACTTTATCAATTAGAAGCACTTGGTCGTTTATCGCAGGATACAATTTCTATAATTAGAGTTTTTATTTTTAGATATTGACGCTTTCCCCCCTTGAAATTCTATAGGCCAGCTGATTTCATAAAATTAACAAGTTTCCGGAAACGCCCCCATGCCCTACCCACAATTCCTTGGACTTATTATGTGTCTACTACCCGGCTATACCTTGACAGATAATAATAATAATAATTGGATCAGTTTCATCTTCACAATGAAACGTTTTATAAATAGCTTTGACTTTTAAATAGATGGCAAGTGCTATCTCATACGGATAATGTTTTTGGTATGTATCGTAGCAACGCTTTATGTGGTTTTTAAACTGTTAGTAAGTTCCTAAGTTTTGTAAATTTGTCGAATGTTGTTGAGTGAGACGCTGTTCGCCTGTTGTCTGTTGAGTACTGTTGCACTGTCTGTTGATGTTGAGGGAGAGTTCATATCATATCATTATCAGTTCATGCTGTACCCACTGTGAGTGAACTTTTTTTAAAATTACCATTTGGTGTATTTGTATTCAAAGTTACTACTCGGAAGAAACGTCTTCGCCCTGGTGCTAGCCTGGCTGGAAAAAAGTGCAAAACGCAAAACTAGCTGTGCAATAATTTGAATAATAATAATAATTAATTAGTATAATTAATTAATTAGAGATAGGCTTACTAAAGCTTTAATTATTATTTAGCCTAATACGAAATGACTACGCAGAATGCCGAGCGTTTCAAGTATTTTCTAATTCAGTAGATTGCATTCTAAAAATAGGTAGGCTATCGGGAAAACAATGCAATACCCCTTTCATACATAACTAATAGTACTACTTTTTAACTAATACTAAATAGGCTATAGTCTATAGGATAGGCCTATTATGTTCGGAATAGTGATAAATTTCGTCTTGCAGTAAGAAAATGAAACAGTGTTGACCTATTTCTTTTGGGATAAGACGTGTACTGATTGAAGCTGCCTAATATTTTGATTTGCTAATACATGTGTGGTAGAGTCAACAGTGCAGCAGCTAAATTTGATATCCCTGGAGCTTGAATCTGAATCCAGATTTATCACTACCTGAAATCAGTGTCTTTTGCAAATGTCACATCAAATGTCACAATCTTTTCTAGATTTATTTTTTTATCCATTAAAGTTTTAAAATTTCCAAACATCACTTGCGTGATTGCTTGCTTACGTATCTATTCTATTCTTTTTTTAGCCTGTGCCAACATTTGGTGTTGAAATAACACACTTTAAGTCAACATTGTTTTGCTAAGACGAAAAAAAATCAAGCATTCCTGATATCTATGTTTAGATTGCGTTCGACCGTCAGAACAGATGTGGCGGACCATCGCATTCTGTGCAAATGCAGCCTATTTAATAATGATTTACCAGTGTCTGATCCTGGTAAAATTATTTCATCAAGCTAAATATATTTACCCTAATTAGCTTGGAGACTAATAATGGCTGTTGAAATATTTATTTAAACATTTTTAGTTACATGATTTATTTATGATCTAATAAATACAATGTAACCGAAACTAACAGTCCAATACCATTATTATTATTCATGCAGCTATGCTACCAGAGGACAGACTACGTAAATGTATCACTGAATGTTAAATTACATAATTATTATTGGGGTTTGCCCATTCCATTTCCAAGTGTCAGCATTAAAAACCATTAAATTTAATACCCAAACTGATTTTAGGATAGAAGTAGTTCAGTAAAAAATTTTTTAATGAAATCAGAAAAAATCAACACATTTACTATTTTACTGATTTAGCAAACTGACCAATAATTAGCAATTTATACATGTCAAGCTAGTTCTTTTTTCTAGTTTTCTTGTATTCTATTAGTCATTATGCATTCTTAGATTGAATATTTTATTTATAATGCATCAAATTATTTTAGGAATTATATTTATAAGTATAGCATATTTTTTTAAAATACCTAACCCATTCTCCATTCTCCCATTTTTTTTTTTTTTACAGTTTTGAACATAAGTCCAGATAAAAAAAAGTAAAGATGTCAGCAACTCAAGGTAAATAGATAAAATTAAAATTCGTTTCCAACAGCTTTTCTTTACCAGTAGTTTTTAAAACTTATCTACATTTGGCTAATAAAAAGGTTCATTAAAATATCAAACTCAATTAATTCAATGTATTTTTTGAGTTACTAAATTTCATTAGGGGTTGAGTACAAAAATGTTGTAATTTTCTTTTGTGCAGATGCTTGGAAGATAAGTGGGGAGGATCGTTCAAAGCATGATGCTCAATTTTATCAACTCAAACCTGTAAATGGGTTTGTTACAGGTAATTGCCCAAGATGTGCATACCTTTTATATATATTTAACTTTTTATTCCATAGTAATAAGTATTAGTTATAATACTTTGTGCTTATTTACACCTGCGAAAACTTTAACAGTGTTTCAGTGTACAAAAAATTCACTTGGTTCTTTTGATTGTTTTAAGGTACTCAAGCAAGAGACTTTTTTGTCTTGTCGGGTCTACCAACACCTGTGTTAGGTCAAATATGGTAAGTTAATGGCCTAGCCCTTAGGGCGATATGGTTGTACATTTAAAGAAGTATGACTTTGAGTTGAGGTTGGCTATAGTTAAATTAATTGATTGTGAAGAAGGACAACATTATTTCCCCTGTTACTTATATCCACATCAGATGGGTGCTGTAAATGGTGCCTTTTAGGCCATCAGGTCCAAAAATCTTATACCTCTAGTATTTTTATAATTTTTTACAAATTAATCATGTTTTTTTTTTCATTTCTTTATTAAAATTGTAGGACCTTGGCTGATATGAATGGTGATGGAAAAATGGATAAAAAGGAATTTTCAATAGCAATGCATTTAATCAAGAAAAAATTGCAAGGATATGAGTTGCCCAAGGTTCTGCCAGCCTCCTTAAAAATGGACCCAACTCCTGTGATTGGATCATTTGCTCAACCCACCATGCCTGTGTCCATGTCTCAGCCTATGGGCATGGTGTACCCAATGGTGGGAGGTAATCCATTGTCTTATAAATTCTTTTAGAAAAAATCATATTTTAATATTTTGATTTTAACACGAATACAGTACCATGTCAGTTGTTTCTTGTCTGTTTTAGGTATGCCTGTCTCAATGGTAGGTGGGATGGGCATGCCTGTGTCTGGAATAATGCCCCAGGCTTCTTTGGGGACAGCAACTATGACAACAGGATCATTGAGTATGGGGCCTCGTATGGCTAATGGTGCAGCAGGAACTATGTTACCAGCTGGAAACCTTGGTCATGTACCACTTGCTGGGCCTGGTCAAATGACAGGTACATCATTACTGCTGAAATAATAACCATTCCATAATATTATGTTTGTTTTTCAATTGTCAATTTTATTAATTTTTTTTGTGTGCTATTAATGTATGTTGAAACTTTATCTTACAGCTATGCCAGGGACTGCAGCACCTCCTTCAGGGTAAAAATGCTACATATTTAAATTCATTATAAATTTGTAGTTTTTACCCAAGCTGTAGCTGTTTGGCTCAAACTTACAAGTTTAACATGAAATTGTTGTTTACTGACACAGAATAATTTTTAAAGTACCATAAGGATCTCTATTAGACAGTATTACTCTTTTTTGTTTTTGTAAGATTTAAAAGCTTAAAACTATTTGTAACAATTTGCTATTTTCATTTTTAGTGGTAGCATTTGGGCAATGGCTCATAACACCAAGTTAAAGCACACGCAGACTTTTAATGCCAATGATAGAAATAAAAGGGGTTATCTTCTTGGTGAGTGTTCATTAATTTTTTGCTTATAAATACCTCATTTTAATTTTTTTTAAAGTAGATTGAGCTTTATACTGAGAGATTAGACCTGTACAGCTTTTTACAGTGTCAACTTAAAATGTAAGGCAATCCAGTAATATCGACATCATATAGAAAGTCTCATAAGGAATATTACACATACTATTCATTTAATGGATTTTTAAATAATTTCAGGTGTAGAAGCAAGGGCAATTTTAATGCAATCTGGGCTGCCTCAAGCTGTTTTAGCTCAAATATGGTACAGTTCTATTTTCATTTTATCAAAGTAGCCATTCTTTTTTTAAACAGTCAAGTTTTCATATTTTTTCTTATCATTCTCATTTTTTCTTATCATTCTTAGGACTTTATCGGACATAGATCGTGATGGAAAACTTACTTGTGATGAGTTTTGTATCGCTATGCATCTATCAGATTTAGCTAGACTAGGACACTCACTACCTGCAGCTCTACCTGCTGAGCTGATGCCAACAAAAGCAAGATCAGGTAGCCTCACTTCACCACCTAATTCTGCCACTTTGCCAGGTAAAGAATTTTATTTTTGTTTTTATTGCTATCATAAAATAGCTCCTTGTTTTAGTATTTAATAAACCTTGTGTTGAAGTATTTTCTATAATAATTGTTTTTTATTTTAATCTAGCTTTTAGATTAACACTTACATCTTTTCATCCCTTTCAACAGCACCCAAGCAAGATGCCTTCGGAGACCTACTATCCACTGCTGGAATGCCTGTGTCTGTACCTAATGCAGTCCAAGCTCAAGCAGTAGAAGAGTCCGCAGACAGCAAAGGTATAGCCTGTTTCCTTAATGATTTTAGTTGATTTGGCATATAAAGAAAAATAAGTCAATGCTCTGTTTTTATTGGTTTTCCAGTGACTTTAGAAGACAAACGTAAAGAAAACTTTGATAAAGGACAGGCAGAACTAGAGAGAAGAAGAGCTTTGTTACGAGAACAACAACAAAAGGACGAGAATGAAAGGCTAGAAAAAGAAAGACATGAAGCTGAAAAAAGAGAAAGACAAAGGTATTTTTACTTGATTTCTTAATTTTTTCCTCACACATGTATTAAACTTGGCCAGTTTCAAACATCTTTATTAATATTCAAAACCTGTAGGCTTGAGGTTGAGAGTCGTCGACAAGCAGAACTGCAAAGACAATTAGAAAAACAAAGAGAAAAAGAACGTGAAATTGAGGAGCAAAGAAGAAAAATGATGGAACAAAGAGAGGTAAGATTCATCATTGTCTGTAGCTTAGCTTAAAGCAAGGCATTTGAAAATCAACTTATTTAGCCTTTTTTTATTACCTATTTGTCTTTGTTGCTGTAGACTATTTTAATACAGTTTTTAAAACCACATTTTATAAGATTCTTTGGATATGGATGTGTCCTTTTATAGGCTGCTCGTCGAGAGTTAGAACGTCAACGTCAGATGGAATGGGAAAACCAACGAAAAGAACAATTAATGGCCGAAAAACAAAGAGAATATGAGCAGTTAAGCATTATGAAGTCACAGATGGCTAATTTAACAAATGAATTAGAGTCGCTGGTAAGCTCTAACCTACCAAAACTATTAAGATGTAAAAATATATTTTATCAATATCTGTGGTCAGTGATTTTATTATAGTACTACTAGGTCTAATTTCTGTTAAGTATATTAAGTATTTATCAACATTTACTTCCCATTTATTTATTTTTTAAATTCTGATTTAAGAATGCAAAGAAAGCTGAGCTGTCTCAAAAAATTATTGGTGTTCAAAAGGGCGTAACAGATTTCACATCTAGCATAGATGCAATGCGGTTGACAAGAGACAGAACATTAGCTGATATTGATGTTTTCGAGAGGCAATCAGTGGTTAGTTGTTTTTCTTCTTGTTTGATTTTTATGGCTCTTTCATAAGAAACCTTTTTTTAGTTTGTATTTAAAAAAATTTGAAAATATTTCAGTCATTATCCATGAAGTATATAATGTACTGTTTTGCTGATGCTTTTTAAAAAATATGTATTATTCAACAAAATAATTTTGTAATATTTGATACAAAGGAACTTAACAGAAAATTAGCTGTACTTTCTGGAGAAAAGGATCAACTCAATGTCCAAGTTCAGACTGGTCATGCTACTCCTCTATGTAAGTCTGAAACTTGAAATGTTGTTTACTTGCTGCTATTTTTTCTGAAGTCTTTGCTGTCTATCACAAACAACTATTACAGCTGATGCGCACCGAACAGTGATGCACAGTGTAGAGACAAAGAGAACAAGTATCCAACAATTTAAAAAAGAAATTGAACAGCTTGAAAGTGATACTGAAGCAAGACTTGGGGAGATAGACTGTAACAATGCTGAGTTGAGGGTAACTAAAACAAATTTTTAAGTTGAAATATAGTTTCAAATTATCTGTTGTAGAAGTAAATATTAATTGTATAGATAGTTGTAAAATATATAATTTGTTTTGTAGTTTAAGAAAAGTAAAGTATGCAATAATAAAATTATTTGTATTTTCATTACCAAAGTAAATTGTACTCAAGTTTACGCTATCTTTGTAGAATCTAAAAGAACAGTTAAATAAACTGGAGAGAGAATTACCACTGCTCCAGAAGCAGCATGAAGAAAGATTAGCCCAGCAAAAGAAAGCTACTTTAGAACTTCAACAGAAGCAAAGGGCAGAAAAGGAACGACAAGAAAAACTTAAGCAGGATGTTGCACAGCAGGCAAAAAAGTAAAAATAAAAGAAACCATTATTTCAATTTTATGTTATTCTAATGATAATTTTGAATAAACAGTTGCCTTTTTTATAATAATACTAAAAATAAAAAAATTATATTATGGATAATAAAGTTAGAGCATTGAAAAGAATTTTAATAAGGTGTTAATTTTCCAGAGCAATTCAGAATGAGGCAACAAAACCTGCAACAAACTGTGAGTAAAAATGAACTTTTGAAAAAGTATTGTTTACCAAAATGTTAAAACTTTTTCACATTCTGAGACATGTACTTTAAATAAAACATTTGTTATTACTTTGTTTCTCTGTCACTGAAGTTAGTATATTGTATTTCTGATATTCATTTTTTCTCTCTTTTTTTTTTTTTTTTTTTTTAGCCCAGCCTAGTTGGTTTGACTTCCCTGGTTCTGGTGTTTCTAGCAGTGATGGTGGAACCAGCTCTGCTAATAGCTGGGATGCAGGATTTTCCAGCACTGCGATGTATGACAATACACCAGCTGCCTGGAACTCTAATGGGGCAACAACAGCTGGAGGTAACAATTTGTTGTTTTTATCTGTTAGAGAGTGCATTTAATTTTCTAAATTGATAATAAGGTTGATTAATTTATTAAGTATTGTATTTCAGTGAAAATTTTGCTTTGCTTTATAAAAAAAATGTGTTGTTGTTTGACAGGTTCACAGAATAAACTTAAGTATAGAGCTTTATATGATTTCCAAGCATCTAGAGATGATGAATTGTCTTTGGTAGCTGGCGCAGAATTATGGGTAAGAGCTTCTGTTGTAGATTCAATAAAAACTATATTATTTTAAATTTGTAAAGTATGAAAAAGTTAAACGTTTGTGTCTTTGTATATCTTTAATGAAACAGGTATTCTCAGACTTCACTCCTATTCCTGGTATGGAAGACTGGCATAAAGGAGATTACAATGGTAATATTGGCTGGTTTCCTAAAGCTTATGTTGAAAGGCTTGATGAACCTTCTGCTGATCCTTTCGGGTAACTATTTTGTCTTTTATTTTGTTGTTCCATTATTGATGTTTGATGAGTGTTATTGGCATTAACACATTTTTAAAAAACTTTGAGAGCTTTACTTTATTGAAATTACAATCTTCAATTGCAGCAGTGCTTTTGATACTGTTATTTCAAATGCTCCAAAAACTCAGACAGAAACTGAACTTTTTGGATCAGCCTTTACTCAAGTAAGAAAATATCTCACACAAATTGTTTTGTTTAAATCACACCATTAAAACAAGTTGAATAATTTCACTTTTAAAAGCTTCAGTTGTTTATATTTGATCTTTAAAACCTTTTTTTAAATATTTTGTTAAAGCAAGAACTCAATTTTTTTAATAGCCAAGTGCAATACCATCAAGAGTAGCAGATGAAGTTCCCTCTTCTACTGCAAGTACTGTTCTACAAGATGGTTTATTAGCCAAAGCCATTTATCCTTGGAAAGCAAGACAAGAAACAGACCTTACTTTTGATAAAGATGATGTCATTCTAGTCAAAGAGCAGCAAGAAATGAAATGGTTCGGAGAACTCAATGGAAAGGTATTATTTATACTTATGATGAACTTTTTAAAAAATGGAATAGAATTTGTAGGTTGAAACTTATCAATAATTGCAAAATAAGAATAGTAATAAAAGATTCAGAGCAATATAATTGGTGTAACCAATGTATACTTGTAAGGGTCTCTGATTTAATTTATTATGAGATATTTTTTTTTAATACTGAAAACAGCTTAGCACTTTAGAATAAATATATTTGACAGTCATAGGGTTAAAACGTTCTCTAATGGTCAACTTTTTGAATTTTTCAGAATGGATGGTTTCCTAAAGCATATGTTAAACTTATAGGTGTAGCTCCAAAAGCCGGGTAAATATGTTTTTAAAATTATTTAACTAGTTTTATTTTTAACGTTTTTATTTTAAATTAAATATTTTTAAATAAAATCTTTTAGATTATCAGTAGATGATAGCATCTCTAGTCAAGTGCCAGCCTTGGATATATCTAGTCCTGCTGCTTCAGATGTTCAAGGAGGTATTGCTTAAAAATAGTTTAAACTTTTCTTAAGGTTATTTCTATAACTGCCCTTGTTCAACAGAACTTTAATATTTGCTATATGAAGAATCTTGGATATGAAAATTCCCCTTTGTATGTAACCTTTTTCTAACTGCATGGTTAACCTGTTTTGATTTAGAGTTACTTTTTAATAGCACATCGCTTGCAGAAATAAAAATCTAGGAATTTCGTCATTTGTTTCCAGAGTATTATATAGCAATGTATTCATATACATCTGAAGAAGCAGCAGATCTGAATTTTAATGAAGGTGATATGATTTATGTAACAAGTACTTCTGGAGATTGGTGGAGTGGAATGCTAGGAGAGCAAGGAAAAAGTGGGATTTTCCCAGCTAATTATGTCAAGAAGCTAGAAATTCAGGTTAGTTCTTATGTTGTGATGTCAGTTTAATCTGTATGGCTTCTGTTGTATGATATAAGATTGATGTTTTTCTGTAAAAATGGAAAAATACCACATAATATATAAGGTATGCTCAAACCTTATATGTTTGAACATGCATGCTAACACACTTTGGGTTGTTTCAATGTAGTAAAAAGTCTCTAAATTATAAAAGTGCAGAAAATAAAAATACTGAAATAAAAAATTGAAATTATGAAAAGAGGTTAGCTCTTTCAGCCTGATGGTAATTTAATTATTACATTGCAAAAGTTAAAGGATTTTATTTTACTGTCAGTAGTTTTGGAAGTAAAGGGTTTCATAGACCGTTTTGCATAAATATGCACCACAAACATCATTTTAAAAATAATTTTTTTAAAACAAACATACATTTATTAATAGAATGAACAAAAAAAAAAGAAAGTAGTATTTTTTTTTTAAAGAAATTCTTAGATTTATACTTTACAAATATTTGAGTTAGTCTAACTTCTATTTTATTTTCAATAATTGGGACCTAATATTACTACTTTTTATTATTTTTCTCCACTTTTGGAAAAAGGAAGAAAGCAAGATATTATTGAGTATTAAATTAGTAGTTTTTTTACTTTCAATTACATAGCACAGATAAATAAAGTTTTGTTTGAGGTCTTGATTGAATTTGTAGAGAATATCTTCATTAGCTTTAACATTGTACATGTCCTGTAAAAAAAGTTAAACTGTGTTTTTGCTGCAGTTATTCCAATTACTGCCATTTCTGATTTTTCCAGCCTGTCAAAGTGGATTCAAAGAATGCAAAAAATAGTAACATTGATAACTTCTTAAATGACTTTACTAATCCTACAACAGTTTTATCTAGTTTTGCATCTAATTCAAACAGTGATAATTATCCTCCATTTAACAATCAAATTAAATCTAAAGATCCAGAGTTAGATTTTCTCACACTTGGTTCTGCTAGCATCCCACCAATACAAGTAGGAACACAACCTCAGCAGGTAAACCCTATGGATGAATTTGGATTTTCAAGTGCTGGGTTTGTTAGCAATAGTTCTGTGCAAGCTAAAGAATCCAGTTATGATGATATGTTTGCTGAGTTTCTACAACCACCTTCAAGCTCTGGTTCCCAATCTGGACAACCTGTCCTAAGCAAGAAAAGTAGTAGCATGGGGGATCTGCTTGGGACAATGGCTGACCCTTTTGGTGGCGATGACCCATTCGGAAATGATCATTCTTTTTCTGGCAACAGTTTTAACAGGACAGGATTTCAGCCTACAACAGACCCTTCCTCACTTTTGGAAAATGGGAGTTTTATAGATTCTTTGAAGACACCCGTTGATTTGGTTGCAAATGCAAGCTTCATTGATAATTTAAAACCTAGCATTAGCCTTCCTGATATACTTGACCTGGAAAATGATGCTTCACAAAACAACTTATTTGATATGGACTTGAGTGGCTTTACAAAGCAGCCAAATGCTCGGCCTAAAAGTGCTGTTAGCTTTAGTGATGAATTAAATAAATCTATTAAAAAGTCAAGTGCCAAGCCAGCACCTCAGCCACCTGGTGTCAAGCAAACACCACCTCCCAAGCCCAGCCCTAGAACTGCAGTAAGAAAATACCGAATTTTTGTGCACTTTGTTTTTTCAACCTTACCCATATTAAATACACCTGTTCTCTCAGTTATTAACAGAATAAACTTAACTTTATGACGCCATTGCAAAACCTTTTATAAAAAAAAATTTACTACATATTCCCTAATGGTGCAGTACTTAAAGTGACTGTTTGTCACAAACACTTAGCATATACTAAATACAACAATTTTTTAAACAATGATTAAAACATCAGGATCTAGTTTTGGTAACAGTTTGTTCCTGCTTTTAAACTTTTTCACAGCCAATTATAAATGGTATAAATTAATTTCCCAACACCTTCCTATTCCATCATCCAGATTAAGTTTTTTGTGTACCATACATTACCCCCTGATTTGTTTTATGTTTATTCTAAGGTACTTAGTTTATTATTATTAAGTTTAAATGTATGCACTTTTTACTAATGATTTAAAACGGTAACCTTAAATGGAAAAAAATCAATAAATTATTAAATGAGGAAAACACTAATCTTTGACTGATTATTATTGTCAAAATTGGTCTTCGAATTCATAAATAAACAAGTATAAATTTGGAATTTATTTGCATGCATTTTATAACATCAGTGTTATTTTTCTAATGTTCATTTTTATGAAGCTGATTCTTTGAAAGTTGTACACTAAATCCTATTAAGTTATATAAAAAGATTTATGTAATTTTAAACTGATAATAGTAACACTTATTTCAATCATGTTCTAATAAAAACATAACCTGTATTTCAAACTTTGTACATAAAAATGTGTATTAATTACTGAAATTGTTGTTAAACAGCAACTAGAATATTATTATTGATACTATAAAACTGTTTTGTATAACTTCTGCTTGTGATGAATTTGACTAATATAATAATAATTTTGTTCAGATATTGTTTATGATCACAAAGTAAAGCAAGCACAATTATGAGCAAAACCTTACCTGTCATGTACACCACCAATTACCCTCCTCAATCTATTCCATTTATTTAACTTTGTATAATATGTTAACCAGAGAGTTCTAAACATGATTAGGGTTCTTTACATTATTGTTTATGACATTAAGTTGTAGTTCAACATTTAATCAATGATTTATTTATATCTATTTACCTATTCTTACTTCTATTTAGCCTGAACAGAAGAGTGTCAAGAAACCAGGTAAAATTGTGTTTTGTTTCAAGTATTTAATTATCATTAAAATCTTCTAGAAATATCAGAGGCTTTTTATCCATTATGCAAATTTTGTTAACAATTTCCCCACAATTTTGGCTTACTGTTTTAGTATTATCATTTTCAGAAATAGCAAGAGTTATTGCACCTTATGTGGCAACGGGTACAGGCCAGTTAAGTCTTGAGACTGGCAATCTGATCAATGTTAGGCAGAAAAGTCCAAGAGGATGGTGGGAGGGAGAACTGCAGGTAAACCATTTTTGTTGTATTTGTTTACATTTTTTTTACAGTGTTTTTAATGTTAGTTGCAATTCTTTTAACATAAATATAAGGGGCATAATTATCTTTTTTTAAATATATATTTTTTTAAATACTATGTTAATAAATCCATAAAATAAAATCCCAAGATCAAACAATATGTAGTATACAAGTACACTGCAAAATAGTACTGTTTTTAAATTGTTGGTAAAATCTTTTACAGGTAAGAGGTCAAAAGAAAAGGATTGGCTGGTTTCCCGCTAACTATGTTAAACTTTTGGGTGCATCAAGTGCGCGGTCAACTCCTGAGCCATCTGTTGCTGCTTTAACTGTGAGTATGCTTTAAAGATTTTCTTGATTTTATATAGCCTTATGGTCTACCAAATTCATTATTTTTAAATTTATATTTAAAATTTCTTGTAATAATTTTTTTTTAAATACTTCCAGTTTAAAAATTAAGTTATTGATTTTAAAAGAAATATTTGTCTATAGATTGGTGCGCAGGGCAGTAGATCAACTACACCACAAAGTACTGCAAGTCAAGAAGGAGTTGTTGGAGCAAATCAATGTAAGCTTTCAATTATACTACTAATCAAAAACTTGAAGTGCTTACATTGAAATACAAATTTTAATTTAACACACATTCAAATGGATATGCATTTACTTTAAATCACTACACTGTTTTTCATTTCAATATACAGTCTTAAAGTAGAAGTTTCTGTTTTGTATTATTACACTTCTACTAGAAAATAGTATTTGCTATGTATTCCTACACTACTCTTTTTCTTTAGTCCCATAGTGTAGGATGACTGTCCCTGATGTTGTCTTCCCTTTTTTATTTTTTTGCCTTCTTTTTTACTGCCTGGTACTGTACCTTGTAAAAAAGTTTTTGCTCGACCAAATGACCTTATGATGTGTCTAAACTATTTTAGTTTTCATTATTAAACTATTGTCAGCAGCTCATTATTTACGTCGACCAATCGCCTTATTCAAAATGTCACATACTGCATTTTTTAGACATTGTCTTTTGTATGTTAATCCTTGAAACTTTCTATAACACCTACTTACCATTCATATAAACCATTTCAGCTGAAACAGTAGTTGCTCTGTATGCCTACGCTGCTCAGAATGATGATGAGCTGACATTCCAAAAGGATGCAGTGATAACTGTTTTAAGTCGGGACAACCAGGACTGGTGGCATGGTCAGTTGGATGGCAAGACAGGAGTATTTCCATCGAACTATGTCACATACAACCCCCAGTCTCAATCTTGTGAGTACATTTCTTCAAGTTTTTTTTAACTTCATTACATTTTACAACCTATGTGTTGGTTTGGCTTTTGGTATTTCAATATTTACTAATATCTTGTATAGACACTACATTTCACTTTTCCAAAAGGGTTTGGTTTGTGTATTAAAATTTTTCCCTCCTTTTGATTTAAAATAACCATAAGGAAGTTAAATTATATGTAGTTTTTTTTTTAAAATATTAATAAGTGTCAGATTTTTTATTATTTATATTTTACAGAAACCAAATAGGTTCTAGATCTAGTTATTTTTTATAAAGTATGATTTTTCATAATTACTTAATACAAATTAACACCTTTTTTAATTATTTTAAAAAAAAAATTTGTCAAAAGTTATTAAATTTGCTGTCATTAAACAATTATCTTGATTCTAAAACTGTTACCATGAGAACAAAGGTTAAATAAAAAACTAGCTTTCACAGCAAACACTGACATCAGTTTTCAAGTCCTTTCATTCAGTGTAGGCCTACCTAAATTTAGACACAAATTCTCAGTTCAAGTTCTTTTATTTCTAATTTTTCACTTAAATGTAAAATTAGAATTTTAGAGTAAAGGAAGTACACTAAAATTTAAAAGTATGAAATTTTTTTTAAAAAGTATGTAAAAAAACATCAAATTAAGTTTTGGAAATGTACAGAATATACTTGGTATGCTATTGCTGCCCAACCCCTTATATTTAACCTGCTTAGTTACATTCTATATAAAATGATTTTTAATTTAGTGCTAACACTTGCCAGTGATTTAGGAGCTGTGGGGAGCGTGCGGTGTTTATGCTGTAAGCTTGCTGTAACAACACATCTCCTTTGTCTATTCTACAGGACAGCAAGTTTGCAGCTGAACACCGCACTGCATACACCTACATGACTGGACTACTGCTTCAGTTTACAGACTCTGTGATCCTATTTTAGATAGCCTAATGTCATGTCTGCATCAGATTAGACCCACTACTTATTTTTGTACCTTTTTAGATAAAGCAGAGAATTGTATGTTATTTATATTGAAGCCAGTGTCTTGCTTTATCTTAGGTTTTGTATCAAAATCTAAGTTGGATGGGTTGTTGGTTGTTTCTTTTTTTTTTTTTTCCTTTCAGTCCTAATTGATTAGTTGTAAAATATGTTAGCTTTCAATTATGAATTGATAGCTGTTGGAAAGCCTTATCTTCTGATTTCTTATACTATTGAAACATTCAAGTTTAAGCAATGATATTTTAATAGTTTTACTATCATTTTTTTTTACATAAATTCAAAGGAAAAGCTAAAAATACTCACAATTTTCTTGAATGTGTACATTTTAGGTATTTGTTTTGTAACATGCATTTATTTGATTACTAGATCTACTGATTGTCTTCATCAGTAGAGTAATTTCAACAAAAGTTTGTAATAAGAGATACATTTTAATGAAGTAGTGCATCTTTATGCTTTTTACATAATTCATTGTTGAAGTTAAGACATAATGAGCTATGTATCTAACTTTAATCTTCTTAGAATGATATGACCCAAATATTCTTAAAGTTTAATAACAAAACACATTGTTTTTTTAAAGTACATAATAACAAATACTTTCACAGATTTTGTCTCACAACCCTTTGTACTTAACAAATAAATTTTTATTTACTTAACTTTTCTTGCCCTTCCCCACTACTAATTCAGCTCATTATTATATATTACTTTTTATTACTATCTGCTTATTTTTCCCTCTAAGTTATGTTTGATTTTACCCTGATCTCACACTACTGTTATCTCTGTACCGGTATATCATTTCAAGTATATCATTTCAATAGCCTTACATTTTGTAAGTTTTCTTCATTTTTGCCTAAATTACTATGGAGCGAGCATAGTAAAACCATGCTCTATAATATTTAAAAGCTTTTATTTTTTACCTTAGGGAGATTTTTAATTAAAATGACATAATACCCATTTAAATAAAAAATGGTTCAAGTAATATTTTTATTCTGTATGTTTCTTTAAATTGTCAAATCCGCTAAGCATAATTGATCAATAAAATATTTTTTTTTAAATTAAGTACAGATTTCTTTGAGTTTTATTAGGTATTATTTATATTTTATACACTTTGAATTTTAGTAGGTATTATTTATATTTTATATAGATATGTTTTCAAAATTTAGTAACAAATGTAAATGTCTCCGCTATAATAGGCCATTAAATGATGAAAGTATTCAGTGTAGACAAATCTTGTTTGCGTAAAAATTATTCTGAAAATTTTACTTTTAAATTTGTGAACAAATAGTAGATTTCAGTTTTCGTCAAAATGGCAGCACTTTTTTAAAAAATCTTTGGTTGTTAATTCTGTTTTAAACAAAAGAAAATTATAGTCTTTATGACTAAATTCAATATAAATAAGAAAAATTTGTTACATATTTTATCAGAGCAATCAAAAACCTTGATCATATAGTGCAGTGTAAAAACAGTATTTATGTAATTATATTATTTAAGTTGGTTTTAGTAACTTGAACTTTTTAAGTATGGTTTTTTCCATAGTACTTTAATAGTCAAGAAATGATGTTCTGTAACTGTTAAGTAGTGTAATTAAGTTTTCAAGTTTACTTATAATGGTTACTCATATTAATATTTAAGTACCAATCTCTAGAGACATTTTAGATGTGTCCACCTGTATATTACCTTAAGTTTTAATCATTTCTTGAAAACTAGCAGTTAAACTTTTATATAGGAATATTTATTTTAAAAATATTTATTTTAATATCAATTGCATAGTACTTTATTTTTATATTTTTGCAAGACATAGTATAATCTGTTGTGATGGTAAATAAACACATGGTAATTATAAATATACATTTTAAATAGAAAGCTATGTAATAAATTATTTTTTAAATATTTTAATTACCTTTAATATAGTTACACATTTTATTTATTTTGTTTTATTGTCAAATCTTGAAATGAATACCATATATAAGGAGGAATAATTAACAATTGAAAATGTAGCTATGAACAATATAAAAAAATTGTGTGATCAGTTATAATATCTGATACCAAATTCACTTTTTGTGAGCCCTTCATTTAATTTTTTCTTTAGCAAACGAAAAATAAATATTAATCAAGCTTTTTTAAGAGTATTTTTAAATGTTTCACCTTGAAGTACATCTCAAGATTTTTACTTTGTTTTTATAATCCACCCTAAGGAGTAAAGCTAACAGATGTATTAGCATTTCAGACACACTGGTTCTCTCTGTCATTGTCTCATATCTGTATTTTTTAAAAAGCAGTTTTTAACATTTCAGTACATTTTCTTTGCATCACAGAAAATTATAAATATTTTTAACAGCAATATTTTAACAAATGTAAGTTGTTTTCAATATTGAAATGTTTTTTTAATATAGGTAACACTTTCTTATAATGCTTTTAAATATGGTTTTGAATTTTCTTTCTTGTATATTAATTAATAAAACACGACTAAAATTAAAATAACTTAAACCTCATTCTTTAAAAAGGAGAAACCGTTATTTCTTCCAATAGATTTTTTAACCCAAGGACTGAATTCTCTTACCTCAGTGTTAAAGGCCAGTGCAATACAAGTGCTGATACAAATGACTTATGATAATCAAGAATATATCTAAACATTAATTACAAATTGTTATAAATTGTTTGTAGAAATTAATAGCAGATCAATATGGATTAAATTAAACAAACTATTGGACAGCATATGCGATCTAAAAGTTTTTGATCTAGTGACATTTTTTTAAACACTTCTCTTTATAAATCTTCAGGCTAATACAAACTTTTCCCAAAAACCAAAATGTTATAGAAACGAGTTAATCAAAAATAGTATATTGTTAATTAAATAATTTTCTTTGTATGTCTTCATCCATAAACATATTTTATTGTCATTAATTTCCTTTGTAACAAGAAGGTATTGTTTGACAATGATACCAATAGAGTGAGTACTGTATTTGTTTTGCTGATACCAAAGTTTCTTTCAGTTCTATGTAGAACATTTTGTTGTTTTTAGTTGTGTCAGTCTCTGGGGACTCGGCATCATTGGCATTTAGCATACAATATTTGTAACCTCATTTTTTTTCTTGCTAGCTCTAGTTCTATACTCATATATAACAAAATGTTGTTAGAAGTTGTATGCCTTTAGTGAGCAGAACATATTTGATTAGAATCAGTATCTAGGTATGGAAGATAACCTTTGCTTCCATCTCTTACCTATACTTCATTGTTACTTGAAAGTTGTAGTGAAGCTTTTTAGTTTAGTTACTTAGTCAGTAATTTAGTTGTAATACACACTTTGCATAATCTTTTGCATTATAACAATTACAATTTAAATATTGTAAAATCAGAGAGTATAATTCTAACAATTAGTAAATTAGCTTTTGTAAACTGTTCATTAGTGTGATAGAATAATAAATGTACTGTAGCATTAGAACTTATACTTTAATGTTCTCACAATGTTAAAGAGGCATTTGTTTTTAAATTTTAAATCAGTTTGTTGGCTACCAAGATATTACTTTGTTGATTGCTTTGGTGTATATTTGCTTTTATCTTGCTTTCAATAAACCCACCAGTAAAACATTTTTTCTGTGTATTAGTGAATTGAAGAACATTTATCATTTATAAAGGTAATTAGTTACAGAAGAAGATTAATCCAGTTTTAATAATTATTACTTTTCTATTATATCAAGGAAGTTTATTTTACTAAAATATATATTAGGATAAGATATAGTTTTTTTTCTTTATCTTATCTAGATTTGACTTAAATGTTAAATAGCTAATTTGATAAATGACAGAAATGTGGCATGCATTGCTTATTAACTCATTAAGTAGTTTAATCTTATTTAGTATTATATGGATCATACTATATAGCTTTGCAAGAAATACACATCGATGAAACTTGTCCCCATTGATAACTTATCTTTCCACTCAATCAATGTTTAGATAGTAAATATTTATTGTAAAACTCAACTAGTCAAAACTGAATGAAGTTTTACCTGTATTATTGTCAAGATATGTTAGTGAGCAGAGAATATTTTAAATTATGTATACCTATATATGTTAGCTATCAGCATCTGAATATTTTTATTTAGTAACATTTAATAAAATCAGTTAACCATGAAAACATTGCTCAGTTTGTTACTCTTGTTTTGTAGGATAGCATAGCACCAATCTAGTTATCACAACCAAAAATAGGATGGAAAAGTATTCAGCACTCCCACATTCTTTAAGTCCTTAGTAAATTGAAACTCTTGTTCTTAAATGTTTTGAGAAAGGGAACATGAATAGTAGAAAATTTTAGTCGTTACTGTGCATATTTTTAATCTCAAAATCCAAGGTTGGCTGATTTAAATTTATTTGGTTCATTTAATAAAGTTGATACAGATAACATTAAAAATTCATTAATTGTTTATTTAAATAATATGGTAACGTGACAAAATGACAGTGACACAGTAGCTCTCTGACCTGCTATATGATGTTATCCAAATTGAGACCCAAAAAAATGTGTTCATAACTATTCAGCTGCCCCCCCCCCCCCCACACACACACACAAACACAAAATCCTCCACAATCTACCCACAACAAAAAAGTCTAACATTAATCAATATGGCTCACAACATAGGGGTCGACCATAAATGGGGGGAGGGGGTCTGTAATTTTGTGACGGTGTGTGATGAGGGCGGGGGTTAAGATGGTCCGGCGTCACACTTTTGCATTATAAAAAAGCATTGTTAGAAAACAAATTTTAGACAATATTTCGCGTTTTAGAAAACTTTTAATTAATTGTAATAGGAATTGATTAAAATACTTTATTTTGACAGAGTTCAGACAAGATTTTAGAAAAATATTGATGTTTTAAAAAAATTCAACTGCAATTTTGAGGGGGGTTGTAGGCTGAGGTGTGACGTCATTTTAGGGGGGTCTGGCTTTTTGTGACGGAGGGGAGAGGGGGAGGGGGGGTAAAAGTCATCAAAAAAAGCGTGACGTCATTTATGGATGACCCCATAATGAATCCAGACAAAACAACAAGTGACAATTTAGCTACCAAAATATTACAATAATAGCACACTACTGAAGAAAGATAACTGGGCATATATTCACCTGAGGAAACTAAAAGGAGGAACTTAATCTACATGGGAGCTAATGTATGACAGGATTCTATATATGACTAAACCTTTTAATGAACAGCTGGAGTGTAATAGTAGGAGCTTACACTGTGTAAAACCAAATTACTGTCCTATTGACGATAATGTATTGACAGGGCTGTATCATTTCAGGCCAATTTGGTGGGGACAATTTGTCTGTCGTTTTTACCACTGCACAAGCTCAGAAATTACAAAATAGTAAATTATACATTTTGAGAAACTAATGAAACTATTGTAAATTGAGATCAGATATTGAGATTTTGATTGTAACATTTAAATGATATAATAAAAATATAATTTTTTACAATGGTAGGCCTATATAAAATATTAGATCAGTAAAAATTTTGTTTTTAATTCAGTGATGGTTTTATTCAACTAACAAAAAAAAAGGGGCATAAACAAAACAATTCTACAAAGTAATTATAAAAACCAAGGATATTTTCATAATTGGTGCTATTACATTCAATGACTTGCAAAGAAACAACTATATGAAACATAAAGTATACAATGATTAGTCACATGTCTGTCTTATTTTAACATGTATTACACTGAGGTTTATGGCTGGTAAACTACTTCATCTTTTATATTAATTGCCAGGCCCTTTGGTAAACTACACTGTGAGGTTTATAGCTGGTAAACTACACTGTGAGGTTTATAGCTGGTAAACTACACTGTGATGTTTATAGCTGGTAAACTACACTGTGATGTTTATAGCTGGTAAACTACACTGTGATGTTTATAGCTGGTAAACTACACTGTGAGGTTTATAGCTGGTAAACTACACTGTGAGGTTTATAGCTGGTAAACTACACTGTGAGGTTTATAGCTGGTAAACTACACTGTGAGGTTTATAGCTGGTAAACTACACTGTGATGTTTATAGCTGGTAAACTACACTGTGAGGTTTATAGCTGGTAAACTACACTGTGAGGTTTATAGCTGGTAAACTACACTGTGATGTATAGCTGGTAAACTACACTGTGAGGTTTATAGCTGGTAAGCTACACTATGAGGTTTATAGCTGGTAAACTACACCCTAAGGTTTATAGCTGGTAAACTACTTCATCTTTTATATTAATTGTCAGGAGACTTGGTAAATTAAACTACTAAAGTCTACATGGCTTACTGATGGTGGTGAGATACATCTGCCAGACTGGTAGGCTGGCTTAACTGACATATTTAGTCATCTAATAACTATTAATGATGCTAAACACTTAAGCATCATGGCTTACAGCTTATCACTGTAGAAGCTAAAATTATATTTGTCTTTTTTATTTTCTATAGTTCTAGATTCTACTTATATTTAACATTAAGAAAGTGTTTTAGTCCTATCATATTTTTGTGTTTGGCTAATCTTATCTTTTTAAAAATGATAGTAACCAATTTAATGGCAATAATGTAATTGTTTTGTTTTTGTGGAGCTGGAGTTCTATATTTAATTTAGTTAGAGCCAGAAACAATTCTTTAGAGAAATTATTTATTTTATTTAAAGGGATGAATGACACTCAGGGAACTCTGTCAAAAGATGAACGCAAGAGACAACACGCAATACAAGAACTGATTAACACCGAAGAATCTTATAATTCAGACATGCAAATTGCACTTGAGGTAACAATTCTTTTTATATGGCAGATTAACAAAATATTTTGAAACACATTTTTGGATTTATCCACTTTGTAATAAAAAACTGATGTTAGCTAGCCTTGTTTGGAAATTATGTTCCTGGTCAGTACTCACTTTAGCTAGCTTTGTTGGTAATTTAGAAATTATCTCTAGCTTTTAATTAATGTGTTAATTCTATATGTAATAATTTTAGTATATTACAGATTATTTCTCCACCATACTGGTATTTCTGTACTTCCTTGTTACCATACCGAAATATTAACTTGGAAATGATAAAAGAGATATTACGTAAAATTAGTAAATCTGTATTGTTTATTTTAAAATTTCCATAGGTGTTCAAAAAGCCAATGCTTGCTGCCAATACTATTCCTAAAGAATCTGTTAATCAAATTTTTATAAACTGGGAAGAATTAATAGTCTGCAATAAAAAGCTTTTACAGTAAGTACATTGTTTTAAATATCATTACTGTGAATTAGTTTGAAAATCTGAAATAAAATTTTGGCTCATCATGATGAGTTACTTGCTTATAAAATTTAATCGTGTAAGATTTAGGTTTTTTTTAAATTACAAGTGATGTTTCTTGAATATTTTAAAAAATCCTTACAGTAGTTGATGGTTTGTTAGTTAACATTGGCTATGCATCAATATCTTTTAAAAATATTTTCTTAGAGCCTTAAGGGTCAGGAAAAAAATGTGTGGTAAAAATGGAGTTATAGTCAGCATTGGGGATATCCTTTGTGAAAGTGTAAGTATATTAATTAATTATTAATAATTAATTATTAATTAAAGTAATTGGCTTAATTATAGGACATATCAATATATGGTTTTATAAAATTGTTATTTTTTTGTTTTTATAATTATCATCTATAAATATGTAAATTCATTCAGAAAATGTTATAACATATTGAGAAAGTAAGTATCATTGTTTTTTAGATTGACTCCCTCTGTACAGCTGCAGTTGGAGAGAAGTCAGTACAAAATGTAATAAAAACTCTAACCCATCTCAACTCCACAGCTTCCTCACATGAATCCTTACATGCGTTTTTGTAGCTGCCAGCTTTCTGCTGCTGCCACTTTACAGAGAGTGGCTGAGTCTTCTCCAGCATTCCAGGAATTTCATAAGGTTCAGCTTATTTGTTTGTTGTCCTTGTGTTGTTTTGTTTTTTGAAGATTTAGGAAACATACTTATGGTTTTGTATTGGATGTTTAATGCCTAATTTGTATTGGAGAATCAGTGTGGGCTGGGTTGAAAATTTGCTGAATCAAAAATGCTTTTAATTTAAATAATGGGATGGGGTTTTTTTTAATGTATTTGTTGAATGAGGATTTCACCCTAATGAAACAAATAATTTATTTTACTGCCTAAATTCAGCAACTAATCAAAGGTATGTTTTGACAGGCTTGCATGCAGAACCCCAAAGTGAAAGGTGTTCATTTGAGTGGTTATCTTCTCAAACCCATGCAGCGAATTACAAGATATCCATTATTGATTGAAAAGGTGAGTGTAGAAAAATGTTAGTTCATTACTTATCATTGTAAAATCTCACTTGTACTTACTAAAACCAGTAGTTTTGTTTTCTCCTTTGCTAAAAGATTTTATCCAGCACTCCACCTGACCATGCTGACAGGGGTAATTTGGAAGAGGCCTTGACCTTAGCACAGGAGCTGTGTAGTCAAGCTAATCAGTGTGTGAAAGAAAAACAAAACTCTGACAGTCTGGAGTGGATTCAGGCTCATGTCCATTGTGATGGTTTAGCTGAAGTAAGTGTTTACTTGAATTATATTACAGCAACACTGGTTAACACATAATAATATATTTAGCTAACTTAACAAAATAATATGTTTTACATTAAAACAATATTCTTTCAGAATATCATTTTTAATTCTTTAACAAATTGTATGGGTCCAAGAAGACTTCTTTTCCATGGAGTTTTGTATAAGGTATGTCTAATTACCATGTTCAAGTTATGCTTACTATTTAATTTTTTAAAAACAAGTATCATTAATAACAATGCTTGTCTTTTAAGTATCATTACAAATTTTGCAAAAAAAAATGATAATGTTGATGTGTGGTAGAGCACACAATTCTTAAACTGACTTGATGGTGTTGTTTCTGGACTGGAAGAGAAGGGTCTTAATTTATCTAAAAGTGCTTGGGAATTTTTCCTCCCTCATAATTTCTAAATACACAATGTCCACAGAAATAGATATGCTTGACCTCTGTTCTTTGAACCTTTGTTCTCAAAAATGAACTTTTTAGCTTAAAAAAAATAATTCTACATTTTCTTATTTTCATAGGTCAAAAGCAATAAAGAGCTTGTTGGGTTTCTTTTCAATGATTTCTTGTTACTTGCACAAACATCAAGACCACTTGGAAGTAGTTTTAGTACAGTGCATTTGTTTGATACCAACACACAATTTAAAATGTATCGTTTGGTAAGTTGACTTTACCCAGTACTAGACATTAACACATTTGTATTAATAAACCAAAATTCAAAACTGATTTTTCTTATTTATATTATTTATAGTACTTTATTATTTGTACAACCCAGAGGCTATGACGATTGATAATTTGAATTTTTAAATATATTTTTAATGCAGCCAATATTTTTAAATGAAGTCACAGTCCAAAAAAACAGTGATGATTCTGAACCATGCAGCTTTCGCATTACCAGTGATAGAATTATAAATCTTAAAGCTGTTTCATCAGTTGAAAGGTACTGCACAGCTGCTTGCATCTTCTAATCCATTCCATATTATTCTTCTTTCCTGACAAAACCATATTCTTTTTGAACAAAAAGTGTGTGCATGTAATTTATCAAAAACCTGTCCTCCCAATGTCATAAAAATTTTTGTTGACCTTATTCTAGAGACACCTGGGTAAGGGAAATTGATGCAGCTTCCAAGCAATACAAAGATAAAGCCATGAGAAAGTTAGAGAGAGCACATTCTAGTAAGTAGTATCAATCCTTTAACTAATTCCATTGAGATCATATACAGTTGATTACATACTTAAAGATTGTTATTATGATAAAGTATAATAGCTATAAGATAAATATGATTTCCTTGTGCTATAGTTAAAAAATTGAGAAGTGATTTCTGATGATGGCATACATTTATAGAATTTTGTCAAGCTTCATCTGCAGCTGTTATTGAGAACTAATTAAAAAACATTTAAAAATCGCATTAATTTTTTTTTAACACTAGAAAAAAGTTAATTACATAGATAGCTAATGAGTTTTCATTTGTTTATTATTTACCAAATTAATACCACCCGTCTATTGTTTCAGATTAGTGGTCACACTACAGTATTTCTCTGTTGTAACATTTTTTAATTAATTAATTGTTTGCATTTTCTTAAAACATCAATTATTGCAGCACCCAGATGTGGATGTCTTTGAATTATTGCTATTTGCTTTGTGTATACAAATTTGCTGTCATGTTGAATATATTTTTTGTTCTATATATATATATATGTATATTGTATCTGCCAAATTAAATATAGACACATCTTAACACCAAAAATATCCAACTGTACCTGTAATAAATTTTCCCCGTCTGCACAATCTTTAGTCCTGCGAGCAAAGCCTGTAGGGAGAGTACTGGTGGTGGTGGAAGAGGGTGTGGGCTTGAGGCCTGCCCTTGATGCTGGTAGGTGAAGCCAAAATGAGTTTCTTTGGTCTGTTGGGTGTTGTATCTTCACAACTTCACTGGTTGAGCTTTTTCTTTTTTATTTAGTTTCTGCATCAGAGTTTGAGCAGCATTCATTTGCATGTCTTTACTTTTTTAATGCATTCATTACAATTTTGCATGTTTACAAGAGCAGTTTAGAATGTTTTTGAAAACTCTTTGCAAAAATAGTTCTTTTTAGCTCAGTTTTATAATTGAAAAGGATTGTAAAATGTAATAAAATATTTTACAGTTCATTCAATTTTTTACATTTTGTACAGTACAATTCATAATGTTTTTTATACAGAAGCTTTAACAGAAAACGATAACCACATCTATTGCTTAAATTTTATGTTAAAATCAGTTTAATTAAAAGTAATGACTTTGCCAAAAGATTTCTAAGATTAAAAAAATGGTAATAGTAATTTCATTTAATTATCTTCATAAAGGAAGAAAACAAAATATTGCAAATTTGTTTTTATACTTTATTTTAATTTTTTTTATAATTCCAGTACTTTAATTTTTTAACATTTTAACCTGGATGTATTGTGAATTTTTTTTAAAAACTTATTATTTTGTCACTAGAATTTATCATCAGTTACTGCACGTTGATTTTAAAAAAGTTTAAAAGCTTTAATTTGAAATGTTGCATTTTGACACTTTTTAAAAACAAATTACTTTAATTCAACCATGGTTAACAAAGCAGTTTGCAATATCCAAAAAATAAAGATACTTATCAAATGTATCTTAAATTCTTCCTCCTGAGAAAAACCTTTAGTCTAATTTCTCATTTCCCAGCAGCCTTAGCTTGTAATACATATGTACTGTCTTGTTTTTATTGATACTGTTTTGAAAAATTTATTTCTCATTTTCTTCTTCATTGTGGTTATCGTTGAGTCCTCCAATCATGAAGTTAATTCTTATACCAGTTCTTTTATTTATTTCAAGTAAAATAGCTGAAGCATAAAGTACCATAACTGGAATCAATCATGCTGTAACCTTAAGTGAAATTTACAAGTGTTGTTGATGTTTTCTTATTCCATGAAGGCTCCAATTAAGCTTTTTTAATGATCTTTTTGGTAATTACACCTATTTTTCGGATGCTACGGTCTTGAGCCTGGGTATCCAAGGGTATCCAAATATGTGACATCATTCAATTTTATCCTATGTTAGTGCACTTTAACCAATCAATTTTAATTTAGTAGTGAATATTGCAGATTTTACGGTACACCAGACTCATGTCTTTCTCTCTGTTATTCATCTTGTCATAGTCTTTGTTTTCAGATCTTTATCAAAGAAATTTTATAGCAGTAGTTTATTTTATTTTTACAGGAGAGCTGTCATAATTTTTTTTCTTCATATGCAATTTTATTTTATTACATACAATTTTTAACAACTTTTGTATAAAGGGTTTGAGTATTTTACTAGAAGAATGGAGTTGATGTTTATTTTTCACAATGCATGCTTTTAATCATTTGTTTTGCACTTTTCTGTTTTTCTTTTAACGCACGAGGTGCCATGTTGTTTGTCTTTTGTTAGTGAAGCGCCCTAGTGGTCGAATACTTGTTGTTATTCAGGAGGCTTGCCATCTTAAAGCCTCTGATTCAAATGGTAAGTCAAGCAAATTCATGTCCAAAACTAATGGAAAGCACTTGCAGTACTAATGTGATAAAAACATATTGAAAGCAATAGCTGAAGATCCTGCTATTAATAAGCTGTTGTTTATTTTTCTTAAAAAGTTAAAGACTATTAATGGTAGTTATAATAGTAATCTTGCTAAAGCTTAAAATTTGAAATGTTAATAATCCTTAAACAATATTGATTCATACTAAATTATTTCCTATAATTTTTGTCTTTAGGTGTGTTTGTTTTAAAATTCCCCAAAGATATTGAATGAATTGAAAGCTAATGTACAAAAGGCTACAATATTAAGAAATAGATCATGTGAAGTTAAAATTTGAGTTTGAATGTTAAGCAGGATTCAGCATTGGAACTTAGCTTTTAAAAAAATAATCATTAAAAAAAATTTAAATAATTGTAAAAAACTACGTATTTAAAAAAAGAATGTGTTGTCATTAGATGAAAACTACATTTATTGATTACAATGTTTTTTCATTAATCCATACTTGTTTGCAACACTTTTGATGGGTATGATTTACTTGATTAGAGTTATTTTTACTTAATTAGGTTTGTCTTTAACTTGTAAATTGCTGTTGGCAGGAATTTGTTATTTTTAACACAGCATGTTAATAACCCTACACATTTATCATTATTTTTTGCAGTTTTGCTGCAATTTATTTTTTAAATAACCAAAAGTGTTTAGTTAATTAACTGATGAGATAATAATTTTACATGTAAAAATTATTTAATTAAAAGTGAACAGTTAAATAAGGTCGCACATAATAAAATTAGTCACCATTTTTATATTGAATTATTATTCTTTAAAATTTGGTTGTGTTATATGGGGATAAATAGAAATGTATTGAATTGATGAAAACAAAAATTTGTAATTAAAGTCATTATGGTATTATATCACTATTAAATACTTTTGTTAATAATTTGTCAGTTAGTGCTAATCTATTTAAAATGTTTTCTCTAGCTAGTATTTGTGTAATAATATCCTGAAATGAACTATTTTAGGCAAAAGTGATCCTTACTGTGAGGTCAGCATGGGTTCTCAAGAACACAGGACAAAAGTTATTCCTGGAACTCTGAATCCTCGATGGAATGCTTCTATGCAATTTCTTATAAGGGATGTTGATAGGGATACTCTTTGTTTTACTGTTTATGATAGGGATCTCTACTCACCGAATGGTAGGTTTTGATATTAAGTCGTTTTAGTTAATATTTATATTGTTTGTTGTCTGTAGACTGGTGATAATCTTCTTAATTTCCAATAGATTTCTTGGGTCGTATCAAAAGTCATTTTATTTAATATTTATATTGTTTGTTGTCTGTATAATGATAATCGTCTTAATTTCCAATAGATTTCTTGGGTCGTACAGAAGTTAGGATAAAAGATGTCCTTGAAAGTGGAGAACGCAGAGGACCAATAACCAAGAGATTAATATTACATGAAGTTGAAACCGGAGAAATCATTGTAAAGTTAGATCTGCAGCTATATGAATCATCATAGAATTTCATTATTTTTGTGTTGTTCATTAGGACAACACATAAATCATTCCCTTTTATGTTTGTTGCATGTTACATTGCATGTAAACTATATAATGTAGTTTAAGATATATTAGTCATTTTAAAGAAATTTATCTATTTATCTACCATCAGTATTTAACACTAATTTTAACACTATAATTTAAAGAAACAAGATATTTTAAATCTGCACACATTTCCAAATATCTGCTCCTCTTTCGCCCCCCTAAAGAGAGCATGTGACTCCTGGCTTAGTATTTTATATTTATGTACATCTCTAATAAATTAAATCAGCCATATATAATTAATTTTGCTAACAATTTTTTATTTAAAAACATATTCTAGTAATTCCGTTTTTTTTTTTTTAAATAAAACTTACATAATTTTAGCCAATTTCCCAAATCATAATTTCTAAATTAGCTAATCAGAATTACTGTGTTTGAAGGTGATTAACTTTAGATTGGTTTTTTACTTTATGTATAAGTTTAATTTTCAGATTGACTAAAAAAACTACTCTTCACTTCACAACAGACTCCTAAACTAAAATTAATATGGAAATTTAAAAATCTTATCAAGTATACCAAAGTATACCTATGCTTACATATGCTAAGGTCACAGAAGCAGGTGAACTCTACTTTTTCTGCCCAATGGATTGCCAGGTCCAAAAAAGAAATTTTTTAAAGCTGAAAACAATAAAGTAATATAATAATTGAAAGGCAAAATTTTTACAACACTGATTTAGGATTTAGTTAAAGTAAAAGCAGAAACTAAAACTTGTAATTATTATATAAATATGTACAAAATCATTCCATTGTTTACAATTTAAAATAGTTTTTCTTTCATTATACACATTTTTAAAGCTACTTCATAGGAATTACATTGACATCGATAATTAAAATACCGTTATCTCAATTTTAATGCTTATTTTATAATGTTTTTACATTCTTAAAATACAAGAAGATTAACAGAGTATATGAGAGATAGAATAACTTCAAGTCTTAAATATTTTGAGAATCTTTTTTGTTTCTTACTGCCACCTAGCAATACTAATTTTAAGCTCATTAAACTCATTTATTAAAGAGAAAAATAAAATTAAAAGGAATAATTAGCAGTAGCGTAGCCAGGATCGTCTCATGGGGGGTTCAAATTTTTACCCTGGGACAAAATTTCGATTTGCACCCCCCCTCATACTTTATATATATATACTGAGGGGTCTATGGGGGAGTTATGACCCCCCCCCCACCTGCCTACGCCACTGATAATTAGAAATATGTTGATAAAATTTTACTATTAAACCAGAACATAAGACATGAGTATAAGCTTTATGCAACTGTAGGCATTGGCTATGCAAGTGATTATAATTCTATGGTTACTTTTGTTAAAATATAATTCAAAATAAGTATGCAATGATGGAACAGAATTTAATAGCATTGCAAACAATTGCAACTATTATAAAATAAATATTAGCAGTCTAAGCAAACATATTTCATGATTTTTTAAAAATGTTTCCCCTGAAAAATGTTACTGTTAAAAAAATTTTTAAATAAAACGTCAGAATAAAATTAGAATAAACCACTTATTTTATTGTGTAAATAATTTTAAATGAAAGGTATTTTTTTAATGCGCATACGCTTTTTTTAAAAAAAAATAACTATTTAATCAATATCTTTAAGTCATATAGACAGGATTTTTAAAAAATAAGTCACAGATTTCTTTACTGTCACAATTGTATAAATTCATTGTACTTTATTGCTAATCATTCCATTTTTCTCTGATATATATTATACCTATAAATGTTTGAGAAGTAGGCCTATAGCGCTAAATAGCTCACAATCATCTTATGCTTAGCTTTGAGTGAGTACAAAATAAAAGTGATAGAAATTTTCACATATAGATTGTTTGTGTGATACAAGCCTTGTTATATACATATATGTTATCCTTAAATATTAGTTACAAGAAATTGGTTTAATGCCTTCGGATTTGTGATAAGGCTAGTTTTGTGGTGTATGGAGTGTGATAAAGGTTATTAGCTTATCCTTTTTGTTAACTGAACATAAATTATAAACATTTTTTTAAATGCTCAGTATTATTGTTTGAAATTTTGTTGATTTATAACTGAGTGCTAGACGTATAGTATTTGACTATTGATAAATTGTTTATAATAAATAAAATAAAATATTTTTCTGTTAACAAAGATTTAATGAGTTTAGTCCATGAAATATTAACGGCTTGTTTTACTATGTTGTAAAGGGAGGCCATCCTGTCTAAAGTTATTATTTTATTAGTTGTTTTATTACCACCCAAGATAATGTAAAATAAGAATACAGGGTTCATATTTTTTCTCACAATGTTTACCTTCATTAATAATCAATACATAATTTTCAGAAAAATGCTTTTAGCTTTTAATAGTATGAGCTTTTACAATAAAGTTTTTTTAAATATTCATCTACATCACTTTCTAAAACAGTTTTTAAAACATAAAATGGTAGAACTGAGAGTTTATAGAAGTGCGCATCATATTTAGCATTTATACTTTTGTTATGAAAAACAAAGGCAGTAAAGTAGCAAGAGGTGTAGACTAGTTGTAAATGGTATATTTAAAATAATTTCAAACCACCTTTGTGTTCAAATCACATTACTGTAGTAAAAATAAAGAATTCATTGTCACCATACAATTCATCACATGTCTTTCACGCTTTATGTTTTGCTTGAACACTTTGTAAATTGTGTAAAAATGTACCCAACTGGGAGGTTACTAAATCATTGCAGCTACTTTACAGTACTGAGATAAATATATTTAACTGTAGCTCATATGCTTTGTTATTTTATCCATGACTGTTGTTTTGACACTTTGCACTTTTCTAATCATTTTTTAAACTGTTTAACCTGTAAATATAAGATTTAAATTGTATATGAACATTTTCTTCTTTTTTTTAAATAGCTGTTTGGTGACTTTTCTATAAAAAAAAAGATCTGGGGAAAAACAGAGTAACAATTTATTATTCAATAATGAATAAATTTTTAGTGCGCAAAATATATTTTGCTAGTAAAATTTAAAATGTCTTTACTTATTACCTTGAATTTTCTATTGAAATCATGTTATTTATTGTTGCAGCAAAAAGTTTAAGATATTTAAATAATATTTATGCAAAATAAAATTCAATAACATTCTTGCATAAACATTTTAGTATTCTTAAGCTTGAGGTAGAAACTGTAAATATTTTATTTTTGTTTTTTTTTATTTGTTTTTTTCTTACCTTTTACTAGTACTTGTCTTCTTGAAGAAAGTAATGCAATCATTAAAAATGTATAGTAAATTTAAATTTTATGTTGCTAAACTTTTTATTATTTTGAGCAAATTTGGTTGTTTTAAATACATACTTTAACTTTATTACTCCTATTGTTCATCTACAATTTAATATGGTGGAAAATAACATGTCTTCTACCCTCCCTTCCCCCCCCCCCCCCCCCCCCCCCCCCCCCCGTCTCGTCCCAGACACATTATTTTTGCTAGTTGTAAATTTACCTTTTAAGAAATCAGAATAGTTTATAGTTTTATGCATTGCTTTTTAATTAGATACATTTCAACACTTTTATTTAACAAATTTCGGTATGTTACAAAAATATGTGATTAGTAATTTTAATTGATTACTCTTGCAACTGCTGCCCATGTTCTAATAATTTCATTTTTAATCAAAGTGTTTACATCAAGCTTATAGTATTGCTTTCCTTTTAAACATTGTTATTCCATTTTAAACATTCACTGACCCTAAGTGTTAGTTATTGAAATAATGTCCATGTAGTCTACGTTTTTAGTAGGTAGGATACTTTTTTCTATGTGTTTATTATTTGAATTAAAAACCTGTCCTTAAGTTAAAACATTTCCTTATACAAAGCTTTGATGTGTTTTTAATGGAGGTGTGGGGCTCTTTCATGTTCTTGTACAAAACTAGACTTTAAAAAGTGAAAGCCAATGACTTAGTTTATCTGTTTATTAAAAACTTGTTTTTTTCTCAGACCTGTTGAATGGTACACATTTTCCTGCAAAATGGCTGTACACCTAACTTGGTTAATTAAGATTGGCACCTGGTTAACAAACCTGAGACTATATAATGCTGATTTCCATATTTTTCAGTGCACAGTTTTAAACATGACTGAGTGATTGGTAAACATAAAGACATCATCTTTTCCCTTTTGCGCCCAAGACACATGGGGCCGCCTAAAATATTCTTATTAAAACAAAAATTTATTAAATAACAAGGCAATTTGTGTAAAAACAGATGTGAGATTATTTAGTTTTGTTTCTTCAAGTCAAGGCTTTGCACATTACATTTTAATAATTTTTTTTTATATTTAATGAAGAAACTAAATGGTTGTTATGCATCATAACAAAATTATTTACAAACTCCTTAAGGTTATGGATTGTTCTTTCATTAAATATTATCATTTGAATATCATTTTTTAACCTAACAGAAAGCATATTACTAATAATCTATTAAAAGTATGTAAAACCAACTAAATTAAACAAGAAAATAAATTCTCACCTCATTCATTTGTTAGTTTGTCTGTGATGAGTTTTAGGCTATTTTATTTGATGGGAATAGAATATTATAAAGCCTTAAATCAGACCACTATGTATACTAAGGTTGAATGGCTTTTTTTTTGTGTTGTATTAAACGTAATGTTTTCCATAACTTGGTTTAAGAAATCCTGTATTACTACATTCGGCTGACACTCTTGTAGTAAAACATTAAACAAACTTCAAAACATATTCAATTTTTTTTTGAGTATTTGATTAAGCTTGATAAATGTGAATGGAAACTGAAATCATTCTTTTTCTTCATTCTTAATTTTAATGTTGGAAGGAATTTCCTCCAGCAGAATTAAGTATTACATGTCATATTTGTAATGTGCCATATAGGCAGTTTATAGGCCTGCTTTTCTTTCTGGATTTGCTTCTATAACCTTTGTCCAACCAAGAACAAACTAAAATGCAGCAGTTTGATTTTGTAGTTGTCTCTCCTATATGGGTTGCTGTCCCCCACTGTCAAGCCACTTCTGGCAGGCGGTTCGAACATTGCACTTTTTGGTTTAGCGACTATCATTCAACCATGAGCTTTACCAAACTGACCACACCAACCCCATGAAACTAAAATAACCACGAGAGACCAAGCACATAGTAGTAGCACAGTAGTTTTGTACATTACAGTACTTATATCCGTGTAAAAGACTCTAAGAACACTGCGCACACACTGCTTGTGACGTTGCTGGTGAGTGCCATTTCAACCTGTCTCTAGCTCTAACCTCACTCTGTTGGAATGTTAGTCCTCTCTTCTTCATTTCTTTCTCCATTAATATTCTGTTACTTTTGGCGTGTTAATTTGCTCTGGGATATTAACCAAAGAGCAATATTAACCGATGTGTCTACTCTCACACTGAGCAAACGATCCAATCATCTCCATCTTCTGTGCTTGATGATCTACCGTAGTGCTTGAATGGATGTTAACTCCTACTTTGTGATGGTGTGTGGCCAGAAGAATCTGCTAGCACTTGCTCTGGAGAATTTCTAGTTGCATCTATATCACATCAGAGTTATTTCCAATGCTCATATGCATACATGGGGATACTAACAATGGCGTAGCTAGAGGAGGGCGGGTGGGGCAGCCACCCCGAGCGCTGACCCTAAGGCGGCGCCGAAAGGAGGACTGACCATGGTGGACTGGCCAAAGTCTAAAATGGCTCTTGATTTCGGCATGTGGCCGACCAGTCCGTGGACTCGCCATGGTGGACTGGCCAGTCCGAATTAGAAGATCATCTGGCTAGGGACAAAGTCCGAATTAGAAGATCATGAGCAGATTTTGTTTTTTTTTATACCGTAAGAATCATAAAAATTAAGTCTTTGTTGATTATTATCTTGGTTGTGCACTAGGTTGTGCAATTGCAGTAAATGTAGTCTTGGCCGCCGGTCAGTGATTGTGAAGATGCGATGGTTCGTAGTGATTTTCCTCGGTGCCAACGGGTGACAATGAGAGCAGATTTCGTGAAGAATTGAAAACTCACTTCTAGCTTATAGTTGTTTAAATACATCATGTTCCATTCCTAGCTTGTAGAAAGCGCCCTCGACGCTCATGCTAACCGCAATGACGCTCCGGGGATCACCGCGACCTCTGTCAACATCTGGAATACGGATGCTAACAGTATCTTTCACTTCAGCTTGTTTTAATTTTGTTAGCATTTTAGCACCTTGAGTTTGCAAGGTAGTATGAGCTGCTGACCTGTTGTCCATGGTTTCTTGTTTATTGAGACATATTCTGCAAGTACTGTTCCCTCCATACCCTTCGTCTGCTTCATTGGCTATTCCGCATATTGCATGGACATCGTTGCCACAGGATCCACAAGAATGGGCCGAACTTCAATATTTTTCACAAACTACACATAGTCTGTTGGCGTTATTATTGTCACGCAGCTGGTCCGGACGTTGCGCCACGGCAGCAGATGTGTTAGCTGAGGATGTCGTTGCATTTATGGCAACCTCCATTTCTTGTTCAATGTTCTCTTCCGCATGTTCTTTAGTTCAGAAATAACTTAATTCACAAATTCTTTTCCATTAGGATTATGATTATTTATTTTGGCAGCTATCTGGTATGTCTGTCTCTTGATCTGATAGTTCTTTTGGTCCATGTCGCATTGCATATAGAATGCTATACAAATAAGAGCCAAACAATACGTTACTCACAATGAAACCGCACCCAGACAGAATAATGAAAACGCGATCACAACTTAGTCTAGATAGACCATTTGCCAGGACATCCCGGCCAGTCCGCGCATTGGCCAATGTACAAAATTCGCTGTAAAGTTTAAGCGCTTCGGACTTTGGCCAGTACGTCCCGGCCAGTGCGCACATTGGCCGGCCAATTCGGGCTTTGGCCGCACTTCGGGCTTTGGCCGCACTTCGGGCTTTGACCGTAACATATATATCGCGAGTCAATATGACGGGAGCCCATTTGACGGGAGCCAATATGAATATGTCGGGCCGATTTGTCGGGTTCGTTTTGACGGGAACCGTTTTGTCATAGGCCATTTTGACAGTGCACCCTTGGTAATCCCTTAGTTTAGCGTCGGTTATTATTCCGGAATCGTATAGCAGTAAAAAACAGTAAAACAATGCCAAAGTCTGTCACACACTTCCGGAATTCACCGGAAGTACTGTAAACCATACTTTATTTGGCGTCATCTTTTATTTTTATACAGAATATTTAAAATTTGGATAGATTTATTTTTGTAATCATTTTTACATTTTGTAATCATTTTTACTATTTTCGTAATCTAGATTTTTTTAACTTGGCCTAGCAGCTAGATATCTAGCTAGATCTAGATCTAATTAATTATTATAATTAGACCTAATGGTCGCAAATCCGCTGCAAGCCAAAAACATTAAATTATTACATTTAACATATGACTTCATTATTTATATTAATATATGTTTTGTTTTTTATTTTTAGATCTACTAATTTAAATCTACTATTATATTTATTCTTGTTTCCTTTTGTCAATTAAACTTAAAAAATTAAAACATTAATTTACTACAATCGACTTTTAATTTATTTATATTTCAATGGTCAAATAAACGATAGTTTACCGTAACTCTAATTACCGAAACTCAACAAACATTACCCGATAATTTCCGACGCTAAACTAAGGGATTACCGCACCCTTTATGGTGCATTCCCCTTTTTAAGGCTAACGCGTGGTATTTAGAAAAACCCCATTTGTTTACAAATAGAAATTTGGACCAGAGAAAGTCTGCGTGATTTAAATTGCTTAGCCACAGTCAGAGTAGTTGAAGTGTAATACTAATACTAAACCTAGATCTAGCTAGATCTAACTAGATCTACTACTAGACTAGAGTCAAGTGTATAATAATAATAGACTCTAGTCAGACAGTGTAGTGAGTGTAGTGTAGTCAGTAGTCCTGAGCCCAGCTGCATTGACTCCTCATTGACTCATTGAGTTTGAGCAGATCTGCATAATTTTTAATTTTTAGTTTAGTTAAGTTAGTATTATTAATAAATTATGGAGATGAATTCTTCTGGATCCAGTTCGTGTTCTGCTACAAGTAATAATGATATTCAAGATAAAAGCTCATGTGTTGCAATAAAGTCAATAAATGCTTCTGCTAGTGAAACTTTAATAAATTCTTGTACAAGTACAAGTGGTCTTGTGAGCAGAATGGCACTGAATGATAATAAAGCTGGGATGGAAGGCTTAGATAAGGAGAAAATTAACCAGATAATATATGAAGCATCAAAAGGTTAGTAATTAATAAGTAATTATTCTTAAAATGAACGTATGTTAAATAGTTTAAAAATAAATACTAAATTATAAATAGGCCTAGGCCTACTAAATCTACTTAAATAGCATGCCGAATATTGTTGTAGCATCTCTATACCATACCTAATAAATACCTACCTATTATTATATTCATTTCAACATTAAAACCATATTTGTAATATTTTTTTGTTATTAAAAATTGATATTTCTAATTAAACTAATTAGGTTCCAAATTTTTTGAAAATGAGCAAAAGAAAGAAGAGCAGCTTAATCAGAGAATCAAAGAGCAGCAAACAGCTGTCATCAACCTAAGTGAAGCTTCTTTACTTCATGGAACAGAAGAGGTTGTTACATTTATCTCTGTAAATGGTTTGATGTGAATTTTTAATGCTTTTCTTATTTACTTACATAATTTTAATAGGTATTTTTAAAATGGGATATAATTGAATACAATTACAATTGATAGAGGTGATAATTTAAGTCATTAACTTCCTTCTGATATATTATATGTATCATCTTATTTATGACTAACCCTACAGGCTGATCTGCTGCTCAAAATACTTGAAGAACAACAAGATCTCTCACGTACTATTGTTCATGTTGATATGGATGCTTTTTACGCTGCAGTAGAGATGAGGGACAATCCAAACTTAAGAGACAAACCAATGGCTGTTGGAGGGATGGGCATGCTGGTAAAATTATTTATGAATAGACTTAAGGAAACTTATCCTTAACACACAAAAATTATTTATTAAAGACTGTAGAAAATCATGAAATGACTTGAAAAACCTTATAACCAAGATCCAATTTTTATTTTAAGCATTGAAAAAAATAAAAATTTCAGCAGGTGTCACTTTTATCCATAAACAATTGTTCTAATAAACTACCTAGAAAATCATTTGACTTAGCAACTAAATTGTTTCAGAGCACATCAAACTATATTGCACGCCGATATGGTGTCAGAGCAGCAATGCCTGGATTTATTGGACTGAAATTGTGCCCCAGTCTCATTTTAGTCAAACCTGATTTCAAGAAGTATACAGCTGTTAGCCAGGAGATAAGAGAAATATTTGCGCAATATGACCCTAACTTTTCTCCCATGAGCTTAGATGAAGCTTATCTAGACCTAACTGAACATTTAAATCAGAGGATTTTGTCTTCGAGCATAAATAGAACATTTATTCTCCGAAATGAAAACAATTATAATACCAAGTCATCGGTGTGCTCTTGTGATTTGAACACAGTTTTAAGGCCATTGCTGATGGCATCCAAAGACTTATTATCTGACACAGCTTCAGTCACTGAAATTTATGAGTTCTTAAATTCATTGGATGATGCTACCACCTGTTCTGTGTGTCAAAGAATGTTTCCTCCATACTCAGTAAAAACCTATGGTATCAGTACTGAAGATGCTGTTCTTGAGATGAGAAATCGTATTGAACAACGAACACATTTAACAGCAAGTGCAGGTATATTTTTTATGTAACTAGGATTATTGAAAGTTATTTCAAACCTTAAAGAAAATCTGGCCATTAAAAAAAAATTTTTTAATTTTTTAATGTGATTCTTTCCCTTCAGGCATAGCTCCAAACACCATGCTAGCTAAGGTTTGCTCTGACAAAAACAAACCAAATGGTCAGTTCAGGATTATTCCGGATAAGAAAGAAATTGAACTGTTCATCAGAGATCTTCCTATTCGCAAGGTCTAGAACATTTAATGTTAACTCAAATTCAATTAGCTACCATATAGAAAAGTAGCTAAACTAAATTGTAAGATATGTTTTTTTTTACTTTCTCTGACTCTGACATCTAAATTTTCAGATTTCAGGTATTGGAAAAGTCACTGAAAAACTGCTTGGTTCCTTAGGAGTGGTTACATGCAGTGATTTATATGAGAAAAGAAATGTTTTATATCATCTTTTTTCACAAACATCATTCCATTATTTTATGAGAATTGCACTAGGAATGGGATCTACTGTTGTTGAAAGGTAAATGTGAGATAATTTTGTTTAACTTTCTTTTTTTAAGAAGTAAAATCATATGAAATTGAAATTTTTTTTTTTTTAAATGTTGATTCTCTGATTACATTTTAGGGATGAAGGGCGTAAAAGTATGAGCACAGAGCAAACTTTCAGTGAAATAAATGATTTAAACGAACTGATGGATAAATGCAGAGAATTGTGTACTGTTCTTGCCAAAGATTTAGAAAATGAATCACTTGTGGTGCGTTCAGTATTTTTAAAATTTATTTCCTTCTTTAAAAATTAAGAATAGATCTACATGCAAATACATTTCTTGGAAATCATTTTGAATTTCATAAAATAACATCAATCTTTTCAGGGTAAAACTGTAACATTGAAAATAAAACTAGTCAATTTTGAAGTAAAGACTAGAAGCCATACTCTACCACATCATACATCAGATGAAAGGGTTATTTTCAACGCAGCTAAATTATTGTTGCAAACAGAAAGAGAAGCTTTACTACCAGACCTGCTACGCTTAAGACTTATGGGTAATAATTAGTGGGCCTTTTTATTTATTTTTTCAAAGTTAATATTGATTGACACATTTGCTACTAAAGCCTATTCCAGAAACCTTTCCCAGATAGTTAACTAAGAGAGACCATCCCCCAACAACTTAAATGAAATTATTTTTAAAATCGTTTGCTTAATGTACTTTATAAAATTAAGAAAAGTTTTAACTTCAAGAATTTATAGGCCTACAGTTTGATATGCTTTTCTAGCTGTATTTATACTGCTTTGCTATGTTAGGGTGCTAATAAGTCGTCAGAGTCTGCCTGTAACATTGTTATTAACCATTAAAGTGTGTGCCATGTGGCTTTACGCGTTACAAGTTATGTAACAGCAAAGCCACGACCGTGGCTTGGCGCGCTTTAGGGGTTAATAAAAAAAAATTACAATTCTACATGATGGCTAAGTCTAATAGCTTCAATATCTTACTTAATACAGAATATATTTAATTATCTTATTTTTTAATTAAAAATAAGGCAGAAATGGTGGTCCCATCATGTCACATTAGTAGTAAAGTCATATTTGGTCACATTATTAGCAAATGAGTTTATAAAAATTATTTGGGCATTTTTTATTCAAATAATATAATGTTCTTAAAATTAATTTTCTTTACAGGAATTCGAATGTCTAAACTAATGTCAAGCAGAACTCACACAACATCCATTGCTGAAATGTTTATAAGACAACAAAAAGATACCTCGGAGAGATTTCCCAGAGAAACCAATCCTGAAATAGATTTGTTCACAGTCAGTGATTTAGCCTCACAAACAATCAAAGATGAAGGCTGCATAGTCCTGGAAGATCATGATAATGATTTCCAGCAACATGTAAATTGTTCAAATGTTGCTAATTCAGAAAATCTCTCCAGCAGACTGAAAAGAAAAAAGCCTGCAACTGGCAATTCTTTAGTTGATGGTAATAAGCAAGGAGATATTCTAAAATTTATGGTCAAATGTGGTAAATCTCATACAGATGTAAAAAAGAGACAAGAGTTCCATGATGAAAGTAAAACAGATGATGTGCTAATTGTTGATCAACCTACTTGCAGTTATCTTGATACTTCATCAGTGTCAACAAATGGACAGAATGACAATAGTATAAAAAATCTTTTGGAACACGTTTCAGTTAAACCCAGTGTGAAACCTCTTTCGGGGGTAGTTGAAGAAAGTTCTGGAACTGTCTGTTGCCCATTATGTGGAAAACAAAAGCAGAACTGGCCATTGGATGAACTCAATAAACATATAGACCTGTGTCTGAGTAGAAATACTATCAAAGAAATACTTCATGACCAGAAACAACCATCTTTCTCTACATCTTCTAAAGCACCAAAAAGGTTAGGAAGTTTTAAAATCAGTTTTTAATTATTAACCCTTTCTTGCAGGGCTGCCTACCTGAAAAACAAATTTTCAGTAACAAGAGCATAGATATTCTGTATTAATTGGGTCCTGTATTTCAGTATTTTTCACATTTTGCATACAAGGTAAATAAGACATATTTTTATATTATCACAAAACTTATAAGCATGAGGAAATGGAATAATTACGATTTATATCTAGATCAAGCTAGTTCCTTGTATGATGACCCCCATGAAATATAGGAATAGTTCATACTATGATGTATGCTATAGGCCTACACAACTGATATCTAAACCAGTGTGAACTCAATAGTGACCTCTTGACCATGTCTAAATGTTTCTCACAAGAAAACGTGTGCTATAACATATCTTAAAAATAAAAATATAGATCAAGATAATTCCATAACCTGGATGTCAAAATTGTAAAATTACTGGCAAAATTACACAAGTAGGCAACCATCACTAAAGGTGACCAGTGCAAACAAAAGTCATCAAAGTTGTTCTTGAGGGGCATGCCCAGATACCACAAGAGTTTTATCATTAATACATGTCTTTTGCTGTAAACAATAAACATTTTGTTTTATAGTATAGATTTTTGTAATATAAAACAAATTACATTTTTTAGAATGTGTGGGAAATTTAAAATGTTACTCTTTGTTTAAGGATTAGGAGTTTACATTTTATTAGAACTTCCAGTGAATTAAAATGATTCCCATTATTTTGAATAACTTCTTAATCTCATTCTTCCTCAGGAGCAGCACAAATCTAACACAAAAGGATTTGAAACGTCAGAAAACACAGATGTCTGTAACATCATTTTTTAAAACTTGATTAATAACCATTAAGTTCTGGTTAATAGTTTTTGTATTTATTGAAAAACAAAAAGGTTGCCTAATTTGTTTACAATTGAAGAACTCAAATGTTTTTCAAATTATTGTATTCCTTATGAATTTTTGATGGTGCACTTTTTTTGCATTTGTTTTTACTAATAAGAAAATTGTATTTATTTTGTAAACATTGCCAATATCAGCAAGAGATTCCACATTTTTTTCTTGCCACTGTTAAAGATAATATTACATTTATATATAAATTAAAAAAACTTGTGATATATATTGTGTTTATTATATTATTTAAACAAAAATCAAATCAAGTGCGATCCACATAATTTATTTATCAATAAAGAGCGTATCTAACTAAATTTCCACCTCTAATTTCATGTAATAGTCCACAGTGTCGAAGAATGGTTAAAATATTTCTTGTGCTTGTGTCAAGCTTAAGGTTGGTCAGCTCTGTAATATCTTTCTCAACAATAAAGCATATTCCTAAATTGGAGTGAATAAATTAATGAATATAGTTAGTTTTTATTTCAAATTAAATGGCATTGTAACCAGACATGAAAAAACTAGTAGCAGATGACCTCCATTGTTAAAACTGTTAGCAGTTTACATTTACTGGAATTTTTTTTTAGAGTAGTGTTGATGGGATAGATGAAGTAAAGATTGAGAACTAATGGATTTAAAAAAATTCAAAATGAAGAAATATAGAGTTCAATAAGTAAAGAAAAATTGAAATATCCATGTACTGAACAAACCTTTAGTGTTATCATTCTCCTGGAGCTTGTATGTTTCATAGCGTTTCCTATTTGCATCATTTAAGGTACTTTTTTTCTGTTTCATTAGTTTGTACTTGTCTTTAAAAGCATTATCAAGTTGCTCAATCACCACATTCACTTTATCATAAGTCATTCTTCCCTTCATGTACCTGAAAATAGAAAATGCATAAAAGAATAATATAAACATTTATGCTTTGAATTAAAATATATTTTATTATAAAATTTAAATTTAATGTTGTTTTTTTTTTAAATTTACTTACTTGGGAACTGTTTCAAACTGAGCAACAGTGAGGTAATGGAGATAACTACAACCATTGTTTACAACAGCTGACTCCATCTTGCAAGTATTTGCGGAACTATTTTGGTTATTTGCATTTGACTTCAATGCAGGAACTTCAGTTTGTTTTCTGAAAGCATAAAAAAAATGTAAAAATAACTTTTAGACAAATAATAATAATTTGGTATTTCCATTGAGAGAAGGTATTTCTGTAAGCTATTTCGGCTTAGAAGCAAAAGAAAAATTGTAGATCTAAATGGAAGTTTTAATTTTAAGATATAAAAACAAATTATCCTACTTAAATAGTTAAATACATACTTGTTAGGTAACTTGGAGGGAATATTGTCAAGTGCATATTGAAGATGTCCAATAAAATTTTGTGTTTGAATCTTTACATCCTAGATATACCAATATTAATAAATGATTTTTAGATTATAATTACAAGAAAGCTTAGCAAAATCTGTTGATTGAATTTTCTTTTTATCCAGTGAATTCATCATTTTGATTTCTTTTATGAGCTATTTCAACTTAATATATAAAAATTCAAACCTGTGAACTTTTTGAATCAAATTTGAATAAGATATATGATTACTATTTCTTAGGTTAGTTGCTTAACATTTTTATTGATAGTCAAATACTAATACCACTTCTGCTATTTATTACTATCAGCTATACATTTCTGAAAATAAACTTGAATTCAAAGCTAAATCTGGTTTTTATAAATGCTTTAGTATGGTACTAAAAAAAAATTTACTTCCAAAGATTGCAAATGTTTTCTTGCATCGTTCACATTCCTTTGCAAGCTTCTTAACTCTGATTTCATAGAATCAATCAACAAATCAAGACTAGTGGCTGCTTTTGTGTAGTTACTATCAGTTGATCCATTAGACAACATTAAAGAATGTTTTAAGACTGCAATCTGTGCTTGGAAATGTCTGACTAAATCTTCCATTGTCAAGGTGCTTACATTCATTTTTTAATCTGAAATGCAATATCAGTTCAATTACTATTTGATTTATTGGGCCCTAATAATTTAAAAGGCCTAAATGTTATTTAATTGTAGAGGACAAAAAAATAAATAATTAAATGCTTGATACTAATTAAGAACTTTTGTCACTAAAGGATAACATACACCTAAATCTAGCTACAAGGGATTCTGACTTTTGTAGAAGAATCTATATTACTAATACAAAGTGACTGAACACAAAAAGCTACCCCCCCCCCCCCCCCCACCCTCTCAGGGGACGGAGTGGTCTAGCAGTAGAGAGCTGGACTGCTAACCAGTAAGTCATCGAGTTTAAATCCAGGTTCAAGTCAGTAGATTGTCCCTGAGTCCACCCAACTCTGATGGGTACCTAACTCATGGAAAGTAAAGGCGGTTGGGCATAGTGCTGACCACACTATCTCCTCATATGCCAAGGTCACAGAAACATCACTTGCCCTATAGGCTGTAAGTTTTGAAAGGGAACTTTACTTTTTTACCCCCCCCCCCCCCCCCCATCAGCGCTATCTGGCAGGGAAAGATACAAAATGCAATGACCCTAATAGCTGCGCAATGGGCTCAAATACTATTAATAGCTGGGCAATGGACTCAATTTATTCTTTTATAGCTGCACTAATGGATCAAATTACTTTTAGCTTTATTCTCCTGACAAAACTATCAGTAACGTGACTAATTAGTAATCATATACGAAAAAAACAACATGGCAAATGAAGGTCTGAATCTTAAAAAATTCATTAAAAATGTATTAGTAAAATTAAATCACAATTTCTTTATAAAATAAGAACCACAAGCCACAAGTGGTTTATTTAACTGATTTCGTATAATTTTTTGTGTGCAGGCAAGTGTTTATATATAAAAATTAAGTTGATTTCGAGCATATATTCAAATATAGGCCAATTGTTTTAAAATTATTTTTTTATAGGCGAAAATAAAAGAAAATGAAAAGTAGATTTTTAAAATGTGGTTGCTTTTTTTCATGTATTAGAAATTAATCTAGATCTAGATTAGGTTAGTAGCGGTTAGTAGTTAGATCTAAATGTCCTAATCTAAATCTATTTAGATCTAGCATACTAGATCTAGTATAGTATTTAAATCTAGTAGGCTATTTTAACTATTTTTATCTAGAATTAAATCTAGATCTAGCGTATTTTTTTTTAGCGTATCCATTTTAGCGTATTTTATTCCCCGCTTCACGTTCACCTCCAGTTGAGCGTATTTTATTATAAAGTTTATATAAACACAACCGAAACACACAAAAACGTTAGGAAAACATTGGGCTTATTTCTTTATGAAGTTTTGATTTAGTTTTGATAATTTACTTTTGTCAAAACTTGAGAAAAATCCAAATTTGGAATATTGAATGCTATACTATATACTACTATATAATATAGAAATCTAAGTATAGTATAAGTATAAATAAACTTTTATAAACTCGCGATGATCCCAAAACTGAGGCCAACAACATTTCAAATATCAAATTGACAATGAAATAGCTATATTGCTATATTATTGCCCTCGAACATGTGTAGTGTAAAGAAAGTGTAAGGATTTTTCTCCCGCTGACGATCACACGCTATTTAATTCATAAATGGACACCAGCGAGAAAAGTCTCAAAGGTATTTGAGAGGTGTATAAATTCATTTAAAAATCATGCACAGCGTAGTTACAATTAATATGGTTATAAAATCCTGCCTGTCTGGTTTTTTTCGGACTTTACTAACGATTGGATGTATTTGATGTTTATAATATTTTCGGCAACTAAATAAAAATTTAAAAAAAAAGCAAAAACAATTTGGTTTTCACGTGTAATGGCGACATAAACAATGGCATCCTGCTATTGGATAGGCCGCCATAGATTTTATTGTACACATTGTAAGCTAAAAATAGAAAACTAGGTCATGGGGTTTTAAATTTGCATTGTTATTTAAAAACTTGATCTGCAAAGTTTTGTAAACAAAATAACTATGTAGTGGGGCCTGACCGACCTAAAAGGAGATTGTTTATATTATTGTTTTGAGTTTATATTTAACTCAATGCAACAAGCCCGCCGGTTGGTTGAGGCCACGACCGGGGGACGTTCTGACCGGGATTCAAAGGGACAACTCAAAATATCATCCAAAATTTCTAAATTAATTTTAGGCTTAAGTTTTTATTTTTATTTTTTTTTTTACGTTCTAAATCTAAAAAGCATGTTTTTATTCCAAGCCAACAACATTATGTAAGGAATCTCGTCAACTCGCTCGCCTCCATTGGAACTGTCCTAATGCTTTTTTTTTTTTTACCTTTTCTAATTAAAAGTCACATTCATATAAAAAATGAATAAATCTAGATCTCTAACTAGATTCTAATCCTAGTGTCTAGAGATCTAGAGTCTAGTGACTAGATCTAGTACTTTAGTTCTAGTTAGTAGTGTTTTCCTACCGACCGTCGTTTTTATTTTTTGTGTTTCGGTTGTGGTTGTGTTTAACTTTAATAATAAAATACGCTCAACCGGAGGTGAACGTGAAGCGGCGAATAAAATACGCTAAAACGGAGTTTTAACGTAAATAATTATTAATAATTAGCTAGGGTCTTGATTAATACTTTAATTACTAAATTAGGCCTACTTTGAACTTTTGTTTACACCTGGAGATCTCTAGACCTGCAGTTCTTTGTTTTTAAATAACCCGCTTCCAAGGGAAACTATTCCTACTCAAAGTCGAATCCCGGATAATCGAACATGCAAAATTATTTTTTCACAGCCTGGAGTGCTGAAACTTAATTTGTCTTAAGTGAATAAAATATTTTAGAAAATAATATATTGCTTTCGATTTTGCCAAAACTTTTTAGATCTCGATCTCTATAGGATTGTTTTCTTTTAGACTTTTTCCCGTCCAAGCCCTAAAATGTTTTCTTAACATCCAGTGTTTCTTCCAGACTTTTTTCTCCGGGGGGGGCACTTGAAATTTTCGGGGGGGCGGTAGACTTTCTTCGGGGGGGCGGACACTGTTAAAAGTATATATTTTCTATATAAATTATATAAATTTCATCTCGTTCGGGGGGGCGGTAAAAAAATTTCGGGGGGGCTTCGCCCCCCCGAAGAGATGCCTGGAAGAAACTCTGTTAACATCTATTACCTTAAGGGTCATCCATAAAATGACGATTACACGTGTAATATTAAAAGATGTAAAATTGATGTAGCCAACGAATCCAGAAGGGTTAACACGTAGCCTAAATCAGAGAAGAAAAGCCGTTAAAAAATAGGGTTCTTGATTTAGATTTAGAATCTAGTAAAATAAAAACGAGCATGCGTATCAATCATACACATATCGAGTTTTCAGCGTTATGGGAGTGCACACAGTTTAAATTTCAACTTCTATGCTTAGTGGCGTCGCTTATTGGTCGGGTGTCACCCGGTTCGGCACTTCATGGTGTCACCCCCCCCCCAAGAAACAAAGTATATATATATATATATATATATATATATATATATATATATATATATATATATGGGTGTGTGTGTTGGCCTACATAGGCCTATAATTTAAATATATTCTACATGTGTGTATAAGCTTTAATCTCTGCAGACATAATAGTTACTTATAGTTATTTATAGTCTGTTAATGTATAGTTAATAGCATTGTTTTCTCTAAAGTTAAACCGCTTACGTCATGGTGTAATAATTTTCGATTTGTACTTAAAAGAGTATTTAACTTTAACTGTAATTAATCATTAATGGAACAGGTAAAAAGCATTTTTCTTCAGCACATTTTGCAATTTTTTGCCATGGTGTCATCCCCCTAAATTGTGTCACCCGGTGCGGTCCGCATCCCCGCCCCGCCTCGCATCTATCTATGCTTTTCCTCGCTGTTGGCGAATTTGCCACACTCATCCCCTACCTCACACCCACACATCGTTTAGCGCCGCGCCTATCTCTAGGCCTATTTACCAGCGTAGGAAAATATTTACATTCGTTGGGGGACGTAATGAGGCCAGGTTAATTATGCCAAAAGTATTAATTGGGTTGTTTCCCGTTTTTGAGGAAAGAAACGAAATAGGTTACCTAGGTTAAAAAATCGCTAGACTGAAAATTTTAAGTAATCAAGTGAAATATTACACATTGATCAATTTTAATAACTTTTCACAAAAAATACTTTTGAAATGCTAGCATTCATTCACTTTTACTTTTAAAAATAACTCTCAGAAGTTTAATTTTGTTCCGTACTACTTACTAGACTTGAAAATTGAAATTTTTTATATCTTTTTATTTGTTTTCTCGCAAAGTCTCACCATGTAACGTTTGTACTACTTCCTTAGTTACAAAGAAAATAAACTGTGCATTGAATTTGCACTTATTAAAGGGACCATCAACCATGATTTGTTATAAGTTTTAAGAACCCAAAGCTTTAAATTAGCATAAATAAATAATAATCAAAAGATTTAAAGGAAAATTTATCTAGAAAGACTTTCAATATGATGGTATCACAAAGAATCCCTCGTACAAGGGAGTACAGAGGGATCCAACCAAACTCAGTTGCAATCGTGAGTATTGAAAAAAATAGATTAGTATTGTAGTATAGAATAAAAAATAATGAATATCAATATTGAATAATATAGATAGATCTATTTAGTATTATATAGTATATATTTTAATATATAAAGTAAAAGTAGATCTAATATAAAGATAAACTATTACTATAGTAGAGTATACACTATAAACTATTATGTGTATGTGAAAACTTTAATTTTAAACTGGTTTTTTTTTTGTTACCATCATAAACTAAGTATAAAGTATAAAAGTAAAGTATTAAAGTTAAAATATAAACTAAACTATAGGCCTAACTTCAAAGTATGGGGGCCTAATAAATAAAGTATTTACTAGATCTATATTATTTATTAAATATTTGGACAACCCATTCCAGGGTGTTGAAGTCTGACAACAATTCAAAGCATTTAGGCTAATTTAAATAAATAAAGGGTTTTGGTTTAGACATGGTTAATTTTGTTATTAGCAAGTCATATTCATATTTCATTCAAAGTTAACCAAACTTACTTATTTCAATCAGGCTACTAATGACATCTACTTTATCCTACTGGTTCGACTGTTGAAATAAAATGGGGATTATAATATTAATATTTTGATAATTTTTGCTGTTACTATTAATACAGCTGAGCATGATAATCTGCTCCCCCATTCTTGCTTACTACACTTTCTAGATGTGTTAAGCAATCCACCTCCAAAATAGCCATTTCATGTATCCTATTTGGGAGCACATTTGTTGTTAATTCTTACCAGTTTTATTTCCAGTTGATCTTTATGCCTGTCTTAAGCTTAGCTTGGACTGTGCATGCTGTTGTTGATATGAGAGAAGGCTGATGTCTTGTGTAAAATCTAGGTCCTTCAGCTGTTTTAGCAATGGTCTTTTGAATTCCAGCTTTTTGGTCTGAAGTTATTCTTCTCATAATCCAGTCAATGACTATCAGAAATATTGTAGGTGAAAGAAAACATGGAGCCTTGTGGTACTCCAGTTTTCACTGGGCTAGTTAGGTTGTTGTTGTGGATAATCTGGCAGCTGGAGTCTTCATATAGCTGTTGGATAATGTTGATGAATTTCAGAGGGATCCCATAGTGGCTCATTAAAATGACATCTCTGTCCACACTATCAAATGCCTTCTCAGAATTGACAAAAGTCATATAGAGAAGCAATTTCCAATCAACTGTTTAATAGAAAGTTTATTACATATATTTTAAAAAAAATCTCTTCTAAATTTTATAATTCATAATTTTAATATTAAAAAAAATTACTAAGAAGACAAAATGTATAAAGCATGTTTTTTTCCATGTTAACCATAGATAGTGATCTGGTTCATTTTAGGTAACCTGGTTGATGCCTATAGACAATCCTTATTTTATATATCAATAATTATTATTATAATTTAGATAAGTAGGTAATATTTGAAAATAAAAGACAAGATAGTTGCATTTTTTGGTCACAGGAATCAATGAATCATCCAATTTACCCCAGAAGGGAAGGGTTATTGGAGCATTACAGGTTACCTTCTTGAAATTCTTTTTGTCCTCCACTGCTTTGAATTGTTCTGTAACAAGTTTTCCATTCCTTGATGTCCTTCATCAAATTTTGTCTTTGTCTCCCTCGCCTTCCCCTACCCGGCACTATGCCTGGCATAATTGTTTTTGATATGTTATTTAATCAAGGCACGTGTCCATACAATCTGAGTTTCTTTGTCTTGTAAATACTCAGAGCTTCTCATAAGGCTTAATCACATTGGTGATTCTTTCACAAACCTTTTTATTTCCAAAGAATAATATCTGAGTACAATATTTGAATTATGTAATTAGTAGTTTCCTTACTTTGGAAGATAATTTGTATAATATGTTTATCTTGTAGAGAGCCAAACAGCCTCTAAAAGTGTCTCCAGACTGGCAAATAAGAAAGAACAATGAAATTGCAGCTCAGTTTATCGACAAGGAAAAGCAAGTTAAAGAGGAAAGAGCTAAAAGTCTCCGAACAGACTTTGAAACCTTAGGAGAAAGACGGTTGTTGTATCTTAATATAAAAAATAGGATAAAGAATCTTAGTGAAGCTACTGAGTACAATTTGGAATGTAGGAGAGATAGGTACTTTTTATTTTTTTATTTTTAAGGTATTATTTAATATATATAATTGAAAAATAATTATTATATTCATAAAATGTAAACAGATTTATGTTTAAGTTTGGATGAGAAAGTCTTGATTCCATTTTAATGTTTATCAGAATTGTGCTTTAATGTCTTGTATATATATATATATATATTTAAGATTACGAACACTTCTGGCTTCTGAGGAAGAATGTTATCTTAAAGAAATTGAAGATAAACAAGAAACAGTGCTGGAAAGACAAGCAAAGATGAGAGAAAGAGCTAAATTTCTTAAGGATAAAAGAGAATCTGAACGTCTTGCATTAGTTCAAGAAAAATATGACCAACAGTTCAGGTATCATTACAAATTCTTAAAACTTTGTTTTGTAGAAATGTGGCAACTTAAATCATAATAGAAGTGTTTTTAACAGTTAGTGTTGAGACAATGTTTATTGTTAACCAGGGGCAGATGTTACTACTTTTGACATTTTCTATCTCATTAAGGATTTATGACTAAGCTGATCTCCTAAATTTTTTCCTAATTAGTCATTTAATAATGGCTACCTTTAGTTTGCATTATTAAACAGAAAAAAGTTCCCATTTCATGTTAAAAAAGCTATGGATCTTAGATGAGGTTGAGTAGGTGTATTAAGTTGATATTTTTAAGCTGGTTGATGTCTTACTTCCATTGACAAGCTTTTGTAAATTTTAGTTTGTTTTATAAAAAAAAATTATTGTAACTATTTAAATATCTTCAAGTAATCTGATCTAAAGCTCTGTTCAATAATTCACTGCATGACTCATAACCAAAATTGATTGTATACATTTAAAAACAATTTCAGATGTATTGGCTGAATTTATAATACACTTCTAAAATGTTCATTTTCTGTACAGGTCACAATGTGAAGAGCTACGTTCAACTCTGAGCAAACGGCACCAAGATCAAGTATGTCTTGACCGTCTTGAACAACTGAGACAAAAGGAGGAAATTGCCCAAGAAGAGAAAGCCTTAGCAGATATGTATGATAAACTGTGGGAACAGGATATGTTAGAAAAAGCAGCCAGAGAGGAAAGAGAAGCAAAAGATCTTTTGGAAAGAAATCGTGGTGTGGTTGATGTACTAAAAAAACAGATGGCAGCATTAGAAGCTCAAAAAGAGGAAGCCAAACGTCTGAAAGAAGAAGAAGCACAACTTTTGGTACAAATTTAACTTCAGTTTTAAACTTTTAGCTTTGTTACAAATATTAAAGTTGTATACTGAACATATTTATGTAATTTTTAACCAATAAACACTCAACATTTGTTCACACTTATCCACACATATATATTAAACTACAAAGACCAATTTGTATAGGTCTAAACAATCGATTAGAAAGGAGAGACCAGAACTGTGAAATCAGAAACTACACACATTTTCAGTCCATGATTATCCTCATAATGTTGGTCATCCAGCAACTACAGAGCAAACAATATATTAAATATGCTTTGAGTGAGCTAGAAAATATGATTGGCTTATGACTTGGATCATTTTAATCCTATCCACCTAACTATTCAGTGATAACTCTTTGAAAATAAAAAAATGTATGTTTTTTAATGTACAGAAAGAACAAAAGGCTATATGGAAGATGGAGGATGAAATAGCTCACCAAGAGAAAGTCCGCAAACAACAAGAAATGAGAGATATGCTTGAACATTCACGAGCATTTAAAGCTAGAAAGAAGGCTAAAGAGGAGCAAGAACAAATGGCTTTTGACTTGAAAATGCTTGAACAACTGCTTGAAGAATCTCGCAATGAAGTCATAGAAACAACACAAAGAAAGGTGAGCCATACATTCATTGTAGTTGCTAATACACATTTTAAAAATAAATATTACATTGTGTTATAAAAAATTAAATAATAGTGAAATAATAGTACATTTGAAGTTTTATTCATTTTGACACAGCGATTCTTACATAAATGCTAACAATTGTATATAGTAGTAATGGAAACATTTTTAAAATGTGCACATGATGAAATCCAACCTAATATTTTGAATTTATTTTAATTAACACCCACTATTAATTTTGTTTTTAATATCAGTGTTGAAATTATTAGTAGTTGTTTAGTAATTTTGTTTATACTTTAAATGATTAGAGAGAGCTAAGAGAAGAGGACCGACGGTTTAGAGAATATCTACGACAGCTAATGGAAGAAGAAAAGGCAAGAGAAAAAGAACTTGAAAAAATGATTCAACATGAGATTGAGGCAGCATGGGACAAACGAATTGAGCAGTGGCGCAAAGAAAGACAAGCAAGAAAACTACTGTTGGATGATGTAATGGCTGGCAGGGCTAGGCAAATACAAGAAAGATGTAAGATTTTTTAGATTGCTTTTATATAAAATGTGTTCTACATTATCATCTGCACAAAAATTAACAAATATAAACTTTGTATGTGTTCTATTTGTTAAAATTGCAAATAGTGTTCTTTTTATGATTTCTTACATTATTGTGGATTTTTTAGCTTACATAATGAATTTTTAACTTTCTTAACTCAGTTTACATTGAAACAATAACTTTTGCAGTACTTGAAAATGAGCGTCAGCAAAAAGAAGCTGCACGTGACAGAGAGGAATTGCAGCGCCGCATTGCAGAAAATCAGAAATTTGAAGCAGAGCAAGCAGCAAAACGTTGGCAGGCTAACGTAAATTACCAGAATGACCTTGTTCACCAAATGGCTTACAATACTAAACTTCGAGAGGAAGGACGAGCTCAAGAGATTGATGAATATATGAAAGCACAACAGACTGAGATTGAATTTCAGTCTCGTATAAAACAGGTTCTTGATAATCCAATTCATGACAAACTACATCCCATGAGGAAAGCAATGCTACACAATTTGAATCTCTCTTAAAGAAATTAACATAATTGTTAAATACAACAACTTTGGATATGCTTCATTGTTAGTTGTTTTAATTTAGATGAAATTTTAAATTCACAAAGTAATTTAATTAGTATGATAACTAAACATGAAATGTTTTCTATAAATGTTCTATTGTTTACTTGTGTTCAACTGCTGTGTACTTATTAAGACATTTCACTAAACACACCTACAGTTATGTTTTATAGATGAGTGCAGTTGTTTCTCAAAGTGATATAATAATACTGCATACATTTTCAGTATTAAAAATTGTTACCAGTGAAAATGGTAACTATACAAAAATGTACTAAAAAATTTTTTTACCTTTCAGCTATTAACTGTTTTCTAAAAATATATTTTTTATTACATGACACTTGTCATACACACTAAGATTGAAAAAATGGTTCAAGTAGACTTAAAGGATTCAATTTTACTTTATATTTACACAACATATTAATTTACTATTTTTTAGTCACTTTTGTAAGAGAAAATATTTTTAGATAACTAGTTTACAATGCTGCTGTATGCAATGATACTTGTAGACATTTATCAATATTTTGGTGTCTGAATTTTTTTATAAAAACTTTTTAAAATTTATTTTGAGTAAAGATAAATTTATTTTTTAGCATCAGCTATTTGTTGTTAATGAATTCAAAATTAAAAGGAAAATGATTGTTTATCTTACAGATTTGTACATTTGTTACACTTTTTCAATTTTTCATTCATTAATACTTTGCAGATGTTTTTTCTAAATTTTGTAATGAACCTGTCAGTGTCACTGGCGTGATGTAAGACCCAAAATTTTAATCTTGGTTTAAAATTACCAGAGAATGTTAATGCATTATCTAATGATTCTGTAAAAGCCAATTTTGGTTGACGATTAAATGCATATAGCAGTTTTTTAGAGACCTATAGTGTTATTTTGTGCCCAAACTAAGGTCAAATTATTTTATTGGAATGTTCAATGAAAACAGCTGTTTTGTGGCTTTTATGAATGATATTATAGCTCAGGATTTAAGAGAAAGGGGATCATATGTTTGCATGTTGCTAAGGTTCTATCGGGATGAAAGAAATCATTAAAAAATAATCAAATACAATAATTATTTAAAAAATAAACAACTAAAACTGTTTAAAACGTCAGTGTAGTGGGTATTTTTGTTTGTTTCAATGTGCTTTTCTACAGTTTGATTGATTAAACCACAAAGTATTTTATGCTTTCTTGAAATGATTTTCAAACAGGGGATAAATACTAAAAAAAAACTAACTTGAACCTGTTTTTAATAAGTGTTAAGAAAAATCGGTGAATGACTCCAGAAAATTAGAAAATTAAACCCAACTCAAGCAGAAGCAATAGCTCAAAGAACATCAAAACTGGACACATTTTTTAAAAATTGTGTCATCTGCCAACAGGTACTAGAAGTTATGTAAAAAACCTCTTTTACTATACTATCACTGAAAATATAAAAATCAGTAAATGCATTATTTAATTGCAACATCTTCCCCAACAATTTAAATTGTATGAGTGTAAGAAAGGGGCCGGAAAATGAGGGACTTTACCCTGGTATCTTGTTACTAGTGTTCCAATACTTTATATAATGACAATGAAATAAGATTAGTATGTCTGCTATGTTTAGGAGTTGCATGATCTAGTGATTGAACATGCACTTGTCTAGCTTGAAGTCAAAGCTCATTACCTGGGCATGAGAGTATATTTGTAACTGAATACCACCATAACATCCAATTCATGTGATGTGATATAGTAGGGGAAATGATAGCCTGGTTGACACAAATAGGACCATATCCTGCTGCTCTATGCTTGGTTTAAATATAACTCAAGCGTGTGTTTGTTTGTAAGATTTTCTTGTAATACAAATTAATTTACTCTAAGAACCAAAGTTTTTAGTTTATAATAAAATTATAAAGACAAAACAAAAGCAAAATGTGAGCTATACATAATTCTTTATTTATTATCCTATATCTAATTATTTGTCTTAAAAATTAGTTTAAAAGTAAAGAAAACAGTTTAGAAAATATTCTTTAATTTTGAACACAATATTTTTCAAAATTCCACATAAAGTGTAGTGAAATAATTATAGTTTTGGCAAAAATTTTAGCAGATTAACAAAATAGAAACTTTGAAAAAAACAAGCAGGATTTCAAATCAGTAACTTTGCTCATTTATTTTTGGAAGCCAAATGTCAAATCTAAAAATTATGTCACTCCACTTTAGAAATATGTCAAAAAGTTGAAATCATTCTTAATCTCAGAAGCCTGAAGAATTACAATCAATCAGATGCCATGTTGAAAAAAAGTCACCACTGTAATGTAATGTTTTACCTTACTTCTAGTTATAAAAAAAAATGTCATAACCAAAACGCATTTAAAACATATATTTAAAATCCAGGATAAATTTATTTGGCACTGACACTATCATACACTTTAGATATGTGCCAAAGGAATTTATAAAGAAATACGTAGGTAAAAGTAAAGTTTCCAATTTTAAAAGTGTATATTTTAACAACAATCAGTCTATATATACTTTTAGAACATAAGATTTATATTTGGTTTAACAAAATCATACACCAAGGCTTTGTAGTTCTAATATGATAAGTACACATTCTTTTTACAAATTATTATTCTTAATAGAAATTATTCTGCTTGTTTTTTTATTATTCATTAGCACATCATCTTTTAAATATGTAATGCTAATGACTACAACAAAAGCGCTTAACATGCATATAAATTATTACACACAAGATGTTACAGCATCTTAAAAACAATTTAAGTTCAATTATAAATTAATAATTAGAACAATTTCAAATAAAAAATGTATGTATATAAATTTGATAGTTTAAAAGTTTGGTATGTTATCTGTGTAAAAAGGTTAGTCTTATAAAAAGTAATTTTTTAACCTAATTTTTAAAAATATTTCATTAACTGTACAACATTTGTATTTGAAACCTCAAAGGCTTTGACAATATGAGAATTTTTAAATAGAGAAACAATAGAGGGTAGATCAAACTTTTGGAGGAGCATATTGGTCCACTCTTTCAAGCAAATGGTCGGAGTATCCAGGGGAGTAATATCTGTAAAAACAAAAAATTGGTAAATTATGGCATTTATCACTTATAGACGTCTCTATTCAACTTTTATACAATTTAAAAACATCATCTTCTAGATTACCATATTTAAAAAAAAACAACTATGAAAACGCTTCATTGAAAATTTAACTCTTATTAAAATGAAAAGTAGCAACAAAGTAGGAAATTTATTAAAATGTATTTGATGAAAATCTGCTTACTTGACAATTTCTTCTGGATAACAATTGTTTATTGTGTTGATATACTCTGCCAGTGAGGATCCAGGTTCTGCTTTGATTTCCTGGACTTTCTTTAGGCCGCCACTAGTCACAAAAAGTCTTCGAGCTTTGGAGTCATGAGGCAAGACTTTACTGAACTGTCCAACTACATGTTTGAGGATATTTGGAGGGGCGTCATGCAGAAGGGGCTCCAGAGCTGGAAGATGGACACACTTTTGAAGAATGTTTTTCAATGCTTTCTTGCTCTGAAAAATACAATTTTAAATCAATTCTCTAGTTAAACTCTTCTGACAATTGATTTATGTATGTAAAATTTTAATTAGTTAAAACAAATGATGTTAAGTTGATCTGTTATCAAGAAATCATTCTCACTTTGGTCTGCAAATCTTCAGAAGCATCTGTTCTCAGGAAACATTGCAGCAATTTAGGCAGTACATTAGCCACTGCAACTGCCTTTGAATGTTCTGGGGTGTGACGTCCTATCTGCCCTAATGCCCAAGCAGCTGCTGCCTGTATGTGATCTTCTTTCTCTTCTGACAGTGCAATAGCAAGTTGAACAACACCCTTAAACAAAGCATATTTAAGAAACATAACAACCACAATATAACAGATGTTTCTAGTCACATTCAGTTATTTATTAGCAGTATCACCATCAGTCATGCTTTAAATTAAGACAATAAAAAAATTATTAACTGTAACTTACTTTAGAAACAATCACAGCCATGGCTAAATTCTCAGTGTGAGCTGCAACATAGCCAAGCATCATTATACCAGGTAGTCTCACATTACTCTTAGAGTCTCCCACATAGTCCACAACAGCGGCCACACCACCAGCATTCACAATCAGCTGGGAGAGCTGGACATTATTTTTAAAAAAATCAATGATGTACTTCATAATGTACTTACAATATTTTACAATTTTGTTCAAATTGTAGTTTTTGTGACATAAATTGCAATTACTTAGTTTCCTAAATGAAATCTTGTCTACTGCTTAAAATGTACTTACATATATAAAATGAGCATGGATATTATTTTCAAGAGATTTTAAATCATTTGAGTGAATAGGCTGAACTGATCCTTCTGAATGATATTATGAATTGGTTAAATTAATTTAGCTAATCCTTACATTGCATTACATCACATCTTACCTCAGGGGTATGTTTAGCAATTTCTCTTATGAGAGTTGCCACATTCTTCTTAACATATTCATCTTGGTCTTTCAAGCAGGTAAGAACTGCAGGGAATATTTCAGCTTCAACCACCATTTCCGCAAGGTCAACTGAGTGTTTTGCAATTTGGCTAAGAGCAGAAAAAACTTGTCTCTGTGGATAATAACATTGAAATACCATCCGCAAGCTTTCAAAATGCTTGTAAATATACACAGACAAATTCTCAATGTATCAAAACTTATATGATCCTTAAGATACTCTTAAGATTAAACCCATTTACCTTCCATACATGAAGCTTAGCTTCTTTTCTAAAATCATACCATATTTTAGTATGTGGTAATATGTGAAGCATAAATTACCTTAAGCTTTGCATCTGGGTTCAGTATCATTTGTGCTAAATGAGCAATGGCTCCAGCATCAACAACAGTCTGAGCGAGTTCTGGAGAGTGTTTACATATATCACTCAGAGCTGATGCGGCTATTCTTTTGAGTGACATCTCTGGTTCTTGAATACACAAAACAAGCAAAGGCACAGCTCCGGCATCAACTACGGCTTGAGCTAGTTCTGGAAATTATGTTTGTGAATTGGTCAGTCTGTTGGAAACAAAAAGCAAAACAAAAAAATTTTAACAGTCTTTTTTTTGTTCTACCAACCTGCATTGTGTCTTGCAATATACCCTAAAGCCCAGGCTGAAGATTCTTTTACTCCAGGATCAAATTCTTCAAGACAAATTACAAGGGCATCTAAGGCGCCACAATCAACAACGGACTGTGCAAGTTGTGGTGAATGTTTCGCAACTGCTCTCAGAACAAAGGCTGCTGCCTTTTTGTAAAATCGCTAAGAAAAAAAACAATTGTATTACATTGGTAATAGCTTTAATTTACTTATTACTATGTAACAATATTAGCATATAAAAGAGTTATTCATCTTTTTACATTTTTTATTAATGATATTATCATCAGTTACATTTTTTCAATACTAAAATATATACCCCATTAAAATAACTCTCTAAATTTGATATTTAAGCCTGATATAATCTGCTGAAACAATATGTTATCAATAAAAAATTTATATAATTAGTATATTTTCACAAGATTTATTTTGCAATCTATTATTCTTTGAAAAATACCATTAATCTGTATTAAACTTACATTTTGCTCAGCAAGTGAATACACAAGCTGGGGAAGAATATCTCCTCTTACTACTGCCTCTGCTAAATCATCATTGTAATTGGCAAGTCTTCCTAAAGCAAGAGCAGCTGTTTGTTGAATTGTGGGCACAACATCCAAAAGTAGAGGCCGCAACAGAGACATGACTCCTGCATTCTGAAGTGTTTCTATATTCTGTGGCCTTGATGCTAATTCTGCCACAGTCTGGACAAACTGTGTCCGAGACTTTTGGTACTGTTCAAAAACTGTGAAGTAAAGAAATAGTGAAAGATTTAATTGCAGTCTATTATTTTGTTAATATTTGCAGAATTTAGCTAGAATGATATATATAAATTGTATGTGTTGTTGAACTGAATAAAAATAATACAGAAAGTATATTTTTGTGTTGGCTTCCTCCTCTAACCCCAAAAAATTGTGTGCTGCATAAATATGAAAATGTTTCTAAGCAATGTTTTATATAAATACGCCAAATGAAAGATCTAAATAGTCAGAAATCTAAACCCGTAAGCACTGTAATGTGCATATAACTGCCTGATTATTTTTGGCAGTTGAAGTAAAGTCCATCTTTATTCTTTAAGCCCTTTTGTTATGAGTGAAGTTATCAGATCAATGCAAAACCAAATCCTGTGTGCCCAGTATCAGAAAGTAATGGCAGTTTTCGGGTCATGTTTTCACAGCAAACACTGTTGATACCGACAAGCCTACTATTATTACTTTATTTATTTTTAATATATTACTCTAGATTTGTAATTATGTGTAAAACTAAAGTGTTACTAAAGTGAATACACTATCCAGATCTAGGATATAATAATATTAGGCCTATATTCTATTTAATATAAAGTAGGCCTATAATTATAATACTGTAACTATAAATATTAGGCCAAGATCTATTATAATAGGCCTTAATTCATTATAATTGATTATAATTTAATTTAGATCAAGATCTAGGCCTTAAAAAACTTATCTCTAAACTCTATAAAAAATCAACTCTGAGAAAATGTGTAAAAAAAGTAAAGAAATAGGCCCTAATACTATACTCACTATCTATACACAATACACTATACTGAGTTAAGTATCTAAACTCCAACTATTGAATTGTATTTTTTTCTAACTAATCTTATTTTAAAAGTAAAGTATTAAAATAAAAGATTGCATATTAAGTATTTAAGTAAATAGCCTACAAAATAATCTTCAGGATGCACAAAAATATTATTACTGTGCGATATTTTTAATACCAACCTTGTAGTACTTGTCTACTCATGATGTAGATCTATATAACACCAATGTTTCTACAGTTTGTTTCAATGTTAGTGTTGTCTGCAAGACGCCAAGAAACAGGTTGCTAAGCAAAAATATCAACTGTCTGATAGGAACGGGCAAACTACAGTTCCGCACAATCGATTGGTACTAGATCTAGATCTAGATCTAATTTTTAAATTATTTTGTTAAAATTAAAATTATGAGCGTTTTAAATGTAATTAGAATTAATTAACTATAAAATCAGATAAATGTTTTTTAAAATCGTTTTTAACATTTCAAATCTATAGTTTATTTAATAATATTTAATTTTCGCCAGTAGACTAGCCTAAAATTATTAAATTAACTGAGCTCTGTATACATTGAATATTTGATCGATTTTTCTTACAATTCGCAAAAAAAAGTGTTTAGTAAACACGAAACAAAGACACAGAACATTAACCCCCCCCCTTCAAGAGTCATGACGTTTAATGGACGACCCCTGCACACACTAATATGCACATTAGCGTAACAGTCATTCATTCTTTTCTTGGCATACGGACATTGTTTCTGTAAGACATTTTTCTCCGGGGATAGGGGGGGGGGGCGGACACTTAACATTAGGGGGGAAGGGGGGGGGGGCGGATGGACGCCTTTCACATTATATATATATATATATATTTTTCATTTCTTCCTGGTAGGGGGGGGGAGGTGGCGTATGGGTTAGCGATAGATGTGCTTCTGGGCGCATGTCTGTAGTAAACAGAAACAAAGAAATTTGAAGAAGTGGAAAAGTAATGCCCTTTTTCAAACCCGATGCCTGGTGCGGCTTGCGCCAAGGACGCCATCTTTTCTAAAATGCTACAGTTATGCATAGACTGGATCTAAGTAGATACACAATTGTGTATAATTCAATACCCTGCTACGTGATTGGATTGGAGTTTCTTCCAGGCATCACTTTGGAGGGGCTCTGCCCCACCCCACCCTTCGAAAGAAGTCTACCCCCTCGATCCCCCCCCCCCCCCGAACAAAATGGAGTTTAAATAGAAAATATATACTTGTAACAGCGACCCCCCCCCCCACCCCCCGAAGAAAATAGTCTGGAAGAAACACTGGTATTTTACAAGCTTTTATTTAACTCACTTCCTCTGTCTGTCTAGATCGAAACGTCCGAACAAAATTGCAGGCACTTCTAACTGACATATATGGTTCGTAATTGGTACGTGGTTGAAGACATGAAGACAATACATCATGACATTTGATTTGACTTAATTGGTAGCCTGATTAATTTTTTATAAATTAATTAAATTTTTGACCAAATTAGTAGGCAGTTCTATCCACACGCGTCATCACGTCAAAAGCGCGCCATCACGTTCAATAGCTGTGCAATGGTTTTTAGTCTATTGTAAATAAAACATGTAAAGTACTAAAAAAAGTTTCACAAAAACGTTTTAATAACAAGCTTTTATGTAATAATGCACTAAAAGGTAGAAAATAAATAATACACTACTATTTAAATAACTATAAAGAAAAGCGTGGGTCTCTTCCTAACATATGCCTTTACTAGATTCTACAGTAAAGTGGTAAAGGTATCCAATAGATACTAAAGTATCCCACTCTTTTCTTTATAGTTATTTATTACATTTAAATAGTAGTGTATTATTTATTTTCTACCTTTTAGTGCATTATTACATAAAAGCTTGTTACTAAAACGTTTTTTTATGAAAACATTTTTTTAATACTTAGATTCCTAGATCTATCTAATTCATGAAAAGTTATATTTTTTATTTTGCCTAGGGATAGACCTGATTTTGATTTGTTGGAAGAGAAAAAAAATGGCGACCTCCTTAACTTTAAGGTCCTTGGGCATAACAATCTTCAGATCAAAAGTATTACATTCGCACACTCATTTGCAATATGCTCACAGATTTCTGGTAAGAAATTCCGAAAAAGATTGTACCTTATAAATATTTTACCTTTTTTTAGATTAGTAGAAAATCTAGAGTTAAGTTAAAGTTTAAAGTACTTTTCTGCTAGTGGAGACGACTGACGACAGTCAGTAACTGAGTAAACTCAACTGTAAACTTAGAACTAGAGTAAACAAGTTAATAAAAAGTCTAGTGACAATTTAAGCGCAATTTCCTTAATTAACATGCGTCAAGTAGACGTTACCTCTCACTAGCGACTGCCTGAGCCGGTGTGCTTGGTTTGGAACTTCGCCGCTTTGCTTACGTAAAAATCCTTTCGAACCTCCGCTCATTCGCTATGGTAAAATCCTTTCAAATCTCAGCGATTGCGCTAAAAACCTACACGATGCTCAGTTTAAATGTTCTTAATTAATTTTTTGTGACCGAACGAAAGGATATTTTTGAAAACTTTCTTCGGCAATATTGGTCTAAATTATGGCAGGAATCGATTGGTAAAAGTTTAAAGTCGCTAAGTGGTCTGGTTGCCGAGATATGGAGCAAAAACTGCATTTGTTCGAGGTTTTTTGGCTTTTCCGGGGAAATCCAGGAAGGAATTCCGGGAATTTTTTTGGCCCACAATCATCCTTGAACTTGCTTAACATATTTGCTTTTGGAACTAGTCCTCGATATTGCTTCGTTGAGGAGGAGATACGACTTAAAGCTGCGGACATCCATCCATCCATCCATTCCCAGAAATGACGAGTTAATAATCGCAATTCTCCAGAATGGAAATTGCGCTAAAAAGTAAAAGCTACTGCTGCTAAGACTCACTGCTATAGTTATAAGTTATAGAGAGGTTCTAGAATCTAGACTAGACCTAGTCAAAAGTGAACTTTAATCTAAAAATCTATTGTTTTAGGACTTTAGGTAGGCCTACGTAAAATCGCCGGCGACTAGTAATGTGAAAAATTTGTGACTCCTTAAATTTTAATAATTATTTCACATTTTGAGGAGGATTTATGTATTCACACTGTATTGAAAAATACAAAAATGTTTCAAAGTTTCATTTATGTAGGCCTACCTGTTTTTAAACAATTGAATTAAAACTTTTCAGTAATAAATGAAGACTAGCGATGTTTTCATCAGATGCAACCATCTCATTTACTTACTATAACAGCCATCTTAAGTTTAGTTAATGGTAAATCCAGTATGACTAGATCTAGTTGTAGTTAGTTAGTAACTTACTAATATTTAGGCCTAGTTAAGTAGTTAGATCTAAATCTAGTACTTAGTAGATCTAGAATCACAAATAGTAAAAATGATTACCAAAAATGGTAAAAACAACTAGAACAATGTTTAGTAGGCCTACTTAGCAATAATTTATAAAAACGCTTTAAAATGATTAGGGCCTAGTTAAATTAGCAATACAAAATGATAAGCAAAACAGTATTTTATTTAACATGCAATTTGATTCAGTCTATCCAAACTTTTAAGGGTGTTCATTTTTAAATTTTCTGTATTAAAAAATAAGCACTAAATAAGATATGGTTTACAGTACTGCCAGTGGATGCCAGAATGGTGTGACAGACTACGCCATATTTTTACTGCTATACCATTCCGGAATAACAATTGGCGCTATTCTGATACTGTAAGATTCCCTATTCTCTATACATTTAGCCTATAAAATAAATAATCTTTATATAACTTTATATGTTGTAATTGTATAATTGCGAAACTTGAATTAATAGTTTAGTCTAGATCTAGTGACTCTTGCAGGAGTAGCTACTAGCTAGATCAACTTTTCTTCCAAAGAAAAAAAAAGGAAAAAAACTTAACCCAGGATTATTTATCTTTAAATGTTGGTATCATGACTTAACTACCTCTTGAGCTGTTGTTTTTTTGTTTTCATAAATAAGCGCTGCTGTTCAAATTTATACAGTTTGTAAGCAGATTACCTAAACTTTTTATTATAAAACAGTATATTGATGTTTAAATGTAATTTGCAGATTTCCACATGGACACTACGTTTTTAGGAAGCCTCCATTATTGTGTAATTATTGGACATTGTTAAAATTAAATACACCCCTAACCCAAACTCTACTATATCCCTGACTTAATACATTTTTTGCAGACTTGTTTTCACAACACAACCTGTAGATAGATGTCCTAGATTTCTTTTTCCCACTTTTGTATTTTATGTGATTAAAATGAAGCAAGATATTTTTTTCCCTTCAGTTTTTAACAGGTAGTTTAAAAAAACACGAACAAGATCCTAATGACCCAAAATATGCTGCTTGGAAACAAAAGCCTCATCCTGAGACACCAACAAAATATCACCCTGATATGCTGTCACCAGAGCCAGTCAAGGGAAAAGTTTTTGAAAGGATGCCTTTGAGAGTAGATCTTGAGGCTGGGAAAAAATACATGTTTTGCACATGTGGATACAGTAAAACTCAGGTACAGCATACATTTCTATTAGATTCCACATTTCAACTATTTTTTAAAGAATAGTTCCACCTACTTTATGGCTGTTTCATATTTATCTATTCTCTGTAATATAATAATTTCATGGTATTTGATTTTTATTTCCTTGTTCTTTATATCATTTTTGTACTTTTTAGACCAGATATTAAGATGGTATAATTCAATTGCTAGAATAAATAAGGTACAAGTTCTATCATAAATTCATAAATGTTTTCTTTTTCTACAGCCATTTTGTGATTCCTCACATAAAGCACCTAATTTTATGTCAACAAGGCCTCATCATATCAGATATAGACCAATGCCTTTTCAAGTGGAAGAAACTAAGGAGTATTGGCTTTGTATGTGTAAACAGTCCAATAAACGCCCTTTTTGTGATGGCTCTCATAAGCGTTTAGCTGCTAAATCCTAAAGCCTTTTAAAATTTACTATAATATTCCTTTAAAAAGATTTAAAGCAAAAAAAAAAAAAGTAATGAGTATTTATGATCAAGTGCAAACTTAATCCCTATTGGTTCATCAATGTAAATATGGTTTTTAATTTACTTTCTTACTCATAGATTATTAGGCTACCCTATGTTTAGTTAAATACAATAAGGAGGGTTATAAGCATTAAAAAATCCCTCCCTTTTGTTCTTTGTTCAAAAACATTTGTTGTAATATTTCAATTACAGAGCTTGGAAAAGTACCATACTGAATGTATGTTTGCTGTTATGTTATTGTCGTCATTTAACTGTTAATTCATTTTTTGAAAACTATTGTTCCAATAAAAATGAGCATCCACTAAATCTATCAAATCATGCACCAAATAATTGTGTTGATGTTCTGTTGTGCCATGACTTTCCTAGACTCGTACATAATTGAAAAAACAGTATTCAAACTGTGAATAATGTCTTTCATTACCGCAAAAAGAATAAAAAATGCATTTTTTTTAGTAATTAGTAAGTGTTGTTTTAGTTTTATTACAGGGTATGCTCCATACTTTTTAACTTATATTTTTAGAAATTATGCTTATCTGATTAAGGTGAATTGTTATTGTTGCATTTATTAACCAGTTGTTTTTTTTAGTGCCTGGTATTAAATTTGTTCTATAAATGTATACCATGTAAAAATTGTATATTATTAAACTTGACAGATATGATTGTTAGGAATTTTTAAATTTTTGAGCATCTTTTAATTGCATTTATTTGCCATATTCCATCCAAATATGGATTCAACTCATCATATTAAATGCAGACTAATTATTAAAGTAATAGATGATTAGGGTCAGTAACTAGGCATTTGTTTTAACTTTATACTTAAGCAGAAGATTAATGGAAGATGTAAACTACTTAATCATTTTAATGCAACAAATAATCAACAGCATAATTAGATTTAACACAAATACTGGTCATTTGCTTGTTTTATAAAGAAGATGGATTGTTTTGGATTTATTGACCTACCGGTACATAATAAAATACTGCTTTAGATAACATGTATAGATAATAACTTTAGTATTAAAATAAGTAAATAAAGAACAAAATCAAGATACAAATATTTATTATATTTTTTTTATTACATATAGAACCATAGGAGATTAATTTTAGAGCAACACATTGAATTATACTTGAGCAATCTTTTCCATGCATTTAGTTGCATCTTTCAATTTTCCAACCAGGTCCTGTACATAAATAATTAATTGAATAATTGGTAGTGTTGGCTTAACATCAAAGGTAAATAACAAAATTAAAGAAACAGCTAGGTCCTTATGGAGTCTGTGAAAATGTTTAGAAACTTTTAAAATTCAAAAGTTATACTGGAAAGCTTCACCTTTATCACTTATTACAACAAAATAATCAAGGAATCACCTGTAGTTGTTCCAATGTACAAGAAAACTGAATTTCTTTTAACTCTGGTTCACCAGGCATCTGGCAGAATTATTGAGATATGTATTATTAGTGGTTGGAAATTTATTGCTTTTTATTACATTGCATTAATTAAAGTAATATAATGACTAGTGGAATGGTGGAGAGAATGTTGAGCTTTTTTATGATTTTGATGGATGATAGTGTAACTCAAGACATAAAACATTCACCCTTTAAGCATGATAGTCTAGAAATCAGATTAGATACCATGCAGTGACAAAAGCCAAACCTTAAATTTTTGTTTCCATCAAATTAAAACTGGCGACAAATGTTAGTCAAGATATACTAAACTCTTGAACTTTTATATACAAGTTTTGCCAAGTTTAAACAAAAATATGCATTTATTAACTTTTTTTTTAAAACAACAAAAATATGAACTTTTAAATTACCTCAGTGTGTAGACATATCAGGTATACTGGTGAATCAATCTTTTCTAAGTGGTTATTCTAAAAAGAAAATTTTACATGAGTACTAAATCAGAGAAATGTAAGATGCATTTAATAATTACATGTTATGACTGAACAAAATTTTAAATGAAAATAAAATGGTATATAAAGTAATAAGTCATGGAAATTCTTTTGATCATCAGCATTTACCTTGATGTAGTAATCTAATCTCCAATCTACATCAACTATATGTGGAAAACTTGATCCTATTCTGAAATGTTTACAAAGTTTTTGTTTACTAAACCTGTTATGAACTCAAATATACAATTGTGTTAATCCGTACATAAACGGTACAAAAGAATCAAGGATGCATAGTATTAAGCTCAACTACTAAAAGCTACAAATCAGTAATACTTACTTTCCTAATAACAGTTGTATATGAGATTTTTGTGGCTGAAACAAAGTTTTATCAGAGTCTTAAACTCAGCTTTTTAAATGATTAGTCAACAAATGCTAATTGACATTAAAACATCTACAAATTATTAAAACACGTTATAAAATAAAATGCATGGAGGAAAATTGTAGGCTATTGTAATCTTTACAAAATATTGGGTGGTTTTTTTTAAGCGGTTAATTTTTTTACCAACATTAGTTTTATAACTTTGTGAGGCTTTAAGTTTATTATTTGTTCTTAACTGTTTATTAAATTCAAAGAACAGTAAGATAGTGTATGTACTGCACCTGTCTTGAAATTAATTGAAATAGAAACCAAAATATCTAAAGACAATCTAATCATTAGTTTATTTGGTAGATCAAGTACAGAATTTTGGTGTACACTATGCTAATGAGGGAGAAAGTTAACAATATTAAGGTAAAATAATATATAAACCATATTAAATTTGTATGTAACTTTATTATATTTCTACTTACTAAAAATATTTTGTTGAAGTCGTTGATTCTATCAGATGTATATTTGCATTCTTCCAGAGTAGTGCTGTAGATAGCCAAACAGCCCATCAGTATTACAAAAACATGAATTTTTTAAAAAAATCTAACATCTAATGTCTTTAAAATCTTTAACCATCTTTGGCACAACAAAGTATGTACTAAACACACAAAAAGATTTAGAAAATTGTTTTAGTTAACATGAAAACCATAAAAAAATGAAAAACTTTTAAAATATTTTTAAAAATAATAAGCTTATTACCAACATAATTCTAATCAAAATGAGATAAACATGAAAAAAATGGATGGATCCAAAAAAAAATTTAAAAATTGCTAATGTTTTGAACCAAACATAAAAAAGTAAACAGATTTTTAAAAACTTAAAAAAGCTGCCTAGTTTTGGTAATCAATAAAGATACTTTTAAAACTACTTTAAAAATTGTACACATTCTTCTGCATTTCTGTTACAGAAACTGTTCACTGACTGTTCAGATGTTATAAATATTAAAATCTAATTAGATTGAAAAAAATCCAGATTTTTTTTTACCTTTTCTCCCATAAAGCAAACCAAACAAGCTACACAGTTTTAATTTAACATGGGAATATTTAACATTTCATTTATTACTAAAAAAAAACATTTAAAATCTAGTGACTGAATTTTATACAAATACCAGAGACAAACCTTAAATTTTGTTCATTACTATCACATTTTGCAGCCTCAATAGCCAATGTAACTAAGCCACTATAAGCAGCTTTTAAACTTGCTGCATTAATATCTTTGAATGCTGGGTTTTCTGAAATCATAAACAAAGATCATAGGTTAAAACATTCTGGAACCAGGACACGCTAAGTAGTTGAAATTTCATGTCAGGTCACCTGAGGTGAACATTTTTAATACAAGATTATAAGACATTTTATTCAGTCTAACTTGAGCTACACTAAAAGTAAGTAAGTGTAAATAAGTCATAAATAATTTTCTTGATGAACACCACTACGCAAGCTGACTATCTAACCCACCTCCCACCCCCTCCCTCGCTCTCTGGTGAAAAGATCAAGCTGTGGTTCACGCCAAATGTTTACAATCGTAAAGCCGGGTCAAATTAGTGACAGCTATTAGGGGCAGATAATTTAGTTTTTAAAGGATTTGCAACTAAGGGGAGGTAATAAAAAGTTCCGCTTGATCTTTTCATTGTCGCCTGTAAACTTTCATCACAGACGTCTGCGGGGGGGGGGGGGGGGTGTTAGATGGAGAGTAGTGTTACTGAAAAGTAGAAAATAAAAAACTAAATAGCGACGTATGATATGCCGCGGGTAGGCTTGTACTACTATAATAGTAATACTAATAGACACATTCAACAATACGCGTCAACACTTTTATTGGTTTTGTATAAAACGTATCAATTATTTTTCACTATATAAATCATAAATGTATACAGGCTGTATTACAGCTAAATTCCACCCACAATGTACAGACAGGCTGGTAAATCAGGGGATATGGTGAGGGTTAGTTAATTATTTAAAAAATCAGATCCCACACTTCCCCCAGGCTTGTACTAACTTGAGAACTGTTTATTTGTACATTCTACAATAACTGTTATGTGTTCAGAGTCCTGTCGAATGTCAACAAATGCAAAACAAAAACATCTTATTTATTAAATTTTAAGTAGGCCCTAATTTCAGTAATTTGAGCTTAGTAGTTTAGCTAGTAGTCCTCTATTAGTTAATGACTCATGACATAGTCTAGTAGTAATAAGTTAGTAGTTAGTTACAGTTCAGTTAGTAGATCTGGTACTAGCTAGTAGTTTATTTTAATTATTAATTACTTTAATACTCAGACTGACTCAATTTTTTTTAATTTAATTTTTTTTTTATTTTTAATGTTCCGTTCGCTAAGGTTATGGAATCAAAAGTTTAAAGTAAAGTAAAAGTTATATAAATTTATAAACCTGCGACAGCATTTCTGTATTCATCGTAAAGCACACCCTGACAAGCAGCTGTGACTAGAGGGACAAATAATTTATCAGGGACGTGACTAGAATCTCCAGCGACCGCAATATTTTCTAATACACTACTTCCAAGCTCCATTACTATTAGTAGTAGACGGAAGTAGGAGGTAGGCGGGACAAGTCACATGACAGTTTTATTTATAACTTATCTGTGTTTACTTCTGTATGCACTAAAAGACACGATGGAAAATCATTTTGCGTCAGAAATGTTGAATGTGGTTTAATTAATTTTGTCATTATGTGTTTAAAGGCGTATCATAGTAATACAAATTTAGCATGGAATTACAAATATTGATATTCAACATGGATTTTAAAAATCTATTTCATCCGTGAGTTGGGGGGGGGGGGGGAGGGAGCGATGGACACGCTCCGGGGGCAGTGCTCCATCCTATCCAGCCGAAAGAAATTGTCTGCACCTTTTTGTGTCTTTTTTCTCGGGGGTAGGAGGAAAAGAGAGAATCAGAACTGGAATGTTACATTACTTTAACTTGGCATTTTTAAAATGAATGTTGGCAGTTATTGCACGTTTGGAATCATTTATTTGTAAATTGTAACGAATAGCCTACTGATCAATAAATCTATTGTGTAAGGCTTTTTTTGACAAGTTTTGCTCGAATTTTCAGAAGTATGCTGAATGGCGATTTGCGAGTAGCTATTTTACTGGTTTTACCCGGTACATATGACAGAGTTCATATTAAATATTAATGTTATCACGGCAAATAAAGCTCATACGGACTCAAGCCACGGATCCGAACTCGACAATTTTTTTTACAAAAAGCAGTGCGCTCGCCACCCGACCACGCAGTCCCATTGGTTTTTTTTTTTTTTTTTTTTTTTTTTTTTTTTGTAAAGGGCACTAAAGGGTGACAGAAAGCGCACTTTAAAATTAAAAGTTAAGCGCATGTGTATTAAGTTAGTATTAACCTTTGGCGATAATGTGCAAAACAGTGCGTTTTCATTGTTCATTAACTTCCTGAAGTAGATAAGGTGTAAACTTATACCAGTCAAGAAGGCAAGGCACCAGTTGTGTTAAAATTAGATCGAGAATCTAAGTAAGTTCATTGTTTTAGAAAATATCCGTGTAGAACAAGTAGCTAAATCTAGACCAGTGGTTCTTAAACCGGGTTCTATCGAACCCCAGGATTCGATGAGTCTCAGGGGTTCGACGACGGTCAAGACACACACCCGACTCCATTGATTTTTTATTAGATTTTGGTAAACTTAAGTTTAGCGTCGGAAATTATCCGGTAATGTTTGTTGAGTTTTGTAAACATAAGTTACGATAAACATAGTAATAAAACATAATAATAAACTTAGTAATAAAATTTGCCAGAGCGAGATAACACGTTGTATTGGTATCTCGATATGTCTATATCACGAAACCCTTGAAGTCATGACACACAAGCGTCACAAATCGTGTCAACGCCACGTATACCGGCGCGGGTTGATTGTGTATATATGAAGTAGAGTTTATCTGGAAAAAAAAATCTTTAACGACTGCATCTTTTAAAAATCGATGGTTTTATTGAAAACTGCCATAATTATTATTGTACATATTGTATCACACTTTGTACGGCCCTATAAAGGGCTTTAGATCTGGATCTGTCTAAGCGGGCTATCTAACTGATACTGATACAAAATTGCAAATAAAAACTTTACTACGATATATTATTACATAGGCTACATAGTACCGCTTTCATTATCGATGTCAGCACAAACATAAAAACTAGCGGAAATGGCCGATAACGGCATTTTAACACTTCAGCCTTAATTCGAGGTTTGTGATGGGCAATTTGAAATAGACTTCATGTGTTTCGGTGACCTCGAAATATGAACCGTGTGTGGTCAGCACCATGCCCAGCCGTCTTTACTTTCCCTGACGTGAGTCAGATACCCATCAGAGTCGTGTGAACTCGAAACTTTCGGGTTAGCAGTTGAACGCTCTTCCATTAGACCTCACCGTAAATGTCAATTTTTATTTTTTTCCATTTCAAACAGATTACTAGCTCCATGTAGATGCTTCACATAAAATCAAACATCCGACTTGCTTTTCTAGCTATAGCAAGTCTAGCCGTGTTCAACGGATTCGTTATCCTCCACCTACACAATCAGCCTCGCCGCAAGACCGTCAAAGGACTTCACCTAACGGACGCTGGTGAAATCGAACTCAATTTGGTAGGGTTGTTGCAGCCGGCCAGTGACGTCTCGTTTGACGTGCTGAAAGAACCAATTATAAACCCGCACGATTTCAAATATATTCACAGCCCGTTCAGAATATGCTACAACAAAACAGTGAATCTGTTGGTTGGGGTTGTTTCCTCCCCTGTCAACTTCTGGCAGAGGAACAGAGGCAGGCAGTTCCTCTACAAGTATGACGGAGTAGCATTTGTTTTCATCCTGGGGATGGCTGAAAGGGACAGCATACAGAAGAGGATTGACCTGGAGGTCAGGAGATTTAGGGATGTGCTACAGGAGCCAATCATTGATGTCTCGAGAAACCTCAGTCTCAAATCTGTGGCTTTCCTCAAGTGGGCAAACATCTTTTGCTCTCATGCAAAGTTTGTTGTTAAAAAAGATGATGACATTGAGCTAGATCCAAATGTAACATTGTATGCTCTAATGAAAAAGAAGGCGAATCATCCTCACTTTATTATGGGAAACAGTAAATTTCTGGTGGAAGGCCCTATTCGTGATCAGCTGTCTAAATATTTCACATCGTTTGCTGAGTTTGGGGATGAGTTTTTTCCAATGTTTGTACATGGACCGGCCTATGGATTTCCTATAGAAACAGCTAAAGTACTTTATGAAATAACTTTGAGAACAAAGTTATTTTGGCTTGAAGATGTGTATATAACTGGAATCTGTGCTCACAGAGCAAACATTCCAGTGTTTTTTGATGTCCGCTTCATGTACGAGCATGCTGGAATTGATATGGTGTGAAAGTTTACACTCAGTGAATGTATGAACTTTTCCTGAATTAATTTCATGATAAGATGAAATATATTTTGATTAGTTTCAGGTGCGATATCACAGCAAAATTGTAATTGTATGTTCCACATTCAGAAACACATTTTTTTTAAATTTATAAATTTTCATTGAAAAAAACAAACAAGCAATCTTGGAAAAATAAAAAAAAAGGTGAAATTAATTAAAAAAAACCCCAACATATTCTTTTTCTTTGATCATTTACATTTTCAATTCAACCTAATTAAAATTAATTCATTTTATACAACAGATAATTTTCAATTAACATAAACAAATACTACAGATCATATTCAATTCACAAAACAAATATAGATCTAGTATGAACATAATAAAATAAATAATAATATACATGTGTTTAGGGTTTAGAGACTTTGACTCTCAATTTCACTACATTCAATTATCAAAAAAATGAAGGCTAAAATTAAAAACCTAACAAGAGATTAAAATGAAATTTTTTATTTCATCAACAGAATATTAAAGTTAAGCGTAGGAAAATTGTTGACATTGTAATCAGTAAATGTAAATCACTTTGGTTGATAAAACAAAACAAAAATGAAGGAAAAAAACAACAAACCAATCAAGTTTTTTTAAATTTTCTAAACAGAGGGTGAATATGATCAGCTTTCTTGCTCCTTCCTCTTCCTGTGTACTCCATGTAAATAGCATCATCTGCTCCTGATAAAGAATTCATGCTTCCCACTTTACGATTAAACTGAAATAAACAAAAATCACTTTCATTGTATTATGTTTTACTTTAAACTATGATTAAAATCTAGATATTTTATGTGTGAACTACTTCATAAACTAATGCAATATTGTGTTAAAAATGATTTGTCATTAAAAAACAATTTTCAACAAACGTTTGAGATTTATAAGTTGTTACAGTAATTAGGTTCTCAACGCAATTAACGAGAGAAACAGGAAATGAATAGAACTAGATATTACCGAAGATTTTCCTGGAAACTCTCCAAGTACCCTCTCTTCCTCAGCATCCTCTTCTGATGCCGCAAGAACTTTCTGAAGAAGCTGAACCTGCTCATCTTTTGTCCGATAGAACAAGTCCTCCTAATAAAATATTCCACACAAATTTTATATAATCACATTTACTTTAATGTATCCTATTTTTGTAAAATTACAAGATATCACAGTAACATTATTTATATAGCAGTAGGTGTAATTAGCTGAGATCAATATTTCCCTAATAAAGTTTGGTTTATCTTTTAAATAATTCTTACGACCTATGAGTCTAGCCTCATATTAAAAACAAAAATCAGAGATAATTTGAGTAAAAGAAAACAGTACCTGGTCCATTCCCTCCAGCTTTGTTATCACCTTATAGCTGTAGCCTTGGTTGACAAGAAACCGTTGACGTTTCAGAGAAAATGCCATTTCATTTGTGTCCTGAGATACCAGAGAATAGAAGTAGGCGTTGTACTCTTCTGCTGCTGAACCTAAGGAAAAATTATTTTTTTATATTCTGAAATATTTTTGTTTTAGAAAGACAAAAGATAGGACTAACTTTAAGAATGATAAATGAAACCTTCAGACAAATATATTAATTTGGATAGCAATAATGCTTGTGTAACCGTTCGATAATTCAGAAGCAAGCAAATACTGTGAGGAGAAAATAAATTAAGCCTGTAGTTAATTACCTTTTTTGGCTCTGAGAATTCGACCTAACCTCTGAGCTTCTTGCCTACGAGAGCCACCATGAGCTGATATTTGGATAAGAACATTTGCTTCTGGCAAATCAAAAGAGGTATCAGCTACCTAAATTGAAAAAAAATTCAATAACATAAATTTAGAATTTTATTTTCACAACACATAGATACAAATCTATATTGTAGTTTTGAATAAGTTCAACTCCATGTAGGCCTTACTGTTCATTTACTTATTTGTTCTAATACATAATAATTTTTCACCAATAGGAAAAAATAGAACTAAATTAAAAAAAAACCAACAGATTAGTTTTGATGGAAAAAACTACAGGAGAGTTTAATATTTTGTCTTTAACATTTATTTGAAATTTTAAAGTACCTGTAATTTTATAAAACTAAAGCAGCCATACATACCTTTGAAACAAAAATTGTGTTAACTTTTGGATTATGTTGGAAATTTTGAAGAATTTGTAGACGTTCCCCTTGACTGGTAGGTCCATATAAATATGGTCTAGAAAAAAAAACGATATAAATTTGAAGATATTGATAGGAAAAGGATGATCTCTTTAGCTACTCAATACATAGTTTTTAAGAACAGAACATATAAACAGGCTTACTTGTTTAGCTTGACAGCATAATGCTTTAATGCAAACACATTGTCAGAAAATACTATAATTTTATCGTTCCTTCGTTCATGATAGCGAATGAGAAATTGACAAGCCCTAAATTTGTTGGGGTTCATTGTAGACAAAAGCTAAGAAAAAAATGGTTAAACAATTATTGATACTGAAATGAAATAATAAAATTAATACGTTTTTTAAAAACTAAGCATTCATTCTTATTCAGCCAGTCTTAAATATTGTGCTTTGAAACTATTTGTTTTATGTTTAATCGGGTATATTGTGCCTTAAATGTGACATTGTTAGTAAATACTTTCACATACCAACTTTCTTTGAGATTTCATGACGAGATATTCTCTGTAAAATTCTGGACTCATTGGGCACCAAACCTTTTAAATTAAAGAAAAGTCATACTTGATTTTTCTGACCAATAGATATTAGTATAAATAACAAAGTAACAATAAAAAGTTTATGTTTGACCCTTTTTTCATCCAAAGTAATAATATTGTAATATTACATTAAGTAGAGTGGCAAAAAATAGTAAAAATGACTAGTACTGTTTTTGAAATATTGAGTGAAATTGTTAGTATAAAATGTTGAAAACTTACTTCAGCACACTGTACACGTGCAATGTAGCCTAAATTCTGCAACTCCATCCAATTGGCTTCATAGAGTTTTGGTCCAATCAGAAAATTGAGGTCAGCAATTTTGTCGTCTTCTCTCACAAGTGTTGCGGTGAGACCTAACTTGCAGTGAGCATTGACTGTGGTGAGAACTCGTCTAAACATTTTGGCTGGTATTGTTTGAACTTCTATAAAGCAAAAGAATTCAAACTTTCATGAAAGTAAAAATGTAGAGCTTGTTTATTTTTTACAAAAAAAAACGAACAGCACAAATAGGACTGTGCTTTGGAGATTAAACAAACTAATTAAAGTGAGCAGTTAAAAATATAGCTACCATCAAGCACCATTAAACCCCACTCCTGGTTTTGCAGCCATTCCATCATCTTCTCTGCTTCCCATGAGCGTTTTGTTGAGTGTGCCAACATAGAGTATGTACTGATACATATTGCACAACCTTTGAATATTAAATTATAATTACTAATCACATCTTACTAAGTGTAGAAATAAAGAAACAAATTTTGTAATTTATAGATGAGACAAAACACACCCATCGGTTTATCTTTAGCGTCAGAAGTAAATCTACAAATTAAACTGTCATCAACTGTAGACCACATTTTGAACTGGGACCTCCATTGTTCTACAGCCACACCAGAAGTTGCAAGACAAATGCACCTTTTTCTCACAGTACAAGCAGCTGTGACACCCACCAGCGTTTTTCCAGCACCTAGAGCAAAGTGGCAGAGGTTTTTATTTTTATGTAATAATATTAAAATATATGCATATAACTGATACATTATAAATTATTCAGTATATTTAATTTTAAGAGCTAAAAAAATATTTCTGGAAATAACAGCAATTCATTGTCTAAATTTTAAAAAATCGTAAATTTAATTTATTTTGATAAAATTAAAACATTACATACCACAAGGCAATACAATTACACCAGATCTTGCTCTTCCATTACCAAACATCTTACGTAAACTTTTCTCCTGATAAGGTCTCAATACAGTAGAGGGCTTTAAATCAATACTGAGAGTAAAGAAAAAAATATTAAATTACCATACTAAGAGTAGTAGAACATTTTTAAAATTTCCATACTAAAAGTAGTAGATTAAAAAAAATTACAATACTAAGAGTAGTTAAAAAAAAATTACATTACTTCTTAATATTATTTTTTAGGAAAGAACTTACTTTACATCAGGGTTTACTGTGTCATTTCTAAAATCATATTCAGCTAAAAGTGGATGCTCCAGCTCTATACATCTGTGGTTGGAAAACAATAACAATTAATGGATTAAGTAAGGTTTTAAAAAAGATTCAAATTTTATTGATATACAATAGTCCCAGTATATATATATGTTATAAGAACAAGATCAGCATTTTGTCATTATATATATATATATATATATATAATTTTAACTAAAAAATCAAAAAAGAAAATATACATTTAATTATTAAGATGAATGATGAATAAAAATGGTACCAAAACAATTAAAACTAAGCTGAAATTATTGTGTTTAATGTGACTGTTAATTTAACACATAAAGAACACACCTTTTCTGCAGGACTTCGATATTTTCTTGGTTAACCTCAAAAGATACAGTTTTTAATTGAGGATCATCATCATCTTCCTCTTTATCCAGTTTGTCATACAGTTCGAAAATATCATCGGGAACATCTTCTTTAGTTTCACCACTAGAGCCATTAGCTGTGGATGATCCTGCTTGTGGATCCCCAGGCTTCTTGTTCAGCTAAATAGAAAAAACTTAGTTATATTTAGTTACCATTAGGTAGGTAAAATACAATGAAAAAATACTTAAAATTTTCAGTGTTATTGAAAAGTATAAAATCATTTTACTTTAATAGTTAACTAATGATTCAATGGGTATCATAAAATAAATTTAAATACAAGAATATAAAATCACCAACAAACAAATAAGTGACTTTTTGGCACAAGGCCTAGGTCAGGATCAATAATGAGAAAAACAACACAGATATGAGCTTGTCTTTGTTTCACCTGCATGACAGACATATCTTAAATTAAACAATCAGTTTCAACATTCTACCTGTAAAGCTGATTTTCCTGAGAGTTGACCAGCTATCAAGTCCTCACTGCCAGCTTCTTCCTCATTCTCTCTTTTCCTTGCTTGTTGAATGTAAGGATCTTTTAACAGTTTTTGAAGAACATCCTACATATAAATTAACACCTTATAAGGAAAATGTATACAACTTTTATAATACATGCAGCATGAGATATCATACTTGAAAATAACAAAATAAATATGTCATATTTGATGACTCACAGGATATTGACTTTCAACAAAGTATCTGTTGTGTTTCAAGACCAATTTAACTTTGCCATAGCTAAGGGTACAGAGCTGTAAAGCACAATAAATATTTTATTACATGCCATTCAGTAAGGACTGAAGTATAAAAATATGAAACTAGAAAAACAGTTAAATAAAAAGATCTATTAGCAATATGCATTAGTTAAAAATGAGGATAATTTTAATAAGGCGCAAAATTAGGTTTGAGCGAGATAGGAATAACAAGAACAAATATAATTACCAAAATCAAGCATATTTTAAAATAATTTAAAGCTAATAAATAGTAAAAACAATCTTACCTTAATAAACTCTACTATTCCCTCTGGTAGAGTAGTTTTACTTAACCTACGTAAATACTCAATAATGTCATTTGTTTGCAGCCCTACTGATACAGCAGCATAAAGAGAATAAGCTGTTAACTTATACTCATGAACATGAGTTGGTCTGCACACAGGCTGTTCATAATATAAATGTGTTAAAAAGTGAGGAAGTAGAAGTACATTTTTAAATAATCACCCACACACCCCAAAAAAATTACTAGCACCAGCATTCGATACATTAGACATAGGTGCATACTACTATTAATTTCATATAAATACATACTATTAACTTCGTATAATTATGTCACAAACAAAAAAAAAGTTCTAAATAAATGTTGTTTACAACCTCTTCTACTTCTCATTTCAAATCACTATTGAATAATTAACAAATACAATTACCTCAGATATAGCAATAAGGAAATCATGAGCATGTCTATAGACTGGTGAAAAGGACTCAAGGAAAACATGTCCATTGGGGGCCTGAAATAAATCTTGCTGCTTTGTTAACATGGCAAAAGTGACAACAAGTTAATTTACACAGTCAAAGAATAAATGTTAAAGATATGATGTACTAATAGACTATTCACACATTTTTATATTTAAACACTGCAATTAGTTAAAAAAATTTAAAATAGTTGTTCAAACTAACAGGTGGATCTAAATATATTATTAAATTGAAAATACTACCAAAGAAAAATTAACATACTATCCAAAGTGGTCTAGATTTATGGTCTGACTTTAGCTCTAATGTTTGCCTGTAGTCATGTGCACCAAACTCATCCTGAAGTGTTGCTCCAGCACATTCCCTTGATGCAGATGCAGGCATATCTGCAAAAAAAATTCTCTTTTTCTTTAATCCTTAGAAAATAAAAAGTGATAATTCTCAATAATAACATCATTTTATGGATGTGATTAAATTTTTACCAATCTGGAGCTTAAGGGTGGATATATACTGATGTGATATGACAAAATGTGCATTCAGTCAAATAATAATTTGGCAGATTCTAGCAGGAAGAAGATGAGCATGCAGTTTTTCTAAATGTTTGTTGCTTAGGCCTATGTTGTGTTGTCATGATGGGACAGGGATTAACACAAAAAATATAGTCGCTTTAAATAAATTTTCAAAAAAAATTATATGCTTAACTTACAGACTAGAACTCTTCACTATACATACTATAACTATACTATGAACCCTCAACCCTGGCGACCCTCCCAAAGCGCAACTTTTACTGCTCGACAACACTGTACAGACAATTTTGTCACAAGAATAAGACTAAAAGGGTAATTAGAGGTCATTGTGAAGCTATAAAAGGATAATTTGAGTCCATTGTGCAGCTATTAAGGTAATTGAGTTTTGCATCTTCTTCCGGCCATACTAGCAATGGGGGGAAGAAACTTCTTCCAAGTAGTCACTTCGTAATAATTTTATTCTTTAAAATATCCATAGTAAAAATCTAACCACCATTTTCTATGGGTTTTTTTTTTACATTTGAATGTCTAAAAAAGATTTATGTTGTGAAAATTCAGCAAAATATTTTTTTTGGACACAATAAAGAAAAGCTAATTTTCAAACAGAACCGAATTTCTGAACACATCTGCTGTACACTATAATTAAAAATATTAATGCTGAAAGTTAAATTTTTATTTTAGAAGAGCATGACCTTTGGTGATTTCTTTTTCTCCTTGTTCATCATCATCGTCATCATCATATATTTCTGCCTCATACTTAGATTTCTTTGACTTTCGCTCCTCTGGAAAAGAATCGATAATAATTATTATTTTAAAAATGTTTACAAATGTCTGCAGTCACCATCAACTTTTAGTCAGTAGACTGGTTCATGTTACATTTCAATTCTTTGTTAATATCCAATTCATGCTGAAAGTACATTGTAAAAGGGCTGTCATTTTTTATGATGTATTGCACCATTTACTTAATTAGGATATGAGTGGCAGTTTTGTTGGAGACCCGTGGATTCTATCCCGGCTGCCAAAATCATGCCATCCATATTTTCTGCACATAATTATAATTTTTTGTTTGCTTTTTGTGTGTTTAAATTCAAATTATTTACATTGGAAAGAACAATCTATAGGCCTAAGCTTTAGTAGTTTAAAAGATAATTTATACACTCTAGCTTTTAAAAAAGTTCTGCTTAATAAATTCATTAGCAAAAAAAATGGGCTGATCGGCACTTACATTACAATGGCATTGGTTATTATTAATATAAATAAAATAACCTGGGGAAAAACGAAAAGCACTGGAAAAAGTGTCTCCTGGAATTCGTAAAAGAGACACTTTGGTGTTCATGAAATGAGTTATTTAGGACTACTCTGAATTTTTAAAGGGAATTTTCAATTGATTATCTCAGTGAAAAAAAAAGAGTGAATAGCTGTGCCAGTGCCGGAGTAGTAACAGCAGACTAGTCGTGAATCTTACTGCCTATCTACACTTTGTGACTTTATGACTACACACACACACTCACTCTCACGTTACTACAGACAGTCACCTCAGACAGTGTTACATTCTGTGAATCTTCTTACTTTCTTACTTCTTACGACTTACACACACAGTACTACAGTCTGAGTACAGTACAGTACTAAAAACTAGTTAGTTAGTTACTGATCTAGGCTCTGGATCTAAGTACTAATAGAAATAGTAATTTTCTAAGGCTTAGTCTGATCTCTAGTGAATTTTAGCCGTTACCAAACCTTTATCTTTCTTGTCTCTTTTGCCTCCTGCCATTGTGAATATTAGTAACTAAACCCACGATTTGATATGTTCTTTACTTTTGTTTTCCATTTCAATAGTCGATCTTATGAAAGGAAGTTATTTTTCTCATAGCATAGTTTTAAAACTCGATTACTTCAGAAAATAGTAAGATCTATTGTAGATCTAGATCTAGATAAAATTCGCATCGTAATTTTACTTTAAAATTTTAAAATAAATCACTTTAAGAATTAATCATTCTTTATTTTGAACATTTTCACATGTATAAATGAAACATATAATTCGCAATTATATATAAAATTAAAAATCGTTCAATGCAACAGCGATATATTCTTGTTCGAGTATATATTTATATACGTATTTCATTCAACGATGCTATCTTCTCTTCTGCCTTTGAAGTTAAAGAAATAGATTGTAGATTACGAAGGACATGATATGTTATTGAAGTGAAAGTTGAAAAACAAACGAAAGGAAATGTCAAACAGAGCTGTTCCAAAAGATTTTGTGAAAAATGTTATGCAGAATGGTGTTGGACGCTATATTTGTCAACTTCAGCGAATAACCTTCAGATTTTGCAAGTCACATGGTGGAAGTAGGCATATGAGGTAGGCTACGAACATTACAATTTTCAATTTTTCATTAAAAACATTCTGAACTTTGAACTAAAAATTTGAACATTGCAACTCACACACAGCAGTAAAGAACTTAAAAGTAAAGTTAAAAAGTACTGTAGATTAAAGATTAGATGCCATAACAAAAACAATCATACACAACAAGAATGGGAGCTTCTGGTTTTAGTTTTTTCAACCCCCCCCCCCCCCCCCCCCCCCGTTTTGTGTGATGTTTGGAATCTAAACAACGTCCAATGTCAGCACGTGTCAAACCACGTCAAGGCACCCGATTGGCGATTTCGGTCACGCATAATTGGTTTTTGTACGTTCTCGTGAACTAAATACCAATTTCTTGACAACAAAACTTGAAGACCATGAATTTGTGAAAATAACGACCTTCTTGGAATGGCTTTTGAACGTTATTTAATAAAATAGGTGCATTGGGTTCATATGTTGATTCTATAGCTGTCTAGAGTTATTTACCATTACCTAGTAAGGGCTTGTTGGAACAGCCGATTTAGGTCACTGTGTAGTGTGTAGCATTTGTAAAATGTAAATTTATGGCACTGAAGCAGATCGTGCGCAAACTGTTAAATTGGTTTATTGTAAAAAAAGCATACTACTTAAAATTACAAATTAGTTTTAAATATTCACACCGCACAAAATAATCCCAAAGAAAGCATAAAGTAGGGGATAATCCTTGAGAAATGCATCACTATGAAATTTGAAAACCACATTTGTCAACGAGCCATCTTGGGCTAGATGTCATTAACCAATAGATGTGTTTTGTGAATGATGCATTTTTTTATAAATTTAGTTTCCGATATGGTACATGATATTTACATATAAATTAACACATCAAAGGGCTGCAACTACACATTTCCAGTGGACTCGGTTTTGGGCTGCTCCCTTAATCTGTGCCCATGTTAGCCCAGCTGTTTTTGCCTCTTCCTCAACAGTTCTTTTCCATGTTTTCTTTGGCCGGCCCACTTTCCTTCTTCCCTGTCCATAGCATATTTTTGCGATGTTTTCTTTTTCTCTTCTTAACGTGTGTCCGATCCATCCCCACTTACGGGCCTTGATATCTTTCTCTATTGGCTGTTGCTTTAAGATTTGCCACAGGTCTTTGTTTGATTTTTCGTCTGGCCATCTTATTTTAAGTATCTGTCGTAAGCATTTGTTTAAGAATGCCTGTAGCCTATCAGTATTTGTCTTCGTAACCCTCCAAGTCTCCGAGCCATAGAGCAGCACTGCCTTGACATTTGTGTTGAAAATCCCAATTTTGCACCTCCACATTGAGCGCAGTGAGCTGAAGGCACATCTAGCCTTGTTGATATGACATTTTATGTTCTCGTGTGCTCCCCCGTCCTTATTGATCACGCTTCCCAGATATGTGAATGTGTTTGTTTCTCGTAAATCTTCTCCATTTAGCTGTATGGGCAGGTCCTGGCTGTTATTGATTCTGATGACCTGTTTTATTTTCATTGATTTTTAGTCCAACTTTGGAGGCTTCTTCAGATAGCCGATTTAGTTTGGCTTGTGTTTGTTGATGTTAGTGAGATAGTAGGCAGATGTCATCGGCAAAATTAAGATCTTCCAGCCTAATGGTGAAATTCCACTGGATTCCTGTGTTGTTTTTTGTGGTTTTCAGCATGATCCAGTCGATTACCATCAAGAATATCATTGGCGATAGCATACATCCCTGTCTTACTCCCGTCGTCACTGTGAATGGTTTTGTTAGTTTTCCCTTGTGTATTACCTGACTGGTGGAGTCTTCATATAGTTTCTGTGTGATAGATATACAGTTTTTGGGTATTCCATAGTGGCTCATTAGCTTCCAGATAACACATAAATTAACACCAAGCAAATGTACGACGATAGACCTAACAACTAACAAGCATCACTGGTTAAATTTGCCATCGTGACTATACCAATCATTGGCTATGATTTTCATTACAGTATTGTTTTTATTTGGAAAACAAGTTTCCCTGCATGCACCAACAATGTCATCTAAGGCCAATACCACAGGTTCTTTTTCCAATGAGTATATATCCTACCCACCCGCCCCCTCACAGCATACTGCATTTCTGTACAAGCGGGGTTTAAAGTAAAACTTTGAGTTCAAGAAGGGGAGAGGGTGCTATGGAAATAACAAAGCTGTTTCTTTAATAATACAAAAAAATTCTAGTCCTACTGCAATACCATCATACAGGAAATATGTAATCTAAGTATAAAATAATTAAATATCATTAATATGAAGGGAGATAGTTTGTTTTGGTTAAGGCACAACATACAACACTCATCCAGATAAAACTAATGGATATGAAGCCATTGTCAATTTTAGAAATCAGAACTATCCGTTTCTGTTTAAGTCTGTTATATAAGCATTGTCAGGTGTACTTTTGACCTAATTTCTTTGTTTCGCAAGTGGTACTTTAGTGAAAGTAGATCTATTTTATTCTTGTCTCTCAAATCAAATAACTCTAAAATAGGTCATGATGGCAGTACTGAATATGCTGGAATACCTCTTTAAATTTGCTTTGAGTAATGAAGACCAAATTCGAAAAGGTGGTACAAATACATATTTGTAGATCTTTTCAAATTTTGGCTACCAAGATGCAGAAACTGGAACTCAAGTAATTCATATCTGTGAAAAAAAAATCAAATATAACATGCACTAATTTAAGTAATAAAGGACAGGAATAATTATTAAAAACAATATTGGTAACTCATTAAATGGCCAATGTTACTCCAGAAAACCCGAAATAGTGCTTAAGTACTGAAGCAATAGTACATAAACCATGCAGCTTGTTCATTATTATGTCTTCTGGTCCTCATATACCTTAATGTTTTATTAGGTTTTTAATATTTACAATTATTTAACTATAACATCGTAAAATATTTATATTTAGAGAATAAATGCCAAGAATAAAATGTTTTTGTTTCACTCAGTTCAAAGTTATAAAAACCGAAAAATGCTAAAGATAATTTAAAGCTGAAAATAGATTTTTTAAATTATACTTCTTCACAGTGACGTCACTAGGTCGGGTGTCACCCGGTGCAGCACTTTATGGTTTCACCCCCTTAGTATATGCTATCTATCTATATATATATATATATATGTGTATATATATATGTAGGCCTAAAGGTATATAGTCTTTGTGTGTCACCCACCACCTCTCATATTAACCCTCCTATTAATAAATGTGGAAAAAAGCATAGCTTTCAAACTTTTTAGATTTAGTGTCACTCACTCCCAGATTGTTGATTGACTTATCAGTTATTGAAAATACTCCCCCCCCCCCCCCCCCCGTGATGGCTCTAAAGTGTGTGCATTTAATAGTAACGGTTTATCTTTCCGTTATTTATACAGCTGGGTGTAGCATGCTTTTTCTAAAGTTCATGGCATGGTGTTGTCATCCTGTCCCCCCATGTTGGGATCATCAATTTGTACTTAAAAAGGTTTATTAACTCTAATATTTAATTGAACTACAAAAGGCATTTTTCTTCTATATAACTTGCAATTTCGCCTTGGTGTCACCCGGTGCGGACTGCCACTTCATGCTTTTTTTCTCAAAAAGTGCTGATTAGATTTTCATTTTTTCAATAACCGTGTTTTATATAATGTTAATATTTCTGAACGTCAGGATATATTTTCAATTTTTCTTTTGAGCTGGCTTATCAGAGATAAAAATATCTATTTCTGTGAAAAACCAGCATTTCTTAATTTAAAACCAATAGTCAAGAATTCTTTGTAGACTTTGCAGTTGAGGTGTGAACACATGAAACTGCCCAAAGCAGCACTGGCTGTTCAGTCTTAATGCAGTGCTTTTCATGGACAGCAAGCATTTCTTTATTAAAACTTTAAAAGTTGCAAGTTTTTCTGGCATTGAACTCATTGGAAGAGCATCAGAACATTTTTAATTTCACATTAGAATAATAATGGAGATTTACCTAGTTTTCATTTATTCTGTTGTTTGGACCAGAGGTAGTGTCTGCTATGTAGTTAGGCGATAGACTATTAATTAGTTATTGCCTGTATTTACTGTGACTTTTAAAATGTAAACACACTAATAAAAACAGCCATGGTACAACAATTTTTTTTTTATCTTTCAGGGACTTTATTGAGAATCATTTGCTGGAGTTCACACAGAACAATCCCGGAGTTGTTGTTTATTTACAACCAAGACGAAACAGAACACCATCTATTGTAGCTGAATATTGTAAGTATAAGTGTGTTAGAGCTACCTGCTTTTAAATTAATAGCTTATCTTTAAATGTAATTCAAGGAATAATATAAGGAACATATTAAATCATGAAAGATTAACATTAATAAAATATCTCAGTGGGATAGTTTTATTCACAACTTAACACTACATTAAAAATATACATTTTCTTTATTGAACCTTTTATTGAAATCCTTTTAAAAAAGTATATGATTTTTCTGTTTTTTTTTTTCAGTAAATGGTGGCAAGCAGATCCTGGGAATGACATCTAAATTAACCCCTGAAATTTGTAAGTGGACTGAACACCTGAGAACCAGGTCAGGTGTTCAGATTGTTAGAATTATTAAAAATAATCACACTGACACTCCCAGCACACAAGGCATATGGCACCCATTCATGTTCAAGGAGACTGAATGGGCAGTGACTAAGTTTCCCAGTGAGAAGTGGTCACCTGTTCTCAAGGTTGGAAAAACAGCTACAGATTATGTGCTGGAGGAGCAATCAGGCCAATCCCAAAATGACATCAAGTTTCGCTGCATACATGAAGATAACAAATAATTGTTTCATGAAAACTTATTTGTACATAACTCTGATAACTATGTTTTTTGATGAGATATTCATTAAAATTTTCCACTAAACTAATTTATGTTTGTTTGTTTAATAAAATTTTGTTAGTTTTTGAAATTCAAAGTATAATATTGACTGCTTATTATTTAATACTTGGCTAAAATAGTCTTGTATCCTAATTTCTATTACTGAATATGACTTTGTCCTTCAATGCATGTAGTTATAACTACTGAATCCATGACTGTGGGTCTCAATAATTGAATTAATTTAGATTAGGAAACCTGATATATTTTTCTCTCTCACCCCCCTGTATCACCTGAATTAATTCCAGTCTCTGCATTTAAAAAAAATCATTTGATATATAAATAACCAGTTTTCCTATTACTAGTTTTTCCTCCTGTCGTCTTCTTCTTCGTTCTTAATTTTTAGTGTTGGGAGGGATCGAGCCTTATCTGCCAGAGGGTTTGAACTCCAGACTTTTTTCGAATTTATCAGCCATGAGCTTTGCCTACTCGACCATGCTTCCATCACAATTAAGGATTACGTGTCAACTGGTTATGCGCCATTAAGGCCATTGACTCCGATTTCAGCCTGCTTTTCTTTTTGGATTTGCTTCCATAGCCTTTGTCCAACCAAGAACAAACTACAAGGCAGCAGTTGTTTGATTTTGGAGTTGCCTCTCCTAGAAGAGTGGCTGTCTCCAGCTAACGAGCCTCATATGCCCGAGGGTTCGAACTCGAGACTTTTCGGTTTAGCAACCATGAACTTTACAGACTCAACCACGCCGACCCCTTTCCTCCTGTAATTCTTTATATTTTTCAAAATATTTTTAAAGAACATTATATTAAATTATAATTGGTTTGTAGATTGTAACCACTACTATCTGGTAAAAAGAGTAATTCTTCTAATTTTGTTTAATTTGCATTTTATGTGGTCTCACAAATAGAAAACTAAACTTCATAAAGAAAAACTCAAACCAGGTTTTCATTGTATACATATTCATAATTTTTTATTTCCTCCTTTGGCAGTAAAATACATGTCATTTGTCTTTTGTATTGACTGAAAAGCAATTAATTTGAACATTAAAAAGATGAAAATCTTATCAGAAAAATCTTATTACAAACTCTTTTTACAAGGTCATTTGCAACATCTGATATATAGAGAAGGGTATGTTACTGTCTAATTTTAATAATTTATTGTCAATTTTATCTTGAAGTAGTAAATATTGAAAAGCAGTATCAACAAATATATTTGCATTAGTTTTAAACAGTATTTCAATTTCTTTAAATGTAGATAATTTATAATTTTTTTTCATATAAAGACAATACGGTTAGTTATATACTTTTATGAAATAAATGTTAGCTTCAGTATATTTACTTTTAAAGTTAGAAACATGTTTAATTACTAACACAAATGGTCTGATTAAATAAATGGTAAAGTATTAATGATTAAGTTACATTAGCTTTAAAGCCATACAGATAAACAAATGAATTATAAAAATTAGTTATATAAAAATACAAATGGGAGGAATTTTTTTTATTGATTACAAGTATAAAAATATTACAATATATTAAATTTTCATGTAACAACAGATCAACAATTAGCAACAACGAACGTCCTAGTTAAAATCCAGTCATCGTCCTATAGTTTATTTTAAGCTCCACCAGAGCATTGGGCACAGCTACATGCATCAGGTGCTTCGAACTGCTGGTCTAAATATGAACCATCTGAACAGGTTAGCCTAACTGTGCGCTGGTGTGTTTTACTAGGTCTGCAACACTGCCAGCTGTTCTGGAATCCTTGCAAGTCCTCAGCATAGCGTGCTGTAGACCCACACAGACCTGAACACTCTTGGAGATTTGCTATGGGCTCTGTGTTGCGACAAACAACACCACTACGTGGTATGCGTTGGAAATATCCTATGGTCTGGTTGCTGTTTTGAAACATGGACTGTGGTTTGCATGAGCCAGTCAAAGAAAACGCTGACTTTTTACCTGAATAGAAGAAAATATCACACTCATGCTAGAGCAAGCTCTTTCATATTCAATTTCTATTTTTTTTAATAATTATTGATAATTTTTATATTGTACAAAATTGTTGAGCGTTAAGTAGAATACTTACTGCAAGCCTTTGTCATACAATTGCATTCTTGCACTATTTCAATAGGTTCATAGCCCTATAAAAGTTATATTGATATTAGTTATTAGAAATAAAATAAAGAGCAAAACTTTCAAAATTGAAAAGTTTAAAAAAATGTAATACTCAAATTTAATTTGTGAAATTTAAATATGAAAAAAACAACAACACAATTTTAGAATATGTTTGAAAACCAGGCAATTGGGTTTCATAAGAATGATAGAAGAATTTTACACTTTAAGTTTATACAGAATCAATGGAGATTTCTATGTGATTAATATTTATCTAAATAGAAATAATCAAGTGGTTGTCTATTGCATACTTACATCTGCACAATTTGGTTCCTTAACTTCAGGACACTGGGATGGACAATCTAAAAAGTGAAAACAGGAATTTTAAATGTTGGCTCTAGGTTGTACTTACAGAAAATCTATTTAGAAATAAGATACCATTGTTTTAAAATGTAAGATGGAAGTTAGAATTGATTGTTTTAAAAAAGAGAATGCAGTGATATATATTTCCATGTTCTTCAATACTAAAAAATGATGAAGTCCCAGAATGTAACACTTTGATGATTATACAGACCTGCCATTAATTTATGTATGTATGATCAAGATGTTTGCATCCAAAAACCATTAAAATGTACACAAAAATAAATGTAATTTACTATCACTTCAGGGGAGAAATATAAAATATAAGTTACCACAATTATATGTTGGACAGCATTTGTCTTGTGTTTTGACCAATACTTTGGGGAAAGGACAATATGTTGACTGAAGAGGACAAAGTTTGGCATCACAGACAATATATTCTTGGCAGCAGCCGTCTTCTGTTTTCTGCAGGGTTGCAGTCTGTCCTTCTGTAAGACTGGGCATTGATGGGGGCTTGCAGACAACATTTGCACATAAGTCTGTAAAGACATTTTAAACAAATGGAAAATTTTTTTTTTCAGAAAAAGGAAAATATTAATAATTAATGTTCAAAATTAAAAAAGCTTAAATTTTTCTGGTTATTTTTGTCAATAAAAACTAATAAATACATGCATGCTCAATAAACATAGAGATAGGTCTAAAAAAAATAATAGAATTTACCTTTAGTGGCAGAAAGTTTTGTCAATTTATGTTGTGGCTTTCTTTCCCACCGTGGCAACAATCTTGTCTTGTTTTCTAAAATAAAAAGTAAGCAAATATATAATTAAAATCAACAAAATGTCTTCTTCAAGGAATGTGAAAAAATCTCTTTAGCTTTATAAGAGTATTTAGAGTCCAATTTTAAGAAATCTTAACATAAGCACATACCACATCTCAGCTCGTCATCCACACAGTCAATAACACCATCACAACGTTTGAAGCTAGGGATGCAGAGTCCAGTACCACATTGGAACTCTTTGTCTCCGCAGTGCTCACATTTACAACTACAAGTTGCTTTATCTATTCTAGAAACTCCCTAAAATAAAATATATAGCAAGTTTGTACAAATCTTCATTTGTAAGTTTTATTGCCAAATCAAAATTGTTTTACATTCTATAGAATTTCAAACAGTTCTTTATTTATATTTAAAATTATTTTATTTTATAAAATTAAATGAGCTGCATTTGTTTAACTTAATTTAAAAAACAATATACTGTACATAATAATTATATTTCAAATGTTTATAGAACAAAAAAATACTTACAGTTCTACATGAAGGACAAACTTTGGCCATGCAGACAATTTCTCCACCAATACATTGACAAGTTTCACATTTTGCATTACGTGTGACACCTCCAGACTAAATGAATGAGAAATAATTTAAAATTGATGTTTCATTGTAAAATTACTAAAAAATTATTAACACTTTTAAGCATTAACTATTGTAAAAAGAAAACAAAATATCAACACTGTTCACTCACTTTAACAACTTTATTGTCCACACTACAAGGACAATCCTTCTTCATAACACAGGCTGTACCATTACAATACTGGCCTTCAGCACAGTAGCGAGGGCAGCCTTTAGAGTTTAATCCAGGGTAGCACATTAACGGTGGTTGAACTTTGTTCTTACTTGATGTTTTCCGTTTTTGTATGAACATTTTTGATGCTTGAAGCAGGAAGAAAATAATGAATTAAAATCTTATTTCTTTATCATTATGATTAAACAAGACAAAAGAATTTGGTGTTATTAATAACACATTTTTGTTTATATATTCTTAATACTTTTTAAAAATGGTAATTACAATTAATACAAACAATATCTGCACATACCACATTCTGGTGTGGGTTTCAAACAGCCAAGCCGTGATTCATAGTTATAACATATTGGTTCTTTTATTAATGTGCTGTTACACAATAATCCTTCCCATAAGTTGCAGCGTACATGTTGACCAGTACTCTTGGCTGGGCGATGGTCAGGTGTGGCGGTACGGCACTCAATGGCTATTGGATCTTTGCAAGTAGGTGAAGCTTTAACAATGTCACTCAGTGGCTCAATCTCGTGTTTAATAATACGGCTGGGTTCATTAGTATCAACCCATTTATCCCATTGGACACAACTCACTGCAAAGGTAAACAAGGATGTGTTATATTTCAGGTTTCTGTTAGATATAACATCATACTAAAAATAATTGTAAGATATCCGTACAAATAGAAGGTTGTTTACAGAAATTAATTAGCTGCAGGAAGATTAAAAAAAACATTTTTATAATGAAAGAGGTGGGAACTCACAATGTAAATCTGATAACTCTGAGGGCTGCTTGTCATTTACAAGTGCATGTTGATTTTCTCCAACTGTTGTTTTTGGTATCACAACTGTAGTAATTAAATTAAAATTATATTGTGTTGGGCATAAATCACAAATAAATAAAAATGCCAAGTAATTTCTCATTACTTTACTTTTGACAAAAGCTAAAGATATTCTAACAGTAGATAGATAGCTACAGTATTTATTAAGTATTTAAAATACATTTTTAAAAAATCTGCAATCAATGTTAACATAAATAGCAAAGGGCTAATCATAAGGTCAAAAAATTAACTAATAATTTATTGTTTATTTGAGAACTTGTTAAGCTTTCACATGAACCTGGTTTAAAAACTGATGGGAAGTAGAAAAAAAAATTACTAGGGTAATCTTGATAGCAGCCATGAGCTTCAATTCTCATAGCTATCCTGCCTTGCCATGTTTGTGGATTTATACGTAAAAATCTGGCATGAACTGGGTGAGTAAATATGTTTTTCACTGGAGTCAGAGAGTCAGCATTGCCTTTGAAAATCTGTACATGAAGAGTAAAAAACTTTTAAACATATTTAAAAAGTATTTTAAGGTTATTTAAATTTGGACATTTTTTTCAGCCTGCATTTTATATTAAATTTAACAATGAACTATATATACTTGTGGAGCAGTTTTGTTGAGCTGTTGAGCTCATGATTATTAACCCAAATAGTTGATTCATGAATTCAAGTCAGTACAATGTTTGTGAATCAACCCAGCTCTGATAGGTACCTTACTTATGTATGTGAGGAAAGTAAGGGCAGCAAGGCATAATGCTGACCAAATTATGCTTTTATAATGCAGAGAAACTGATTAACCCTATTTAATCTGCCATATGGACAATTAAGCCTGAATTATATGCAGTTGTTTTTATTCTTTAATTTTCTTATTTATCATTGAATTATTTATAAACCATGAATAAAAACTGAGTAGAACTAGACAAAGTTAGGGTTGTCAATGGTGGGAAAATAGCTTACAAAATCAAATCCGATTGTCTCCCTGTAAGGACTCCAGTTGACACCATCTGAGCTGTAGAAGATTTTGTATGATGTAACAAAGGATGGAGCATCAGGCCTTCCTTGGGTGGTTACTCCAGTCAGGTAAACAGGCACCAGGAAATCAATCTGTTAAAAAAAATTGTTAAAATTAGGACTGATTATTTAACAACTCAAAGTTGATTTTTCTAGCTATTTAAAAAAAAAAAAAGCCAGTCAGACATAAACAGAAGCAACCCTCATTGATCTAGCATGATAGTTACAAACTGACCTGGATGAATTGATTTGTGTCATCAGTCTTTGCTAGCCAGCAGCCTGTTGACCCAAGCCGGGCTGTGTGTGGCCCATGCTTGTCATCTCTGTATGACGACACTGAGATCATGTTGTTGCGCACTCGTCTTGTCATTACTCCCATGTCCTCTAGACATTTGGCTAGAAATATCAAAACAATAACAGGTATCATAGACAGTTCAATTTGTTATAACACTATTAGTATTAATGACATAGATTTTACAGCTTATTTTGACATGGAAATGTTGTAGTTTAGTTGTGCTTCATTCTGTCAAAATTTACCTGGAATATTTGAGTGTGACATAACTCTTGCAGTGGGATCAGGAAGAATAGATAACTCTCGTTTCTTTCTTGAACCTGTATCAAAAAAAGATTTAAAATATTAAACTCCCTTTCTTTGATATACAAATGATACAACTTTAAAATATGCTTTAGAGCACAAAGTAGACATGTATCTAAATCTGGTAAGTTAGAACTCACCTGGACAGGTACACATGTATCTAATCTGGTAATCTCTGCACGGAGGGATGCCTTCAAATGGAAGGTTAGTGCATGACAGGCCATCTTCAATTGTACAAGTAGCCTCAGACAAGCTGGTAAAGTCATCCTTGGTATCAGAGTCTATGCACTGAATGTCACTGATGGTTCCTCCTGGACAGAACTGAGCCAGTTCCTCTTTGCTCATCTTCTCTGTGTCTCCATCACTGCCCACTGGGCTGTTTTTATTGATCCATGATGACCATCCAGTGGCGCATGAGTGAGTCGTGGTCAGTTTGGTTGTGGTGCGCACGGTGGTTGAAGGTACAGTTGTGGTAACATGAGAAATTTGTGGTGTGACGACCTTGCCAGCATCTAATCAGGATAGGCATTTATTTTCATTTTGAAAAAAAGATTTTCATGTGATAATGAAATATATAAATATATCTTAATCAATTTTAAACTTTATATTTATATAGATACCAACTTACTAGAACAGTTGCATTTATATCTGATTTCATAGTTTCTACAAGGTGGGATGCCATCAAATGGAAGGTTCTGGCAGTCAAGTCCATCTTCAATAGTACATGTGGCCTCAGCTAAACTGGTGTAGTCATCTTTAGTGTCAGAGTCCTTGCACTCTATGTCAACAATTTTACCACCAGGGCAGAAAGCTTCCAGCTCTTCTTTGGTCAGTTTCTCACTGTCTCCAGTGCCAGTGGTGGGGTCATTCTTGTTGATCCAGTCTGACCACTGAGAGACACACTGTGCCACTGGAGCTTGTGTAGTTGGTGGTTGAGTGATAGCAGCCACTGGTGTTGATGTGGGATTGATGTGAACCACAGGACTAGGGGAGGGGATCTTCACATCTGAAAACAAAAAAGATTCTTACTGGTAAAAGCTAATTTACATTAATCTATATTTTCTAAATACCTATTTTAATTAAATATTTGTTGCTTGTCGCAGCAAATTTATTTTTATACTTCAAAGCAATGTTTAAGAGTGTAGAAATATAAAAATATAGACAGTTTTTTTTTTAAATTAAAAAAGAATGTTACACCTTATTGCTCGAATTTTTTTTGTTACATCTCCGGTTTTACAAAAAAATAATTATGATAGCACTAAAGATGGACAAATGCCACTACCAGGCACAAAAGTAAAATATACATTTTAGCAGTGTTATAAATTAAGTGTGAATGCAATTGCTGCTTCTCCTAACATTTCTACTTTTTAGCTGCGTACCGAATACATTTATTTATTAAACTAAAAAATGACTTTTTTTTTTACCTGAGCAATTACACTTGTATCTGATTTCATAGTTTCTACAAGGTGGGATGCCATCAAATGGAAGGTTCTGGCAGTCAAGTCCATCTTCAATAGTACATGTGGCCTCAGCTAAACTGGTGTAGTCATCTTTAGTGTCAGAGTCCTTGCACTCTATGTCAACAATTTTACCACCAGGGCAGAAAGCTTCCAGCTCTTCTTTGGTCAGTTTCTCACTGTCTCCAGTGCCAGTGGTGGGGTCATTCTTGTTGATCCAGTCTGACCACTGAGAGACACACTGTGCCACTGGAGCTTGTGTAGTTGGTGGTTGAGTGATAGCAGCCACTGGTGTTGATGTGGGATTGATGAGAACTACAGGACTTGGGGAGGGGATCACTACACCTAGAAAACAAGTTTATTGCACACAATCAGGGTATAATTACAAGAACATTTCTAACAAAAATGTAATCTGTTTTGGAAAGAATTCAGTTGGAATTTTTGAGATATTGGCATACATTCTTAAAAATAAAAATGTAACTTGTAAATAACAATATTTAAAAAAATAGTTATGGAAAACTTAATTGCTAGTAGTATTAGGAAGAAAAAACAATAATAATAAAATTATGCAAGCAGTAATCAATAATTCACATACCAAAACAAATTGAAAAATGTTGATGTTTTTTTTTATATATATAAAAGACTTTTTGAAATATACAAAAAATTAAAAAAAAAAACAATCCAAAAAGATTTAAGAATTTTTCATATTCAAGTTCAAGTCTCATTACACAAAATTTACTTATATATCATTAAAAAATTGTTTCAATACATATAAAGTATTTACCTGAGCAGTTACACTTGTATCTGATTTCATAGTTTCTACAAGGTGGGATGCCATCAAATGGAAGGTTCTGGCAGTCAAGTCCATCTTCAATAGTACATGTGGCCTCAGCTAAACTGGTGTAGTCATCTTTAGTGTCAGAGTCCTTGCACTCTATGTCAACAATTTTACCACCAGGGCAGAAAGCTTCCAGCTCTTCTTTGGTCAGTTTCTCAGTGTCTCCAGTGCCAGTGGTGGGGTCATTCTTGTTGATCCAGTCTGACCAGCGAGAGACACACTGTGATGGAGGCATTGGTGTCAAAGTTTCAGATCCTGTGAATAATGATCATTTTAAAATTGAATATTTGGGCAAAAAAAGATAACATCTTTTAACTTCAAAGTGTGTCCACTATACAGGAAAATACATTATGTTCACTTTTAATTTAAATTTGTATTCACTACACACACACTTTAAAAAAAAATTGAAAAAAAAATTATTTTAACTAATTTAAATATCTTGTAATACTCATTACTATTGAAATATTTCTATTATAAGATTGAATTAAAGTGATTTCAAAAATATAATTACACCACCATCAAGTAACAAACATACCCAGGCAACCCAGTACAGCAACTCTCATTGAAATGCCATTGTGCCATGTCACAGGTTGAATGATGACTATCTTGGCTGAGATTGGTGAAATGACCTCTGTGTGTTTTGTGTTGGAATCAGTATTAGCAGTAAAGATCTGAGGACAAGACAAACATATTTCTCTTTATGGTACTGTTTTCGTTTTTTTTTACTGAAAAATAAAGGTTTGAGAAAAAATATTACTCCATATTTAAAATTTGAGGAGAGTAAGGTGCATACACTTATCATTAAATTAATGTACTGTCTAATATCTCACTTTTACATTATAAGAAAATAGGTTTTCTGTTAGACATTTAATTTAATTTTAAGCATTACAAATCTACACTAGCATGTCTAATTTTCTGTGGGTCGGTGTAGTCAAATGGTCGAGCATACAACTGCTAACCCGAAAGTCTTGAGTTCTGGGCTTAACTCTGTAAATGTCCCTAAGTCCGCCCAGGACTGATGGGTACCTGATTCACATTAAGGAAAGTAAAGGTGGCTGGTCCTACTGCTGACTACACTATCCCTTTATATGCAGAGGTCACAGAAACGGGTGAACTTCACTTGCCCCATAGACCACTAGGTTTGAAAGGGAACTTTACTATGTCTAATCTTCTACCAAAACATTCAGAATAAAGTTCATACACAAACATTACAATTTGTAAGTTGTGAAATTAAAAAAAACTCCTGACCTTTGTCTGACCTGGTGAAGTCTCTATGTAATGGAAGTCAATGCCGTTCTCAGAATACATGACCTTGTACTGCTCCACCCACTGTGTGGAGGCAGCGCGACCTTGTGTGGTGATGCCCATCACCTGCAGAGGTTCACTGAAGGTGTATTTGATCCACTGGTTCTGGTCATTGTCTTTGGCCACCCAGCCACCAGAGCCAACGGCCTCTTGTGGGGTGTCAATGTGAGAACGGTCAGGGCCAGTGAAGTCGGACAAGCTGCTGGACACTGTGATCTGGGAATCTTGGACTGGAATTGGCTTGGCATCATTTGATGTTGTATCACAGGCTTAAGACAAAAAAATAACAATCCAAATAAAAATATTTCCAGTTCAATATTTACACAACAATATTCAGAACAGGCTAAAAAAAATCTCTGTTGTATATATGTTTAACACAGTATAAAAAATAAATGCAAAAAATATTAAAATGGATTGCATAGGTTATTCATTTTCATGTTAGCTAATACTGCTTAGGTATAGAAACAACTGCTCAAAAAGTATTGACCACTAAATTTATTCTGAAGCGTAAGATTATTAATGATAGTTGCTGTTTTAAATCAGCCAAGAAAAAAAAATGTTAAAATTACCTGGCAACTAGGAATTAAGTACATAAACATAGTTTTTATAAGATGTTAAAATTACCTGGCACTGGAATGGATGTTGTGTGAGTTGGTGGTGAGAGAGTGACCACATGGGTTGGTGTGACATCACAGTTCACATTATGTGGCTCACACAAAAACCTCACTTCATAATCTTTACACTGGCCAGTTGGTTGGTCATGACTGAAGCATTTTAGACCACTAAAGGCTAAGTCACACACAACTGATACCTGCAGGCGGGGGGAATAAAAAGTAGGATTATTAACCATATTTAAATATTGAAAGTGAAACTTTTGAGGATTTCTTTTCAATAATTGTATAGTATTATTATCATTTGAATTCTTCTTGAATACTTAATGACAAAACATTTCTACCTGTCCTAACTCCTGAGAAGTCTTCTTTGATGCAGCATCTCTACATTCCAGTGCTGTAATGTCTGCTGTATCGCAGAAGGAATACATCATGCGCAACTGAGTAATGCTTTCTTCCTCTCCCAAACTGTTGGGTTTTTGACCATTCATCCAATCTGTCCATCCACATGCAGGATTTACTGTGTGAATATAAAAAAAAGATAATAGAAAAAACATATAAAGGATTCAAAATATAACTTGAAATATTTAACATATTGTAACATATTTAAAGGTTTATTAAGGCCCCAATATATAAAATATGTTTAGCATGAGTTTACCAGGCTTATTAACAGATGTTAACTTTTTAAAACCACATTTTAAATCCAATTTGCCATTTCTTTGCTTTACTTAATTGTGGATTATATTTAAATAGGGAAAAATTTTAATGTCCTGTTTACTCATTCTATTTAGTATTGTATGCTGTAAACTATGAAAGTTATATAAAGTTGTAAGCTATAAGCTAAATTTGCTCAAATATTTAGTCTAAAGATAATTTAAATATTCATCCACATAGGAATGATTGAATTTATCATTGCACAACAATTCTTACAGAAGTTGCCAACTGGATGTGTATTTCCTGCTGGTGTGGGTGCATGAGTTGTCACTTCTGCAAATAAAAAACAACAAACAATATAAATCTAAAATATTTACAGAATTTCCCAAAAAATTCTATTTAGAGAGGTTTGATTGAAAACTATGGACTAAACTGATATTACATATAATGATAATATATCTTACTTGAACAGTCACACTTATATCTGATTTCATAGTTTCTACAAGGTGGGATGCCATCAAATGGAAGGTTCTGGCAATCAAGTCCATCTTCAATAGTACATGTGGCCTCAGCTAAACTGGTGTAGTCATCTTTAGTGTCTGAGTCCTTGCACTCTATTTCAACGATGTCTCCACCTGGACAGAATTTCTCCAACTCCTCTTTGGTCATCTTCTCTGTGTCACCCGTGCCCAGTGCTGGGTCATTTCTGTTGATCCAGTCTGACCAGCCAGTGGTGCACAGGTGAGGTCCAGATGTGGGCACTCCATTTATGTTTACACTTGGTGATGGAGTTGGGTTGTTGACTATAGTTGGTGGGGGAGTTGCTGTAACACAGTTTCAAGCAGTTGTAAAAATACCCAATAACGAAATGCAAAAATAAATAAATAAATTATAAAATAAATTGGATGCTTACGTATACAGCCACAGTAAACACTAATTTCATAATCGTGACATTTTCCAGTGTTTAGATGGTCATAGCACTTAAGGCCTTCAGTTAAACTGCAGGTGACCACTTGACCACTGTCGGATGCTTCCCTCTTTGTGGTCACATCTCTGCAGAGTATTCGTGATGGGTTCAGACAAAGGTTGTATTTTGGTCTTAATGTAGCCAGCAGTTCCATGTCACCACCAGATCCTGCAGCAGTAAAAAATCTTTTTATAATACATGAATTCAATTGATGCTATTTTCAGTAACAAAAAAATGTCAAATGTGTACCGGCACTTGGAGAGTTGTCATTGATCCAGTCACTCCATCCACACAACATGGGTGTAGGCACATGGGTGACATCTGTTGAGTGTTGCACAGTGGTGCAGCCTTCTGAACTGCCACAGATTACTGCGTTATTGAAACAACTGCAGGTAGAGCAGGCCTTCTCTGGGTTGTCCCAGGTTTCAAAGGCCTAGAAAGTAAAAATAACGGTAACATTTGCTAAATTTTACAAATTGTGCAAGTAATATTTTAAACTTGGTTTACAGGTGACCCAATCTTTCTCTTTTATTTAAGTCGCTTTCATGAAATGTATATAGACTGCTTCTGTTTTACAATTCTAAACATTTATATACATTTAAAAATAAAAAAATGAAGTTCAATATTTCCACTAATTCAAAAATTGAAAAGTTTCACTACAGTCTTTAAACAATAACAAACCTGAGCTGGGGTTCCATCAGGCTTAAGACAAGTACACATTTCTTGAGGTACGCAAGTGGTTGAGTTAATGAGCCTCTCATTGGGCTTGCAGGTCACATGATCAAGTTCAGGTGGGGTTCTGCAGCCTGGTACACAGTTGTCCTCTGGTGACAAAATGCCATTACAAGAGCCCGAGGCTCTGGCCAGGTAGTCACAGGCATCATCACATTTATAGGCACATTTCTGCCATTCTTCACCTGGTGGGCAGGAACCTGAAGATGGAATAAAAAATAGTTACAGAGTAGATAGTTTATAGCTCATTCAATTGGAAAATTTATTTGATTTTATATATCCAATATCTTTTTCTTTTTTTAGCTAGCTCATTTAAAAAAAACATATTTTATAAATTTAATAACATCTACTCTATTATAACTGACTTATAACTGAAAAAATATAATTAATAAACCCAATATCTACTCTTATAGCTAATTTATTTTTTAATTTATATATAAATTTATATATTTAAAAAATATATATTTTATAAATTTAATAACATCTACTCTATTATAACTGACTTATTTGAAAAATATAATTTATAAATTCAATATCTACTCTTTAATTCATTTTTTAAACTATATATTTTATATATCCTACCTGTAGTTCTCTTAGCTTCATCAGTAGAAGGCGTGGTTGATGGTGTTGGACTTTTAGTTGGTATGGCACCTAGAATGAAATAAAATAAATCACTTTTAATTTTACTGTCTTGATTGGCAAAAGGAAAACCATTACTATGTTAGTGCCTAGCTCATTTGATCTGTTAATTCTACTAGCTTTCTTAAAAGAGAATAAACTTAATTTATATACAAAATATTTCAAACCTAACAATGAATAATTTTTATATACATAATATTTAAAACTTAAAAGTAGATAGAAATATGGTGGACTTTTTTTTCAATATTAAAAAACAATCACAAAGTATAAATCATGTGACTTAATTAATTAGTGATGCGTTAACGTAATTAAAAATATCGTAGAACAGTTATAAAATACTGGTTCATAGAAAATCTTGCTTTCGTCTTTCATAAAAAAACAACTTAATATTTTAGTACACAAACCTGGGCACTGCAGTCCCCAACAGAGGACCCGAACCTCGTAATCAAGACATTGTCCATTGCTCTGTTCACTGTTGTAGCACCTAAAGCCATTAAGTGCATCACACATGAGCCTGTCCTGTCCAGCCTGTGAGAACAAGGTCGAGGTCCCAGCGACACGACACTCAATGTCCACTATGTCTGGACAAATGCCGAACTTGTTCTTGATGTCGTTGATAGTCTCCAGGTCTCCGCTGCCTGACAGGGGACTGTCACCATTCAGCCACTGTGACCAGTCACAGTTGACCTGCGTCTTGTTGCCAGGTGTTTTGGTGGTCAGAGGGTCTGGTACAGCATCTGGGAGATGGTGATGATTTTTTTTTTAAATACTAGTAAAACTTGAAGACATACAACTTAAAACAAGCTTTTAGAAGTGTTTAATATTAGTTTTTAAATAGTAAATAACAAAGCTATAATAATTAAATGACAAGCTTAGCATTTCAATACCAAAATGAAACATTGAGAAATAGCCTTAACCAGAACTTACTGGAACAGTTGCACATGTATCTGATCTCATAGTCTCTGCAGGGTGGGATGCCCTCAAATGGAAGGTTCTGACACTCAAGTCCTTCTGTTACAGTACATGTGGCCTCAGACAAACTGGTGTAGTCATCTTTAGTGTCAGAGTCCTTACACTCTATGTCAATGATGTTTCCACCAGGGCAGAAAGCTTCAAGTTCTTGGGGTGTCATTTTCTCCGTGTCCCCGTCACTTCCCACAGGGTTGTTCTTGTTGATCCAAGAGGACCAGCCTGTGACGCACTGGTGGGTGGGGCCATTGGTGGGGATACCGTGAAGTCCAGCACTTGGTGAGGGGGTGGGGGTGATGTGTGAGACCCCAGTGGTGGGGGACCTGGTTGGTGTCACATGACTGTCAGGGCTTGGTGTGGGAGGGTGGGCATCTGATGGGAAAATTTCGGTTAATAACATACATGAATCTGATAGGAAATGTATATTTTATAACATTAGAAAATCTGATAATACATGCTTTCTTAAATTAGTAAATTAGATACAAATATTGTTTTTTATTAGAAAAAATTTCATAATAAAAAGATATGTAACTTACTTAACTCAATTAGCAGAGCACACTTTAATAACTAAAAATAGTTAACATAAAGCTACAATTATGTTTTAAATGTGTCTTTTTTATTTATATATAAAAATTATATTAACAAATGGTAAAAAAAATATTTAACAAAACGTGTGTTCACCTGAGCAGTTACACTTGTATCTGATTTCATAGTTTCTACAAGGAGGGATGCCATCAAATGGAAGGTTCTGGCAATCAAGTCCATCTTCAATAGTACATGTGGCCTCAGCTAAACTGGTGTAGTCATCTTTAGTGTCAGAGTCCTTGCACTCTATGTCAACAATTTTACCACCAGGGCAGAAAGCTTCCAGCTCTTCTTTGGTCAGTTTCTCAGTGTCTCCAGTGCCAGTGGTGGGGTCATTCTTGTTGATCCAGTCTGACCACTGAGACGTACAAACTGGTGGAGATTTGGTTGTTGAGCTTTGGTGGATCATGACTGCAGGGGAAGATGAGGATGTCCTTGTTGTTGGTGGAATTGTGGGTGCATCTGGAAAAAAAAACAACAGCCAAGTTATTCATCAAATTAAAATTATTGTAATTTAAAAAAAAAAGTTTTATAAAACATCAAACTGGTTAGTTTGGTAAATTAAAGGGAGGTAACAAACATTTCTGAAAATTATTAAAAAAAAAATACCTGAGCAGTTGCACATGTATCTGATCTCATAGTCTCTGCAAGGTGGTACCCCATCAAATGGAAGGTTCTCACACTCAAGTCCTTCTGTTACAGTACATGTGGCCTCAGACAAACTGGTGTAGTCGTCCTTTGTGTCAGAGTCTTTACATTCTATATCAGTGAGTTTACCACCTGGGCAGTACTGTGCCATCTCTTCAACAGTCCATTTCTCATAGTCACCAGTGCCTTTAGTCGGGTCGTTTCTGTTGATCCATGATGACCAACCAGTTGCACAGGTCAGAACTTGAACTGGTGTGGGGGTACTGACCACAGGTGTGGAGGACTTTGTTGTTGAAGTGCTGGGAGGCAGGGTAGGTGCACCTGTAGTGGAAATGGAAATTGAGTTAATAGTTATTTAATGCGATGTCGCTTATTATGGGTCTACGACAAATTCCCGAATGGGCACTTGCTCGAATGCGACAAATGCCAGAATGGACACTTGCCCGAATGCGACAAATGCCCGAATGGACACTTGCCCGAATGCGACAAATGCCCGAATGGACACTTGCCCGAATGCGACACTTGCCCGAATGTGACAAATGCCCGAATATATATATATATATATATATATATATATATATATATATATATATATATATATATATATATATATATATATATATATATATATATATATATATATATATATATACAGCTAGATTTACAACAGCTGCCATATGTTTTTGCTAAGCAGCAATGCTGGTTATTCAATTAAAATAAATACATTTTATAGATAGAATTTACCTGTACAGTTACACTCGTATCTGATTTGGTAGTCCCTGCAGGGTGGGATGCCCTCAAAAGGAATGTTGATACACTCCAGACCATCCTCAATGGTGCAAGTGGCCTCAGACAAGCTGGTGAAGTCATCCTTGGTGTCGGAGTCTATGCACTGGATGCCGGAGATGGTGCCACCTGGACAGAAGGCTGCCAGCTCTTCTTTGGTCATCTTCTCTGTGTCTCCGTCACTGCCCACTGGGTTGTTTTTGTTGACCCAAGCTGACCAGCCAGAAGCACATTGGTGAACTGGTGTGGGGGATGGTGTGATCACATGACTTGATACAGACTGGCTTGAGATTGTGTTAGGGGCCAGAGTTGTGGTCACTGTTAAATAGTAAATAGATCGTTACAATTATTATTATTTAAAGGTTGATATTTAGCAACAATTTTCAAGAGTGCTCTGTCCTTTATATTGAATAAAAAAGTTTATATATTTTATTAGTTCCATGATAATATACTTAAGTTTAAAAAAATAGTAAAAAAATACATTTTTAAAACACAACTAAAACTTTACAGTAGTAATGTATGTCTGTAGCAAAAAAAATGTTTAGGCCTTAATTAATTACATTAAATCAGAAATATCAAAATAAGGTAAATTTTAAGCATGTAGATACTTACCAGAAGAACAGTCACATTTGTATCTGACCTTGTAGTCATGACAAGGAACATCTAGGAAAGGATTGTTAGCACACTGTAGACCATCTTCTAAAGTGCAAGTTGCCTCAGCCAAGCTCTCATACCCATCTAGCGTGTCGGCGTCCACACAGTCAATCTCTGTGATCTTGCCACCTGGACAGAAGGACTGCAGCTCTGGTGTGGTCATCAGCTCAAAGTCTCCATCTGTTCCAACTGGGGAGTTTTTGTTGACCCAGCCTGACCAGCCAGTGAAGCAAGGGTGGGGCGTGGACAGACCGGAGGTGGTTGAGGAGGTCAGGACTGGTGAGAGGGTGGACACGCTGGAGGTCAAACTCTGAGGTGGTGTGGGAACTGTTGATTGGGGAGGAGAGATAAATTAATTAAAAACATGCATAAAAAAAATGTTCAATATAATTTTTGTCAGTTAAGATTTTTAATTTTAGTTAAAATATTAAATCCAAAAATTCATATAAAAACAGAATGGACTTCAATATAGATGCTTAAAATTTTAGTTAATAAAGTTAATAAATGAGAGTAATAATAAATTAGAGTAATTTACAGCAGATATATGTTTTTAAATGAATGTGTTGGGAAGTTAAATCATGTTATAAAGCCACTTTAAATGTCTGTTCATTTGATGCATGTGTATTAAAACAGCTAGTTTTAAATATTTTTTTAAACTTTATCGAATTTTTTATTCAAACTATTTAATTAAAAATTGTGGCAAATATGTTGAACTATAGTATGATCTGAATATGTGAAAGAGAACTGACTTGTACAGCTGCACTTGTATCTGATCCTGAAATTTTGTATTCAAACTTATTTAATTGTCTATTGTGGCAAATATTTTGAGCAAAAGTATGATCTGAATAAGTGAAAGAGAACTGACTTGTACAACTGCACTTGTATCTGATCCTGTAATTTTGTATTCAAACTTATTTAATTGAATATTGTGGCAAATATTTTGAACTAAAGTATGATCTGAATAAGTGAAAGAGAACTGACTTGTACAACTGCACTTGTATCTGATCCTGTAGTCCCTGCAGGTCCTGAAGATTGAGTTCCAGCAGGAGAGTCCAGTCTTGAGGTCACAGGTCACAGGTTCCCCAGTCATGTCAGAAGGAATGCCAGTTGTGGTCTGACAGTCTATTTCAGTCACCTGGTTACATGACATTACCACACAGTTTAATACTAAAGTAGGACAATTTGTTTCATTTGCATAAAGTTTTGTAGTATTTCTGTGTGCAATACACAAATAGTGCAGTACACAAATAAAAATATTCAAACATTGTTAAAAGAAAATGAAATTTTTTTCCAAAGAAGTAATAAAACAAAATATCTTTGCAATGTTTACTATCAGCAACATTTCAACACTTACATAACCATCAGGACAAGTTATCAGTACTTACATAACTGTGAGGACAAGTTATCAGTACTTACATAACTGTGAGGACAAGATATCAGTACTTACATAACCTTTAGGGCAAGATATCAGTACTTACATAACTGTGAGGACAAGATATCAGTACTTACATAACTGTGAGGACAAGATATCAGTACTTACATAACTGTGAGGACAAGATATCAGTACTTACATAACCTTTAGGGCAAGATATCAGTACTTACATAACTGTGAGGACAAGTTATCAGTACTTACATAACCATCAGGACAAGTTATCAGTACTTACATAACTGTGAGGACAAGTTATCAGTACTTACATAACTGTGAGGACAAGATATCAGTACTTACATAACCTTTAGGGCAAGATATCAGTACTTACATAACTGTGAGGACAAGATATCAGTACTTACATAACTGTGAGGACAAGATATCAGTACTTACATAACTGTGAGGACAAGATATCAGTACTTACATAACCTTTAGGGCAAGATATCAGTACTTACATAACTGTGAGGACAAGATATCAGTACTTACATAACTGTGAGGACAAGTTATCAGTACTTACATAACTGTGAGGACAAGATATCAGTACTTACATAACCTTTAGGGCAAGATATCAGTACTTACATAACTGTGAGGACAAGATATCAGTACTTACATAACTGTGAGGACAAGTTATCAGTACTTACATAACTGTGAGGACAAGATATCAGTACTTACATAACTGTGAGGACAAGTTATCAGTACTTACATAACTGTGAGGACAAGATATCAGTACTTACATAACCTTTAGGGCAAGATATCAGTACTTACATAACTGTGAGGACAAGATATCAGTTCTTACATAACTGTGAGGACAAGATATCAGTACTTACATAACTGTGAGGACAAGATATCAGTACTTACATAACCATCGGGACAAGTTATTAGTACTTACATAACTGTGAGGACAAGTTATCAGTACTTACATAACTGTGAGGACAAGATATCAGTACTTACATAACCTTTAGGGCAAGATATCAGTACTTACATAACTGTGAGGACAAGATATCAGTACTTACATAACCTTTAGGGCAAGATATCAGTACTTACATAACCATCGGGACAAGTTATTAGTACTTACATAACTGTGAGGACAAGATATCAGTACTTACATAACTGTGAGGACAAGATATCAGTACTTACATAACTGTGAGGACAAGATATCAGTACTTACATAACCATCAGGGCAAGCTTCACGTAATTCTCCCTGAGTCAGTTGCTCACGATCTCCATCACCTATCTCAGGGATGTCTCTGTTGACCCAGTGTGTCCAGTAGTCTTTGGTGCAGAGATTAATAGGTGGAGTTTCTACTGTTGGTGCCAGGGTTGTGGGAGTTGGTGCTGGATAAAACACAACATTTTGTTTCATTTCATTTTGTCTAACAAGTTTTAAATCTTACTAGCCTAATGTAGATCTCAACCAGTTGCAGGAGATCTCAATGCATACATTTTTTTTATATTTAAAAAAGAATGTGTAAATCCTAGAAATGGATAGATCTACGACACTTTAAACAGGGTGTAACATAAATTTTAAGAGAAACAAAAGTAAACAAACACTGAAATAGTTTAATTCTAATAATCTCCATTTCTACATTTAAAAGTGACCTACCAGCACAAGAGCAGTGATATCTAATCTTCATGTTCTGACAAACTTTAGGTCTGTTGGACTCAGCATCACATTCAAAGCCAGTGCTGACCTCACAGCGTGTCACAAGGTCGAGCAGATACCAAGGCTTCTCCTGAGCATCAGCGGTCACACAATCAATCTGATCCACTTGACCGTGAGGACAGAAAGCTGACAGCTCTTCCATAGACAGAGCCTCTTTGTTGCCATTCGCAGTCACTCCATTTCTAAAAAACATTAAAAATATTTTTATTAACTGAATTTGATTTAAATTATTACTTATTTGACAAAAAATTTAAATAATGGAGAAAAACCCCTTAATTTTCCTTTATTAATTTTTCAAAATTGTCAATATTAATTTTGTTGGTTTTAAAAATGAGATTAAAAGTTAAGTTTTATAGCTTACATTTTAGGGAAGCTTGTCCAAATTAGATATTTTTCATTACAAATTAGTAAAAATTATATAAACAATTTTCTGATGTTTTAAATTTTTATTTTAGTTATGTTGTAAACATTAACTATCTATGCACAAAATGTTTTTAAAATAGTGTTGTGTTGCAAACATTACCTATCTATCCATAAAAAAAGTATTGTGATGTAAACCTTACCTATCTATCCACTCTGTCCAGCCAGAAGAGCAAGTGTAGGGGACAGCTGTAGATGCTGACTGGTATGCTGGGAGTGATGGTGTTGCAATAGGCTGTCCAGTTGTGGTCACCGAACATACGTCACACAGCACACGCACCTCATAGTCTTCACACACATGAGTGGGGGTGGGGTGGCAAACAAACATGGCGTCTAGCAGTGAGCACTCAACTAAAGAGTCTGTAGGGTCCCACATCATTTTGGTGGCCTTAACTCTGCACTCAACTCTAAGGAATTGAAATAGTAACATCGTAGGTTGTTTTAATTATTTTACATAGTAGCATTTTATAAAATAGCTTTATTAGCAAATACATTTACTGGTAATTTGTTATAAATAAATTATTCCATTAAAATATTTATTTCCAATTTTTTATATGAAAAAAATGTAAAAATCTATTTGGTTGTATTTCACTTACGCTTTGACAAATTCCTTTGGACATGCATTTGTTGAAAGGGGTCTTTGGAAAAACATATCCTTTTCACCACTGACAGGGTCAGGTACACTATTACTGACCCAAGGTGACCAGTAAATACAAGCTCGGGCTGAAAAAAAAAGAATTTTTTAAATTTATAATAGCGGACAATCATACATCCTTACTTAGGTGTTAAATATTTTATTACATTACAGCTGAATATATTATCAAATTTTATAAACATTACAAATATTTATTATGACACTTTATTACAGCAGTTTAAGTTTGTTGAAAGAATTTAATAAAATCAAAACTCACGTGTAGGTGTTGGAGTCTGCCCACTAGGCAAAGTTGGCACATCAGTTGTGGTCAAATGCAGAGGGACGGCATTTGGTGAAGGTGACCGACACCCATACAGGTTAAACCTCAGGGCTATGGAGTTGTGGAACTCAACCGGCCGTATCTGGATGTACCTGGCCTCAACGGTTGGGAAGTAGTTGGTGACAGGGGTGAACTGGTCGCTGTTTCCGGTGAAGACGATTGGCTTATGGCTGCTGTCAGTCACTGGATGGAAGTTGGTGCCATCAGTGCTGTAGTACACAATGTACTTGCTCACCCAGGATTTATCACTGGCGCTGCCTTGGGTGGCTACTCCTGATATCTCGTAGGTGGAGAGGAAATCAACCTGGATGTATTGGCTATTATCAGATGTGCTGAAAAATAAAGAAACAATTCTTTAATTTTTTGTAGTAGAGTATATAAAAAAATCGAAAATAAAAAATGAGATAAAATGAGATAAATAAACAATTTTATGTACACTCAAACAATAAAAATAATTTTAAAAATTATGAGAAAAAAAATGTGTTCAGAAAAGATGTCATGTATTGCATGTTACAGCATTAAAAAATATTTCAAAATTTGGCATACCTTGGAGACCATCCACCAGCCCACAAGTCATCTTTTTCCGTGTAAAGTCTGCCTCTTGAAGGTCCATGGAAAACATCAATAGAGCTTGACGCAGTCAGCTGATTGTCACTGACCACCAAAGGATTAGTTACACCCATTGGGATGGTGCAAACTGGTAAAAGACAAGCAAAATTATTATTATTCAATGAATAACTTCTTCTCAAAAACTTAATATTAATGTTTGCAAAATTTTAAAAATGGATTTTGTAATCAATTTACCTTGTTGGGTAGGGAGTACAGGGGCAGATGTTGAACCAGTGCCTGGAGAGGCTGTTGACTGGATGAGGAGAGGAGGAGGGGTCGCCATGGTAACAGAGGGCACATCAGGTTTACATCCCATGACGTCAAACCTGAGTCCTACACCTGCAGGTGATGCCTGGACTGGAACAATCTTCACATACTGGGCTATGATGTCACGGTTGAATAAATTCCTCACAGGTGTTGTACTGTCTGTGTTACCATAGAACAGGTAAGGTGTCTGGTCACCAGGGTTCTCAGTGTAAGGGGTGAAGTCCACACCATTCAGGCTGTAGTAGACGTTAAACTTTTCCACCCAACGAGATGAATCTGGGCTGCCTTGTGTCACTACTCCAGAGATGAGTTTTGGTTCATTGAAGTTCACCATTATCCATTGATTCGGATCAGGACTAAAATAATCAATAATAAAACTCATTTAAATAATTATAGAAACTTTAAATTTTTTATGGTACTTCACAATTACAAAAGTATTTTTAAAAATAATTTATTGATAAGTAATTAAACTAGATTAATTATGGCATATGTGGTTTTTACCCAGGCATCCAGGATCCACCAGAGTTTGTGTTTTTGTCATTGTAAAGTCTGCCATCAGCTGCTGTATGTGTGCTGTCCAGGTTAGAAGAGGAGGTCAGCTGCTCATCTGTGACTATGTAGTGGTCACTGATGCCCATAGGGACAAGACAAACTGAAACACATTGTAAGCAACCAGCTCTTTTATCTCCTCTATGTTAATTCACATATCTTATCTGATTGAAGTAAAATTATTTGAAGGCAAAATGCAATAAAAAACAAGTGATGTTTCTAAGTGCTAGATCGCCTACGTTTTAGGAATCATTAGAAGACACTGGAATGGTGCTCAATTTGACGCATCAAGCAAAAAAAAAAAAACAACAGCGAAGGCCAAAAGAGACTTGAAGGTGCACAGCAGAAAAGCAACTGATAAGAGCAGAACTATTTTGGGGGACTGTCACGAACATTGGCAGAGTTAGGCTAGAATTGAAGGAGCTTTCTGTGGCAACCCCATGTGTCTTGGAAACAAAAGGGAGAAGATGATGATGCAAAAAATTAATTAAACATGAACTCCAAAAAATTTACCACAAAGTAAAATGATGTAGACAGAAAGTATGAATGATTGATCAATTTTTTTTTAGTAACACAAATGCTTAAAACCAACCTTTGGGTGGTAAAAATGTAGAGACTCCCATTGTGCTTGGGGATAAAGTTGATATTCCTGTTGGACCACCAGAATTGAGGGTGGGGACATCTGGACCTGTGGGTGAGGGGGTGGGTGTGTACACAGGTGCTCGAGTGGTTACCAACAGGTTTTCTTTAGATGGGTTGCATCCCAGAACATCAAACCTGAACAGAGGAAGTGATTCTTTAAGTCAGTAATTAGACATATCTTTATAAATTAAGTTTATTAAAAAATTTAATTATGAGGTATGTAATTAGGTGTAATAAAATTCATACGATATAAAAAAAAAGCATTTCACTGATATAATTAAATAATATATAGAAGATCTACTTCTGCATATGATTGTATTATTTATTTAGAATGGAATAGTAAAAAAACAAACCTCATTGCTATTCCAGAGTTACTGTTGACTGGAACTATGCGGATGTACTGTGCGATGATGTTTTTAATAAAGTAATTTGTCACAGGTGAGTTTGTGTCTGTGTTTGCAGTGAAGATCTTGGGGACGCCATCTTGCTTATCAGAATATGGAATGTAGTTTTTACCATCAGTACTAGTATAAACTTTGTATTCAGTGACCCACTTCTGATCTTGACCTTCACCTTGTGTCACAATGCCTGATAAGAATTTCTGCTCTTTGAAATTAACTTCTATGTATGGTGCACTGTCAGTTGGCCTTGGAAAATCAAAATAGAAAAAATTAACATAATTTTAAAGTTAAATTTTAGAAATTATATTATTTAAAATAGTCTAAATAAAATATAATTGTTATTTTTGCCATGTATTTGAGAGAAGATATACTCACGAAGGCATCCAGGATCCTTGGTAGAAAGTTCCAGACAATCTGGCAAGTTCTGGGCCATGACCACTGCTACTTGATGTTGCAGAAATTTGAGAGTCCTCAACTATCCTCAGGTTTTGTAAGCCCATATCTTTTCCACACACTGTAGAATTTAAAATAATGATTTCGTTTCTTGCTTGATACAATTTTATTTCTAAAACTTATTTATATTAAAATTTCATAAATGTAAATAGTCCGTTAAAAATAGTTAACTGTAATAGTTTTATTCTTACACAAGGCATAATTAACTAACACAATATAATTATATAACAATAGCAGTCAAATTAAACTTACAAGGTTCCAGAGTAACGATATGTGGAGTGGGTGTTGGAGCATTGGTTGTGCCAGTTGGTCCAGCAGTTGTATGGATAGAGAAGGGTACAGTGGGCTGCAGTGTTGTGTAAGAGGTTGAGTAGCAGCCAATGTAGTTGAGTCTCAATCCAGGACCGCTTGCTGCCCAGGTTACAGGTATAACTCGTACATATTTGGCCAGAGTGATCTGCAAGGAATCATTAGTTAGATTTTCATCATTTTTGTTACTTAATTTTCATTTAACAATATTATAGTAATGTTCCCTGATGTAAAAGTAGTTTGTGTTATAAAATCCAGGATTACATATCCAAATTTAAATTAGTTTTTTTCTAATCAAAATAATTAAAAAACTGTTCTTGGTAATAGATGTAATTACAAAACAAAGTAAAATTAAAATATGTCAGTAATACATTAAGCTCGGAAATAAAAATCAATTATGGTAGAATTAAGAACAAAATAAGTTTATCTTTTTACTTATTTTTTAAAAATCTGCATTATTTGAGGGAGTTCACTAAATGATTGGAAATAAATAAAATGTAGAAACTTACACGAGGGAAGAAGTTAGTTATAACAGAATCCTTATCAGAGTTTCCAGTGAAAACAATGGTGTTGCCATCATTGTCACGCACTGGGTAGAAAGTGTAGCCGTCCAAGCTGGTGCTGACTGTGAAACTGGACACCCACTTGTCTGCATTGGGGCTGCCCTGGGTCAGAATACCTGAGAGGTTTTTGGCTGACAGGAACTCGACTTGGTGCCACTGGTTTTGGTTCACAACACTGAAACAATGTGGAGTTTATTCTGTCAGATCATATGTATTTTTACTTGAAGTTTTGTCATAATCCCAAATAAAAAAGTAATTGAATGGTTTAAAAATTATCACCTATAATTTTAAAAACAATAATCTTATAGAAATAAAAAACAAGCGTTCTAAAAAAAAACCCACAAAAATAAATAAAAAACTTCAAAAAAAAAAGATCAAATTTCATTGAAATAAACTGTATCAGGATGAGTAAAAAAATCAACATACCCAGGAATCCAGGAGCTCAACTTGTTGTAAAGTCTACCAGCTGAGGCAACTGTTTGAGGTCCAGCGTAGCTAGAAGCTGTGAACTGGTTGTCTGCTACAAAAGCTGGCAGGTCAAGGTCCATTGGTACATTACAAATGATCTCTGGAATAAGGTATTAAAGAATTGTAGACTCTTTAACAGATGGCAGTGAACTAGATATATAAATTAGAATCAACTTTTTAAAAGATGACTGTAGATAGATAAAATAGAATCAACTTTTTAAAAGACGACTGTAGATAGATAACTAGAATCAACTTTTTAAATGGATAAACTAGAATAAACTTTTTAAAACATGGCTGTGAACCAGATAGATAAACTAGAATCAACTTTTTAAAAGATGGCTGTGAACTAGAAAGATAAACTAGAATCAAATTTTTAAAAGATGACATTAACAATGTGGGTAAACTAGAATCAAGTATCTCTACAAGGTGAAGGTTAGGGCAGCTTACCTGGTGCATGTGTGAAGGGTGTAGGAGGTCCTGTGTAGGTGGGTATGTTCATGCCAGGTGGGAATTCTAGGTATGGCAGTGGTGAAGGGGGGTGACATCCATAGATATCAAATCTCAACGCTACAGAATTATGGGACTCCACTGGTCTAATCTGAATGTACCTAGCTACAATAGTAGGGAAGTAGTTGGTCACAGGGGTGAACTGGTCAGTGTTGCCATCAAACACCACTGGGCTGCCTGTGCTGGATTTCACTGGCTCATACTTTATACTGTCGTTACTATAGTAAACAGTGTATTTTGTCACCCAAGATGGCTGGTCAGCATTGCCTTGTGTGGTGACCCCTGAGATTTCATAGGGTGAGAGGAAGTCCACTTGGATGTAGGGATTGTTATCCGTTGCGCTGGAAATTTTAAAGAAATAATTTAAAATTATAGGCTATATACTGTTTTAAGTGCTTGATCTTAGATTATTTGCTTTGTAACACTTTAACAATTGTACATTATTTTCTTATAGAATTATAACAATTAACAATCTATTTTTAGCCTAGACTTTTAGTGGGTAAATAAAAAAAAAATGTAACAAATTGACACCATAATATATAACATTATAGAAATTCCTAGGAGTGAAATATATGACACACTAAGGTGACATATCATGTTGTATGGTAAACCTATAAAACTTTTCCATTAGTTAGGTTCCTCTGGTAGATGTAGCAATTGTTACAGATAAGCCTTGAAATTACATTAAGTTATAGCTAGATCTAGAAGATTTACTGAAATATAGATACCAGTGTGAAATATTATGTTATATCATAGACATAACAAGATGATGTATGTGATGACATGTAATGTTAAGGCATGTCATGTTTGTTGAATTGTGTCATGTCATGTCACATCACATCACATCATTCACATACCTAGGTGACCAGGCACCAGCTAGTGAGCCATCTCTGTTGGTGTAGAGTCGACCTCGTGATGGGGCGTGGAACACATCCAGTGAACTGGAGGCTGTCAGCTGACTTTCTTTGACAAGCAAAGGATTGCTAACTCCCATAGGCACATCACAAGCTGAAAAACCAGCACTTATTAATTAAAATTGTTTAAAATAATGCAAAATATAAGTGAAACATTTATTTCATCCTATTTTTGGAATAACACCATTCATTAAATTTCTAAACAAAAAAACTGCTTTGAATTTAAAAATCAAATCATCTATATTTCTTGAAGATTAGTCCCATTTATTGCACAATAACATACCTACTATATTACAGACTTTAATTAATAATTTTTCAGCTTTTATATCAATATTTAAACAAAGTCAAAACATAGCTCAATATAAGCAGAGCAATGTTGTTAAGTGAATTAACAATAAATTTTAGTAGTGTCCTTACTTGGCTTGGCAGGCAATGTTGGTGCAAGTGTTGGTCCAGTTCCTGGTGTAGGTGTAGAGCCAGTGGGTGGTGATGGTGTGATGATGATCTGAGAAGGTGAATCTGGTTTACATCCCATGACGTCAAACCTGAGGCCTACACCAGCAGGTGATGCCTTGACAGGTACGATCTTCAAGTACTGGGCTATAATGTCACGGTTGAATAAATTCCTCACAGGTGTTGTACTGTCTGTGTTACCACTGAACAGGTAAGGTGTCTGGTCACCAGGGTTCTCAGTGTAAGGTGTGAAGTCCACACCATTCATACTGTAGTAGACGTTGAACTTTTCTACCCAGCGACTGCCGTCTGGACTGCCTTGAGTTTCCACCCCAGAAAGCAACTTTGGCTCCATGAAATTGACCATGATCCATGACTGAGCTTCTGGCCTACAATATCATTTATTTCAAAACATCATTCTCAATAATAAATAAACTGGTTGATTGGACAATAGAATATTACCTAATTAAAATTGATACTTGTTTTAAATTCATTTTTTATTGTTTGTTTATCAAGAAGAAAATGAAACATTTACAGCTTTCAACAAAAAAAGATGTTTAACAAGTCTATTATTGACATCTCAGTTGTTCAATCAAAAAATGTCTCAGGTTAAGCAAGAAAATATTTTAAAATAAAACTGATTAAAATTTAAGCAGTTAGTGTCAACATTTTTCATTTTATAGTTTCTAAATTATTGTATATGAGACAGTTGGAAGTAGTCTCAGAAGTAATTGAAAAAGATGACGCTGTTGGATGAGAAATGTATTAAGGATGAGGTCAGATGAAATTACAGCAATTGTGCTGGATTGAAAGTTCAAGGGAAAAAAGACAGGAAGTCCTGGGAAGACATGGAGATATACAGGAAAAAAATAATTAGCAAGAGTCAGACTATCTTAGGACAGATAAGAAAGTGGCCAGAGACTTGCAAAAGGGGAAAGAACTGGCTGCCTCATGTGTCCAGGGCACCTATATGAATAGATGGAGATGCTACAAGAGCAGTAACTGCATGTTAGTCACATACCCAGGAATCCAAGATCCTCCACTGGTAGGAGACAGAAGATTGTAAAGTCTGCCGTCTGCTGCTGAGTGCAAGCTGTCAATATTGGAGGATGACGTCAGCTGGCCGTCTGCTACTACGTAATGGTTGCTGACACCCATAGGAAGGAGACACACTGGTGGGATCAAAGGAATAATATTAGTAACAATAATAATATTTCAATTAGCTACATAGTGTATAGTAAGCATTACTTAAGTAAGCATTTTTAAGTAAGCTTCACACAACTGAAACCATTATACTTTTGTAATAAATTAAAACTTAAGTAAGAACTATAACTCTGAAATAAAAATAGAATAGCCTACCCTTTGGAGGTGGTATAACAAGAGGTGTGGGTGAAGGAGTTGGTTCATTGGAAGGTCTGACTGAGGAATATAATGGAGGAGCTTCTGTGCTAGGTCTGGGGGTTGTTGGGGGTGGTGTGTACTGAGGTGCCCGTGTGGTGACAGCTTTTTCTTTAGACGGGTTACATCCAAACACATCGAATCTGAAAAAGTCAATTGTTTGTTGTTGTTCAATAATGAGTGATTTTTAACATGACTTGCATTTAATCAGAAGAAGATAAATATTTGTACAAAGTAGTTCAATTTGGAGACATTTTTAGATAATGTATTTAGCTTGTCATAAATGTAATAAATTTATACTTGTTAAATAGAATTTTAATTTCTAAGTTTTACAGAGATAACTAAGTTGAAGAAATAAAATTAATGAATACGTTAAGTAACTTCACTTTGATAAAGTAAATTTCATACCTTAGAGCCACACCAGAGTGGCTGTTGACTGGGACAATTCGAATGTACCGCGCTAGGATATTTTTAACAAAGAAGTTAGCAGCGGGTGTATCAGAGTCTGTGTTGCCTGGGAATATTTTCACAATGCCGTCTTGATTCTCAGAGTAGGGAGTAAAGTTCACACCATCAACGCTGGTGTAGACTTTGTACTCAGTGACCCATTTTTCTTCCTGACCTTCACCTTGTGTTACTACTCCAGACAAGTATTTCAATTCTTGGAAGTCTACCTCAATGTAGGGTGACACATCAGTGGCACTAAATCAGTAGAAAAAGACAAATTATCTTTAACATATACCATAAATATAACAACAAGAGTGGTGAGTGTTGGAAAAGTCTATAAACGTAATTAATCAGTGAATTTTTACAATTTACCTAATGTACAAATATCTCTTTGGAAATGTAATTGTGACTTTATAATTTTACAAAAACTATTTTATATAGCAAGCTAGTTTTTAGCAGTTAAAAACAATAATAAAATGTAATTACAGTGGCATCCAAGAGCCTTGATAATAGCTGGCAGACAATCTGCCATACTCTGGCCCATGTTGGTTTACACTGGAGGAAGCTGTCAACTGTTTGTCCTCAACTATTCTCAAGTTCTGCACACCCATCTCCTTTATGCACACTACAAATTATAAATAATAATTTTTTAAAGTCTGAGATAATTTCTTAAATTAAATTAAAAACAAACTGATAATTTGATGCTTTATAACAAATCAGCAGTGAATATTTACTCAAACACGAAATGGCTCAACGGATATGCAGTGAATACTGAATCAAACACAGGGCAGGACAGATCAGCAGTGAATAGTTACTCAAACCCTACATGGTTCAACAGATTCACAGTGAATACCGAATCAAACACTTACATGGCTCAAGTGTAGTATACTTGGGTGGTGACAGAGTTGGGTAGGTAACACTTGGGGTGAGGCCAGGAGCTAAAGTTATCACAGGCTGGAGGAAGGGTACAGTGGGAACTGGTGTAGGCGCAGAAGAAGTGAAGCAGCCGATGTAGTTTAGTCTGAGACCAGGTCCATTTGGTGCCCAGCTCAGAGGTTCAAGACGAACAAATCTGGCCAAAATCATCTGAAAAATTCATCCCAATTATATGGTGATATAAGCTAAGAGAAATTTTTGTTTAGAAAAGTAGTTTGTAAAAATGTAATAGAATATATTTTTTATATGAGAAAATGAAAAAACTAAAATGTAGTTTTAAAATGTTTTTTGAATAAAATATGATAGCAAAATACTTAACAACAAAAATAAAAATTCAAATATTTCTCATATATAAAAATAAAACAGTGTTGTAAATAAATTACAGAATGCTATAAAGTCAAATGTATATGTTTTAAAAAATAGGAAAAAAAACCATAGTAAAGATATAAAATACAGAAGTGTAATCACTGGGTATAAGCATTAAAGCTACAAAAATAAAGAGAAAAGTATAAAGAGAAGATATTATTGAAGAGGAAAAACAGCACATAATTTACTTACATGTGGGAAGTAATTCCTTATTGTAGAATCTTTGTCTGAGTTTCCGGTGTAGATAACTCTAGAGCCGTCACTGTTACGCACTGGGTAGAATGTGTAGCCATCCATGCTGGTGCTGACTGTGAAGGATGACACCCATTTCTCTGCATTGGGACTGCCCTGTGTGAGAACACCTGACAGGTTCTGGGGTGTCAGGAAATCTACCTGGTGCCACTGGTTCCTGTCAACAACTCTGGAAAAAAATAAAGCATACTTTGAAGGTGCGTCTCACTATTGCTATATTCACACAACATACCTTACTAAAAAATATATAAGCCACTAAAAGTCATTGTTAATAGTGATTAAACAGTAGATATGAATATTGTTGAATATTATAGTTTGGATTAAAAAGGTGCTACCATTGTTTAAGATTTTGTTTTAAATTAAATTTTTGATAAATTAATCATGTTTTTATTCTTATTTTTTTTCAAATACTTTTATTGTACTGAAAAATCTATTTCAGAATAATAGCTACAGCAAAGTCTATTCATTTATACTACTTCAAGGGTAGAAATTATAAACAGGATGGCTTTGGACAGATGAGTGAGAATTAAAGGCAAATGTAATATGGTGTGTATGTAACTTTAACTAAGTGTCAGTAAAATAGTAGATAAAGATGAGTTACATACCTTGGGACCCAGGAGGAATATGGGTAATCAAGTCTTCCTTTTCCTGCAGAGGTGGCTGGTTCAGCATAGCTTGATGCTGACAGTTGACTGTCAAGAACCAGATTAGACTTGTCCACATTCATTGGCACATTACATAATAAACCTGAATCCAACAAAAAAAAATTACTTTTAAAAATCAATGTAAAACATGATGAGCATACAAAAACTTATTTTAATTAGTGAATTAGTATATTGATATGTTCTAAATATTAATATATTCTAATAAATTTTGATATGTTGTAACATATTTTAATGTATTGTAATGTATTTTAAAATATTGAAGTAAATTTTAATATATTATAAGAAATTAAATATTTTGTAATAATTTATATATATTGAAGTAAATTTGAATATGGTGTAAACATTTGATTTAAGTAGATGAAAATAAAAATATTTGAGTATATGCTCAAGTCCTGACCTGGAGGTAGAACAAAAGGAACAAAAGGCGTCTGTGGGACTCTAGTGGTCGCAGTACCAGGTGTAGCTGTAGTGGGGTAACCAAACGAAGGTGTCTCTAGGTAAACTGGCACAGGTGAAGGCACAGGTGTTGGTACAGGTGAGCGACATCCTAACAGATTAAACCTCAGAGCTACATCGTTATGGGATTCCACTGGCCTGATTAGAATGTACTGAGCTACAACTGTTGGGAAGAAATTTTTGACCGGCGTATGCTGGTCAGTGTTGCCATTAAAAACAACAGGGCTGTCAGTTTTATCCAGGATGGGCTGGAAGTGTTCACCATCATTGCTGTAGTACACAGTGTACTTGGTGACCCAAGATGGCTGGTCAGCACTGCCTTGTGTGACCACTCCAGAGATTTCATAAGGCTCGTAAAAGTTCACTTGGATATATGGATCTTTGTCAGTTACACTGAAATGTATAGTATAGTTTTTGTTACATTTTGAAAAAAAAAATATAGTGTGTTAAAAGCAAATGACTTAATAAATTGTATTATCACACAAACAAATGCTGGCATTGGTCAGTTTTAAGTGTGTGTATACCTAGGTGACCAGCCTCCTGCCATAGAGCCATCTGTACCAGCAGTAAGTCGACCCCGGGATGGGCCATGGAACTCATCCTTCATACTGGACGCGGTCAGCTGCTTGTCACTAATTATCATGGGGTTTGTTAGGCCCATAGGGATATCACAGGCTAAAAAAAAGAAAAAAATTATATACAAGCAAAATTTTAAAACCAAAAAAACCAAGCTATATTAAACTGTCCCAACAATAATATAGAAGTTCTTAAAAAAATGTCAGAATAGCTAATCAAGGCTACTTTTGTACCCTTAATGTTAAATAATTGCAATATTAACTGAAAAAAAGCCACATACTGTATTGTCCTAGCAGAATGTTTATAGTTAGATGTATAAGAATGTTTTATAATAATTATATATTAAAATGTGTTTGATTGGTTAAATTTCTAAAGCGTTTCTTTACTTAAGGCAACAAAACACAATATATTGTATATTCATTTCAAGGCCTAAATATATTTTGAAAGTTTAGGCAAAAAATATTTTCTTACAGATAGTTGGTGGCAGCGTTGGTCCTGTGCCTATAGTTGGTACAAGGGTGGAGCCAGTCACTGTGGGAGGGGTGGGTGTAATAATCTCTGCTGGGACTGTTGGCTTACATCCCATGATGTCAAACCTGAGGCCTACACCTGCAGGTGATGCCTGGACTGGAACAATCTTCACATACTGGGCTATGATGTCACGGTTGAATAAATTCCTCACAGGTGTTGTACTGTCTGTGTTACCATTGAACAGGTAAGGGGTCTGGTCACCAGGATTCTCAGTGTAAGGAATAAAATCTTTTCCATTCAAGCTGTAGTAGACGTTAAACTTTTCCACCCAACGAGATGAATCTGGACTGCCTTGTGTCACCACTCCAGAGATGAGTTTTGGTTCGTTGAAGTTGACCATTATCCATTGATTAGAGCCAGGGCTGTTGAAATAAAACAATTTTACAGCATTTAAAATAAATTTTTTAAATTGTTTTTTATCTAAAGGTATATCAGGGGGAGAGTTTGCATGGAGTGTACATTCACAATTTTTTTTTTCTTTTATATAGTGCCAGCAAAAATTTTAATCTTTATTCCCCCCCCCTATGCATACAAAGAACCTGTATTGGTAATGTCAGCCTTATGATGAGGTTAGGATCAAAACTATTGAATAAATGAAATTTTTTAATTCAAACAACTCTAACCCAGGAATCCATGATCCACCGGATGTGCTGGAGACAGCATTGAACAGCCGGCCATCTGCTGCTGTATGGTTGCTGTTGAGCTGTGAGGATGCTGTCAGTTGGGCATCAGTGACGAAGTAATGGCTGCTCACACCCATAGGGATCAGGCAAACTTTAGGAAATATGGGTACATGTTTTAGAAACATTCTACAAGGAAATATGGGATACATGTTTTACAAACAATCTACAATGAAATATGGGATACATGTTTTACAAACAATTCACAAGGAAATATGCGATACATGTTTAGAAACAATCCACAAGGAAATATGGGATACAAGTTTTACAAACAATCTACAAGGAAATATGGGATACATGTTTTTAGAAACATTCTAAATCGAAATATGGGATATATGTTTTAGAAACAATTTACAAGAAAATATGCGATACATGTTTTAGAAACAATCCACAAGGAAATATGGGATAAATGTTTTACAAACAATCTACAAATTGACGTGAGAGAAAAGTATAATAAAAAGTGCATGTTTTTTTTTTAAATTTTAGCTGAGTGAGATTGGCGAAGTAAATTAATACATGTAAAACTGAAAGAGGTGATAGATCTCCAGTCAATTTTGTGTTTTCATGTATATAATTACTAACTGTGGTTGCTTATGTTCATATGTTTACTCTAACGTGAGTTAGGTACCCATTAGAGCTGGGTGGACTCAGACACATTCTACTGACTTGAACCCGGATTTGAACTTGAGACTTAGCAGTCTAGCTCTTTACTACTAGGCCGCACCATCCCATATTGTGTGTCATGTAACATGTACATTATTTGGACTGAATGAATTAAAATGTGACTTATTTATTTGATCAGCCAGCAAAGAATAAGCCAATGACAATCTTACCATTAGGTGGAGGTAGAGTGGATGCTGTTGGTGCAGTTGGTGCTCCAGTTGTCAGAGTTGGGGCATCAGTTAAAGGTTTGGGTGTTGGTGATGTTGTGTATGGAGGTGCGTGGGTGCTAATATGTTCAATCTCCTTAGATGGGTTACAACCTAGAACATCAAACCTGGAGAATTTTTTAACTACGGTTAAAATTTAATGGTTCACTTTTTTAAGTATCAGTTAAAATATAAACTACTACTGGTTACATTTTTGAAAAGAAATACCAGTATTAAAATGTTAATTTGTTACAATTAAATAAAATTAAATAATATTTTAAAGACATGAAAAAATGATCACGTTGTTTCTCATAGAGATTAAATTTGTTTCATTCATTTATTATTTTAATAAAACTGTAGTGATTAGCTACATTAGTTACAGATGAAAATGTAGCTTGGTTGCTGTTTGAGTAAAAATGTAGATAATGTTTTAAATTATTCACATACCTCAAAGCAAAACCATTGTGGCTATTGACTGGTACTATCCTTATGTACTGGGCCATGATGTTCTTAACAAAATAGTTTGTGACTGGTGTGTTGGTGTCAGTGTTAGCAGTAAAGATTTTGGCCACTCCATCTTGTTTATCAGAATACGGGTAGTAATCAACTCCATCTAAGCTTAGGTAGACTTGGTACTCTGTGGTCCACTTCTCTTCCCGACCTTCACCTTGTGTAACCACAGCAGACAAGAATTTGGGTTCTTGGAAGTTGACTTGAATGTAGGGCGAGTTGTCTGTTTCCCTGTGGGAGAAATATGGATTAGAATAAAATGTGAAAGTTTACATTATAAAAAATGTGCAGAATTTTAAAAATATCTTTGCATAGAAATGAGTAAACATTTTTTAATACTTACAGTGGAATCCATTTTCTTTGATAAAAATCATTTAATAATATCTTAACATAGAAATCTATATCATCATGGTACTTACAGTGGAACCCATGAGCTTTGACAGACATCCTTTAAAAATATCTCAACATAGAAATCTATATCATGTGATGGTACTTAAAGTGGAACCCATGAGCTTTGATAGACATCCTTTAATAATATCTTAACATAGAAATCTATGACAATGTCAAGGTACTTACAGTGGAACCCATGAGCTTTGATAGACATCCTCAGACAGTCTGGCATATTGTGACCCATGTCCATTGACGCTGGAAGATGCTGATATCCATTGGTCTTGAATAATTCTTTGATTCTGTAGTCCCATTTTTTTGTTACACACTGTGAGAAATAAACAGCATTGTGTAAACTGTTTAAAATCAATCAACCAATACAAATACCTTTTACTTTATGTATTTGTTACAACAAACTTAACATTCACTACTATAAAGCAAAGTTTCTTTCAGGCATCTCTTCTTGGGGACAGGGTCAACTTATAGATTTTAAGCATGCCCCCCCCTCCCGAAAGTTTCAAAACACTGCTAAACAGAACTTCTGTCTTACTTGGTTCTTGAGTTACAGTTGGTGGGGATGCCGTAGGAATGTTGTAAAGTGGTGGAGGGCTGCCTGTTGATATGATGGGGATCCCAATGGGCCCGGTGTAGGGCTGGAGGAATGGCACTGTTGGTCGAGGTGTGATGAGGGGTGAGCACCCAATGTAGTTTAAGCGCAGGCCAGGCCCATGTGGCGCCCAGGTGACAGGTGTAAGGCGAACATACCTGGCCACAACCATCTGTAGATAGTTGAATTTTTAAGTTTTTCAATAATGCAATAATTTCATCTTTTTTAAATACTGATGTAGATATATGAAGTATTAAAATAGAATTGACAATCAAGTTAGGTATTATGAGTGGTTTTATGCAATGGGAAGGGATACACAAGCAATTATGTTGTAAATAGACTATGTATAAAAAATTACATAAAATGGGAGGAGCGATATATAAGGGATGTGCATGATAGAGGAGCTACCATGTCCAGTGATGGAAAGAGCTACCATGTACAGTGATGGGAAGAGCTACCATGTCCAGTAATGGGAAGAGCTACCATGTCCAGTAATGGGAAGAGCTACCATGTACAGTGACCATGTCCAGTGATGGGAAGAGCTACCATGTCCAGTAATGAGAAGAGCTACCATGTCCAGTAATGGGAAGAGCTACCATGTCCAGTAATGGGAAGAGCTACCATGTCCAGTGATGAGAAGAGCTACCATGTCCAGTGATGGGAAGAGCTACCATGTCCAGTGATGGGAAGAGCTACCATGTCCAGAGACCATGTCCAGTGATGGTGACAGCTATGATATTTGTTCTACTCACATGAGGGAAATAGTTCCTGATCACTGAGTCCTTGTCTGTGTTGCCACCGAATATTATCACATTACCATCAGCATTTGTCAGTGGGTAGAAGTTGCTCCCATCCATGCTGGTACTGATGGTGTAGGAGGTGACCCACTGCTCAGCATTTGGACTTCCTTGTGTTAAAATACCTGACAAGTTCTGAGCTGACAGGAAGTCTACTTGATGCCACTGGTTCTTATCAGCAATGCTGTAATAATAATAACAGAAGTTTTAGTCATACAGACGGGTGAGTTTACAACAGGGATTGCAGTACAGTACGGGTATTTAAGCTATGAGAATTTAAAACAAGAAATAATAAATTGTTTAGATGCTTGAAGCCAATCCTTTTTTAAGAAATACAATTGACAGCACTGTATTTAGTGTATTTAGGTAATGTTTTGTTACAAAGATCTGATTATATAAATACAATTACAGTATAGGATTTAGATAATGTTTTGATGGTATAACTTCTAACATTGAAGATACCCACTTTGGTATCCAGGATTTAGATATTTTGATGGTATAACTTCTAACATTGAAGATACCCACTTTAGTACCCAAGATTTAGAAAATGTTTTGATGATATAACTTCTAACATTGAAGATACCCACTTTAGTACCCAGGATTTAGAAAATGTTTTGATGATATAACTTCTAACATTGAAGATACCGACCTTGGTACCCAGGATGACAGTTGGTTATTTAGCCTGCCTTCTGAGGCACCTGTCAGTGGTCCAGCTTGACTAGATGCGGTCAGTTGTAGACCTGTTACCGTAGTAGGCTGGTCCACAGTCATTGGTACATTACAAAGCATATCTGAAATAATTAATCAAGTAACTTTTTGATTTCAGGCCAGACAATTCAGAGCAGATAAGGTAAAGTGTAAATGTTTGAAGTCTGTCAATGAAGTGTTGTGTTTAGTACTATTTGAAATGGGTGTGTTTAGGTACACATTAGAACTGGATGGACAGAACTCAAGACTTTAAAATGAACAATTATGCTCTACCATTAAACCATATTTAAAATTAATCCTGTATAAGAAAAAATATTAAAATTAAAAAGAAGTAGTTACTTGGAGGTGGTGTGAAGGGTACGACTGGTGTTGGTGCTATGGTCACAAGAACTGGAGTTGGGCCAGGTGGGTGGCAGCCTATGACATTGAACCTCAAGGCCACGGAGTTGTGGAACTCAACAGGTCGGATCTGGATGTACCTGGCCACAACGGTGGGGAAAAAGTTGGTGACCGGAGAGAACTGGTCAGAGTTGCCACTGAACACAAGCGGAGCTGATGTCTGGTCTGCCACTGGCTGGAAGTTGACGCCATCTTTGCTGTAGTACACCATGTACCTGGTGACCCAGGAGTCCTGGTCCGCACTGCCCTGTGTGACCACACCTGAGATCTCGTAAGGTGCAAGGAAATCTACCTGGATGTAGGGGCTCTTGTCAGATGTGCTGGAATAAATAGGATAAAAATTGTGAACTTCTGAGTCAGATATTCAAAACATGAAAAAAAAGGTTTTTTAATTAATACAAAAGGTCATAAAGTATATCATGTATATCTCATAAACTACTAACTAACAGTGTGCTAGAACAATCACTAAATTAATCATTTTAAAAATCATTTGACTTTTATGAAAATGAGTTATTATATTGCCATATCTCTCTATAAAGATTAAAGAAATATTCAAACAATCATAAATTTCTCTAACAAAAATCTAGAGTTTCTAAAAACAAAGATCAACATAAAGATGGAAAGAGATAACAAAACAATGTAAATGTTTGTATGAGCATCAAATGAGAACAGACCTTGGTGACCAGCCACCAGATAGAGAGCCATCAGCATTAGTGAACAACCTCCCCCTGCTTGGGGCATGGAGACCATCTAGGGCACTTGATGCAGTCAGCTGATAATCATTAATTACCTGTGGGTTCGTTAATCCCATAGGGACATCACAAACTGAAAAACAATGAGAAAAGTATAATATAAACTTTTTTCTTCAATTCTGCAGTTTATTAAGTTTAGTTTTCTTAATGAATTTTGTTTCATTAACAAAGCATAAAGAAATTTGAGAAGAAAAATTTACTTTGTAACGTTGGCGCAAGTGTTGGGCCAGGTCCTACAGAAGGAGTCGCTGGTGTGGGTGTGGCAATGATCTGTGGCACTGAAGGTTTACATCCCACAACATCAAACCGCAACCCAACACCAAATGGTGCAGCGTCGACAGGCACGATTTTCACGTACTGCGCTATGATGTCACGGTTGAAGAGATTCCTCACAGGTGTGTTGCTGTCTGAGTTTCCAGTAAACAGGTAAGGTGTTTGGCTGCCTGGAGATTCAGTGTATGGGGTGAAATCTTTGCCATCCAGGCTGTAGTAGACATTGTATTTCTCCACCCAACGAGGTGAATCTGGGCTGCCTTGTGTCACCACTCCAGAGATGAGTTTTGGTTCATTAAAGTTGACCATAATCCATGATTGTGTGTCAGTTCTTAATGGGAAAAAAATTATAAATTATTAAATAAGCACTAACATGTTAATACCAATATTAATATTATATAAAAAATTAAAAAGCCAATGTTTTAAAAGAGTGTGAAGTACCCAGGAATCCAAGATCCGCCAGTTGTGTCAGTGACAGAGTTGTATAATCTGCCATCTGCTGCGGAGTGGAAGCCATCAACATTGGAGGATGATGTCAACTGCTCATCAGTCACAATGTAATGGCTGCTCAATCCCATTGGAACAAGACAGACTAGAAATAAATCAAACACTCATTTCATGCACCAGGAGACAATATATTGACATTTTTAAAAAAATATATAACTGTACTGAAAACATCTTAATGAAATTGTGCGTTCAAATTAATTCAGTTTTTAATTTTTATAAAATGTGAATGTAATGTTCTGTTTTCTAAATAGGGTGATATTTACCATAGCTGGGTGCATTATTTGTAAGTAAGTAAGTAAAGATGTAGGTGAAGTAGAGTTTTCCTGTTTCAGTTACTTCTGCCTATGAATGGATAGTGTGATCAGCTATACTGATGCTCTACCTTCATGAACTCTAAATTTAAAACCCCAGACTTTTGGGTTAGCAGTTGTATGCTTTACCAACTGAACATGCCATCCCCCCATTGGATATTTTATTAGAAGATCCAATTTATTTCTTATATTTTATTAGAAGATCCAATTTATTTCTTATATTTTATTAGAAGATTCAATTTATTTTTTATATTTTATTAGAAGATCCAATTTATTTCTTATATTTTATAAGAAGATTGAATTTATTTCTTAAAAGACAATTCACCATTAAAGGAATACATTTTGAAAAAAAAAATTACCATTTGGTGGAGGCACTGTACTGAATGTTGGGATGGGTGGCTGTGCTGTGTAGCCAAGAGATGAAGTGAGGGTTGGGGCATCTGTGCTGGGCTTGGATGGTGGGTACAGCGTTGTGTACATTGGAGCACGTGTTGTCCTTTCAATTATTTCGTTAGATGGGTTGCATCCAAGAACATCAAACCTAAAAATATAAGTGGTATGATAACAATTCAAAATGTCATAAAATACTTCTGAAAAAGATAGATAATTTACTTTTATAAAAAACTGTCACATAGAAACCACATTAAGTATAAATTTCTATTAACAACAATTAGCTATTAAAATGATCATAAATTATATAATCTATTTATTAAAAAAATACAATTAACGAATCAGTTTATTTACCTTAGAGCAATGCCAGTATGGCTGTTGACAGGGACAATGCGGATAAATCTGGCCATGATGTTTTTGGCAAAATAATTGGTCACTGGTGTATTTTTGTCAGTGTTGGCTGTGAAAACTGTAGCCTGACCATCTTGCTTCTCTGAGTAAGGAACAAAGTCAGTCCCATCCACGCTGGTGTAGACTTTGTACTCAGTGACCCACCTGTCCTCCGCACCCTCACCTTGTGTTGTCACACCTGATAGGAACTTCACGTCTTGGAAATCTACCTCAATGTATGGGGATTTGTCAGCAGTACTGCGGGAAAATTTTCAACAAAGTTAATAAAACTTATGTTGGTAGAGGTGACAGCTATAAAACATGTTTTTGAAGATATTCTTTGGAAATTATTTTTACAAGTTTGCTACAAATTATATTGGTGTTGGAGTTAAACTAATACAACATATGCTAGTTGATAATTACAACTTTTGTTGGCGTAAGTAAAAAAAAATACAAATTATGTAGGTGTAAGTTCAAATTATAAATTATTTTTGTGTTAAATTTTTAAATACAAGCAATTAAACCAGAATAGTCTGGTCTCTAGGACCGTATGGACATTTTTAACAAGTTATTGCAGGACAAGCAACTTTATTTACTCTGGTATCCAAGAGCTCTGATAATCATTTGTTGACAATCTGGCAAACTCTGGGTTATGGTTCCTTGTACTAGATGATGCTGTTATTTGAGAGTCTTGAACAATTCTCTGGTTCTGCAAGCCCATCTGCTGACTACACACTGTCGAAGGAATTTAAAAGTTTTACAAGTTAGTATTTTAAAAAATTGATATTTCTGACTGGGAACTCTTCAGTGATGAAAGAAAAACATCATGGTTTTAAAGTTAGTTACACGTTAATAAAAAAAAAAGAGAACCAGTTTCAGGTGTAAAACAATTTCAGTCCTAAAGTTATACCTGGCTCTAAGGTTTGTCTAGTTGGCTGTGGTGTAGGACTGCCATACGCAGAAGTGGTGGTTGAGATGGTGGGGGCAGGTGTGAAGGGGGGCTGGAGGAAGGGTAAGGTGGGATGTGGGGTGGGGTAGTTGATGTTGAAGCAGCCGATGTAATTAACCCTCAGGCCTGGTCCGTTGGGTGCCCATGTGACAGGCTCAACTCTGATGTATCTGGCCACAACAGGCTGAAACATATATTTACACGGATGAAGATTCAACAAAGAGTGTTACAAATGTAAACAATGATTTGCAGCTAAAATTGCTTTTAGTTGCATGCTAATTTCTCTCAATAAAGCAGCAAAAAAACAATATTTATGTATTCATTCAAAGCATAGGGTAAAAATAATTTTTTTATAATAAAACATTTAGAAAAATCTGAGAATATAAAAATATGAATGATAATGATGGCTAAAAAATTAATAAAAGTGTTAGCATTACAAGTTTTAAAAATGTATTACAATTTTTTTTTTAAATGTAAAAAGTTAAAAAAAAAAGCTATGGATACATACATGTGGGAAGTAATTTCTAACAATAGAATCTTTGTCAGAATTTCCTGAGAACACCACAACATTTCCATCATCTCCACGCACTGGGTAGAAGTTGTAGCCATCTTTGCTGGTGCTGACTGTGAAGGATGACACCCATTTCTCTGCATTGGGACTGCCCTGTGTGAGAACACCTGACAGGTTCTGGGGTGTCAGGAAATCTACCTGGTGCCACTGGTTCTGGTCAAGAGTTCTGTAAAACAATCAAAACAAGGACTCTAAATTATTATAAATCTTTTACTAAAACATATGTTTGAGAAATTTTACAGTATTTTCGATCAATTCATAGTGAAGCATATGCCATTCAAAATATCCTTCCATTCTTTTTTCATCTTTCCAATAATTTAATTTTCATAAATCTTTTACTAAAACATAAGTTCAAGAAATGTTACAGTTTTTTCTATCAATGCATAGTGAAGCATATGCCATTCACAATATCCTGCCATTCTTTTCATTCCATTATGTTTTCATCTTCCCAAAAATGTATTTAACAGTGTAAAAAGTTTAAGGACAAATGTTCTGACCGTGGGACCCAAGAAGAGAATTCATTATGGAGTCTGCCAGCAGCGGCCATGGTCTGTGGGCTGAGACTGCTAGAGGCTGACAGCTGGTGGTCAGGGAGGTAGTTGGGCAGGTCCACGTTCATTGGTATGTTACACAAGATATCTGAAATACAGGGGATTCTCATTAGGAACTTGGTAACAGATGGTGTACATGGTGGCAAGACATTACAACAAATGTTTAAATGTTAGAATCTTTAAGTATTTTATAAAACTTCAGAATTCTGTATACACTGTGAATATATAATGACATTAAATGTAAATGAAATTTCATTTAAATACACACTTTATCTATAATGTTAATATATTTATTGTATAAAAGTTCAAGTATTAAATTACTTAAATAACATTTTTGAACTGAGTTATCAGGATTTTTATGAGATATATATTACTTTGTTACTTAAAATGTGAATTACCACCTTTTAAAATTAAAATGTGTTTTACCTGGTGAATGTGTGAAAGGTGTGATGGGAACAGCTGTGCTTCCTTGTGGGACGGCTATGCTTGGTGTAGGTGTTGCTGATAAACAAAGTTTTTTTACACACATTTTAAAAACTTTAAAAAAAGTTCATTTTGTTTTTTTAATTAAAAAAAATTTATAGAATAGAACTTATGTGTCTAGTTTTTAAAAATCTTTCTATAGAATAAAATGTATGTATATAATTTAATAAACAACTGTCTATGAAATAAAATTTATGTAACTAATTTAAAAAAACATTCTATAAAATCAAACTTATGTAACTAATTTTAAAAATAAATTCTATTCACCTGAGCATGTACACATGTATCTAATCTTATAATCTCTACAGGTTAATCCAATGTCCGGTTCATTCAAGCATTTCAGGCCTTCACCGACAGTACAAGTTGCCTCTGCCAGGCTGTCGTAGTCATCCCCAGTTTCAGCATCCACGCAGTTGATATCTGTGATCTTCCCACCTGGGCAGAACTTGGACTTGTCTTCATCGCTCATGGCTTCAAAATCTCCACTGCCACTGGCGGGGTTTACGTTGTTGATCCATGCGGACCATCCAGTGGTGCATGTGTGGAGGACAGCCGGAGTGGGGGCTGACGTTACAGTTATCACTGCTGGGGTAGGGGTGGGGATAGGTGACGGAGACTGGCATCCAAGTAGATTAAAACGTAATGCAATTGAGCCGTGGAAATCTAATGGCCGAATCTGGACGTACCGCGCATTGATGGTTGAGAAGAAATTTGTGACAGGAGCAAAGGAATTAGTGTTTCCGTTAAATATAGTTGGTCGTTGAGAGTTGTCTGTGACTGGGTAGTAGTTGATGCCATCACTGCTGTAGAAGATGTTATACTTTGTCACCCAAGATTGTTGATCAGCGCCGCCCTGTGTGACCACACCTGAAAGTTCATACGGGGCCAAGAAATCCACCTGGATGTACTGGTTTCTGTCAGACACACTGCACGTAGAAACAGAATTAATTACATTTTTTTTAATACCTTATGGTTAACACATCTCAGGTGACAGGTGACATGGTATAACCAAGAATACTTAGAGAAGGTTACAGCGTTATATGAGAAAAAAATAAACAAAGAAATAGTACAGAGAAGTAAAATATAAAACTGCTAGAAAATTCAAGGGAGAAAAAAATTCAATGAAAAATAAATTGTGTGGAGATAAACAGGCAAGAGTGCAGGGAGATAACTCAATCAATTCCCCAACCTTGGTGACCAGCCTCCAGCTAGAGACCCATCTGTGCCGGCATAAAGCCTGCCTCTTGATGGGCTGTGATAAACATCCAGAGTGCTTGAAGCTGTCAACTGCTTGTCACTAATGATCAATGGGTTTGTTATGCCCATTGGGATATCACAATCTGTGGAAATAACAAATGAATTTTTTTTTAATGTTGTTATAAATATGCTTCAAATAGTGTAATTAATTTCAATATTCTTCTAATATTGTTAATGATAGTTATTAAAACTTTCTTCCAATACTATAAATAATTGTTGTTCTAACGAATGTTGAAATACAATAAATGAGATAACAAAGTTTTTAAAAACTGCATAATAGTTATAAGCATTAGATAATTGATAACTAATATTTTAACATTTTTAACAATATATCAATTATCTTTAAATCAATGCCTTAATCTAGAAAAACTTATTTAAAAAGGATAACAAACAATAATTTAAAACAATAAGAAGTTAAGATTTAAGAGAAAATATTAGAACATTTATTTTGGTTTAGATGCTGAAAATTGTATTCCAAAACTTACATGTTTTAGGTGGCAGAGTTGGGGCATCAGTTGAGCCAGTTACCACAAATGGAGTTGGTGTGATGGAAGGTGTTGGTGAAGGTGTAATGTTTACAGTAGGAATGCTTGGTTTACATCCCATGACGTCAAACCTGAGGCCTACACCTGAAGGTGATGCCTGGACTGGAACAATCTTCACATACTGGGCTATGATGTCACGGTTGAATAAATTCCTCACAGGTGTTGTACTGTCTGTGTTACCATTGAACAGGTAAGGTGTCTGGTCACCAGGGAACTCTGTGTAAGGAATAAAATCTTTTCCATTCAAGCTGTAGTAGACGTTAAACTTTTCCACCCAACGAGATGAATCTGGGCTGCCTTGTGTCACAACTCCAGAGATGAGTTTTGGCTCATTGAAGTTCACCATGATCCATGGGTGTGTATCTGTAGTGCTGCAATCACAACAAGAAGATAGTCACATGTTATTTTATTATTGACAATACCAAAAGCAATACATTTTTAAAAATATTACTAATACTCCTGAAGATGTATATTAAAAAATGAATGTAGGATAGTTTATAAAAATGTACACATAATTAGTTTTGAGCATTTTTTTTAATGTGCTTGTAAATTAGATGTTAGGGTGAAAACAAAAGCTTTATCTATAACAAGAAATCACAACAAAAATTTAGTGCATTTAAATATAATTTTTGGGTAGGAAATTATAATCATTAATAAACAGTTTAAGTAATTTAGAAATCATTTTAAACATAAGGATCATTAATCAATTTAAACTGAATTTGATGGTATGAATATTATAACAATTTATAAATAAACTTATTTATGTTTAACAAGTGCAAAAATATTGACAGCGTACCTTGGAACCCAGGAGCCAGCAGACGTGGAGGTAACATAATTGTCTAGCCGACCACTGGATGGAAGATGTAGGCCATCCAGGCTAGAAGAAGATGTCAGCTGCTTGTCAGAGATCATGTAGTGACTGGTCAAACCCATTGGGATCAGACAGACTATGGAACAAAAGTAACATTGGTTTTTTAAAAAGTTAGAGCAATTTTAGATATGAATGAAACAATCTTTTAAAGATTTCCTTACCATTGGGAGCTGGTATATCAGTGACAGTAACAGTGGGAGCTTGTGTGGCCCCACTTGATGTAGGAATGTTTGTGGGCAGTGTGGGGCTCAGGGTGGTGTATGTGTACTCTGGAGGTCGGACTGACACAGTTGGGTTCTCTTTAGTTGGATTACACCCAAGAACATCGAATCTGAAATTTTTAAATATAAAATATAATATTTATTTGATTTTAGAAAAATTTAAGTAGTTCAAATTTTCATTTTAATTTTAATTAAGTTTAACATTTAACATAGATAACATTTAAATTGATAAAATGAAAAATATTAAATTTTTATGTCCTGCAATTATAAAATAGTGCTGACAATTTTGTATTTAATTACCTCAAAGCAACACCATTGTGATTATTTACAGGTACTATGCGAATATACTGAGCATAGACATTCTTTTCAAAGAAGTTGGTGACTTTGGTGTTAGTATCAGTATTAGCAGTAAAAGTTTTAGCTGTGCCATCTTGTTTGTTGGAGTATGGGTAAAAGTCAACACCATCAACACTGTAGTAGACCTGGTACTCAGTGACCCACTTCTCTTCACGTCCTTCACCTTGTGTCACAATTCCTGATAAGTACTTGAGCTCCCTGAAGTTCACTTGAATGTATGGAGCATTGTCCGAATTCCTGAAACAAAATGTAGTTTCATTAGAATCCTATGCTATTTTATATTTACCTTGTGTAACTTAGATAATGTACGATACAATATTTTTAATCTTGATGATTATGATGTCTTAAGGATCAAAACATCATCAAAATGACTAGATGTATAGAATATATCGACCAACCCAGTTTGTTAGTCATGTGTCTGTCAGCCTTATGCCACATAGGAAGTCAAAAGTAAAAATAACAACAATAAAAATACCTAGTCTATAGTTTACATATTGATGACTACATAAAACGAAGCTGTCACAATCATAAGAGGAAGAATATATATAATTCTTTAGGTATATTAAAATGTAAAACCATCAAAGCTAAAATTATGAATTTCCTTACGCAGGCATCCAAGAACCTTGGTAGTTTTCTGAGAGACGTGCCAACTCAGGGCCGTGTTTGTATGACTGTGTTGTTGATGCCAGCTGTGTGTCACTGATGATCCTCTGGTTTTGCAGGCCCATCTCTTTGGTACACACTATATAAATACATCAAATTGAATTAAGAAGTTTTTTAAGTTAACTTTCAAGCGCAATCATTAAAATAAATAAATAATGGCTTTTTTAACAATATTTTGCGATCTACACTAAATTCAGAATAAATATCTAAGCATTAATTTTACTTAATAAATCATAATGATTTTTAACAATATATTAGCTGATATAAAGAAAAATGTATATGTAGTGGAATTGTTGCATATATTTAAAAAAAAATTATAATATGACTTATTTGTACTTTTAAAAGTTTATAAATAGCTTTGGGTTTATGTGATAAAGAAAGACAAGTAAAGACCAGTAACTCACTTGGCTCAAGAGTTATAATAGGGGCAGGTGTGGTGTACAGTGGTGGACTGGGTGTAGACACGCCCATGGGTGGGGTCAACGTTGGACTGGCTGTGGATATGTCAACATGGAAGGGAACTGTGGGTTTGTTTGTCGCAGCGCTCTCCGACACACAGCCGATGTAGTCCAGCCTCAACCCTGGTCCATTGGGTGCCCAGGTCACTGGCTCCACTCTGATGTACCTGGCAAGTACCGTCTGGAAATAAAAACATTTTGTAAAGGAAAACATAAAAAGATAACAAATGTTCTCTTCCACAAGACTCAGAAAAAAAGACTATTCCAAAAACAATGGAGATTGTAAGTCGTTATATACTTTCCATTTAGGGTATTATGGCTGGCACTACGGTTAGTAAAATTAATTAGGGTCAAAATTTTATGATTAGAAACTTAACACCTATTTTTTTCACAAGTCTGATAAAGAGGAATTAATAGAAATCGGTGTGAAAACCACACCATAATTAGATTACTTGATACTTAAATATTTTTAAAAAGTAGTCATTAAGTAAATCATCTATGAAATTATGAATAATTAATCAGATGATTAAAGACAATAAAAACGAATCATAACAGTAACAGTCCTTACATGAGGGAAGTAATTTCTGATAACAGAGCTTTTATCTGTGTTTCCTGAGAATGTTATCACATTTCCATTATTGTCTCTGACAGGGTAAAAAGTGAGGTGGTCCAAGCTGGTGCTGATGGTGTAGGAGGAGACCCACTTCTCCAGGTCTGGGCTGCCCTGGGTCAGTACACCTGACAACACCTGGGGTTTCAGGAAATCTAATTCATGCCACTGGTATCTATCAGCGAACCTAGGCACATAAAAATAATGGTAGTTAGACAGGGTTTTTAAACAAGAAAATTTAAGTGACCATTTAATTTAAGAATCTTTAGCACGAAAAAAAAGTGATGATACATACAATTTAACGAAACAATGTTTGTAATAATGCAGGATTAAAAAAAAAATTATTTGTATGAATACATGATTTTGTTTATTAAAACAAAATTAAAACAAAAAATTATATGCAGATGATTTTTTGCAATAAAAATTGCTTTTCACAACAAAAAAAAGTTAATTTTTACAGGATTAAAAAAATACATAAATTCAACATGAAAAGAATGTAGCAGCTTTTTTCATTACAAATTCATCATTAGAATATTTTTTTTAAAAATGTATGGTCACAAAATAATGAATTCCGGGACAGAAAATTTTGAAACTTTGAACTGGTGTGTGAGGCAAACAACACAGCAGTGTTAAACAAAAAAACTTACTCAGGAATCCATGAGTTGAATGTGTTGTCAAGCCTGCCAGCTGAGGCTGTTGAGTAAGAATCAGCATAGCTCGAGGCAGAAAACTGGCTGTCCAAAAACAAATAAGGCTGGTCCACATTCATCAGGACATTACATATTTCACCTGAAAGGAGGAGTTAAATATTGTGAGTACATCTGTTTTTTTTAAATTTATTCTCTTTTTTTTGTTATGAATAAAAGAGAAAATAAATTAGTTTTGTAAACAGAGCAAATTACCTGGAGGATTTAGGAATGGTGTAGGTGGCATTTCTGTGCTTCCAACTTGTGGTACAGTTGGTGATGGTGTTGGTGCAGTGAATATTCCTATTGATGGTGAAGGAGTTGGTATCAGCAGGGTGGGAGGTACTACATTAGGGGTGGGCGTGGTACATCCAAATAAGCTGAACCTCAGGGCAACTGAGTTATGTGATTCCACAGGCCGGATCTGAATGTAGCGAGCTACAACAGTTGGGAAGAAGTTTTTCACTGGAGTGTGTTGGTTTGTGTTCCCATTAAATAGGATTGGGTTGTCAGTGTTGTCTACTATAGGGTGGAAAGTGGCGCCATCTGTGCTGTAGTACACAGTGTACTTGGTGACCCAAGATGGCTGGTCAGCACTGCCTTGTGTTACCACACCAGATACTTCAAGTGGTTGTAAGAAATCAACTTGGATGTAGGGGGTCTTGTCTGAAACACTGCAACAAAAATAAAAACGTTATTTAATCAACTTAATTGGCATGAGTTTTATTCTGTTTAAAATTGTGTCTATAAGACAATCATCTCTTCTCACAAATAAATAATTGCATGTAAGAAGGTTTATAAATTATAGTGGGCATACAAATTTAAGATTAAAAATGTTAAGGTGCTTTACTTACTTTCAATATCAAAGCCTACTTATATAGTGTTTTTTTTTTGTTAACAGAGAAACAAAAAGAGAGTGACATTAAAAAAAAATATTTAGAGCAGAATTCATAGTTGTCTTTTATGCCAAACTTTCTTCAGATAAGGTTTATCAGACTTTAAAAGATAAAACAAAAAATGCCATAAATAGAGAAGAGACAAACATTGCCTTACCTAGGAGACCAGGCGCCAGCCAGAGAACCATCTTGGTTTATCTCCAGTCGACCTCTTGAAGGACCATGTAGGGAGTCCATAGAACTAGATGCAGACAGCTGATTGTCACTGATAACTTTTGGATTGTTCACTCCCATTGGCAGGTCACAAGCTGGTAAACAAGCAGTTTGTTGTTGTTTTATTTATAATAAATATTGACCAAATTGTTCAGCTTGTTTTTTTTACTTACCATTTAAAAAAAAAAAACAGTTTAAAAAAAATAATTTTGAATAAATTAAGCTGTAATTATTTTGTATAAAATCTGTTATGTGGTGTTAACTTGTTTTTATTTCTTTAAAGATCTGACAAATAGAGATTGAAAAACTAAAATTTAGTGTTGTATAATAAATAAATATCTAATGTCTCTTTTATTCTATATCAGTGAACGCTACAGTAAAAGCTATAAGAAAAGCACATACTAATGCCAGGTGGTAGCGTTGGCTTGAGAGTTGGTCCAGTGCCCACGGACGGAGTTGGTCCAGTGACCAGTGGGGGTGGTGTGATGATTGTTTCTGGAGGTAGGTTGGGGTTGCAGCCAATCACATCAAACCTGAGGCCTACACCAGCAGGTGATGCCTGGACTGGAACAATCTTCACATACTGGGCTATGATGTCACGGTTGAATAAATTCCTCACAGGTGTTGTACTGTCTGTATTTCCATAGAACAGGTAAGGTGTCTGGTCACCAGGGAACTCTGTGTAAGGGGTGAAGTCCACACCATTCAGACTGTAGTAGACATTGTATTTCTCCACCCAACGAGATGAATCTGGGCTGCCTTGTGTTGATACTCCAGAGATCAGCTTTGGCTCATTCATGTTAACCATTATCCAAGCTTGGCTATCTGTTGGGCTTCAAATTACAAAAAAAAACTATTTAAAACATTATCTTCACATGATAAAAAAACAATAATTAATTATTTGTGACTTTCTAAAATATTAAAATCCATTCCAGACTATCATAATACTTGAAGATCTTACTTAAAAAAACATATGGTCTAATTTTAAATCCTACACATCAATAATCAAGTACGCATTATTAAAATCAATTAAAGATATTTTTACATTTTTATTTTATTTAGCTTTAAGAATATACTAAAAATAGATACCAGGTGAGATAGTGTAAAGTTACCTTGGGATCCAAGATCCTCCAGAGCTGTTGGACTTCTCATTGAAGAGTCTACCATCAAAAGCATTGTGGTTGTTGTCAAGGACAGAGGAAGATGTTATTTGTTTATCTGTCACTATGTAGTGGTTGCTCAGACCCATGGGGATCAAGCACACTAAACAAAAGATAAACAAAACAAAATAAATCATTTTGTCATGCTGAACAAATCTGCTACAAATAATTTAAATACACATTATAAACGGAGTGGTCTAGCGGTAGAGAGCTGGACTGCTAACCCGTTAGTCTCGAGTTCGAATCCGAGTTCAAGTCAGTAGACTGTCCCTGAGTCCACCCAACTCTGATGGGTACCTACCTCATGTTAGGGAAAGTAAAGGCGGCTGGGCATAGTGCTGACCACACTGTCTCTTCATATGCCGTGGTCACAGAAACAAGTGAACTCTACTTCACTTGCCCCATAGACCGTCAGGTTTGAAAGGGAAACTTTTTTTTTTTTTTTTATAAACATGATACTTTTTTTAATAGTTAAGATTCTCGAAATGTTTGACTTCTGCAAGACTTTTTTCTTGTTCTACACTAAAATATGTTAATTAAAATCTCGACAATAAGTTTTAAAATCATAATAAATAATCTACTTTAATTACAATAAATAGTAGGCCTATACTTTGATAGTTATAAAAAATGTAAATAATATACCTAATGGTGCAGGAATAATGGTAGTTCCAGGAGTAGGAGGGGAGAGTGTGGGGGGTGTTGTCTGACCAGGGGCTAGTGTAGGCTTGGCTGTAGTGACTGTTGTGACATGTGGGTAGGGTGGTGCACGGGTGCTAATGTCCTCCCTCTCCTTAGATGGATTACATCCAAGAACATCAAACCTGTAGTTGTAAATAACAGATGACATGAGTAATCTCCCTTACACTGGAGATAATTTATTGATGGCATAAAAAATAACATGAAAATTGACAGTAATTTTTATGATAAACAAAGAAACTTAATATACATAATCCTTATTTATTATTGGACAAACAAAAAAAGAAATGAAACTGCAAATTATTTTTTATTGTTATTTCTAAAATCTAATTTTTTAAGCAATATGGGTCTTATCTTTAGTTAAAGATAATTATACATTCTATATAGGCCTAAATATTAAATTAGTTGATAAATTAATTAGATTGTTGCTTATATTATAAAATATGTGTATATCTCCTGTTTAAACATTCAAGTATAATTTTGAAATCTGATAGTTTCTTGTTGTCTACGTACCTTAGAGCAAAGCCCAAATGACTGCTGACAGGAACTATACGAATGTACTGTGCAATGATGTTGGTGATAAAATAGTTTGTGACTGGAGAGTTCCTGTCAACATTGGCAGGGAAAGTCTTGGGTCGGCCATCTTGTTTGTCAGAGTAAGGAATGAAGTCTACTCCATTCATGCTGTAGAACACCTGGTACTCCGTGGTCCATCGATCTTCACGTCCTTCACCTTGGGTCACCACTGCTGACAAAAATTTTGGCTCCTTAAAGTCCACTTGAATGTAAGGTGCATCGTCATCAGTGCTGAAAAAATATAAAATAATTGGAAGAATTCATTAAACAGAGTAATTTTAATAACAAACTTCTACAAACATGTTTCTTAGTAGGTCTGGTTTATTTTTTTGCCAGCTTATGACAAACTAATTGGAGCAAAGTTAAGTTAAAGAACACTAAGAATGAGCATGACATTTATAATTGACAGTTAAACTGATGTATTAATAATAAAATAAAAAAAGTATAAAATGTTGAAGGTAAACTTACCGCGGCATCCATGAGCCTTGATATTCATTCACTGACAGCCTGGCAAGCTCTGGCCCATAGGCCAGTTTTTGTGATGAAGCTGTGAGCTGCGTGTCTTGAATTATCTTCTGGTTTTGTAAGCCCATTTCTTCCAAGCATACATCTATAGAGATACATGTATAATTTAAGGTAGAGAAATGAATATAACATTTAGTTCTAAGTTGCTTCCTTTTATTAGCATTTTTCATAACACCAAGCTAATTGAAAATGTAACAAATTATAATATAATTCAAATAATTGTTCTCACATTTACTCAACTTTTATGTTAATTCCAAAAACAAGTGAGCATTGAAAAATGCCTATTAAAATTGTACACACAAAACTTTGTGCAAACAGAAGTCTATACACAGATTGTGCAACTCTTTTTGTAGTCCACTACAAGGCTATTTAACTGATATTTCAGTGTATATTGTATAGATAAGCTCAAAACTTACCTGGTCTTAAGGTAATGTGTGGTACAGTAGGAGAGGCAGTTGGGGAGGCAGTTGGGCCAGCAGTGGTGGCAGATGTCGTTGCTCCAGTTGGGATGGTTGGTTGTTCCATGTAGAATGGTACAAGTGGCCGTGGAGTGGGGACTGACATTGGTAAGCAACCAATGTAGTTCAGTCTTAGACCTGGGCCGTTTGGTGACCAGGTTAGAGGTTCAAGTTTGATATACCTAGCCACGACAACCTGGTAAATTAAGTAGTTACGCAAATTAAGTAATTTATTATGAAAGTAGATGACTTAATCTGAAATAAATAATTTTGTTTCTCTCAACACTAAATTGTTTGAACCAGCAAAGAAAAAGTTTATCGCTATTAACATTTCCCAAACATAAAAGCCAAAATTTTTTTAGAGAACATAAAATTTGCATATTTAAAAAAAAAAACTATTGTATTTCCAGTAATAGAGAATATATTTGTAAGATAGCTTATGGAGGTCAGATCAAAACAGAAGTTAAAACATCAAACATACATTTACATAATACAGAAAAAATACTGAAACAACTTTTGAAAAAGGACATTTATGAAGAAAGTAGTTTTGAACATTAGAAAATATATCCAAGAAGTAGTTGATACATTTTGAAAACAGCACAAGTTGGAAGTAGTTGCTAACAAAAACAAAAGTGAGTACTGTAAGTGGTGTCAAAAAAATCGAAAAAAAAAACTTACATGTGGGAAATAGTTGCGAACAATAGAGTTTTTGTCTGTGTTTCCCTGAAAAACTAAAACATTTCCATCATTGCCACTGACGGGGTAATAGGTGTAACCATCAACGCTGGTGCTGATGGTGAAGGATGAGACCCATTTCTCAAAGTCTGGACTGCCCTGTGTGAGGATACCAGACAGGTCCTGGGGCTTTAAGAAATCTACTTGCATCCATTGACGCTTATCTGCAATGCTGTAGATAAGGTAATGACATAAATAACTTTACAGCAATTAGTCATTACATAAAAAATAATTTATTAAAATTACTTTACGTGTAACAAATACTAAAATCATAAAGATTATATATTCACATACGCAGGAATCCATGAAGAAAGTGTGTTGTCAAGTCTGCCATCAGCTGCTGTAGTTAGAGGACCAGCACTGCTTGATGAAGTAAGTTGGCTATTTGGTATCATTGATGGTTTGTCTACATTCATTGGCACATTGCAGATTTGATCTGATGAAAAAAACATTAAATATTTTCATTTAAATATAAAATTCCTCAAATCCCATATTTTTATAGTCACTCCACATATAGTTTGTTAAATGTGAAAAAAATAACATTTAAAATAATTGAAAGTGTTGTTGTTACTGTGAATACCTACTAAAGAAAAAGGAGTGACAGAGGTAGGGTATACCTGGTGGAGGTAGGAAAGGTGTAGGTGGTGGTACAGTGACACCTGGCTGTCCAGCACTGGGGGCTAGGGTGGTAAAGCCAGGTGCTGCTGTTGATGTTCCAGGTGTCAGCGTGGGGAGTGGCGTAGGTGATGGCACTGGTGAGTAGCATCCAAGCAAATTAAATCTTAGAGCTACAGAGTTGTGGGACTCCACTGGTCGAATCTGGACATACTGAGCTACAACAGGGGGGAATAAGTTGGTCACTGGGGTGTACTGGTCAGTGTTGCCGTTGAAGACCACTGGACTGTCTGTGTTGTCTACAACAGGCTGGTAGGTAACACCATCAGTGCTGTAGTACACAGTGTACTTGGTGACCCAAGATGGCTGGTCAGCACTGCCTTGTGTGGTCACTCCAGAAATTTCATAAGGTCCCAGGAAATTGACTTGAATGTATGGAGTTTGATCAGTTGTACTGTAAAAAAAAAAAAAATTCTCAACTAAAAACAGAAAAAAGCATAAAATAAAATTATTGTATGAATTACAAATTTCCTTTCAAAGTGTTTTAGCAGCAATAGTTAGCCTGTCATTACACAATGACAGGATTGTTCCTGGCAACTTTATCTTGAGCAAGTCTGAGCCCATCTTTCTTGTCTCATCCTCCAGGTTTTTCAGGGTCTGACCCTTTTCTTTTGCCTGTCTTAATTTCCTGGGCATCCCTTTCAGTTTTCTCCAAAGGACATGCTTTCAACACATCAAAAAAGTAATAGATTTAGATTCTTTTAATCTTTGACTAAAACCTACCTTGGGGACCAGCCACCAGCATAGGATCCATCCTTGTCCGTCTCCAGCCTGCCTCTAGTAGGGCCATGGTAAATATCCAAGGAGCTGGATGCCGTTAGCTGGGCATCTCCGATGATTAAGGGATTGTTAATTCCCATAGGAATGTCACAGGCTGGAAAAATATTAAAGTTTTTTTTAAAGGATAATTCTAGTGAAACATGTATTAGTGAAACTTACAATCAGCAGTTGGAATTAATTTAAAAAGCACCTATGTTAATTCAAACGCTTAATTTTAAAAGGAAATAAGGGCTAAATACTGCTAAAATTACTGATCAGAAAAATAATTTGGTAAAAAAAAAAAGGTAAATTTTTACATTTGATCATAATACGTGTTTTAAAAAAAATGTATTTAAGCACAAGTGATTCAAAGCTGTTAAAAGTTACTTTTATTTCAAAAGCTAAACAAATATTAACTTACTAATTGTTGGGGGGACTGTTGGAATAAGTGTTGGTCCAGTTCCTGGTGTAGGGGTGGGACCAGTGACCAGTGGTGGTGGTGAAACTGTTGTTTCTGGTGGCATATTGGGTTGGCAGCCAACCACATCAAACCTGAGACCTGCGCCATTAGGAGCGGACTGTACAGGCACAATCTTCACATACTGGGCTATGATGTCTCTGTTGAAAAGGTTCCTTAAGGGAGTTGTTGCGTCTGTGTTACCACTGAAGAGATAGGGTGTCTGTCCGCCAGGCAACTCTGTGTAAGGAATAAAATCTTTTCCATTCAAGCTGTAGTAGACGTTAAACTTTTCCACCCAACGAGATGAATCTGGGCTGCCTTGTGTCACAACTCCAGAGATGAGTTTTGGTTCTTGGAAGTTGACCATTATCCACTGATCATAATCATAGCTGGGATAAAAATAGTTTCAATATGACAGAAATTGTTAAAGAAAAATATCAACATTTTAGAAAAAAAGTTAACAGGCCAAAACTACATTGTTATAAATAAAAAATACCTAGGTATCCATGAGCCCCCAGAAGTGCTGGACACAGTGTTGTAAAGTCTACCACTGCTGGCAGAGTGTAGACCATCCATGTTTGATGATGATGTAAGTTGTGCATCTGTTACCAAGTAATGACTGCTCACTCCCATAGGGATCAGGCACACTGGTGACAAAATATTGGGAGAAATTGTTACAGCAGGATTTCACTTGGTCAAGGGCAGTTTAATAGAGACATTGTAAAATCATAAATATTTTTTAATACACAGTCAATATAAATTATGAATAAAAAAATAAAAAATAAAAATAAACATTATTGTTTTATATATAATACAAATAGGTATAGCATTAAAAATCCAAATATGTATGCAATATGTTATAGACAGTTAAGTAGAATTATGAAAAAATATAAAATTAAGCCAAATTTTCTAGCACTTACTAGGCACAATGTTTTGGAATAATGTATGTAAGAAGTTATTTTCAAATATCACAAGCAGATTAAAATTGTAAATCATTAAACAATCAGAATAAAAATTGTAAACTATTATTGTTAATAGAGCTATAAATATATCTTCATAGTTAAGATATAAGAAAATAAACCTGAAAAATAAACCAGATACAATTGGCTAATAGTTTGTTAACATTGTATACAAACCTTGTAGTTATATGTGGGGAAGAGAAAGTGGAGAGTTCTATGATTTGTTTGTAAGCATAAGATTAGACAATAGAGTGCTTTCCCTTTATTTATTTATCAACACCCTTAAAATTATTGTTTTCCAATACAAACCTTTAGGTGGTGGGATCTCTGTGGGCCCATGAGTGGGAGGAGAGAGTGTGGGCGGTGCAGTCTGTCCAGGGTACAGAGTTGGTGCTAGTGTGCTGGTTGTTGCACTGGGTGGGTACAGTGGTGGCCGAACAGTTATTTCAGTTTGTTCTTTTGATGGATTGCAACCCAAGATATCAAATCTGGAATTTAAAAAATTGTTTAATTGATAAAAACAAAACAATGTTATTAAATCCTCTTGAGTTATTTAAGAAATCATTTAATCAAAATAGGTTATAAAATAGTCAACTGTGGGTTCGGTTAACAACTTCAACTTTTAAAAAAATTATAAAAGTAATGTGCTTATTTACCTTAAAGCAACACCCATATGACTGCTAATAGGCACAATTCTAATGTATTGGGCGATGACATTTGTCACAAAGTAATTAGTCACAGGTGTATTTTTGTCAACGTTGGCTTTAAAAAGTGTTGTCACTCCATCTTGTTTCTGAGAGTAAGGAGTGAAGTTGATGCCATCAACACTGGTGTATACTTCATACTCTGTGACCCATTTCTCTTCACGTCCTTCACCTTGTGTGACTACACCAGACAGATACTTAGGTTCCTCAAAGTTGACTTGAATATATGGTGCATCATCATTAACCCTATTCAGAGAATCAAAAACAAAAGGGAGACAAATTAACTTTTAAATAAAAAGTTAAAATATTAGAATTTGTTTTTTTTACAACCTAGAAGCCTAATTTTACCCTGGTATCCATGATCCTTGGTATTCATTTTCTGAAAGTCTGGCAAGTTCCGGGCCAAATGTATTTTTGAAAGAAGAGGCCTTCAGTTGCTCATCTCTAACAATTCTCAGATTCTGTAATCCCATAGGTAAGCTACACACTGAAAACATGAGTGTTTGTGTAATTACCAAATCTTCATATATTTTGTTTTACACGATCACAATTTTTTACCATTCATTAAAGAGCTATGGCTTTCTTTTTTTTTTACTGGAATCTATTTTCCTACCTGGCACTCCCAGAGATACTACTGTTGGTGGAGAAACTGTAGGTACTGCAACTGTTGGAGCAGACGTTGAAATTCCTGCAGGTACTGTTGGCTCCTCATAGTAAAATGGTACGGGAGGTCGAGGAGTGGGTACGAAAGCAGAGAAGCAGCCAATGTAGTTGAGCCTCAATCCCGGGCCATTTGGTGCCCATGTCACTGGCTCCACTCTCACATATCTTGCTACAACCATCTGAAGTTTTTTAATTACAAGAACATGTCAATTAATAACACTAAAATAGATTTTTTGAAATAACACAATAATATACATTTTTGAAATCTAAATAATACCTGCAAATACCTGTTTTTTACTCATATCAGTATATAGAAGAAAATATTATAATACTAATGTAGCTATAAATAGTTTGACTTTTCAATATTAATGTAATTTTTGTTTTAAATGTTAAAAATATAAATAGTTTTACTATTCAGTATTAAAGTGATTTAAAAAAAAATTATGTTACAAAAAATGCAGTTCAACTTACATGGGGGAAGTAGTTTCGGATAATGGAATATCTATCAGTGTTTCCAGCAAAGACAACAACTTTCCCATCATCTCCACGTATGGGGTAGAAGTTGACACCATCAGTGCTGGTGCTGACAGTGAAGGATGAGACCCACTTCTCAAGATCTGGACTGCCTTGGGTCAGTATGCCGGACAGATTTTGAGGTGCCAGGAAATCTACCTGGTGCCACTGTTGTTTATCTGCAACACTGGAGGGTAAATATTAAGAAAAGTTACAGAAAGTGAAAAAAAGCTATTCATAGTTCAATACATTATAAAAACAATAAGTTATAAAGAAATATAGGATTTTTAAAAATTTAGACTTTATTTATTGATATTGTTTTGTAATAATAAGTCCTTGTTTTTAAATTTTGAAGTAATTTAAGCAAAATGTAGTATCTTTTATACAACAAAAGCAAGTAAATAAAAATAATCAACCCTTAAGCTCAAGAGACGATGTAGCTGAATATGACTATGAGAAAAATGACATACGCTGGTATCCATGATGAGAGTTTGTTATCTATTCTGCCCTCTCCAGCTGTCGTTTGAGAATTAAAACTGCTGGATGATGAGAACTGGCTACTTGGCATAATAGATGGTCGATCAACATTCATTGGAATATTACAGAGATTGTCTGAAAAATAAAAAAATTAAATGAAAAAAAATGTAAAACTGAATTTAAATAATTGTTACCTTTTCTCTTTCCACAAAATGCAGCATGTTTGAATGATTCACGTTATGAATGTTTCTTATTTGCAGCTAATTAAATCTTGTAATAGGACTACATCAAGTTTTTTAGTTTTTAAAACAGTTAAATACTCTTTTATTAAATTTTTTAAACAAAATAAACTAAATTTATTTTTTAAAACTTGTTAAAAATTTAAAATTTTTTACTACCTGGTGGAGGTACGAATGGTGTGGGAGGTGACAATGTGACACCTGGATGTCCAGCACTTGGGGTTAAAGTTGTAAACCCAGGCAGAGTTGGCGAGGCTGTAGGAGTAGTAAGCAGTGCCAAGGGAACTGGGGCATTACAGCCATACAGGTTGAATCTCAAGGCTACTGAATCATGGGACTCCACTGGCCGAATCTGGACATACTGAGCCACAACAGGGGGGAAGAAATTGGTCACTGGGGTGTACTGGTCAGTGTTGCCGTTGAAAATTTTAGGGGCATCTGTTTCATCCAGGACAGGCTGGAAGGTGACACCATCAGTGCTGTAGTACACAGTGTACTTGGTGACCCAAGATGGCTGGTCAGCACTGCCTTGTGTGGTCACTCCAGCAATTTCATAAGGTCCCAGGAAATTGACTTGAATGTATGGAGTTTGATCAGTTGTACTGTAAAAAAAAATGCACAACTTTCTTAAATAATAATGAGGTACTATTTTTCAAATTTTAAATTATTAAAAGGAAACATAAAATTATTTTTATGAGCTAGACAAGTTTCTGTGCTGTCACAACTCAGATGCTATTAATTTTTGTTGAAATTGTATCTATTTTTAGACAAACTGGACCAACTTAAAATAGGGTATTTTTAAAACAGATTTTTAAAAAATCATATCCTAGACCACATGATTTTTTTTCAAAAACAAATTTTTTAAAAAGAAGAGAATAATTTATCATATCTGTATACTTTGTTCCATTTATTTGTTGTTACAAGATGCTATAAAGCAACATTACCTAGGTGACCAGCCACCAGCGTAGGATCCATCTTTATTCATTTCCAGCCTTCCTCTAGATGGGCCATGGTAAACATCCAAAGAACTTGAGGCTGTTAACTGGTTGTCTCCAATTATCAAAGGATTGGTGATTCCCATGGGTAAATCGCAAACTTAAAGAAAGAGGAGTGAAAAATCATTTTCTTAATATTGGAAGAAAATTAAGGAAATTTAGAAGAATTTGTTTTATGGTTAAAATTTTTAAGAATTCCATTTTTTATATAAAATATTTTAATGAAATATGTTTTATTTTTACTAAGTAAAAACACATTTTTAAAGATTTTAGTTATTATTGATACAAATTAAGTTTCACATTCCTTACATTCTATCTTCTTCGTTGGTTGTCTAGAAAAAATTAGCTTATTAAAATGTTTTAGGAAACACATGAGTAAGAAGGAAGGTAACTAAAAACATACCCAGTGTAGGTGCAAGTGTGGGTTTTATTGTAGGGCCAGTGCCTAGTGATGGAGTTGGGCCAGTGACCAGTGGTGGTGGTGATGGTGTTGGCACAGAAGTTGGTGTATCATCAGGTTTACATCCCATGACGTCAAACCTGAGGCCTACACCTGCAGGTGAAGCCTGGACTGGAACAATCTTCACATACTGGGCTATGATGTCACGGTTGAATAAATTCCTCACAGGTGTTGTACTGTCTGTGTTACCATTGAACAGGTAAGGTGTCTGGTCACCAGGGAACTCTGTGTAAGGGGTGAAGTCCACACCATTTGTGCTGACATAGACATTAAACTTTTCCACCCAATGAGATGAATCAGGGCTGCCTTGTGTCACCACTCCTGAGATGAGTTTTGGTTCTTGGAACTTTACCATGATCCACTCATTAGTGTTGGTACTAAACAAGACAAACCCTTTATTAATAAATCCATTCGTTTTTTCCTCTAACAGAAACTGTTTTCAACTCAATAATTGTTCGAAAACTTTAATTTTTTTAAACATTATAAGCAAGTAAGTAACATAGATTGTCAATCTTTTTAAACAATTTACTGAAAGTAATATTCAAAGCTAATGAGTACTTTTATTAATATTTACATTACATAAGCTTTTTTTTACCTCTAAAATAAGAAAAATTATAATTTAATAAAGGAAATAACAATTATCTTAATGAATATCTTTTGTTTCTGTATAAACCAAATAAAGTCTTTGGTTATGAAATGGACTTATAAAATGTACCTTGGGATCCATGAACCACCAGAAGTACTAGACTGGACATTGTATAACCTGCCATCTTGTGCGGTGTGGCTGCTATCAACACTAGAGGACGCTGTCAGCTGATCATCTGTCACCACATAATGATTGCTCAGGCCCATAGGGATCAAACAAACTGGAAGAGAGAACATTCATACAATTTGTAGATTTGTATTTTTTTCTACTATCTGTTAATCTGGGACACCTATTGCTTTTTTTTTTTTTTTTTCAGAAAGCTATACAAAATATCATTGTATAGATTTTGAATCTAAGCCAAAAAGCAATATTTAGATTTCAAATATTAACAATCGAAATGTATAATCTTAAAAAAATTGGAAATGTATAATCTTAAAACACAGTCAGCATAAAATATGTATAATGCAATATCAAGCAACAAACAATGTGTAATACTGCAAAAAAAAAGCACCAGTTAATGTTGAATCACAAAAGAAAATATCATTATAGTCAGAAAAATTGTCAATATGGTAATCAACTATTTTGTGAATACCTTGAGGTGGAGGAATCTCAGTATGACCAGGTGTGGGTGGTGAGAGTGTTGGACCAGCGGTTTGACCAGGGGCTAAGGTTGGGGCTTGAGTGCTAGTCTTCTGTGTGGTTGGAACAGTTGGGAAAAGTGTCACACGTGTTGTGAGTACAGGATTCTCCTGAGATGGGTTGCAGCCCAAAATATCCAACCTGGCACATCAAAATCACAGGGAGGTTATACACACAGCAAAATAAAAAGTTAAAACAATAAATTTGGAGCATTCAAATTAAAAAAAAACAAAACATATAACAACAAAAAAATGTTTAACAGTATTAAAAATTTAATAAAACCTAGCAATATAGATATTTTAAATATCAAATTGAATGAGTAATTAAAAAAAAGTTCAATGATAAAAAATGTATAAAAACGCACAAAAAAATTATTTTAAAAGTAGAAAAATAAAAAATAAATGTAAAAAAAAGAAAGTTTAAACAAACACACATTTTTGAGATAATTTGAGTAACTGTATAATAAGGCCAACATTAACAAAATATAAAAAATGTTTGTAAAAGATAATAAAAAACATTTCATCTAAAGATTCTAAACATTTTACCTCAACGCATATCCCTGGTGATTACTAACTGGAACTATTCTGATATATTTTGCAATGATGTTTTGCACAAACAAATTAGTTACAGGAGTGTTGGTATCAGTATTAGCTGTAAAAACTTTTGGTATGCCATCCTGTTTATCTGAGTAGGGGTAAAAACTCTGGCCATCAGAACTCAAGTAGACCTCATACTCAGTGACCCATTTCTCCTCCCGGCCTTCACCTTGTGTCACAACACCTGACAGGTACTTCAGCTCATTAAAGTTTACTTCTATATAAGGTTTCTGGTCATTGGTGCTAAAAACATTGTAAGTTAACTGTGTCAGTTTTGCTTTCATACTATAGCTTTTTCAGTATAATTTTAAGTTAAATTAATTCAGAATTACAGAAAAAGTGTTTTTAGATTTAATTTAAACAATAAAATTTGATAAATAAATAAATGTATGCAAATTCAAAATTTTAAAGAATTTTAATCCTATATTATGTCCTTAAGAATTTGTTAACCAAAAATAAATAATTTTTGTTTACAATTTTTAGATTAGGCCCTAATGGCTTTGTTAATTTAAAAAAAAATTATGAAATTGAGTATTAGAGAAATAAACTAATTAACAGTTCTATTTGCATCTAAACCTATTATGTAAAATTACAATCTAAATAATGAATGGATTTGACATACTCAGGCATCCAGGAACCCTGGTATCCATTCTCTGAAAGTCTGCCCAGCTCAGGACCATGAGAGGAACTGCTGGATGAGGCCTTCAGCTGGTGATCTTCTACAATTCTTTCATTCTGTAGGCCCATGTAGGTTTTACACACTGAAAAAAGTGTAGACCAATGTAAGTTTTACACAGCAAAAAAACAGGTCAAACATAGCAAAAAGACTTGTTTATAAGCTGTTAGGAACATGTAAATATGGTATTTGGAATATTTTTCTAAAGTGTTTCCCAACATAATTAACTGATAACAAAAAGTAAATGTGTGAGAACAGATATTTACCAGGCTGTAGAGTCACAATAACTGCAGCTGTAGGTGGGGAGAGAGTTGGTGCTGTGTAGGCTGGTGTGGACGCTCCTGTCACCAGTGGGGGTGTGTCAATGTAGAAAGGTACAGGGGGTCGAGGTGTTGGCACCAGTGCAGAGAAGCAGCCAATGTAGTTGAGTCTCAAGGCTGGGCCATTGGGTGACCAGGTCACTGGTTCCAGGCGGACAAATCGAGTCACAACCATCTGATTTTAGAAGTTAAAGTTTCACATTATGCATAAACCTCGTTAACAAAAACATATTATGTAAAAAAAATTTTTTAAATTGTTTAAAATAAAAACACAAAGCTTTAGTTATCATTATTTTCATGCGGAAAGTAAGTTTTTGCAACATATTTGATTGTAACTCACACAAGAAAAATAAAATTTAGAACATAGAAATTCTTTTATTATAACGTACAAGAGAGAAGTAATATTTGATTATACTTTGTTTATTATAACTTACATTTAGAAATTAAATTCACAAGATAGTTTACTAATTATAACTTACACATGGGACGTAATTTCTGGCTACATGTTTGATTATAACTTACACTAGGGAAATAAATTCTATATATACATTTTAAAAAATTATAACTTGGAAGATAGGGTTTACTAATAATAACTTACATGTAGGAAGTAATTTTTGAGTAAAGTTTGTTTTTTACACCTTACATGTGAAAATTAATTTCACAAGAAAGAGTTGACCTATTATAACTTACATGTGGGAAGTAATTTCTGACTGTAGAATCTTTATCCGTATTGCCATGGTATATGACAACATTTCCATCATCTCCACGGATAGGATAGAATGTGAGCCCATCCATGCTGGTACTGATGGTATATGCTGACACCCATTTCTCCAGCTCAGGACTGCCTTGTGTGAGAACGCCAGAGAGATTCTGTGGTGACCTGAAGTCCACTTGATGCCATGGGTGAATGTCAGTCACTCTAAAGTTGTAAAAATAAAGGTAAAATAAATGTAAAATACTTATACTTAAAAAAACAACTTAATCTTAAATTTGTGAAATATTCTAATATGTTAACTTGATGTCATGGGACAATATCAGTGACATGAATGTTGTAAAGATTTTTTGTTAGTTGATGAACAATCATAAAGAAAAATTTGTAGCTAATATATTTTCTGAATGAATATACAAGGACCATGTCCACCACTTCTAATGGGTACGTAACACATATTATGGAACGTGAAGAGTGCTGATACCGACCCCATTATCCCTTCACATGCTGAGGTCATGCAAACATGTGAACTGTACTTTATTTGCCCCCATTGACCATGAGGTTCAAAAGGGAACTTCACTTTTTATAAACATGGACCCTATATTCGCTGGTGACAAAACTGCACACGACAGTTGTTGTATGTTTATAAAACAGGTCATGGTTTTGTTTAAGGACTTACGCAGGAATCCATGAAGAGAGTGTGTTGTCAAGTCTGCCATCAGCTGCTGTAGTTAGAGAACCTGCACTGCTTGATGAAGTAAGTTGGCTGTTTGGTATCATTGATGGTTTGTCTACATTCATTGGCACATTGCAGATTTGATCTGGTGAAAAAATATTTGTATATTTAAATTTAATGTGGCTCATGAAAATATTTTCTTTACTTCCTTTATTAATACATGAGGACTACATAATTCAAGACTATTGTTATACAAAGTTTTATAGGCCTTTCTGCTTTAGATTAAATAAACGAAAGCAAAAAAAAAAAGAATTTTTTTAACCTACCGATATGGGGCAAATTATGTAAATCATACAAGTAAAAAATAGCAATACTACAAACTTACTTTCTCGATGGACACATTGTTTATCATAAAGTAAAATATAACAATCCTATAAACTTACTTATAAGTGGCACAAATGGTGGTGAGGGTGTGGTTACAGGCATTGGTGTAGGGGGCACATAGGTAGGTGACGGGGTCTTGCATCCAAACAGGTTGAACCTCAAAGCCACAGAGTTGTGCTGCTCTACTGGACGGACCTGGATGTACCTGGCCACAACAGGTGAGAAGAAGTGCTTGACAGGTGTGTGCTGGTCAGTGTTGCCATTGAAGACCATTGGGTTGTCTGTCTTATCAAGGACAGGCTGGAAGGTTACGCCATCTGTGCTGTAGTACACAGTGTACTTGGTGACCCAAGATGACTGGTCAGCACTGCCTTGTGTGACCACCCCAGTTATCTCATAAGGTGCCAGGAAGTCAACTTGAAGGTAAGGATTCCTGTCTGATGAGCTGTGGACACAAGAGGGTTAAAATATTTAGTACTGTAATGTTTCATATAATGAATTAAATTTTTTGAAATATTTAGCTAAAATATTCAGTACAGTAATATTTCATAGGATGAATTGAACTATTTTAAATATTTTGTTAAAATGTAAGGTAATTTATATTTTTATAAAATGAAATTAATGAACAAATCAGTTTAAGGGTTCGTATGAAATGTATAAAATGACGGCAGGACACAACAGCACAGTAAATGTAAAAGTTTTTTTGATGGCCAAAATCTCAATTTGGTGAAAGATAATGACAAACTAGATACTTGCTTAGATAATATAAACATATAAGTATAGAAAAAATATTGAAACACCGAATAAAGTTAACAATTTTCTACTTTAAAAATTTAGCAACAAACAAAATCAATGAAGTAAAACTTACCTTGGTGACCATCCACCTGCATATGAGCCATCTTTGTTGATTTCAAGTCTGCCTCTAAATGGACCATGGTAGATGTCCAGTGAACTTGATGCGGTCAGCTGCTTATCTCCAACAACCAAAGTATTGGAAATTCCCATTGGAAGATCACAAGCTGAAACAGAGAGTTTAATTATAGTGAGTTCTTTTGAAATGGAGGTAAAGTTTTATATCAATAAAAGGATTTTGATATGTACTTACTTATAGCTGGAGGCAGTGTTGGACCAGTTCCTGGTGATGGAGTTGGGCCAGTGACCAGTGGTGGTGGTGAGGGTGTCTGCATTACAGTGGGCGGCTCATCTGGTTTACATCCCATAACATCAAACCTGAGTCCTACACCTGCAGGTGATGCCTGGACTGGAACAATCTTCACATACTGGGCTATGATGTCACGGTTGAATAAATTCCTCACAGGTGTTGTACTGTCTGTGTTACCAGTGAACAGGTAAGGTGTCTGGTCACCAGGGTTCTCAGTGTAAGGCGTGAAGTCCACACCATTCAGACTGTAGTAGACATTAAACTTTTCCACCCAACGAGATGAATCTGGGCTGCCTTGTGTCACCACTCCAGAGATGAGTTTTGGTTCTTGGAATTTTACAGAAATCCATTGTTGCTCACCAGGACTACAGGAAATTAATTAGATATACAAATTAAATTTTTTAATATATACATTATATATATATATATATATATATATATATATATATATATATATATATATATATATATACATGTAAATGTATTCAAATACCTAGAGAGAAAGAGAAAGAAATAGAGATTGTATCTGGTGTACTTTTTTAACAATACATTCTTTGAAAAAGTGTAAACTTTGAATGTTCTGATACAACTTTAACCCAATATTACCCAGGAATCCAGGATCCATTGGAGTTAAAGAGTCTGCCATCAGCTGCTGTGTGTGTGCTGTCTAGGTTTGATGAAGATGTCAGCTGATCATCTTTCACTATGTAATGGCTGCTTAGACCCATTGGTATCAGGCACACTGTAAAATGTATTTAATATATAATTTATACATTCATTTTGTAAAATAATTTTTGTAAAATATTATGTAAAATATAATGTAACTATAATGTGCAATATTTACCTATAGATATGTAATTTATAAATAAAATGTGAATTAAAAACATTTACACAACATTACTGCGCATTTTTATCAAAACACATTAAATATTAGTAATATAGAAAGTGCATATCTGTTACCCAATGGTGGAGGAATTTCTGTCACTCCTGGTGTTGGCGGGGAGAGAGTTGGTGGAGTTGTCTGCCCAAATGGTAGAGTTGGAGCTAGAGTTGTTGTTGTAGGGGGATGAGGATACAAAGGAGGGCGAACTGTGATGTCAGTCTGTTCTTTACTTGGGTTGCAGCCCATGACATCAAATCTATTTAAAATACATGCATGGGGTCCATGATTGTACTTTTTAAAAAAGAACAACTAGAAATTTTTTTAAAAATTGAATTTTAAAATTTATTTAGTTAATGAGGAAAAACAAGATATAAAAACATTTAAATTCATTAAATTCAAACAGAAGGGAAATTTTCTCTATCAAAAATGTATTAATATAATTGATGTAACATGTACCTCATTGCGTAACCCATATGGCTACTGACAGGAACAATGCGGATGTACTGGGCGATAATGTTCTCAACAAAGTAGTTTGTTACTGGAGAGTTCCCGTCAAAATTTGCTTTGAAAAGTTTTGCTGTGCCATCTTGCTTGTCAGAGTAAGGGATGAAGTCAACACCATTGATGCTGTAATACACTTCATATTCTGTGACCCATTTCTCTTCACGGCCTTCACCTTGAGTTACAACACCAGATAAAAATTTGGGCTCTCTGAAATCCACTTGGATGTATGGTGAGTCATCACTTGTTCTATAAATTATAAGAAAAAATAGGCATAAAATAGTGGTATAGCCATAAATATTTGTGTACACATTACATAATAAATACAGCAGGATTGTAATATTTTAATTACAGTGGTATCCAAGAGCCTTGGTATTCATTTTCTGAAAGCCTGGCCAGTTCTGGTCCATGTGCCAGTTTGTGTGATGAAGCAGTTATTTGAGTGTCTTGCACAATCCTCAGGTTCTGTAAGCCCATCTCTTTTGTACACACTGAAATAAATTAATCAAAGGTAATATGTTGTATGAACATGATACCTCTACACTTAAGGCCCAAATTGTGTATTCTTCTAAAAACAATATCAACATTCTTAATCATTTAACGCCATATAGATGATACAATTATTGTATAAATACTTCTATTTATGGTATGGTTCATAAATAAAAAGTAAAATGGAGTAATTGTGTGCTTTCATATTTTTTATGCTTAGTGAATAGAACTTAAAACTAAAATAGCTCTTTATAATGAAACAATTGTAGATGTCTATCTTGATAATGATCAACAGAGTATAAAAATATTTGAAATAAATGTTCAGTGCATACCTGGCACATCAATAGTTAGTGGAACAGGGGGTGTAACATATGGACTGAAAGTTGTTGGAGCCACAGTTGTTGCCCCTATGGGTATGGGAGGCTGCTGTATTTCAAATGGTACCAGAGGCTGGGGTGTTTGGTATGATGAAGGGAAGCAACCAATGTAGTTCAGTCTAAGACCAGCTCCATTTGGTGACCATGTCAGGGGCTCTACACGAATGTACTGGGCTAGAACAGCCTAAAATAAACAGAATGTGTGACTGGTTCTTTAAACAGAACAATTTTATTTCATTTTGAACTGTGCTAAACTTAAAAAAAAAAACAACAGAAGATGTAGTTCATCTGTTATAAGAAATGTATTTTGTTTTGTAATGAGGTATAGAAATCTTAAATTATTTTTTAACCTCGAGGGATTTAAAAAAATGAAAACTAAGAATTTCCTGTAAAATATCAAGTGTTCTCTTACATGTGGGAAATAGTTTCTGATGATGGAGTCTTTGTCAGTATTTCCTGAGAAAATCACAACTTTCCCATCATCTCCGCGCAATGGATAAAATGTATAGCCATCAAGGCTGGTGCTAACAGTGAAAGATGAGACCCACTTCTCAGCATCTGGGCTGCCTTGTGTGAGAACCCCTGAAAGTTTCTGGGGTGACAGGAAGTTGACTTGGTGCCATGGGTGTGGCTCAGAAGGTCTAAAAAAAGTTAGATAAAAATTTTAGTTAGATTGTTTCGTGATTACTTTTTTACAATATTTTAAATAACATTACCAAATTAATTAAATATATTATAACAACATAATTTTCTTAACAGTAAAAAATGTAACAAAAAAGCTTTAAAAGCTAAATGAATGTAGATATTGTACTTAAAAGTTTACACAAATATATGAATGTAGATAATGTACTTAAAAGTTTACACAAATATATGAATGTAGACATTGTACTTAAAAGTTCACACAAATCTATGATATTCATAAAAGTTATGAACATACTTGAAAAGTTAAAAATAAATTTAAATTTTTTAAAATTATTTCTATATTTAAAAACTTAGACTACCAGAGTAAAACAATTGTTAACATACTCAGGCATCCACGATTGTTTGTTGTTCAATCTTCCATCTCCAGCTGTGCTTTGTGGACTTGCATTGCTTGATGAAGAAAGCTGACCATTGGGTATCAGATTAGGCTGGTCAACATTCATTGGGACATTGCATATTGTATCTGTTGGCCAGAAATAAAAAGCATAAAAATCAAAGAAGCCAAAAAAAAAAAACAGCCAATTATTATACTTGTAGTACATGCAAGCTTACATTGATTAGAATGGTGTTTGATAAAAATAGTGTTTTCTATTCTTTTAACATTATGAAACCACCATGCTTGACTATTATTACTATTTTAACTTTATCCATTAAGTAAAAATAGATCCTTTAAAAAAACTACCAAAAATTGTGCTTTTAATATTTCAAATGATATAACCATTGTAATATGACTATTATTATTGTTTTAAATCATATCTAACAAATTAGAAGAAGTTCTAAAATACCTGGTGGAGGCATGAAAGGTGTGGGAGGTGAGACAGTACTTTCATGGCTTCCTGCGCTGGGCGCTGGTGTAGTTAACAAGCCAATGGTTGGTGCTACAGTTGGAGGGAGCAAGATGGAGGGGATCCCAGGAATGGGGGTGGGAGTCCTACAGCCCTGGAGGTTAAACCTCAAGGCCACTGAGTTGTGGGACTCCACTGGTCGGATCTGCACATACTGAGCTACAACTGTGGGGAACCGGTTAGTGACCGGTGTGAACTGGTCAGTGTTGCCGTTGAAAATTATTGGATTATCCGTGGCGTCGACTACAGGCTGGAAGGTTACGCCATCTGTGCTGTAGTACACAGTGTACTTGGTGACCCAAGATGGCTGGTCAGCACTGCCTTGTGTGGTCACTCCAGAGATTTCGTAAGGCGCCAGGAAGTCCACTTGAATGTAAGGAGCTTTGTCAGACACACTAAAAGAGAAAAAAAATAAGCCTTTAAAATAAATTGTAACCATTAAATGTTTTAGAATGAATACTACTGATAACCAAAGCAATTCCTTCAATATTTTTCTGCTAAAACATTTGGTTACCTTGGTGACCAGCCACCAGCCTGAGATCCATCTGTTTCTATATATAGCCTGCCTCTTGATGGTCCGTGGTAAATATCCAGTGAGCTTGAGGCGGTCAGTTGTTTATCATTAATGATAAGAGGATTTGAGATACCCATAGGGAGGTCACAGGCTGGTTGGAAACAAGTAAACATTAGATGAAAAAAGTTTTCAGAGATGCTGAATGTTGTTAACTTTACTACACAATTATTTTGTAAATAGTATTTTTTTAAAAATAGTTTTTAAAATATCACAAAAAGCAAAATGTATGATATTGTAATAAAGAGTTTGTAAACTTTTGGAATGTATGTTAACGGCCAGGTTAATGAATAATTTTTTTAATGATAATTATTGAAGGTGTGATAAAACTTTTAATAAATTTGAAGAATTGTTAGAGGGACAAAGTTTCAGTAAAAATAAACCCTGTGCTTTATTTAGAAATATATAGCTTTACATTGTAGTACTGTGAAAATTTAGTACATTAAACAAAGTCACAGTATTGAAAGACTAATAGTAGGGGAGATAAGCAGCATTAAAAAATAACTCACTCAGTATTATTGGTGGATGTAAAGTTGGACCAGTGGAGGGAGACATGGTTGATCCAGGGACCAATGGAGTGGGTATCAGGTACACAGTCTGGACAGTCTCTGGCTGGCAACCCAGAGCATCAAATCTGAGACCAACGCCACCGGGGGCAGCTTGAACTGGGACAATCTTCAAGTACTGAGCTATGATGTTGCGGTTGAGAAGGTTTCTGATTGGAGTTGTGCTGTCCGTATTGGCACTGAATGTGTATGGTGTTGAATCTCCTGGGTACTCTGAGTAAGGGATAAAATCTCTCCCATTGGTGCTGTAGTAGATGTTAAACTTTTCTACCCAGCGTGGGGAGTCTGGACTACCTTGAGTGATCACCCCTGATATGAGTTTTGGTTCTTGGAATTTTACCATAATCCATTGTTGAGAATCAGTTCTATATTAAAAATAATTAAAATATTAATCATATTCAATTTAATTTCTAAATGCTTAAATTACTAAATTTGATGGCAGTTTTTCAAAAACAAAATCAAAAGTTTAATCTTAATTGTTTTTACATTTTAAAACTAAAATATTAATTTTCCATTTCTATTTTTGATTTCTGTTGGTGATATCTTTTTACTTTTCCTCTTTATTTAAGAACAGATAATTTTGATGCCACATAATTGTTAAAAATAAAAATATTTCATCTATTTAAATTGCCAAAACAACATACTGTATAATCCATAACTCATGTAAGTGTTAAAAAGCAATATTTTATCTAATTAATTGCCAATGAACTTACTGTGGAATCCAGGACCCCCCAGAGGTGCTAGAGATGCTGTTGTAGAGCCTGCCGTCTGCTGCTGTGTGGTTGCTATCCAAGTTTGAGGATGAGGTGAGTTGGTTGTTTGACACCTGATAGTGGTTGCTCACACCCATGGGGATAACACACACTGTGGGGCAGTTACAAAACAGGTTATAAAGGGAAATGCTTTGGGAACAAACTGTATCTTAAACAGGAACTGTTACAGCACACTTTGAAGTATTTGATGGCAAATATTTATAATTAATTAAATGAAATATTACAATAATAGATGGATGGTTTTTTTCTTCCTTGTTCTTAATAATGATGTTGGAACAGATTTCCTGAAATATTATGAGTACCAATTTCAACCTGTTTTCTTTCTGGATTTGCCTCCTACCAAGAACAAACTACAAGATGGATAGTTTTGATCACTGACCTTTGGGTGGAGGGATTTCAGTTTGCCCTGGTGTGGGTGGTGAGAGGGTAGGGGGTGCTGTTTGACCTGAGGGGGTGGAAGGTGCTTTGGTGCTGGTAGTGGTTACAGGAGGGAAAAGGGGAACACGGGTGGAACCTTCAAGCTTCTCTTCTGTTGGGTTACAGCCCAGTACATCAAACCTGGCAAGTTTAAGTTATTTTTTTAAACATATTACATTTTAATTGCAAATTATTCCTTTAAGATGTTAAAATTTTTTCAACCAAATTAATGTATCAACATTTAAATTTTAACATTTTCTCATCTGAAAATAATGTATTAATCAAATCTAAAACTTTTCTATCAGATTTATTGAAATTAAAGAAATAACTACCTCAGTGCAAATCCTCGGTGACTACTTTTTGGTACAATCCTAATGTAACGAGCAAAAATATTTTGAACAAAATAATTCGTCACAGGGGTGTTGGTGTCAGTGTTGGCTGTGAACAGTTTGGCAACACCATCTTGTTTGTCTGAGTAGGGGATAAAGTCCACACCATCTACACTAGTGTAGACTTCATATTGTGTGACCCATTTCTCCTCACGACCTTCACCCTGTGTCACTACACCAGACAGGTACTTCAATTCTCTAAAATCAACTTGAATAAATGGAGCTTCATCTTCGGTTCTGAAATTTAACACAGAGTAAAACAAAGTTGCATTAATATTTATCCATTAATTTCCTTAAATAGTCTCATAAATAACTTAAAGATATACATTTTTGTACAATTTACAAGTGTATGTTGTTATAAATGACAGTCAATATAAAAAGTTTAACACTTACCTTATTTAATTTAAATCGAGCTGGTAATTTAAAAAAATTGTATGGTAATTTAAAGATAAATTGATTTTGTCACCAATTGATTTAGTTAAAAGAAAAATATTTACCCAGGTACCCAAGAGCCTTGATACTGGCCATTTGTTAGCCTTGCTAGTGCGGGTGAGTGCCCATCTTTGGAGCTGGATGACGTCAGCTGACTGTCTAGGACAATTCTCTCATTTTGTAGTCCCATGTTGAGTCCACAAACTACAGTACACACAAATGTTAACAAATTATAGTAGTTAGGACTTGATAGAATTAGCCAATGTAATTCTATGTGAACAAATTATAGTTGTTAGGACTTGATAGTATTAGACTGTATAGTCCAGTCTACACTACAGTATATGACATGCAAAATTTAGCGAGTTACTCGTAACGTTCTGCCTACTTCATCTAACTAGAGGAAACATTTTAAAAACCTGGTTCAATTGTTATTGTAAAATGATGTTCCTAGTTCAATTGTTATTGTAAAATGACATACCTAGTTGAATTGTTAATGTAAAATGTTGTACCTAGTTAAATTGTTATTGTAAAATGTTGTACCTAGTTCAATTGTTATTGTAAAATGTTGTACCTAGTTCAATTGTTAATGTAAAATGTTGTACCTGGTTCAAAAGTTATTGTACAATGTTGTACCTAGTTCAATTGTTATTGTTAAATGTTGTACCTAGTTGAATTGTTAATGTAAAAAGTTGTACCTGGTTCCAGTGTTGAGATTGATGTAGCTGTTCCAGTTGGTGGTGAGATAGTAGGTATGGCTGTAGTTGGAGCAAGTGTCGGTTCTCCTATTACAGGTGGTATGGAGAATGGAACTGTGGGCCGGGGAGTGGGTGCTGATGTAAAGAAGCAGCCGATGTAGTTTAGCCTCAATCCTGGGCCATTTGGTGCCCATGTGACTGGCTCCACTCTCATGTATCTGGCGACTACCATCTACAACAAAAGTAATAAACCATTGTGGCAATCCAATTATTAAAAAAACATTTTATTACTTAAAAAACAGAGATTAGGATTATAGAAAACAGCCCTTATAAAAAAAAAAAGCATTTAAAAAGTAACATACATGTGGGAAGTAGTTCAGCTTTATAGAATCTTTGTCTGTGTTTCCATTAAAAATTGTAACTTTGCCATCATCTCCACGAATGGGGTAGAAAGTGTATCCATCCATGCTCGTGCTTACAGTAAAAGAAGACACCCATTTTTCCAAATCTGGACTGCCCTGTGTCTGGATGCCTGACAAATTCTGGGGTGCCAGGAAGTCAACCTGGTGCCATTGTGACTTGTCTGCCACGCTGATAGAAGCACAAAAGTCCATTAACTCTGAACTTTACAATTTTAAAATTTTTAAAATTTTTCTGATATCAAATAAAATTATGGTCCAAATGAAAATCTAAAAAAAATTAAGCTAATTAAAATTCCAATATTCCCATCTGTGTGAGACTCAAATCACGTAGGGCTCATTGAAATTCCATTATTATAATCTTTGTGAGACTGAAGTCACTTACGCTGGTATCCAAGAAGAAAGTTTATTGTCAAGTCTTCCTTGTGCAGCTGTAGTGTAGATGCTAGCAAAACTTGATGAGGTCAGCTGAGAGTTGAGAACCATTGATGGCCTATCAACATTCATTGGAACGTTACACAGGAGATCTGAAATACATTTTTTAAAATGATAATACATGGAAGAAATTTTTTCTATACTAAGGGCTCTATTGAAGATTGTTAAAAAAATTTCTATACCATGGATTCTATGAAAAATTGTTACTTTTTTTCTATACCAAGGGCTCTATAGTAAATTGTTTAGTAAAAAAAAATTCTATATCATGGACTCTATAGAAAAAATTTAAATAAACATTTTACCTATATCGTGGGTTTTATAGAAAATCGTTAAATAAAAATAGACAGACCAAAAAGACAGAAAAAAAGTGCAGTTTGAATGATTCAAATTTTGTGCTCAACTCACCAGGTTTGACTAAAAATGGTGTAGGGGGAGCCTCTGTGCTTACATGCTGGCCAGCACTTGGTGTTGCTGTAGTGAACTGACCAATGTGTGGTGCTGCGGTAGTTGGTCTTGGTGTTGATGTTGATGGTGAGGGCACTGGTGTGTTGCACCCAAACAGGTTGAATCTCAAGGCAACAGAATTGTGTGATTCAATTGGTCGGATCTGCACAAACTGGGCAATGACTGGTGTGAAGAAGTTTGCGACTGGCGTGAACTGGTCAGAGTTGCCAGTTAGGACAGCTGGGTTGTCAGACTTGTCCAGGAGAGGTTGGTAGTTGATGCCATCAACGCTGTAGTGCACTGTGTACTTGGTGACCCAAGATGGCTGGTCAGCACTGCCTTGTGTGGTCACACCTGATATCTCGTATGGTGCCAGGAAGTCCACTTGTATGTAGGAGTTTGTATCTGATACACTGGGGGAACAACAGCATCATATTTTATAACATAATGTTTACAAAACATTACACAATATGTTGTAGCTTACAAACATTTTGTTACAAAATAAATTGCCTACAAAGTAGTGAAAACATTTATATGAATTTTTTTTTTACACTACTATATACACAAGTTATTTTTAAAAGAAAAACAAGAGCAGGTATACAGATACAACATTAATTTCCATACAAAAGTTGAACCTAGTAATAGTACCTGAACTGTTTATAATATAATCCAAATAACAATAAAAAGAGATTTTGTGTAAGCAATTGGCCATAATAAAAATGTCATTAACTATTTTCATAATAAATCATGGCATTATTTTAACTTGCATGTAATAGCGAAATAGTCTAATGACTATATTAAAACTTACCTCGGAGACCACCCTCCTGCAAATGATCCGTCCTTGTTCATCTCTAGCCTTCCTCTAGTTGGGCCATGGAAAACATCCAGAGAACTTGAAGCTGTCAGCTGTTTATCATTGATGATCAGTGGGTTGTTAATTCCCATTGGAAGGTCACACACTGATGAGAAAAATAATAATTTAACATAAAATGCTGAATTTTAAACAAAAAATATTATTTTATACTTTAAAAAATTAAATATTAGAAAATAATGGATTCATTTAAAACACTTAAAAATTAAAAAAAAAAAAGAAAAGTGAATACACACCTATCTTTGGTGGTAGTGTTGGTCCAGTTCCTGGAGTTGGAGTGGGGCCAGTTGGCACAGGTGTTGGGGCAGGTGTGGAGACAACGGCTGGTGGGAAAGATGGCTGACAACCTAAGACATCAAACCTGAGGCCTACACCTGCAGGTGATGCCTGGACTGGAACAATCTTCACATACTGGGCTATGATGTCACGGTTGAATAAATTCCTCACAGGTGTTGTACTGTCTGTGTTACCATTGAACAGGTAAGGTGTCTGGTCACCAGGGAACTCTGTGTAAGGAATAAAATCTTTTCCATTCAAGCTGTAGTAGACGTTAAACTTTTCCACCCAACGAGGTGAATCTGGGCTGCCTTGTGTCACCACTCCAGAGATGAGTTTTGGTTTTTGGAAATCAACCATAATCCATTGTTGCCCTTGAGTACTGTGGTAAAAGAAAAAATACAACTTTAAGAGAAAACATTTTTAAAGAAACAAAAAATAATAACTAAACAATGCATCCTATCTTTTTAGGCTGCCTATAACTTAGTGGGACTAGTCAAACTTAACTAACCTGACCAAACACAATCCAACTTTACATTGCCAACCTGACCCCATTAACAACCCCACCCAACCTGACCCCATGCAACAACCCAACCCAACCCCATGTACAACCCAACCCCATGCACAACCCAACCCGACCCCATGTACAACCCAAGCCAACCTGACCCCATGCAACAACCCAACCCAACCCCATGTACAACCCAACCCGACCCCATACACAACCCAACCCCATGTACAACCCAAGCCAACCTGACCCCATGCACAACCCAACCCAATGTACAACCCAACCCAACCCCATGTACAACCCAAGCCAACCTGACCCCACGCACAACCCAACCCCATGCAACAACCCAACCCAACCCCATGTACAACCCAACCCAAACTGACCCCATGCACAACCTAACCCAAGCTGACCCCATGCAACAACCTAACCCAGGCCAACCCAACGGCAACCCCATTTACAACCCAAGCCAACTTTAAAATGGCATAAAGTAAAGCCTACACATTGATGCCATGAGGAGGTAAAAGGTTAAATAAAAAAAGATGTACCTAGGAATCCAAGAGCCTCCTGATGTGCTGGAGACCTGGCTGTAAAGTCTGCCGTCTGCTGCAGTGTGAGTGCTGTCAATGCTGGACGAGGAGGTCAGTTGTTGATCTGTCACAATGTAATGGCTGCTCACACCCATGGGAATGAGACACACTTTGGAAAAGTTGGAGAATAAACAAAATTAGAAACAAATTACACTCAAATGTATAGCTTTAAATGATATATTATTTAAAATAAGTATAAAAAATAGCATAAGTTTAAAAAAAAAATATTTATATTTTCTGTATTTTCATTGTATGTATCATGTATGTATCATACTGATAATTTTAACACTAAATACAAAACATGAACCAATGCCCTATTTAATATCAGTGGTGGGTTATTTCAAGCTTCTGACGCTCAGCACTAAGAAGAATAACTGATGGCTTATTATTTATCTGTAGTGGGTTCTTCTATGATTTCACCATCTTAACAAATCCTATAAAATAAAAATTAAATCCTCACCACTTGGAGTAGGGACAGATGTCACCCCAGGGGTTGGTGGGGAGAGGGTAGACTGTGTTGTCTCCCCTGGACGTAGAGTTGGTGCCAGAGTTGGTGCTCCTGGTGTGGTACTGTAGAGAGGTGCTCGTGTGGTGATGTCCAGTTTTTCTTCAGAAGGATTGCAGCCCAGAATGTCAAACCTGTACAAATATATCCATCATTTATTTGTTTTTTTTACAGTGATTGTAACTAGAGTGAAGTACAATTACTTTACCCATCAAACGCTGACTGTCTATATAGTCAGATAATGTAAAGTTAATCTATTTATGAGAACTAAGAATATAATGGGATTGTAGTGCCTTAATTTTACACTTAACTTGATGGAAAAGCTTATTAGTTTTTTATCGCAATAATTTTACCATTAGATCAAACTGCTTTAAGAAACAATTTAAAAAGTTTTATATCCTTGTAAAAAGTTGTTATTTTTTAAATTTGCAACACAAGTTTTAACATGATCTATACATTTTTAATATGTTAATAGAAGATGAATAAAAATAAAAATTTTTTTTTACCTCAACGCATAGCTAACATGACTGCTGACAGGAACAATGCGAATGTACTGTGCGATGATGTCTTTAGCAAAATAATTTGTGACTGGAGAATTTCTGTCCACATTGGCTTTAAACACTTGAGCTACTCCATCTTGCTGCTCAGAGTAAGGAATGAAGTCAGCACCATTGATGCTGTAGTACACTTGGTACTCTGTCACCCATCTGTCCTCACGACCTTCACCTTGAGTCACCACGCCAGATAAAAACTTTGGCTCTTTGAAATCCACTTGGATGTATGGTGAATCATCATCAATTCTGTTTTTGTTTTTTTTTAAAAAGACAGTACTATTTTTAATAATTTATTTTAGTGTGTTTTCAGTTTTTATTAGATAATAAATTTTGTATAAGCTTCATATGTAGTATATACAAGTAAAGTATTAAAAGTTTAAGTGAAAAGATTCATAAATTGGTATAAAATATAAATATTAAAACATTCTGAAATAGGGGAGAGGTATAAATAAAACAATAAAGAAGAAATTTTCTATAGTATAAAGGAGTTCACATTAAATCTAAAGTTTTAAAAAGTTGCCATAAAATCTTTGACTGTCTATTTACCCTGGCATCCAGGATCCCTGGTATTGACTTTCAGAAAGTCTGGCCAACTCAGGCCCATGGTTCACTTTGTTGGAAGATGCTGTGATCTGGTTGTCCTGGATAATTCTTTGGTTTTGTAAGCCCATCTTTTTGGTACAAACTGCAGGGAGTGAACAGCAAAATGTTTATGGTTAGAAATATGTGAAGTTTTCATTGATATTGTTTTCTCAGCTTCTTTGATATAGTTATAAAACTGCACAGATTTATGTTGAAAAATTTATAAAAATAATATTTAAAGATCTGAGAATACATACTTGGCATCTCTAGAACTGGAGGGAGCAAGGGAGTGACATTAGGGCCAGGTGTTGTGGGCACAAGAGTTGTGCCAACAATCAGAATAGGGGGCTCTTCAATTTCAAAAGGTACAGGAGGTCGAGGTGTTGGAATGCTAGAAGAGAAGCAGCCGATGTAGTTGAGTCTCAGGCCAGGACCATTGGGTGCCCAGGTCAAAGGTTCCACACGGACATACCTGGCCACAATCATCTAGAGAGCAAAAAGATATTTTTTTTTACTTAATGCCTTAAGATTAGCTTTAATACTTGTATCACTTACGTTGTAAATTATAAATCTATAAATAAAAAATTACAAAAGTTTTGTAATCAATAAACAATAAAAGATTGTTTACCTTGTTTAAATCAGATTATATAGTCTACATTATTAAAATAACAAATTTAATTATATTTTTAGTGTTAAGTAGTTAAATATGTTTAAGCTTTTAGTTTAAAAAACATTATAAATAATTATTACAACACTCCTAAAAACATAATAAGCCTTATATTGATTTCTTTGTAATTAATAAGGGCCTACATTAAAATTACTTTAAGGGATTTTTAAAGTTCTACCTCACAAGTCATCAATAAATTAGTTTTATGATGCTAAACAAATAAAAATAGAATTTCCTCACATCCTAAAAACAGGTTATAGTTTTTATCTTACCTTGGGGAAGTAGTTCCTAACAACTGAACTTTTATCTGTATTTCCTTTGAATATAACAACACTGCCATCATCCCCAGTGACTGGGTAGAAAGTGTAGCCGTCCATACTGGTGCTGACTGTGAAGGAGGAGACCCATCTCTCCACATCTGGGCTGCCCTCAGTTAAGATGCCAGAAAGTTTTTGTGGTGATAGGAAGTCCACTTGGTGCCATTGATACTTGTCTACAACACTGATGAGGGATAAATGTGTAGCTTTATTAAAAGATAATTAATTAATTAAATAATTAATATATGTTTAGGGAGAGACTATGACTATTTTAATATATTAAAATAAATAATTGAAAAAAAAGAGGGTAAAAAACTACTGACACTGAGAGTTTTAACAATAAAAATATTAAGTAAAGAAATTTGATAGTTTTGAATTTGTTACTGATAGTACTGCTTTTTAATTTATGAAAAGTTTTTACAAAAAGGTTACCCTTTTATACTGTGTTTATTAAAAAGAATAATTAAATATTGTATTAAATATTATTTTTTGAACAATTGTTTTCAGCTTAATTTAGTCAACAGACTAGAACATACGCAGGAATCCATGAAGAGAGTGTGTTGTCAAGTCTGCCATCAGCTGCTGTAGTTAGAGGACCTGCACTGCTTGATGAAGTAAGTTGGCTGTTTGGTATCATTGATGGTTTGTCTACATTCATTGGCACATTGCAGATTGTTTCTGGAGAAATCATATAAAAACAAAGATTGCAATTACAATAAATCAAAATTGTAAGTTACGGAAAATAAAATGAAGAAAGAATCAGTTTGAGCTTCATGTTTAATTCAGCATTTTATTCTTAAAAGTACTGTAAAAAAGAAAAAAAGTGTGCTATATTAATCAAATTCAAAATGCAATGCAACTTAAAGAAATAGAGTTCTGTTTTTTTAATAATGACATCTATGTTAAAAATAGCCAGTGCAATACCTGGTGGAGGCATAAAGGGTGTTGGAGGGGCCAAGGTGGCGACAGGCCCACCTGGGCTTGGTGTTAGGGTAGTGGACAGCGTGATGCTGGGGGCTAAACTTGTGGTGATCAAGCTGAGTGGTACACCCGGCGTTGGTGTGGGAGTGTGGCAACCCAACAGGTTGAACCTCAGGGCCACAGAGTTGTGAGACTCAACCGGCCTGATCTGGATGTACTGGGCCACAACAGGTGGGAACAGGTTGGTCACAGGTGTGTACTGGTCAGTGTTGCCGTTGAAGACCATGGGGTTGTCTGTTTTGTCTAGGACCGGCTGGAAGTTGACGCCGTCTGTACTGTAGTACACAGTGTACTTGGTCACCCAGGATGGACTGTCTGGACTGCCCTGTGTGGTCACCCCGGAGATTTCAAACGGTGAGAGGAAATCAACTTGGATATACGGAGACTTGTCAGTCAAGCTGAAGACATTCAATAATTTTATAGAATCAAGAACCGTAACTTCATGATTTATCAGAAAATGAAGACATTCAATAATTTTACTGTATCAAAGAACCAATTACAGAATCAAAGAACCATAACTTCATGATTTATCAGAAACAGAAGACATGCAAGTTATACAGAATCATGCTCATGAGGATAGCTTTAAGTCAAATAATTTAATTTAAATTTATATGTATCATTTTAACCCATAGGACGAGTCGTTGTAGACTTATTATAATTTTACATTTTAAAAACTTAGTTAAAAGGGTATACACATAATTAGAATCAAGCATCTATCTGTTACCTAGGAGACCAGCTACCAGCCATTGAACCATCAGTTTCCATATAAAGCCTGCCTCTTGAAGGAACGTGGTAGATATCCAGTGAACTGGATGCTGTCAGCTGCTTGTCACCAATTATCATAGGATTTGTTACACCCATTGGAAGTTCACATGCTGAAATGCCACAAGTAATATACAACTTCAGCTTTGTTATTAAAATTTCATCAACAGAATAACATAATTTTCATGTAGAAAAACTTGCTTATAGTAAAGCAAGGTATAAACCTGAAAAGCTTATTGTTAAAAAAAAAGCCCTATTTGTTTTTAGAAAAACTGTTTAAAGGGGGAGGGCAGGAAATAACTTATAATTTAATTAATCAGAATTATGGAAAAACTTACTTATGATTAAAGGAGGCACTAAAGTTGTTCCAGTGCCAATGGAAGGTGTGGGGCCAGTCACAAGAGGAGGTGGAGTCAGGACCTCAGGTGGTAAGTCTGGTATACAACCCAACACATCAAACCTGAGACCTGCACCATTAGGAGCAGACTGTACCGGCACAATCTTCACATACTGGGCTATGATGTCTCTGTTGAAAAGGTTCCTTAAGGGAGTTGTTGCATCTGTGTTACCACTGAAGAGATAGGGTGTCTGTCCACCAGGGAACTCTGTGTAAGGAACAAAATCTTTTCCATTCAGACTGTAGTAGACGTTAAACTTTTCCACCCAACGAGGTGAATCTGGGCTGCCTTGTGTCACAACTCCAGAGATGAGTTTTGGTTCTTGGAACTTTACCATGATCCACTGGTCTTGATTAGAGCTGGAAAAATGTTTCTTAAATTATTGCGTCTGCTATAATGAAAACATAAATCACTAAATCTTTGACACTGCTATGAAGACAAGATAAATCACTTAGATGTAAATGTAAAAACAAATAAATCATTACAGAAAGATCTGGTATAAAAACAGTAAAATACTTTAAAGTAAATACTCATTTATAAAAGAAAATCACTTTTATTAATATAATTTTATTTTAAAATTCACTATGATATAGATACTAATTCATAAAAAAATTTAATATTTATATCCCAAGATCAAGGATAAATACATCATTTAGATACCAATTTTTAAAAATTACTTTAGATCAATGACTTAAAAAATGTATAAATCACTTTTATTCCAATAATGACATAAAAAGTTGGATTTTGAAACTGATATTGAAATTTGAGCACAAATCAGACATAAATCTAACCTAGGAATCCAAGATCCACCAGAAGTGCTAGACAGTGTGTTGTACAATCTGCCATCAGCGGCTGTGTGGGTGGTGTCCAGGTTAGATGAGGAGGTCAGCTGGGCATCGGTCACTATATACTGGCTACTCACTCCCATGGGTGTCAGACAAACTGTTACACAAATAGAATTCACTTTTTATCTACAGCTCATGACAACAAAACCAATAGAACTATGGGTGTCAGACAAACTGGTACATAAATAGAATTAACTTTTTATCTACAGCTCATGGTAACTATAACAATAGAACTATGGGTGTCAGACAAACTGTTACACAAATAGAATTAACTTTTTATCTACAGCTCATGGTAACTATAACAATAGAACTATGGGTGTCAGACAAACTGTTACACAAATAGAATTAACTTTTTATCTACAGCTCATGGTAACTATAACAATAGAACTATGGGTGTCAGACAAACTGTTACACAAATAGAATCAACTTTTTATCTACAGCTCATGGTAACTATAACAATAGAACTATGGGTGTCAGACAAAATGTTACACAAATAGAATCAACTTTTTATCTACAGCTCATGGTAACTATAACAATAGAACTATGGGTGTCAGACAAACTGTTACACAAATAGAATCAACTTTTTATCTACAGCTCATGGTAACTATAACAATAGAACTATGGGTGTCACACAAACTGTTACACAAATAGAATTAACTTTTTATCTACAGCTCATGACAACAAAACCAATAGAACTATGGGTGTCATACAAACTGTTACATAAAAAGAATTAACTTTTTATCTACAGCTCATGGTAACTATAACACTAAAACTTTTATTCCTTAGATAAATATAGATCTGAATGTTGATGTTAAATTTGTTTTTGTTTTTATAGAAGACTGATTCTTGTCCACAAATTTTCACAGACACTATTCAAAATTATAAGTTAATTTTTAAACAAGTTGATACTAATAAGTTAATTATATTAACATCATTGCTTGGCTTTATTTAATGTGAAGTTTACATAATGTCAACCTTTTGGTGGAGGAATATCTGTAACTTTTGGTGTTGATGGAGAAAGTGTTGACTGGGTTGTCTGGCCTGGCATTAAAGATGGCGCTGCAGTAGTTGTTGTTGTTGCAGGTGGGAACAGTGGAGGCCGAGTGACAAGGTCAATCTTTTCTTCTGATGGATTGCAACCCAAGACGTCAAATCTGAATAGGTGAAAGAGAAACAAAACATAAAAATCAAGTATCTTCCGATGGTTAATTAAAAATTTTTTTTTATATAAACAAATTTATTTCATTTTATAAAACATGGTAATGATTGGTTATAAACCATTTCCCATCATACCTCAAAGCATATCCCATTCGGCTGCCAACAGGCACAATGCGAATATACTGGGCTATGATGTTCTTGACAAAGTAATTAGTAACAGCAGTGTTTTTGTCAAAGTTTGCAGCAAAGACTTGAGCTACTCCGTCCTGTTTGTCTGAATAGGGAATAAAGTCCACTCCATCTACACTTGTGTACACTGTGTACTCAGTGACCCATCTGTCTTCATGACCTTCACCTTGTGTCACTACACCTGACAAGAATTTAGGCTCCCTGAAGTCGACCTGGATGAATGGTTTGTCATCACCATTGCTTGAAGAGAAGTATAATTGTTAACATGGAAAATAAAGAAGTAATACATGTAAGTCTATTTTAGAGGATTTATAACTTTTCATTAAACAAAATAAACTATATTTTGTTGAAACAAAAGTTGTTTAAAATTTTCTGCTGTTTGTTGTACTAGATAAATATTGCCTCAACATTCCCTCCAGATTTTTTACTTAAAATTGACAAAATATCTTATCTAGAGGAAAAGTTCTGAGTTTGTTACATTGAGATTAATTTTTAAAAAACTAACGTTGGTATCCAGGATCCTTGATATTCATTTTCAGCCAATCTGGCAAGTTCTGGCCCATGTGAAGGTTTACTTGATGAGGCTGTGATTTGGGAGTCCTGGACAATTCTCTGGTTCTGTAAGCCCATCTTCTTGTTACACACTACAAAATATTAAGTTTATAGATCATTTTAATGTAATGCATTCATGAATTAAAAGACATCAACCTAAAAGTTCTGTTATTGAATAGAGAAATATATAACCATGTTTTATTAACTTCACATAAAAGATTTACATTATGGTTACAATAGCATGATAGTTTGACAAGTTAATTTTATTCTCCTATATATATACACCAAATAGGGACAGTGTGTTTGGGCAGTAGAGCACACAATTGGTACACCAAAAATCTCATGTTAAGATTTTAGGCGGAAGTCTTAAGGATATCTGTCCACCTGGTTCTGAAGGGTACATGGCTCACATTAGCTTAATAAAATATACAGGTTTCACAGAAACTTAATCTTTACTGCATCTGCCCTATTGACTGTCAGATCCCAAAGAGTAACAATATATTTTATAAACCAAACAGATGTGAGAATTGGCTTTTTTTCACCCTATGTATGTTTGGTTAGGATGTGGGCTATTTGTGTACTAGAAAAGACAATGTATTCATACAAAGTTCTGATGGCCCAGGTGTTGGTGTCTGTGAGACTCCAGGGCTGACAGTGAGGGTGGGTGCTGTTGGTGTCCCACTAATGATTGGTGGTGGCTCCATGTAGAACGGAACAGTTGGCCGAGGTGTGGGTACAGCAGATGAGACGCAGCCAATGTAGTTCAGTCTCAGTCCAGGGCCATTGGGTGACCAGGTCAGTGGCTCAACACGGACATAACGAGCAACAATCACCTAAAAACAAATTAATTTTCATCAAGCGTGTTTACTGTCTCTATAGCGTTATTGTGTTTTTATCTTTATTATTTTTATTAGTTTTTTCATAATGGGATAAATTCTTTATACATGAAGTTGTTTAGTGCTTACACGAGGGAAATAGTTTCTGATCACTGAGTCCTTGTCAGTGTTGCCTGAGAAGACTATAACATTGTCATCATTTCCTCGCAGGGGGTAGAATGTGAACCCGTCCATGCTGGTGCTGATAGAGAAGGAGGAGACCCATCTCTCCACATCTGGGCTGCCCTGTGTGAGAATCCCTGATAGATTCTGGGGTGTCTGGAAGTCAACTTGGTGCCACTGATGCCTATCAACAGTCCTGTGAGAAATTATATCAAATATTAGTTTATTTTCATTCAGTGGTTAACTTTTGTTTAAAGAACCACAATCAAAGAGAATGAAATGTACCCTGGTATCCAGGATGAAAGCTTATCTAGTCTTCCGTCAGATGCTGTTGTTGTAGGTCCTGAATTACTTGAAGAAGAGAACTGGCTATCGGGCATCAAAGATGGACGGTCCACATTCATTGGAATATTACACAATAATTCTGGGGAAAACAAAGTTACTATGGATATAATCTTAATTATAATGTGCAATTTAAAAATGATGCAACATGTTAAATTGCTGATTAAAAATCAAACTTATTTAGGTTACAGTACATAATGTTAAAATGAGGTTTACCTGGAATCAATAGGAAAGGTGTGGGTGGTGTCTCAGTGCTGACATACAACCCTGCACTAGGTGTGGGTGTAGTGAATACTCCCAAAGTTGGTGTCAGAGTGGGGGTGTAATACATTGGTGTCATGGGTGTGGGGAAAGGTGTGTTACATCCGTACAGATTAAACCTTAAGGCAACGGAGTTGTGGGACTCCACTGGACGAATCTGGACATACTGAGCTGAGATGGTGGGGAAGAAATTGGTCACTGGGGTGTACTGGTCAGTGTTGCCATTAAAGACCACAGGTTTGTTTGTGCTGTCCACTACAGGCTGGAAGTTGACCCCATCAGTGCTGTAGTACACAGTGTACTTGGTGACCCAAGATGGCTGGTCAGCACTGCCTTGTGTGGTCACACCTGAGATTTGGTAAGGTGAGAGGAAGTCCACTTGGATATATGGGTTTTGGTCAGTCAGGCTGTGGAAATTAAATTTTAAGATAATTTAAATAGCAGTTAATGAGGAACCACTGCCGAAACTTTCCTAAAATTGTATTCATTTAAAAAAACTCAATCATCATAAACTCTACATCTCAAACAGTCTATACCCTTTTTGTTTTCTCCTGCAAGGATTATCATTTTTAAATCGTGCTAAATAGTTAGTCCATACTTCGAAACATTATCATTAATAATTAATAAATAAACATAAATAATGGGAGAATCTATTTTAATATTTTGTCAAAAATATTGTATGAGAAAATTTGGTTTCTAAATGTATATGATTTAGTTATATATTTCAATTTATTATTTCAGATTAAAATTAATCCCTACAAATAAATTCCAAAATAAAATTTCTTTTGAAAAAATTAGGAATAATCTGCAAACCTTGGAGACCACCCGCCAGCAAATGAACCATCTTTATGCATGCCAAGACGTCCTCTTGATGGGACATGGAATATGTCCAGTGAACTTGAGGCTGTCAGCTGCTTGTCACCAATGATCATGGGATTTGTGATTCCCATAGGAATGTCACATGCTGGAACAGCAGGGCATGAATGTTATGATTTGTTTTCTTTTAATTAAGTTTTGTTTTTTATGCAACTTCTCTTTTCTTTATAACTCTTTTATTCAAAAACACAAAAGTTCAACCATTAATAAACAAACATCCAATTAAAAGCAACTTTTTTGGTATATTTTAAAAGTACACATTCTTTAGCGAGATCACTAAGTAAAAAACTGATTTTCTTCATCAACATAAAAGATTTGTATTACTTATCTACCTTTCATTTTTTAAATAAAAACCTTCAAAGAAAAGTTAATCTTTTTAAAGTCTTGATCTGTAACTTGATAAAACTTACTTATGACTGTAGGAACTGATGGTGAAGCATATGTCGGCCCAGTACCGGGTGTTGTTGAATGTAGTGGTGGTGGCACCAAAATAACTTCTGGCACTTTAGGCTGGCAGCCAATCACATCAAACCTGAGGCCTACACCAGCAGGTGATGCCTGGACTGGAACAATCTTCACATACTGGGCTATGATGTCACGGTTGAATAAATTCCTCACAGGTGTTGTACTGTCTGTGTTTCCAGTGAACAGGTAAGGTGTTGACTCCCCTGGATACTCAGTGTAAGGGGTAAAGTCCTTCCCATTCAGGCTGTAGTAGACGTTGAACTTCTCTACCCATCTGGGGGAGTCTGGACTGCCTTGAGTCACTACACCAGATATTAGCTTTGGCTCCTCAAAGTTGACTGTGATCCACTGCTGTGTACCAGGGCTTGACATTTAAAATTTTATTTATTAAAAGTAAACATAGCTATTTATTGGTTATGTTTATTATTTGAGTACATATAAAATGTCTAGCAGCTTGCAAGATTACTCAAAAAATGTTTCTTTTTTTAACAAGATGTAGCTGCTTAAAATTTTTTTTAAAATAAACTTATAAAATATTTCAATAAATAAAAACATGAAATTAATGTTTGCTATTGATAATCTAACAAAAAAGCTGATTTTGTTTTAGAAAATAATCAAAGTAAAGATTTTGAATAAATGTTTAAAGCCATTCTGGGTGAGACTATGAGCAATGAAAGTGGTGTCTTCTATACCCAGGAATCCAGGATCCACCAGAAGTGCTGGAAACACTGTTGTAAAGTCTGCCGTCTGCTGCTGTGTGAGTAGCATCAAGATTGGATGAGGAACTCAGCTGCTCATTGGCTACTTGGTAATGGTTACTCAAACCCATAGGAGTCAGACACACTGATGGAATAATTATACATAGAAACTAATCATGAGTTAACAAATATTTTTGTAAAATACTGTATTAAATTTTGTTTTTAAATAAATTACTGGAGTTTTAAAATTCATTAAATATAAGTACTTGTTAGTAATTATCTACAATTTTTTATACTTATTACTTTATTTATTTTTTAAAATTCAAATTATATTTCCTAGTTTCGTACCTTGAGGAGGAAGGATAACTGTGGTTCCAGGGGTTGGAACAAGTGTTGTTTCCCTTGTCTGCCCAGAGGGTAAAGTAGGTGCAGCTGTGCTGGTTTTTGTGGTAGTTTCCATTGGTGGGTACAGTGTTGGGCGTACAGTAACTGTGGGGTTTTCTTTGGATGGGTTGCAGCCAAGAACATCAAACCTAGAGTAAAGTTCAAGGATTTATTCATTGACATTAATGCCAATATTTATCCATCTTGAGTTATAAAAACATTTAAACAGCTAACATTTTATTAAAATATTTCAGTTATGAGAAGTTAGAAATGTAGTACACATAATTTGTCTTCACATTATTGCTGATAATCAATTATATGAAATAGAAATATCCAATGTAATTATAACTAAGAGTAAAAAATAAATCAAAATTTATAAAATGAAAATAGTATAATCAAACAAATCAACATATTTATTTGTTCTAGCTGGCAAATTTTACCTTGTACACCAACATGATATAAACATATATAAACATACCTCAAGGCAAATCCCATGTGGCTACCCACTGGTACAATACGAATGTACTGAGCAAGGACGTTGTTCACAAAGTAGTTGGAGACTGGTGTGTTGGTGTCAGAGTTTGCTGAAAACACTTTGACTACTCCATCTTGTTTTTCAGAGTAGGGGTAGAAGTCGACACCATCAACGCTGAAGTAGACTTTGTACTCAGTGACCCACTTGTTTTCTCTACCCTCACCCTGGGTTGTAACACCTGACAGGTATTTTAATTCTCTGAAGTTCACCTGAATGTAGGGTCCATCATCGTCAATTCTGAATATAAAGGTAAAAAAAGTCATTAAATAATTAAAAAATTTTTGTTAATGTAACAGATTAAACTTTAAAACTAATATGGGCTAAATTTTAAGGTTCTTGTGGACAGATTCTAGGAATAGTAGATTTTTTAAACTGGTGGATAAAATGTTAAGACTGGTGGATCAAATTACAATGACTTTTCAATGAGATTTTAAGACTACTGGTTGAAATGTTAAGACTTTTGGAACAGATTCTAAATATTATGGATCACATTTAAGACTGGTGGGCTATAAACACTGCTGGATGAAATTTCATGATTGGTGAATCAGATTCTAAGATTTGCTGATGGGTTCTAAACTTGCTGACAGAGTTAAGATTTGCTGACAGATTCTAAGATTTGCTGGCAGATTCTAAGATTTGGCTGACAGATTCTAAGATTTGCTGGCAGATTCTAAGATTGGCTGACAGATTCTAAGATTTGCTGACAGATTCTAAGATTTGCAATTGGGTTCTAAAATTGCTGACAGATTCTAAGATTTGCTGGCAGATTCTAAGATTTGGCTGACAGATTCTAAGATTTGCTGGCAGATTCTAAGATTTGCTGACAGATTCTAAGATTGGCTGACAGATTCTAAGATTTGCTGACAGATTGTAAAATTTGCTGACAGATTCTACAATTTGCTGTATGATCTCACCCTGGCATCCAAGAACCCTGGTACTCAGCATCAGAAAGCCGTGCCAAGTGAGGCTCATGACCACTTGCACTGGACGAAGCTGTTATCTGTGTATCATCAACAATCCTTTGGTTCTTTAAGCCCATTTCTTTACTGCACACTGTGAATGACAAAATAATTGTTCTTTTCCTTGGTAACTTATTTATTAAAAATCTAAAAAGTAAGTACAATTTTGTAGCATAGAATTTAATTAACAAATAATTTTATAGATTTTATTCTAAAAATAACTAAGTTTTATAAGACAATTTTCAAAAATGTCCTTGTTTTTTCAGGAAATTCTAGTGCCTTATAAGAACACATAAAAATAAATGATAAACAATAACACACATGGTTCTTTGAAAGGTACAAATACCACTGGAGGAGACAATGTAGGAGTGCCAGCAGTAGTTGTAACTCCTGGTGGCAGTGTTGGTATGTCCATCTGGAACAGCACTGTGGGTCTTGGGGTCGGAACGAGAGAGGAGAAACAGCCGATGTAATTTAATCTCAGGCCTATTCCATTGGGAGCCCAGGTCAGTGGTTCAAGTCGAACATATCTGGCAACAATGAGCTGCAGAAAAAAATTAAGTTTGATTAGATGACAACTAGTAATTTCATGAAAAAAATGACATAAATAAAATCTAGGGTATTTGACTTTTTTCACTGCTAGGAAATTCTTGTGAGTGATCTTCCTTACCAAGAAAGAAATAGAACCAAAAATAAATCTTACTTTTTCATAAACCAACTAAATACAGTTCAGACTGGGTAAAGGGAAAGAATAAAATAATCTTGCATATTTGAACAAAAGTTTTTTTTTTCATATTTATGCCTGTCAAACAGACATTTCTGTTAGTTAAATATAGATCAAAATTATTAACAGCATATGTTTCTTACATATGGTATTAGTTATAAATGAATCACTTACATGAGGGAAATAGTTTCTCATCACTGAATCTTTGTCAGTATTCCCAGAGAAAACAAGCACTCTGCCATCAGCACCACGGACAGGGTAGAAAGTGTAGCCGTCCAAGCTGGTGCTGACAGTGAAGGAGGAGACCCACTTCTCCAGATCTGGGCTGCCCTGGGTCAGTACGCCGGACAGATTCTGGGGTGTCATGAAATCCACTTGGTGCCACTGATATTTATCAGCGATACTGTAAATAATGTTTAGAATCATAGGAAAAATATAAAAAAATAATTTTTATATTAAATAATTTTAAATAAAGTGTTAGATCAAAATTTATTTTTGACTTATTTTTAATCAAGGGTAAGTCCTTGTTGATTATATTCTAAGAAGATAATTTAGTTAAAAAATCAGGCAATTCAATACATCTGCTGAAAATGATGTTTACATTGGATGAGCAATACTTACGCAGGCATCCATGATGAAAGCTGACTATCCAATCTCCCGTGGGATGCTGAAGTCTCTGGGCTCAGATCACTGGATGATGACAGCTGGCTGTTGGATACCATGGATGGGCGATCCACATTCATTGGAATATTACAAACTGTTTCTGTAAACATCAATAAATACCATTAGTTCTGCATGAAAAAGTCTAATTTATAAGTCTAAAAATTATATTAACCAACAATTAAAATATGTATTCATTTTATTTCAGATTTTGTATAAAAAAAAATTAAGACCTTTACCTGGAATTGGAACAAAAGGTGTGGGAGGTGAAAGAGTGCTTCCAAATACACCTGGGCTTGGCTGGAGTGTTGTAACACCAGACACAATCAAAGGTGGAGATTGTGTAGAATACGCTGGAGGAATGGGTGTTGGGGTAGGCGTGTTACACCCAAACAGATTAAATCTTAATGCAATCGCATTATGGGAATCTGTTGGTCGGATTTGAATGTACTGGGCAGATGTAGTTGGGAAAAAGTTGGTCACCGGTGTGTATTGGTCAGTGTTGGCGTTAAATACGATGGGGGTGTCAGACTTGTCTAGTATAGGCTGAAAGTTGGCCCCATCATTACTGTAGTACACAATGTACTTGGTGACCCAAGATGGCTGGTCAGGGCTGCCTTGAGTGGTCACTCCGGAGATCTCATAAGGTGAGAGGAAGTTTACTTGGATGTAAGGAGCTGTGTCTGTCAGGCTGGAGAAACACCAAAGAAATAACTGAAGACAGTTATAAACTCCTTATAATTTTTAAACTCCCAAAGTAATTTTCTTTTATACCCTGAGTACTCTTAGCACTATTCACTATTACAGATTTTCAGGTCATTTCCCATTCTTCTATGTTACCAGTTCATCTTCTCTCTTTTTAATCCCCTTCGTGCCCAAGACATAAATGGGGCAGATGAAGTAGAGTTCATCTGGTTCATAGACCTTGGCATATGAAGGGATAGTGTGGTCAGCACTATGCCCAGCCACCTTTGTTTCCCTATTGTAAGTTAGGTACCCATCAGAGCTGGGTGGACTCAGGGACGTTCCACTGTTAGTAACATTTATAGAATTGAGCATTTTGAAGATGGGCAATTAAAGGATTAGCAGTCTAGCTCTCTATCGCTAGGCCATGCGATAGTTATAATAAAAGCTACAGGCATTAGTAACATTTATAGAATTGAGCATTTTGAAGATGGGCAATTAAAGGATATTTAAAAATCTTTACTTAAGTCCCTCAAGTTTAAAATCAAGGTGAAAACTGTTTTAACTATGATAAGCTATTTTTTTAAAAATGATCCATCTTATCAAGATGAATCCATTACCTGGGTGACCAAGCTCCAGCTAGTAGCCCATCCTTATGTTGGTCCAGTCTGCCTCTAGATGGATTATGGAACACATCTAGTGAACTGGAGGCAGTCAACTGATTGTCGGGAATTACAAGAGGATTTGTAATACCCATGGAAAGGTCGCAGTCTAGAATTGGATATATTAAAGTTTATTAGCAAGATGTTTTTAGTTCATAGGTTTATTAAAAAATGAGTGTATACAAAAGTACATAAATAGTTGCACACTAATAGCTTACTTAGATAGTTTGATTAAATCTTTTTTTTTTAAATTTATATATATATTGGTGTTGTGCTTTAAAAAAATAGTTTTAATGTATTTTTGAAAGAATTTATGTTCAGTTTTTTTTCTATAATGTATGTCTATGAATTTCTGTTGGCAACCATTTCAAAACTGGGACAAATTTTAGTAGGTAAATGTAGTTATGACATACTTATTGTTGGAGGTGTGGTTGGTGCAAGTGTTGAGTAGGGTAAATGTAGTTATGACATACTTATTGTTGGAGGTGTGGTTGGTGCAAGTGGAGGTGTGGTTGGTGCAAGCGTTGAGTAGGGTAAATGTAGTTAAGACATACTTATTGTTGGAGGTGTGGTTGGTGCAAGTGTTGAGTAGGGTAAATGTAGTTATGACATACTTATTGTTGGAGGTGTGGTTGGTGCAAGGGTTGAGTAGGGTAAATGTAGTTATGACATACTTATTGTTGGAGGTGTGGTTGGTGCAAGGGTTGAGTAGGGTAAATGTAGTTATGACATACTTATTGTTGGAGGTGTGGTTGGTGCAAGTGTTGAGTAGGGTAAATGTAGTTGAGACATACTTATTGTTGGAGGTGTGGTTGGTGCAAGTGTTGAGTAGGGTAAATGTAGTTATGACATACTTATTGTTGGAGGTGTGGTTGGTGCAAGGGTTGAGTAGGGTAAATGTAGTTATGACATACTTATTGTTGGAGGTGTGGTTGGTGCAAGGGTTGAGTAGGGTAAATGTAGTTATGACATACTTATTGTTGGAGGTGTGGTTGGTGCAAGTGGAGGTGTGGTTGGTGCAAGGGTTGAGTAGGGTAAATGTAGTTATGACATACTTATTGTTGGAGGTGTGGTTGGTGCAAGCGTTGGTCCAGTGCCTGGACTTGGGGTTGAGCCAGTGACCAATGGAGGAGGTGTTGGGATTGTAGTTTTTTCTGGTGGCAAACTTGGCTGACAACCCAGGACATCAAATCTCAGACCCACTCCCGCGGGGGACGCTTTGACTGGAACAATCTTCAGGTACTGGGCGACAATGTCACGGTTGAATAAATTCCTCACAGGTGTTGTACTGTCTGTGTTACCACTGAACAGGTAAGGTGTCTGGTCACCAGGGAACTCTGTGTAAGGTGTGAAGTCCACACCATTCAGACTGTAGTAGACGTTGAACTTTTCTACCCAACGACTGGAGTCTGGGCTGCCTTGTGTTGTTAGCGCTGATAGAAGTTTAGGCTCTAAGAAGTTAACCATGATCCATTCTTGTGAATTGGTGCTGAAATAGCAAAAATAAACACGGATGCTAAATTTAAATATTTAGCTTATATATTGAATTATATATTTTAAAAATATGTTTAAATATCTTAATAACAGGTCTTTTGTTATTTTTAAAAATAATTTTAATTGTCTTAATAACAAGTGTTTTTTTGTCAAATGTATTGTTAACACTAATAAGCTAGTATAATAAGATATTTATAAATTATGTAAACAAACTATTTTAAGCAATGAATCAGATTTCTGTAAGTTATCAGACACAAACCTGGGTATCCATGAGCCACCTGATGTCGCGGAGACAAGATTGTGCAGCCTGCCATCATAGGCAGCGTGTGAACTGTCCAGGTTAGAAGACGAGGTCAGCTGTTCATTGGTTATTACATAACGGTCACTCAAGCCCATTGGAATCAAACATGCTGCAAGATTTAATTCACAAATTCAAAATGAGCAAATTTTAAAGGTGTTTTTTTTTGTTAATTTTTACAAAACAAAGCCATTGCTGTAATAAAGTTTTCTATACTGCTGAATAAATAAATAATTAGCTTTGGAGTAGTTTTTACAGTTTAAAAAATTTTGATTAATAACTATGTGAATCAGACCTTTAGTGATGGAGTAGTTCTTGCAGTTAAAAAACTATAAATAAGTAATTACATAAACCAGACCTTTAGGTGTTGGAAGAGTTGTCACAGTTGGTGGTGCCAGGGTTGAATGTGTGCTCTGTGTGGATTGACCAGGAGGAAGGGTGGGAACTGCTGTGGTGGTTTTGATTGTGGTATACAGTGGAACACGGGTGGTTACATCAGGATTTTCTTGAGATGGATTGCATCCAAGAACATCAAATCTAAATACATTTAACACAATATTCATGTTATATTATTAAATTAAATTGTAAAGGTTTCTAAAAGTAATAAAACAATATTGGTTGAATAAGGATTAGTTGAGGGAGATTTACACACCTCATAGCAAAACGCATGTGACTGCTAACTGGAACTATCCGGATGTATCTGGCAATCAGATTCTGGACAAACATATTCGTCACAGCAGAGTTGGAGTCCACATTAGCTTTGAAAACCTTGATGACGCCATCTTGTTTTTCCGAGTAGGGGATGAAGTTCTGACCATCAACGCTGGTATAGACCTGGTACTCGGTGACCCACTTCTCCTGCACCCCCTCACCTTGTGTCACTATACCTGAGAGGTATTTCAGTTCCTGGAAGTCTACCTGGATGTAGGGTGCTGTATCATTATTTCTGAAACAGAAAACGTTTGTTTTAAAACTTTGTGTACAAAATATTTTCAGAATTATCTGTTCATTAACTAGTTTACTTTAACACATACACATTTGAATTTTTTTTTTGGCTAATTACTTTGTTAGAATTTGGTTTATTTGTGTTACATTTGAAAAGAATAATGTTCTATTTGTTATGATTAAAGTCAGTACCTTGGCATCCAGGATCCCTGGTAATAGCTGTCAGACAATCTGGCGAGCTCAGGCCCATGGTTAATTTGGCTTGAAGAGGAAGAAATCTGGGAGTCTCTGATGATCCTCTGATTCTGTAGACCCATCTCCTTGGTACACACTACAGCAAAAACAATACTTAAAACATGACACAATGCTAAATATTAATTTGAGATGCTTTTAATTTTATTATTTTATCTAATTAGTTCTAGTTAAGATTAAAAATATTTTAGTGTAGTTAATACTTTGTTGATGATATTATGCTATTTCCTTATGTAAGTAAATAATCCTAGAAACTGAATGCTTAATTCTCCATAACTGGGATCAAGATTTTCATTAACCTTAACAAAAATACTAGTTGAACTAACTTCTATGTTGTACAGCAATTGAAGTAAAGTATGCATTTAAAACAATGTTAAGGATGTGGGCACATTGAATCTAGCATTAAACAATTACTAGATATGAATTCTCTAGCATAAAGCCTTAAGTGTTTACCAAAATGTTTTTTTACTTACTAGGGGAGAGAACTGGTGGGAAAATGAGAGTGACTGGTGTTGGTGTTGGGCTGTAGTTGACTGGTGTGGAGTAAAGTGGTGGGCTCAGAGTTGTTTCTGGGACGAAGAAAGGCACGGTGGGCACTGAGGGCACATTGTTCATAAAGTAGCAGCCGATGTAGTTGAGTCTCAGGCCTGGGCCGTTTGGTGCCCAGCTTAAAGGTACGACACGCACGTATCTGCCAACTACAACCTGCGGTGGAGGGTCACAAAATCAATATAAGTATTTCAATTCAGTGTGTTATCTAATTACTTAAATTCAACATTAAGAACTATAGAATTGAGACATATAACATCAAGACATTATTTTATGACATAATTATATCTAAAAATGTTATATTGAGTACTTTATATTAACAAAAAGTTAATAATTTTACAAAACTTGTATCTTAAAAAAATATTTTTTCTTTAAAATATTATAAAACTAAAATATGAAGCTTACATGCATATCTTATCATGAATAAGTTAAAATATTGAACAAAATAATTATCTTCATTAGTGGAGGCAATCTAGCAGTGAAGAAAATAAATTAATGTTTTATGTAAAAAAAATGTTTATAAAATACAAATAAAATTTCTTGAGTTTGGAAGTCATCAAAACTGATGGATGTTAAGACACCCCATTAGTATGACTCACATGAGGGAAGTAATTCCTGATGACAGAATCCTTGTCTGTGTTGCCATTGTAAACAACAATGTTCCCATCATCCCCACGCACTGGGTAGAAAGTGTAGCCATCCATGCTGGTGCTGACTGTAAAAGTTGACACCCATTTCTCTGCATTGGGACTGCCCTGTGTGAGGACACCTGACAGGTTTTGGGGTGTCAGGAAATCTACCTGGTGCCACTGGTTCCTGTCAGCAACTCTGGAATAAGAGAAGATAAAGTTTGAAACAGACTCTTTGAGTTTAAATTTACTAAACAAGTCATATTAAAAATTTTAAGAATTCAATAGATGGATTAAAGATATATTCAAGCATACATAAAGACAACCTTTCCATCAACTTTTTCAGTTAAAATATAGTTTGGAATTTAGGCCTAGCTAAATTACTAAGCAATGGTGTTAGATAATTTCCCTTTTAAACTTATAATTCGAATGACCTGCACACCAAAAATTCAAATAGGTTTTGAATTTGGAAAATTTGCAAATCAATATCTACAACATTCTATTAATGGATCTATAAAACAAAAGTTATTCTTTTCAAAATCAAACACTAACGCAGGAATCCAAGATGAACTTCCACGAAGTCGTCCATCTGATGCTGACGTCTGGGATGAGGAGCTGCTTGATGCAGTTAACTGGGAGTCAGTTAAAAGTCCAGGCAGGTCAACATTCATTGGAACATTGCACAGTATATCTAGAAAAAAAATATTCATTGGAACATTGCACAGTATATCTGGAGAAATTTAACAGTCATTGGAACATTGCACAGTATATCTGGAGATATTTAACATTCATTGAAAAATTGCACAGTATATCTAGAAAAAATTAATATTCATTGGGACATTGCACAGAATATCTGGAGGAATTTAACATTCATTGGAATATTGCACAGGACATTCAGAGAGAATCAACATTCATTAAAACAAAACATAGTATGTCTAGAGGGAAAGCTGATAAACATTAGCATTTTATTTATTGTTTGACATAAGTTTATATGGTGAATCTCCAGCTTAAGTTTAAAATTATTCTATCATATTCAATGTTTTAAATATATACTACACTCTAAACAAATTATAAGCAAAAATAATCATGAAATTAAAATGTTACTTGTAATTACATTATTATTTTGACAGAAGACTCTAAAGAAGACTGATGGAGGCAAACTGTTACTTTACAAAGTTATCCAAATACCTGGTGAATGGGTAAATGGAGGCGACAGGGTAGGGGGACTTTGAGTAGAAACAGCACTGGGTGTAGATTGTCCTAGAGGTGGCTCTAGTGTAGCCGCACCATTACAGGTCAGCAGGTCAAGTCGCATGGCAACAGCTCCTTGCCAGCTCACAGGGAAAATCCTAACTGCCATTGCAGGAACTTCACGGTCGAAGAATCCCTTTACAACAGTGTTGCTGTCATAGTTGCCAGTAAAGACTTTTGGCTGGGTATCATCTCTATCAGCGTAAGGCACAAAATTTGTTCCATCAGCTGAGGTGGCAATGTTGTACTTTGTAACCCACTGGGCGGCATCTGGTTGTCCTTGCATGGCTATGCCAGTTAGCATCTCTTGAGTTTTTAAGGTGATTGTAATATAAGGTGATTCGTCAGAGTTTCTGAAAAGTAATGCCTTTCTTGTTTTCATTTTGTTTATCATTTATAAAAACTTGACTGTTTTTAATTTATAAATTTCCCCTGTTGGACAACAGAACCAATTTTGACAATGTATAAATTTATTCAAAATCTTTAAGAGTACTTTTAGAAAAATATGGACTACATAAATTTCTTTTAAATGCCTTAAAAAGATTGTGTGGCCAAAAAGTGTCTAGCCACAGTTTAACTTGTCAGATGTCCCCAGAGGTATGTGACACTAGTAAATTGTGGCCAGGACAGTGCTCAGTCACAATTTGATTTGTCAAATGTCACCAGAGGTATGTGACACAGATACATGGGGGTATCTGGGCTGATAACAAACACTGAACACTGGTGGCCATAGTTGGATCTAAGTTACTGCATTGTCAATGAAATTTAACTTTCCAAAAAACAATTATACAATTGCAATAAATTGCATCTACAAAGATATATTTAAAAAAAACTTAATTTAGTTTTATACTTTAATATTAAAATGTAAAATCTTAGTGGGTAAAACTAAGGTATTCTGTTTTTAGTTCTATTTACTTCAATATTAGAGTTACTGTATAAATAAATTCCTTTCTGGTAAATAATTGTTTTTAAATTTATTCAACACATTTTCAACCATTCTTTAAGCAGCAGATCATTTTGATAATCTTGTTCTGTGTAATCAAGAACACATTAGATTTAATAAGGTTGGTTATTTCTTTTTTAACATTATGAACAGATTAGCTGCAACAGCAAAGTGAGATAATCCTAATATATAAAAGCCCATGTGCGCACTTCTATCTCTCTGTCCGCAAAATATTTTTGAAGGATATCACATCAGAATCTTCAGCGATAAATGGAGAACTTAATACGGACTTTTGTTGAAAATAATATGGTAGATGTTTTAAATGTATAAACACAATTTTATTTAAAGAAGAAAAATAAAAATTAAAGGCATATTCTAATGTAGAAAAACAGTTTTAATTAAGCAACTGGAAAAGTGTTTATAGTTGGGATATTCTAATGTAGAAAAACAGTTTTAATTAAGCAACTGGAAAAGTGTTTATAGTTGGGACAAGAATGCCGAAATCGATGACGTCACATGCCATATGTTTGAAGTAAGGAAAGTACACAAAACCAATGGCATCATCTTCCAATTTTAGAATACGAAGAAATGAACCATTTCATTATAATTTGATTTATGAAATTTATACAATTTCCTCTGCCAAAACTAATACAAATTACTATAAATAACAACATAAATACTATTGAAAAGTCGGGTTTTTAACGTAATCATTTAAGTCTTTTAATCAATGTGTGCATTTAATATGGTGTTGTGTTGACAAATTATGTATATAATTTGTTTTTTTTCTAATAGGTATAAGTAGCCTATGTTATTTCAAATGTATCAGTGTTTTAGCTATTTCTTTGCTTTGTCACTAATATCGCTAAACCTGTAGTAAAGCACATTGCGTTTTAGACCAATAACTATTTTATAAAATATTCTTCTAAAAAATGTATACCATTAAAAATATATAGACCTATAATTCATGTGTAACATGTACCAACGGCTAGTAAATATTACAGTCTTTTCAAAATGACATGTAATTTAAAAAATGATCAAAGTTGTTTAATCTCTTGCAACTAAGCTTAAATTAAATTGCACTAAATAATCAAATAGAGAACCTTGGTTAGGTCAGTAAAATTTTGGTCAGATTGTTTGCTAAACTTTTCAAATTTTTAATACTTGCATAATTATTTTTTATTACTGATATTGCGTTAACAAATAATTTCCTTTTTTTATGTTGGGTGACATGGTTGAGCTGTAGCGCACAATTACTGACACTAAAAAGTTTGAGTTCAGTTTATAACCTTGAGTCTGTAGCATGCCATTACATATCCCTAGCTATGAAGGAAGCATGACTTCAGTATGAGCATAGTGCACAATACACTATTCCTTCATATATATAGGTCAAGAAACAGATGAACTCTACATCATCTGCCCCATTGCATTGACAGTTTGGACTGTAGAGGTATTTAATTTTTTCCCCCTCTGGGTGAACAATTTATCTCAAATTTTTAAAAATTGTTATGTGCAAATGATGTCAATAATTGTATATGTTTCAATTTTAAAATTTATATGTAAATTAGGCATCACAAGCTGCTAAGTTCAATGAAAAGTTCACTCCCAATGATTACCTTCTTTTTTTTTTAAATTTCACTGCAAGAAAATCTGCACTTGATTTTCCAATACTTTTGTGTTGTCACTTATACACAACTATACTCTCACAACAAGCAAACATGTGTCAAAAGCCTCTAACCTGGGAACCCATGCACCCCCATTGTCCTGCCCTGAGTGTGTGTTGAACAGTCGAGCCTGGTAAGCCTCAAAGGCAACACTCTGTGACGAGGATGCTGAAAACTGGTCATTTCCAGCCACGTCCTTGGAGAACAATCCCAACAGTTCATCACACACTGCAGGAGAGTAGAAACATGGATTAAGTTTTGTTTGGAATCCCCTACAGCTGTTTCACCTAACATAGACTCTGCCAGATCCTAAAAGCTGTCTACAACACAGCTGTATATTGTGAAACACGTTGGCCTTTTATACAAAAATAAGTTCTGTTATATTTGAGAACCAGAACTATGAATTCTAATTGGTAGATCTTTTCTGAAAAAAATATCCATATTCATTCTATATGACATAAAATTATTCTGAAGAATTTCTTAGAGTCCATGTTAATGTGAAACTTTCATGCTATAGAAATAAATAGTAATCAGTCATGCATCTCTTACATAATTACAACAAGTCATTCTGCAAGTATATTGCTTTTTTATTTATCTGAATATAGATTATAAACATAAAAATATGTGTAAAAAATGTATTGTGATTTTTAAAAAGTATATAATTAGATCAACATTATCATGAAGCAATATTTCATACAGCGATACATAAGCATAGAAGTAAATGGGTTATAAATCTGAAAACAAAGATCAAATAAACTTATAATCTTATTGTTCACATTTATATAGGCCCTACAATTATCACATTAAGTCATTTTAATATTTTTTTTTAGTTTAAAATTAATTATTGTGTGATGGAATACCATGATAAATAATTTAAAAACTTTTTTTTACAAATGATTATTAAAAATCAGAGATATGATTTTTTCAAAAAGAATTAGCTAGTTTAAAAAAAGTATTTTTACTGGTTTAAAAAGTATTTTAAGCAGAAATTTTGCTTTCATGATAAACAAAATACAACAACAAAAAAATATGTTAACAAATTTTTCATCTGTGAAATGGCTGTTCATCGCCGTCCAGGAAAGAAAATACCTTTGTTTGTGACAACATTAAAGTGTGGAGTTGAATCGCCTATGTTTGGTTGGGCAGTGGTTTGAACTATCACTGGAGGGGGAGTGTTGTGATCAATTGGTTCACAGTTCCCAAATGTGATGTGGTCAAGGTAGCCACCACGACAGATGCTGTAACACAACAATTACATGTTCGTTAAGTTATCACCCAATTAACAGCTCAAAGTGATATAGCTATGATATATATAAACAAATATCTATTAATTTACTTATATAAAAGTTTTGACAATTAGACAATAAAATCTGGGATTCTCACCAAATTTCACACTCTGTTCTGCAAATCTTGGTATCTTCAACTCTTTCACCTTCCCTGTATTTTTTGCCATTGATGTCACACGCAGTGGTTTCACACAGGGTCTCAGGTATGCAGGTAACTGGTTCAGCCAGTGAGTCATATACCTGAGAGTATAAGGTGTGGCAGTCATGATTTTAATTCACGTAAGTAGAATATGATTCATGTCTTTACTTTTAAGTTTTAAAAACAATATTTTAAAAAAAACCAGCTGAACCAACAACTGAGCTTACCTGGCCAGGAGGACAAGGATGTAGGTCACATCCTTCAAAACAAATCCCCTTGAAATCATCACACTGTTTTTCAATGACCCCATAGACCAATCTGTTATCACAAGTTTTCTTGGGGCATAAAGAGATGCATGGGTTGAACTCTTCACAGCTTTCACATTGCATTGCTGAAAATTTGTACATTCATTCTTATTAACCATTTTTTAAGTAAGCAATATAACTTATTAGTTTCTCAATTTATTTTACATATATACATACATTTATAAATTCCTAAGATAGCATAATTTACTAACCAAGAGAACATAACTATTAATTAATTTACAAAAGTGTATTCAAGCTTGAAATTTTACAAAAATATAATAGAAATTCAATTAGAAAAAATATTGAATGAGGAATATTGTCAGTTTATTAATATAAGGAGAAATTAAAAAAGGTTATTTTTAAATCTTAAAAAATAACAAAAAGTCTTACGGCATAGGTCATGACTTCTCCACTTGATGCTGATTCCATTAATAGCACATTCATGGGCATAGGCAGCTATGGCAGTACATAAACATTCACAGTCACCACCCAAGTCGCAGCCGCAGGTATCAAACTCACACCTAAAAACATAATTTTCATTTAGTTAAATTTTTATGAGCTAGATTACTTCATACTGGTGCAAAATTAATAAACACAAAAAAGTTTTAATTACCGTCTCACAAATTTGGTCATGTCAACAAAGTTATGACATGGTGCGAAGAGGTCTGATTTTATGACGGCACATTTCTGTTGGGCCCAGGCTTTTCTCTGTGGACTTTTCAGGCAAGTGTCAGTAATGTCTGTGGATGGGGCACAAGACGTCTGCATTTTCCAGCTGTCACCAAAGCTGGTGGCAGACACCAGAGGGGGTCCACCCTGTCTGGGCACAAAGTCATCCGTCTGATCTTTGTTAAAGTTGCCACAAAGACCTTCCACCTGGGGTTAGTAAAACACAATCTTAAAAACTATTCCATGTCAAGAATTTATCATAAATATTTTGAACTTAAAAATTAAATAATCATGCTCAATTTACTTGAAATTAATAAAGTGAAAAAAATAAGATAGTACAATTTGAAAAAGATAAAAAGAACTTCTAAATTAATCTTTAAAAAAAAATAATTAAAATCTAGAATGATAATACATTACATTTAACTTTTGATAAAGATTAATTAAAACATAGAATGATGTAATTATGTAAAAACTGATTAAAAACCTAGAATGTTAATACAAGACATGATTCAATCAAAACTGATTAAAATATAGAATAAAAATAGATTACATGATCCATGTGTTCTGTAGATAAGCGAACATAGACCCTAGTTCCTTTATCCCACTGTAAAGTGACACCAAATGGTGTTGTGATGTACACCATGTCACCAATTTCCTTCACAGTAAAAGGTGAGCCTGGTTCTGGTACCACTGACTGTCCTGTTGAACAAAATATGTGTGTAATTTAATAATTCATCCTTTTACATAAAATACTTCACTTTTCTGGAATGTTGTTATAACTATTAGTCAATTTAATAATGGATGAATTGAAATGGGCCCTATATCTATTTTAATATTTTCAGATAAATTTAATTTATTTTTCTCAATGGTTATTTTTCAATTTTCTTAAAACCATGAAGCATTAACAGGTCCCCTTCACTAGGGAATACAACTTCACAATATAACATTAAGTAGCTGAAACTAGAATCAAATGTCACTATATAACATCAAGTTACTGAAACTAAGAAAAACAAACCCTTGAATACCTCTTATCAGCTGGAGTCTGTAAAAGTTATCTGTCCCTTCAGTTCCCACAACAAACTCCAACTGTTTGAAACAAGTCACACCTTGTGTGCCACACTGTGCATTGCGGGTAGTGATCACATATTTATACGGGCTGTCTTGGGTTGACTGCACCAGTACGTAATCACAAGCACCTTGGAACTCGTAAGGTACACCATCGAAAGTTGTGTAGTGTGAGTCTCCATAGGAGCTACAGATGGAAGGACAGTTTCTCTGTGTGCACTGCCATCTGCGGCCAACACAGGTGCTGGAATAAGATATTCAAATTTTATTTTGGCCAACAAAAGTGATGGAATAAGATGTTAAAATTTTATTTTTGGCCAACAAGAGTGCTATAACAAAATATTTAAATTTTACTTTAGCCAACATAGGTGCTGGAATAAGATATTCAAATTTTATTTTGGCCAACAAAAGTGTTCGATTAAGATATTCAAATTTTATTTTGGCCAACTAAAGTGCTAAAACAAAATATTTAAATTTTACGTTTTGGCCAATAAAGTTGTTTTACTGAGATTTCTAAATTTTACTTTGGCCAACATGTGCAATCCAAATGTTACAAGTTAATAAGGTGCACACTTTCGCTATAACAAGATATTTATATATAACTAATGTATATGGCCAACACAACTAGAATTATGCATAAATTTCTAATCACTTAGCCAATAATTTCTCTAAAACATATTCTATATTTACCATTCATTACAGTCCTGGAAATATGTTTCTCCTTCATAATAAGGCTTTCCTGCATGATGACAGGGGCACAAGGAAGAGTTAACGCACTTGTCACCATCCAACACATAGCCTGAGATACAGTCACAACCTGCTTTACAATTAGCACTACTGCAGGTAGGTGGTGCTGCCATGTTTTCACAGGTCGGAGGGCAATTGGATGCACAGTCTGTGTAGACTGAGTCGTTCTGACAAATATTCTTGGCGTTGACTAGATTTTCAGCAGTGTTTATTGTTATCTTGGAACATGAAAATTTGCCTCCATCACAGACACTGAAAAAGCAAAGATTTTTGTATTACAGTATTGAAAATAAAATCAGATTAAATATGAAGCGCAAAATATCAGCAAGTGTTTAATACAATCTGGTACAATCTGGCTTAAGAAAGAGAATTTAAAAGAAAGAAATCAAAATCACAAAAACATTAGATTTTTTTAGCAATAATTGATTTAGCTCTTAATCATGTATTTTAATACTAATAATGGCAATTAAACTTTTATTTATATTAATAGCCATAGCTATTTTTAATACTACAGAACTTACATTATAAATTATATATTCTACAAGTTTCATAGAATTTTGTGACCGCTAATGACGTGCTATTGGATTTATACGTTCTATAAGATTCATAGAATTCTTATTTGTGACTGATGTTGATGTCCTATTGAATTTATATGTTTTACAAGATTCATAGAATTCTTATTTGTGACTGCTAATGATGTCCTATTGAATTCATATGTTCTACAAGATTTGTAGAATTCTTGTGACTGCTGATGACTTACCAAATTTCATTTCCCTTAAGAGTTGTATAGCCAGCAGGGTAGGTTCTTCCATCAAAAATACAAGGACACTCTGACATGGGCACACATTGTGATTGGTCATTCAGCGTCTGTCCAGGTGGACAGTTGCAGCCTTCCACACATTTGGCATCACACAGGTCATCATTGTTCTCAGCAATATCCCTACATGTGCGCTCACAAGGCTTTGAGCAGACTGTGTACTCTTGACCAGCTGGACACTGCAGGACTGCACAAAATACACACTTTTTAGGAAACATAAAATTTTTTAATACCAAACATAATATGATAAAGTAATTGAATTTATTTTTCATAAGTGCTGCTTAAGTTTACTTACTGCATTCTGGAATTTGCAGACGCCAATTTATTTTCACTCCTTTTGTAGCACAAGTGTCTGCATAGCTTCCAATATTGGGACACATGCAGTCTTTCATGTTTTCAGTGCAGGAACACAAATCATAAACACAGTCTTCATAGTATGCTGTTACATCCTCCACATTGAAGCAGGCTGGAGTGGAGATTCACAAATATTATTTATATGAAAAATTACACAATAGGTCATTAAATTGATATGCAAATCAATCAACATGTTTAAGAATTATTAGGGAGTAAATATTTAAACACCTGTAGCTTATAATGAAGTTATTTTTTTATTGCTGTTAATGCTAACCTAACCCTTGCTATTATTCTAGCCATAACCTCATCTCTTATCCTAACCCTATTTCTGACTCTAGACCTAATCAGGGTCCTATATAATCCCTGACACAAACAGCAATGAATGCTTGATTACTGCACTACCAGCACTTTGATGAGAATCTTATGTGGAAGTCTACTATTATCAATAAACAACTCACGTTTAAAGATGTCACTTTTCAGTTGGCTACACAGCTGGATGGCTTGATCTTTCCTCTGAGGGTTGGCATCACAAGGATCTGTCTGGATGGTGGTGGGCATGTCAGCACAGGAGCTCTCCGTCTTCCAGTTGTTCCCAAACACATTGGGGTTGGTCTCAACATTGCCCTCCAGGGTCTTAAAGTCATTGTTCTGGTTCCCATCAAAGGTTCCGCACAGACCAATGGTTTTGCCCATAAATTCTGCAGGGGCCTTGATGTAAGCGCGAGTACGGCCATCCCACAGAATACTGATGCCATTACTGAGAGTAGCCTGTGTAAAAATAGTTAAGATGAGAACTTAAATTCATATTTATAAAGTGGGGGAACACTCAATTATCAAGATTCAAATTCAGTTCCTGGTTTGGTAAAAGCCTGTAGAATGCCTCTAAGCCCACCCAACTCTGAAAGATACCTGACTTGATTCAGGTAAAATAACAGCTATTGGCGATACTACTGACAACACAATACCTTCGTATACAGAGGTCGAAAAGAGACATAACTATATTTCATATGGACCACAATACTTTATATTGACCCTCAGGTCTGAAAGGGTATTTTACTTTTTTAAAATTAAACAACAGTATGATTTTCAAATTGTTACCACACCAAGTGAAAAATAGTCTAAAATTCATGTAAGCTATGTAAATAAGTGTTAAGATTTCCAAAAGCAAAACATATCTAAGAAAATATGGTTTAAAAAGGAATTAGGAAAAATTAAAGCCAAACTCAATTAAAACATTGTGAAAAATGTTAACACATTTGAAAAACAAAAGAACAACTTGATAAATAAAAAAACAATCTTCAACTTTGAACTTACTTGCATGAATAGAGAGGAAACCATAGTGACTTTAATATCAGGTGTGATGTATGGGAGTGATGTAATTTCAATGCCATTTATAAACAACTGGTGGTTGTGGTCCAGCTTTATATTCAACCCATTCATGTCAATACTCAGGGATTTAGTGCATGAGGCCTCTCCATGGCCGCACTGAATGTTGTCCACAATGATACTGAAGTCCCTGTCTTTCATGAGGTAGTAGGAGCATGTGCCCATAAAGTTGTATCGTTTTCCATCAAAGGTCTCGTAGTGAGGGTCTCCTGTGGCTGAGCATGTCTTGTCACAGGTTTTTCTGGTACAGGACCATGTGCCAGATTGGCAGGTGCTGAAATAAGATATTTCAGGGGAACTCTAAAACTTGGAAACACAACTTAAAACATAATATAATACATTTTTTAATTGTAAGAATAAACAAGTAATTTAGAGGGTTAGATAAAGTGTAATAATAGATAAATGATTAAGTTTAAAAAATATTTATTTGGATATAATCATGACATAATCATGATATTCATTTACTTAATAATAAAATGTATGTACTTAAGTCTTTAAAATTACAAATCAAGGTTCATTCTGTTACTTAAAATATATAGGTCTACATAAGACTGGTGTCGTTCTGACTAGATAACTATACATTCTCTAAACTATTAGTTAAGCAGACATTAGCAATGGCACAGTACTATCTGTTACCATCTAAACTCTATGATACAGTACATGTCCTAGAGCCAACTCACCAGTTGTTGCACTTCTCTGGGATGACATCCCCTTCCACGTACTGTACGCCACTGTGCTCACAAGGACACTGATTGGTTTCGATACACTTCCCGTTGTTCAACACCTGCCCATCTGGACAGAAACAGCCGTCGATGCAGGTTGGGTCAGTGCAAACTGAGTTGACGTTGGTGCAGTCTTTGACACATGTGCTCCCACATTCTTTGTACACCTTCCCATCAGTGCAGGTGATCTCTGTGGATAAAAATAATGTTGTGTTACTAGAGAGAGTTGAATCAAAACAATGTTGTGTTACTAGAGAGAGTTGAATCAAAACAATGTTGTGTTACTAGAGAGAGTTGAATCAAAACAATGTTGTGTTACTAGAGAGGTGAATCAAAACAAGTTTGTGTTACTAGAGAGTTGAATCAAAACAATGTTGTGTTACTAGAGAGAGTTGAATCAAAACAATGTGTTAGTAGAGAGAGTTAAATCAAAACAATGCTGTGTTACTAGAGAGTTGAATCAAAGCAATGTTGTGTAGTTGGTGACCATAGAAAAGCCTAACTTTTAAAAACCTGAGGTTATAAATCTGGAGATATCATGGGATATTTAACCTGCTAGACACCCAGACTTATAGGTATCCCCTGGCTGAAATGCCCCTACCTCCCATCCCCCACCACATATAAACTTGGTGAAATTATCCACCAGATGGAAACAAAAGAGTCAAGCTGCGTCTGATTTTACACTGTTGCTAACTGGCATTACTCAAACGATTAAGATTTTTAGTGTTTTGATGCTTTACATAGTTGAACAACTCATCATTACCACAACGTCCAGGGTTTCTCCATGTTAATTTGATTCCCTTGTCCAGACAAGAGCGAGAATAGGCCTCCATGGTGGCACACATGCAGCTTTCTGTGCTGCCAGCGTTACAGCAGTCTGTTTTACAAGACTCAATGAAAGGGGCTGGATCAACAGTCTAAAGGGAAGTAAGAACATTTTTATTTATAACTAAATTTGTTTTACAAGACTCAATGAAAGGGACTGAATCAACAGTCTAAAGGGAAGTAAGAACATTTTTATTTATAACTAAATTTGGTTTACAAGACTCAATAAAAGGGGCTGGATCAACAGTCTAAAGGGAAGTAAGAACATTTTTATTTATAACTAAATTTGTTTTACAAGACTCAATGAATTTGAAAGGGACTGAATCAACAGTCTAAAGGGAAGTAAGAACATTTTTATTTATAACAAAATTTGGTTTACAAGACTCAATAAAAGGGGCTGGATCAACAGTCTAAAGGGAAGTAAGAACATTTTTATTTATAATAAAATTTGGTTTACAAGACTCAATAAAAGGGGCTGGATCAACAGTCTAAAGGGAAGTAAGAACAACTTTTATTTATAAAAACATTTTACAAGACTCAATGAAAGAGGCTGGATCAACAGTATAAAGGGAAGTAAAAAGTTTTTTATCTATAAAAACTTCTATTTACACACAAACGGGGCTGGGTCAGCGACAGTCTATAGGGAAATAAGAACAATTTTTATTTTTAACAAACTTAGTAATCAAATGCTAGATTAATTTTAAAAGGCAGCATTTTTTAAAGAAAAATTCCCGAGTTTATCTATGGTATTAATAGAATTTTAGTTTGAATCTGTGCTGTGTTCTGTGAGCAGTATTTTAGTCCACAATATTTAAACATGCAACGAACCTGATGGCAAGGGGCAAAGGCTGGGTCAGTCTGTATGGTGTTACACATGCTATCAGCTTTTTGTACAACTGTTGCACTTTGTTTTTCACATCCTGGTGGTTGCTGAACATCAGGGCAGTCTAGAGAGGTAAATTTGATTGGATTTTGAACTTATATAGCTCTAAAATAAACACTTAGGGGACATAATTCAAGCAATTAACATATATAAATTTATTTTTTTAAATAAAAGTAAAAACACTTTATGGCATAAAAATAACATTTCAACCACTATATTAACACATATTTTGGCTTTCGCAATAAGGTTAAACCTGAATTGTAAAATTAAGACTAGCTTCTATTACCATCGCCTATTTCAGTTTTCTTCCAGCTTGATCCAAAGGTTGCTACATTTGTCACTACTTGTCCTGCTTGTGTTTCAAAATCATCTGCAGGATTTCCATTATATCTACCACAGAGACCACTCACTTTTCCTTTCACCTCATCAGATACCTACATTTAGAATAAATTTTAAGTTTTATCATTTTAACTTGTCGAACAATGGCAGTCTGAAAAAAAAATGTATAAAATCACCAATTTTATAACTGCTCTTTAGAACAGCAAATTTGATGTAGGACTACATAATATTTTGTTTTTATAAAGTGTGAAAATTTAAGTTTTTAAATTACACAACTTTACCTTGACAAAGACAGACTGTTTACCATCCCATTTAATGTTGTACCCAAGAGAGCTGGCAAAAGTGATATAACCTCCGACCTTTTCAAACACAGAACCTTCACGGAATCCTGGTATTTCTAATACCTGTAGAATGATATAAACATAATCATCAACCACCTCTTGCTGCATACAAAACTAATACTTTTAACAAAAACTACACCTTTGCACGAGCCCATGTATTTAAAAATAATATTTTAAACTTCATGTTTACTTACTTGATCATTCCACTTAATCTCAGGGCCATTGGGTCCAACATGGAAAAATATTCTGTTTCCACCCTGATAGATCTCAATCTGCTTCTCACATGTGCTTCCACTGCAGGCTGGGTTATTGCGAACCATTATCTCATATTGATTGGGCATATAAACAAGTGTGTATCTACAGCGGCCCTGTAGATGTTTTAAAATTATGTTGGTGTGTTTTATGTTGTGGAGTGTAGCAGTCTTAAATAAAATGTGCTATTCATTTACAACTCTATGAAAGTAAAAAAAAAACTTCAAATTTTACGCGTTAAAGATGTGTATGTTTATAGAATTAATAATTTGTTCACTAATATCTTTTTTAATGAAGAGTAAATTACAGACATGTAATAAATCTTATTTAAGCTGTTTAGACATTATAAAGTTAGCATCCTTAAGGTGAGTTTAAGGAAAAGGGGCCACTTATTATCACAAGCAAATGAAAAGACATTTATAACTGACCTCAAAAGTGTAAACTTTATTGTCGAATGTGCGGTAGTGATTGGTGCCCCAAGCACCACACATAGCCTCACTTACAACTTTTGGAACTGGAAGAGATTTTGTATTTATATTATTTTTATTGTTAAATATGAAGGCTAAAAATCCAAGCACACATCCATTTTTTAAATTAAATTTTTTTTTTTAATTAACACAACACTATGATATTTTAACACAAACACAAAATGAAAGACACTATTGAACATTTATTTACCAGTAGTTGTTCGAGGTGCTGACGTAGTTGTGTGCTCAACCTCTGAATAAAAAATATTTTAAAAATAAGATCAATGTGTCTAAAAATTTCAAGATAACAAATCTGTATTATATAAAAAGAAGAAATATGGTAAAATTATTTATTAAAAAATATTTACCTTTTCATTCTGTACATTTGTTTGAATTTTTTTTTTCTAAATTATTATTATTACAAAAAGTTTTTTTTCATCAAGTATGATTGATTTTAGGTTATACTAAATGTCAACATTTCATTATTTTAATTAACATATAATAATATATATAAAGATATATTCTCCACTCCCCCCCCCCCCCCACTGTATTATATCTTCTATTTTACCTTGCGAGCAGTCTGGCACCAAGTTTACATCAGGGGACCAGGTTCCATCCTTCCCACAGACATACTGAGCTGGAGGTGGTCTCTCAAACACAAATGTTGGAAAGCAGACAGGCACACAGATCTTTCCACCATTTCCATCTGGTTGGCACTCCATGGTACCAAATCTTGGTGGTTTAGGATCTTCACACAACTGCCGACCTGAAACATCACAATTCAAAAGATAAATTATAATATTAAATTATTTTTATTACAGGGATTAAGAAATTATATTCATTCATTTTAAAAAATCCTTTTTTGTGTGCAGTGAATTATATTTAAAATGTACAAATTACAGATTAATATATGCATAGGCCTATTTAAATTATTTTAATAAAAATTTTCACAAAAAAAAATTACTGTGTAAACACTGGTCTCCATAGAAAGGAGGTACACAGAGACATGTATTTGGTCCTGTGCATTCACCACCATTGAGGCATGGAGGATCACAGTTGGCTGAAGAAGAAAAAATGTATTTTAATAAACCTGTTGTACAAAAGAAATTACATTTAACTGTAAGTTTCTACACCAACAAAATTCAATATGCTATTCTCTAATCTACATTTTTTATCCTAATTAACAAATTATTAGTTAACTTGGTGGAAAAATATGTATTAAAAGATAATTACGTATGCAAGGTGGTGTCTTAGGATCATCGTAAAAGCCTGCAGCAGCATCACAAATGAAAAGAATGTCTGTTTCTTTTGTGCCTTCAAACTTGTATCCTTGGTCACATTTAAAAACACAATACCTGCAAAAATTGGAGTAAAAAAATGTGTTTAAATTCAGTTAATAAGCTAGTAAGGTTCATATTTTTTTTAAATTATATATTTTAAATGTTCAATTTTTTTTAACCTCATCATTAAATAAATATTTGGTGTTAAGTAGAAGTTGCAGAATATAATATGAGGGATGGTAGTCTAATAAAAAATATCATTTTGGGCCCTAGAATCTATCTATTATCTATGCCTAATGCATCGATTCCATAATCATTAATCAGTAAAGAAATCCATAAAAATTGAGTCAAAACAAAACGTTAGAAGATCTATAAATAAAAAAATGAATTGGAATGAAAGCAATAGTCAATAGAGCTGCAACTAAGTCATATTCCAACAAATCATCATAATTAAATATAATTTCATAATGTTCCAAATCAATATTATTTGATTTTGTTGAAATAATACTTTTATTACTTTTAATAATAATATATATTATTAAATATTAAATAATATATATATACTTTAATATAGGCCTATCATGGATCTATTTACTAGTATTTTAGATAATTAGATCTATAGAATTAGAATGTAACTTTGGCCTTAGTCTATTATTTATATAATATTGGGTATTATGGTACTAAGCTTTATTCCAGGCTTAGATCTATAAGCCATAAGCTCTTATTCTATCACAATCTAAACTCAACTACCGAAAAATGGAAATAATAATTTTTAATATGCTCATTCATTTTTTCGCGCGAAATTATGTAATCACATGAAGCCCAATCACAACAATCTGTAACTTAAAATAGCCTACATTAAAGTATCGTATTATTCGGGGGAAAAAATATAATATTGTATTATGTAGGAATATAGACAACTAGACTAGAATTATAAATGAATATAGGCCCTAATGATCAAGATGATTCAAATAAATGGTTGCGTCGTTAAAGAAAGGTTATGTTCATTGATTAAAATAATCACCCATATTTGCTAAAATTAGTAAAATACCAATGCCAATTCGAGGTACGTCAGCCAAACAAAATAATAATGCAACCAAAATTAACTAGGGCGATATAGATCTAGAATCTAGATCTATTAGTAGTATGGTGAAATATATTGTAGGAATTTTACGTTCTTCAAATTTATTTTTGAAAAACATTTTTTAATGGGTTACACGCAGATTAGATCTAGACTACACGGACGGACAAGAACGTATCCAAGTTATTTTTGCCTGCTTGTAGACCTTATTATATTCGAGCATTAACAGAAACTAGTTGAAAAAAATGGTTTCTTTATTTATTTCCATCAATTTGTAGGCCTATTAAAAATTTCTTTAAAAGACGTTTAAAATATGAAACGACATCTTAATTCAGTTTTACAAAATATTTTAAAATGCAAAAGTGTGACGTCATACTTTCTGACCACACCCTCTCTCGTAACACATCGTGACTTAAGTCCGAGCTCTCACTCTCTGATGTGATATATTATTATATTCACATTCCGTCCCCTAAATGACCTAATCCGCTAAATCCGCCCAGACAGCTCTCATCCGGCGACGCTCTTCATTGAGAGCCCTCAATGATTTCCCTACTGACCAAACGTTAATTATGTTAAAGGCTACAAGCAGCGGTACTTACACGTCGAGCTGTAGGGCGTCTGCGAAGCTGCACTCCACGTTCCCATGTGTTGGTGCTGGAGGAGTCTGGCATGCTGAAGAAATATTTTTTTTATCATCAATGTAGTGTAGGCTGTGTAGGCTGTATGTTATGCATTATATTTACGTGAAAAACTCCGATTCATTGGTGTAGGGCCTACTCTTGTTTTAGATCAAACATGTAGGCATAAATAAGTATTCAATTAGCATTAACAGCTTAGTAGGCTACACGTTTTCTGTATTGAGACTTTTGTTGGATACTTCAATTTAACAAGTGATCACAAGGTCTGTCAAAAAAAACAGTACCGTGATTCATTGCTATGCTCAACTTATTTTTGTGTTGATATCATTTGTCAACTTAGATAGTTAATTCAGCTGAAACAGGTGAATTGTGCTCAGGGCCGATGCTACCTATGAGGCTAACTAGGCGGTCGCCTAAGGCGCTATCCGTAGAGGGGCGCTAAAATTGGTAATCGCTATTATTAAATAGTACCTAATAATAAATAAATTTGATTATATTATATAAACTAATGGGTAATCTTCAAAGGTGGAGCGATCTATTTCGGTGCCCAGCACGAACTATCAATTTTGCGCCCCCTCTTCAAATTAGGCCTATATTTAGTTATTCGAGTTGGTAAAAATGCCCCCCCAGAGGCGTAACTAGGGAAGGGTGGGTGGGGCGGCCGCCCCGGGCGCCGACCTTAAGGGGGCGCCAAAAGGGGTAGAGAAATTAATTTGAAAGCTCATTTTAAGCTAAAGTATAGAATTATACACTGTCAAAGTTACGAAAATAAGCAATAAACTAATACAAGGCTTTACACACTGATTTAGCAGTTGTTTATATCAATTTTGTGGCACCAAAATAGAAAATGTTACGGGTTAGTAACTGGTAAAAAGTGACACAAACCTTTCCAACTGAGATGGGGGCGCCTTTCATATAAGGGAGGGGGCGCAAAATTAATAGTCCGCCCCGGGCGCCGCAATAGGTCGCTACGCCTCTGCCCCCTCCCCCCCCCCCCCCCCCAACCTCACTCATTTGGAAAGGTCGGGGCGCTTTTTACCATTTAATTTACCTTTTAGAAGTCTATATTCTTTATTTCGACTGTATATAATTCAGTAATGAGCTTTTTACATTATTATCTACCACGTTTGGCGCCCCCGTTGGGTCGGTGCCTGTGGCGGCCGCCCCATCTACCCTAGCCACGCCTCTGTTACTATAATGAGATAATTATTAATGATTATCTAATTTAATGTTGATTTAGTGATAATAGAGCTTGTAAGTCTCGTTTTCTCTAACTTTGAAATTTATAATTTTCGGCGGGCATAAATGAGATATTTTAAAACTGGATTATTTCAGACCAGAAGTGAGTTTCAGCCTATCATGAAATAGGTTAAATGGTTTAATATAAAATTTAGAGTCTATTTATATAATATATATATATATCTATATATATATATATATATCTATATATATATATATATATATATATATCTATCTATATATATATATATATATATATATATATATATATATATATATATATATATATATATATATATATATATATATATATATAGATAGATATATATATATATATAATTTTATGGCCAAAAAAAAATTCTGGCCTACTAGTAGACCTACAAATAGGACTACTACTATGGCATACTCTTACTAAGGGGTCTTCCATAAATGACGTCACGCTTTTTTTGACGATTTTTACCTCCCCCCTCCCTTCCGTCACACGTCGTCACAAAAAGCCAGACCCCCCCCCCCTAAAATGACGTCACACCTCAACCTACAACCCCCCTCAAAATTGCAGTTGAATTTTTTTTTAAACATCGATATTTTTCCAAAATCTTGTCTAAACTATTACAATTTATTAAAACAGTTATCTAAAACGCGAAATAACGTCTAAAATTCGTTTTCTAACATTGCTTTTTTATAATGCAAAAATGTGACGTAGCAACATCTGAATCCCCCCCCCCCCTCCCCCTCATCACACATTGTCACAAAATTACGGACCCCCCTCCCCCCTACGAGTGTGACGTCATTTATGGATGACCCCTAATACAGCTTTTTTTTTTAATTCTGTAACTGAAAATGTATACAAAATAAAACTTTAATAAAAACATTTTTCCATGACCTTTTAATCCGAGTCATCACATCATTACTCATCTGTTTATTCTATTCTCACTCTATTCCACTTTATATTCCATGTAAATATTAATTATCCATCGCACATTTAAAATGCTATTTGATTAACATGTCTTTCAAATTGAAATTATATTTATTAAGATTGTCCTTAATGTGATTGTAACTAACGGCCAATGTGGAGGAAAAGGCCATCAGGCCTACTATTGTAAACATTATAAAATTTAATTATAGTATTAGTAATAGTTACTTCCCATGCTCCATTTTAACAAAATCAAGGGCAGCAACCTAACTGCCCAAATGTAGAATTTAATTGTTACAAAAGTTACTCAATTTAATTCTTTGTCTACTTTTTGTATTTCTTCGATTTTACGATTATAATTATTGAATAGAAAACTATTAGTTGTATCTTTTGAATACTTAATTTGTAAATATGTATGCAGACCTTTAATTTCAGCTAACCCCCGGCAGTTAACAAATAATAACTGATGCAATGAATAATAGTCATTATTCTTATTCATCGTTTTACAAACTTCTTAACATATTAGCATATCTTGAAGCCTATTTTTTTATTTGTAATATTTCAACAGACATGCATTCACACACGTCATTTTGATGTTATTTGTTTTATTGGAAAATAAATGTATTAAATTTTTTTTTAAGTGTTGGCGCTCTGCCGTAGTAATAGTAAACACTAGCAGAGGCGTAGCGACCCTTCCCTTCGATTTGCACCCCCCCCCTCGAACTTTTCATTTGCACCCCCCCCCCTCAAAATTTCAATTTGGCGCCCCCCTAAGGTCGGCGCCCGGGGACATATGTCGTCCCCCCCCCCGCCCCCCCCCCCTCGCTACGCCTCTGAACACTAGCAACTTAACTATAGGTTGTGTATAGACTTTTTAGTTTTAGTGTAATTTGGTACATTGTTACTGAGAGTAGTTTTAGTGTGATTTGGTACGTGGATATTGAGGGGCAAGTCAGTAGTTTTTTTTTTCCCAGAAAGAATGACGCAAGTTTTTTTTTTCTTTATTTAAACAAAATGTGTTGAAGTAAAATTGATTACACATAACTGTCAGTGAATGTGGTCGAACACTATACATGGGTTCACTGCATCATAGGATATAAAAAAAAAGGTGTGAGTAAATAAAAAACTTGGACCTACCGTCCGGTAGCTGATCCGCTCGCTTAGCTCTCCTAAGATTCGGATACCTGTTGAAGTTAGGCAAAAATATAATAAAATGTATTTGAAATTCCAAGTTTTGTAATGTTTTATTTAATATTTAACATACAGGACTATAGGTCTGTTGTCTTCTTTAATTACAGCTTGGCAAGACACAAACGTTCATTAACTGTTAACTTTATAAATACTTCACATCGCAATTAAAATTTCGTAGATTAAATATTTCCCCCCAAAAAACATTACTTTCTACAAATCACTGTTATATATTATACTGTTTCAATGTTTTCTTCGCATTAGATCTGCATGCAAGAACACCTGGTGAGTGCTACTGGTCAGTTGTAGGTTAGATAGAAATAGGTTAGAATAATCTAGAATTAGGGGAGAGTGTGAGTTGAGTTTACCCTAGAGTATTGTTAACCCCGGTGTGTTTATGTATTGTTATCCCAAGGTCGAATGCGGTATAAAAGTTGGGGTGAATGGTTGTAAGGGGTTAGTTGGTAGCGGTTAGGGCGAGGGCTACTCTGTTATGTGAAGAATTGAGTCTAAATAAAAGTATACTATATTTGTCACGAATCGTTGTTGAGTTGAATCGAACCCGGACGTAACAGTGAGTTTATTCAAAGCACTTAAAACGTCCCCCTCCTCCCCATCCTTCCAATACATACACACGTATGGCCCGGTGTTTGCTTCGTTGTTTCGAAAAGCTGAGCCCGATGGTTTTTTTTATTATGAATGTGGGTTTGATCTCAACTTTTTTCTACATACATGTCTAGTTGTTCTTTATTACAGGGGTATACTATGTAATCATATAGTTTAATCTACGTTTGAAATGTTCAACAGACGGTGCTACATTCCTTTTAAAGAGCAGCGAACCATTCGCTAAAACTAGAATTATTTTACGCAATAAACTTCTTACTGATTTTTTGGGTACTATAATAGTGAAAATGTTTTCCGAAATCAAAACAATGATTATTCAACAACCAGTTTGAAGTTGTTTTGGCTAGAGTTTTATATTAATTTAATTCTAGCCAAGTCTGGTTATTCTTGTACTTGTGCAATTTCTTCTTCTTTGTTGTACATTGTCATTTCAGGTGATTTCCTCTGACATAATTATTACGTGTCAACATGTTATGTGCCATGTTGATTGTGACTTCTGCCTGCTTTCCTTGAACGTTGATTTTAGAGTTGTCTCTCCAGCCTTATTTCTCCGGGGTTCGAACTCGGGACTTTTGAAGTTAGCTATTATAACCACGCCTATCTTGTGCAATAAATTATTCACATCTCTAGTGTTTTCCTCTGTACATCTCTTTGTGCCCAGATCGGAGTGTAAATTGTAGTGACAGCCTTTTTGTCTAGAAATTGCCGATTCACTAATGAACACATCTGTTGCCAATATGTGCGTGATGGATTGTGTGAAATATATATGTATATATATATATATATATATATATATATATATATATATATATATATATATATATATATATATATATATATATATATATATATATATATAAAATATTAAAATACGTTGGGGAGTTGTTTTGTTTTTTTGTTAGAGCGAAGTAGTAATTACACATGTTTTATATTTGAAATATCATGCTATTTAGTGTGAACATGATCACGGCCTGTTTTAGCGGTTCATACTTGGTTGTTGACATTGACAAAACATTGCTGTCTTTTTGTAATATAACGTGTACGTAATCAAGCAACACTTTTTATCGAATCATCAATCACATGTTCAATTAAAAGAAACTGCTATATAAAAGAATAAGCAGTGGCTAAACAGCAATGCGTAAACCATTTGGACATTTTATGAGAGATACACACCATTTTCCTAACGCAACATAATTTTTGAACGTATTTTCAATATTGTCTATTTTAGTCCATAAGTAAATGTTGATTGATTATTCGTATTGGTTTCTAAACTACATTGAAGTATAAAATTGTTGAAATTCTTTTTTTAATAAACATGCTCATAATTTATTCTACATGTGAATTAGTCAAGCTTAACTGCATCACTAGACCTACAGGAAATTTTGCCACTTGTATTGGGTTACTAGGTAGGCCTATACAAATGCTCTCAAGTCTAATATGTTTATAAAGATTTCTTTAATTTAAAGTCTAAATAAAGTCTATCCCATTGTCATTTCAGTGACTCTTAATTAATCACTTAAACACAAGATCAAAGTGAACGGTTGGTTGTATATACGGGATACACGTGTATGTTTAAGGGGGTAGGCTCCAGAAAAAAAAACGGGAAAAATACGCAAAACAAACGGCCGCCGTTGCCATGGCAAATCTATTTTCATTAGATCAAACCCACATACATAATTGCAAATATTTTCCTTTAAGTACTTTAACTTAGATATACACAAATAAATAAATAAACCATATTAATTAAGAAGTTGGCTTTTTTTGGAGTCTACCCCCTTAAGCAAATAAATATTTTCCTACCTTGCATCTGTTGACGCATAAAACATCACACAGAGGCAAAAAGCCTTTAATAAGGCTTTTGATGCCATTGTGGCTACAAGTTTAGGCCAGGAGAAATCTCATGCAAAGTGAAAATAGTCTGGAACAGGTGTACGTAGAAAAATAATAAAATGATCGTAAGTCAAATCCTTAACACAGTTAAGTTGATCAGAGGGGCGAGTTTTCAGGCTCGTATGTCCCTTCTGGGTCTTTTACATTTTCCCCAAAGGGGTTTTATACGAGTTCTAAAGTCCGTATTTTCAACCGACCAGAAGTGCTTCGATATTCGAGATATAAAATTTTCCCCAGATAAAGAAGAGAATCGTAGCTGTTGCGGCGAAGTTTTTTTTACTATTTGTTTTGATTATAAAAAAAAGAAAATACGTGACTTAGTATTTACTTTTAAAAAGTTTTTATCAAATAAAAAAAAAGAGAAGTGGAGATATGCTTGATCTATGCTTCAGACAAAGTATAAGATTATTCAATGTTATGTAATCACCTTCAACTTGGAAAGTGTAAGTTCATTTTAGTAGGGCGTTTGGCTGGAGCTTTTTTCTAGACCATGGTTTGGTCACATCTTTCCGTACATACAAACTCACCAACAACTAACACAGCAACGTAAATAAGGGCATTCATGGTAATCCTTATTCAGAGATAGTTAACGAAATTTAATTTTAGGATATCATGAGTTGAAAAATTTAGAACCCCTAGTATAGTGTGTTAAAAAGTTTAAATAAACCAGAAACTTCGCACTTTAGACAATGCTCTCTCCCCAAATACATTTTTAAAACATAAATTTCTTTCCAAAATATTCAATGAACTGTTTCAATGTAGAAATATAAATTATTTTTCTTCGATTTTAAATAAGAAAGTCTATTTAAAATATGAAATAGCTGATTAGCTGATTTTGTTTTAAAAATTGTTCAGAAAACACGCGTTTTCGTACAATTTACCCTTTTCCGCCCTAAGAATGTGACGTCATTTATAAACAACTCATAATCAGTAAAACTTTAAAGGCCCTACTTATCCTTATGCTCATAACAATTAATGAGCCTTCCTGTTTTGTCCAAGGATTTCGTAGCGCCACAAGGTGGGGACGGGTCGTACAATCCGGAACGAGTGACAATATTTAAGGAGTGACATCAATTCAAAAAATCGTAATATTCACCATCAAAACAATGTTCGAGGTCAATCTTGTTCAAAATAATAAAATAGTAGGGGGAAGGGTGTGATACCAAACGGAAAAGCTAAATTATTGGGGAGTGTAGGGGTGACACCCTCAGCTACTGTATCGGGTGACACCCGACCTAGTAACGCCACTGTCTAGAACCTTTCTCATGTACAGATCTATTCTATCACAGCACTATTCACCATATCGTTGTTTTAAAGCAATGCCCTGTGATCCCCGAGATTCGAATAGTTCGGACCAATTTGCAAATTGACTTTTTTCTGGAACTGCTCAGGTTTTACTGAATCGTATCGAGGAATTTTCTTCCGGTATAACAGTTCGGATTACGAATCTGGTTAGGAGTAGTATATTAGGTCACTTTTGGAGCGTATGGGTGAGGGTGATGCGGATGCGGATGCGGATGCGGAACAAAGGCTATATAGGAAAATACTCGGATGCGGATGTACAATGACATATAGCAAAATACTCACCCACCTGGGTGGAGTGGGTGATGCGGATGTACAACGACATATAGTAAAATACTCCCTGGGTGATGCGGAGGTACACCGACATATAGTAAAATACTCACCCACCTGGGTGAGGGTGGGTGAGCAGGATGTACAATGAGATATAGTAAAATACTCACCCACCTGGGTGAAGGTGGGTGAGGGTGGGTGAGCAGGATGTACAATGAGATATAGTAAAATACTCACCCACCCTAGGGTGGGGGATGCGGATGCGGAGTAGGTCAGTAGGTCACCTTTTGGTGACCTTGTGACATAATCATTGACCTTGTGACGTCATCATTGACCTTGTGACGTAATCAGTGACCTAGTTACGTAATTTTAATGCGTTTTTTAATGAGTTTTTTAAATTTTAATTAATTTTTGACCTAGTTACGTAATTTAATTACTTTGTTTACTTTTTAATTATTTTTATTTTGTTTTTTAAATTTTATAGTTGTTTATTTATTTTGTTTATATTGTGTAATATTTATTAACGAGTTACGTAATTTGGTTATTTGTTTGATGTTAATTAATTTGATGTTAATTACTTTGTTTGTGTTTTGTTTGTTTATTTTTAATAAGTTTAATTAATTTGATTTTTTAATTAGTTTATTTTTTTTTTATTTTTTTTTTTTTTTAAATTTTATTTTATAATTAGTAATTATTTTAATTTTTATTAACTAGTTACGTAATTTGCTTTTAATTAGTTTGATTTTACATTTTTTAAATTTGTTTATTTCTTTTCTTTGTTGTTTAATTTGTTGGTTTGTTTATTTACTTGTATGTATGTAAAGTTAACTTATACATAATACATTACGGCTAATGACAATTTTTTTATTTTTACCACTCAATGTATTTTCTTTTTCTATATCTTACATTGTCATCTTAATTTTTGATCACCTTAGGTGGTGGTAAGGTGGTAAGGTGGTGGTAAGGTGGTGGTAAGGTGGTGGTAAATTTGCTTAAGATTATAAACTTCAAGTTTTAAAAATCAACAACGTTATAGTACGTCGTGTCAAATGACACACCGTTAAAATGTCTACATTTAAATTTCACCAAAATAATGATGTATAAACTAAATATGATATGACGTTAGCATACATATCATTCAATCTAATCATTCTAAAGTACAAATCAATAATTTTTATTTATTAAGGGGCTGGGTGAGTTATTTTTATTCGGGCGCCCAGCGAAGTTTGGAGTTGGTTGGAACAGATTTTATACACGAGTCGGTGATGTTTTCACCGAGGCAAGGGTTCGAAGCTAGACCATGCATGTTTTGGAATTGTTAGGGGTCGAGTCTATAGTAGGGTCGGGGAAGTTTTGTTAACACAGACGGATGTTTCGAAGTTGGTACATCCATGTTTTAGAATTGACAGGTAAAGAGTCCATACTAGGGTCGGTGAAGATTTCACCGAGGCAGGTTACAAAGTTGGTACATGCATGTTTAGGAATTGTTGGCAGTCGAGTTCATACTAGGGTCGGGGAGTTTTGCTAACACTGAGGCAGGTTGTAATGTTGATACAGGCATCCTTGGAATTGTTAGGGGCCGTGTTCATACTAGTGTCGGTGAAGGTTGGTTTTGAACTCGGAACATGTATGTTTTGGAATCGGTAGGTCTAGAGTTCGTACTAGTGTCAGTGAAGGTTGGTTTTGAACTCGGAACATGCCTGTTTTGGAATCGTTAGGTCTAGAGTCCATACTAGGGTCGGTGAAGATTTCACCGAGGCAGGTTACAAAGTTGGTACATGCATGTTTAGGAATTGTTGGTAGCCGAGTTCATACTAGTGTCGGTGAAGGTTGGTTTTGAACTCGGAACATACATGTTTTGAAATCGGTAGGTGTAGAGTCCATACTAGGGTCGGGGGAGTTTTCACCGAGGTAGGTTACAAAGTTGGTACATGCATGTTTAGGAATTGATGGGGCAGAGTTTAAACTAGTGTCGGTGAAGGTTGGTTTTGAACTCGGAACATGCATGTTTTGAAATTGTTGGTAACCGAGTTCATACTAGGGACGGGGGTGTTTTCACCGAGGCAAGTTACAAAGTTCGTACATGCATCATTGGAATTGTTAGGGAGAGTTAAACTAAGGTCGGTGAAGTTTTCACCGAGGCAGGTTACAAAGTTGGTACAGGGATGTTTAGGAATTGTTGGCAGTCGAGTTCATACTAGGGTCGGGGAATTTTGTTAGCACTGAGGCAGGTTGGAAAGTTGGTACATGTATGTTTGGGAATTGTTGGTAGCCGAGTTCATACTAGTGTCGGTGAAGGTTGGTTTTGAACTCGGAACATTCATGTTTTGGAATCGGTAGGTGTAGAGTCCATACTAGTGTCGGTGAAGTTTTCACCGAGGGTGGTTTCAAAGTTAGTACAGGTATGTTTTGGAAGTGTTAGGGGCCGAGTCTAGAGTGGGAAGGCTTTTGTTTTCACTAAGGTAGATTTAAAACGTGGACCATCCCTGTTTCGGAGTTGGTCGGGGTAGAGTTTACACTAGAGTGGGACGGTCTTTGTTTTCAACAAGACAGGTTTCGAAATTCGGCCATGGATGTTTTGGAGTTGGATGGGAACGTTGTCACTTGTGACAGTAAACGAAGGGGGATAAATGTTTGTCTGTTACTTTGTCCTTTGTCTGTCCAACGGAATAGTGTGGGTAGTGGTACGGTGTGTTTATCTATCGGTTGTTTAGGGACGGGGGCGAGGGCGGCGGACAAAGTTGTCGATGTAGGTAGGGTGCAAGAGATATTCAACGTGGAGTGGTGTCTACAAGTTATGTATCCCAGTCTGTTGGAGTGGTTTCTAGGGGGTTGTGATATTAGTTGAATAAATATTTGTCTTTAGGATTGTCATAAATCCTTTGTCTCTTTAATGGAATAGAATGGGTAGTGGTACGGTTGGTATTGAGGTTAGGGATGGGCGAAGGGGAAAGGGGTTGCGGACAAAGGGAAGGGGAAGGGCGAATAGTGATAAAAATAACTCACCCAGCCCCTTAATAAATAAAAATTATTGATTTGTACTTTAGAATGATTAGATTGAATGATATGTATGCTAACGTCATATCATATTTAGTTTATACATCATTATTTTGGTGAAATTTAAATGTAGACATTTTAACGGTGTGTCATTTGACACGACGTACTATAACGTTGTTGATTTTTAAAACTTGAAGTTTATAATCTTAAGCAAATTTACCACCACCTTACCACCACCTTACCACCACCTTACCACCACCTTACCACCACCTTACCACCACCTTACCACCACCTTACCACCACCTTACCACCACCTTACCACGAAGATTGGATACTTGTGGCCAGAGGTAACAATAAAGTCACTGAAATACGAACGATGAATCACACCGGATTTAAATTGGCGATTGTTAGCCAATTCATGAACAAAAACACTTTAAATCTTAGAGAGCTTATAGATGGGACCGATCTTAATTTTCCTACAAATTCTGGTGTTAGTATGAGTCGCGTCTGCTTTGAGCGCCTATTAAGTTTACAGGATGAAATTTTAAAAGCCTTTGATGAATTGGAAAAACGTTAATAAACAAA